CCTAGACCCAGCTGTTATTCTTCATCAAAATGGCACCAGACTCTAGAGGAGGAGCAAAGTGTAAACTTCCTACTTGTAATAAGAATATCATGCCTGGTGAACTATGTCTCACCATAAGCCTAGCAATGAGTTACAGTAGTTAGTCCAGGTCATCAGCTAGTAAGTCACAAGTTCCCCTTAAGGTCTGTTTATTTATCTTTCTCTCATGTAGCTTGGCCAGTTTCTCCGCTGCCCCATCAGGTATAATGCTGATCATATATTACATCTATTTGCAGGCCTCTACCACATACACTGCTTCAAGAAACTCACCGATTTCACCCAAGCTGACTTCCTAGATCGAATCCAACCATTAACCTAATAAATATGGAAGCTTTGAGGTTTGAACACAGGTAGTGTGCTAGACAGAAACTATCTAGTGCCCAGTGGAGTTGAATAGTTAGTCCTAGAATAGAAAGTAACCCATAGGAAATGGATTGATAAATACAACAGGGTCTATGATGAATCCAGAGATAAAAAATGTATTCATGCAGACTTCTTTACTCTACTTTGTAAGGTGGGTTCCTTAGAGTATAAGCAGCTAATAAAGCTAACTAGATTATCTTTTGATAAGTACTATAATCTTCTTGGTCCTCTTGCTTCATATAAGAGTGACAGGCCTAATGATATGGAAGAGTGGAATCTATTTAATACATACCTTAATTTAACTATAAAAGCCTTGGATAATCCTCATGATCTGAGCATAATGTTATAGTGCTAGCATGATGATGTGGTAAGTTAACTGCATAGGTTGTTACTGTTTATATAAAGAGATATATATGGCTAATTAGGCTATAAGGCACTAATTAGCAAAGAAGAGTATGAACTAAATAAGTGAGATAAAGTAGTAAAGGTAAGACTTAGTAAAAAGGCTATTAGAGTACTTAAATATTTATCTATTATTCTAATGCCTTAACCTAGCTACTTAATGTCCTTTTAGGCATAGAATTTTCTCAGATCACATAGTGTTATTTATATAGTTATTGAGTATCTTATCTTCTAACTTCAGGCTGATCTTCCACTGACAGTGAATGGAATCTAAACAATGTGGGCAGAATTAATTAGAACTTTAGTTTGATCACTCAGAAGTTAAGTAGTAAAAATACAGAAAGAAATGGATTTTGAGGTGGTGTATGGGAAAAGAATATATAAGAAAGAAAATATATAAGTGAGTGTACTATGAAGATAGGAAAAAAAGACAAGTATCAGAAGTTAAAGAGGAAGGAGAAAAGAGCAAGGTGTGCCTTGCCTAGGCCAAGGTTATATGTGTCATGTAGAATGTCAGGGAAATGGCACATAGAAGATAATTAATCATGAACTTCAGGCTGACCTATCAGAACCATCAGAGGTGGAATGAGCAGTGTGAAAGGATGTGAGAAACCAAAATAGTATATTTCATGATAGGAATTAGTAAGCTAACTCCATGTTCATTCATGATTTCTTGCTACACTATGATGCCAAAGTCCACTCCCAGAGGATTGCTGTGCTTATATATTTATGTGACCTACATCTAGCTCTCTCTGATTTATCAGATGGGGTAGCAGCGACTGTGCACCTAATATATGGGGGTAGTAGGAGGATAACTAAAGCCATAGCTTGCAGGAATATAGTGGTGCTAATCTCTTTAACTATGAAGGTTCTCCTCTAAATTAGATTATAAAGTTTCTACTATAGTAGTTCCCGCTACACACAATCAGTCTTAAAGATGCTGGTTCACTAAATAGACATAGTAAATACATGAAGAATTTTCATAATATCTGTTCACAAGAGTCTGGAGAGTTATGAATGCTCTAGTCTGATTAGGTTATCTAAGTATAGGTTTTGCAAAGTTACCTATCTTAATTTTCTGCTTATAGCCAGCAGCATCCTTAAAACTATATTTAACATTAAGATATATAGATATTAGACTTGCGAAAATTTTTAGCATGCAGCATCCCATCTAGTAGTATAGTAGTCATCTTATTTCCTGAGACTACTGTGCACTGGCCCGGCCATTAGCAACCTTAAAGTTAATACTAATTATGGCTGTGGAATTACTTAGTAGGTATAATTAGTGCTACTGTTTATCTCTCTAGTATCTAATAATAACAGGCTAATAAGAATTATTTCTAGCGGGGCTGGGCTTATCATAAGGGAAAAGACCCAAGAACTTAAAAGTAGATTAATTATCTATTACTTTTATGAAGGTGAGGCTAGCAGAATCTAAGAGAATAACTAATACTGAGAAGACCTTTTGTGTTTTAAGCTTCTTATTAATAGAGCTGTAAGATTTAGGTTTCTTAACTAATGTATCTATAGTGACTGCAAAGTCCTCTTAGTAAAGAGTAGGCTAAACTCCTTCTTAATTTCCTCCCACGCTAGCCCTCTAGCCACTAATTTATGTAGGATCTCATCTTTGGCTGCTGAATAAGGTTAAGCACTATGTGAAGTGGGTAATGAACTAGATGCTTTAGATGCTTTAGCTCTAACTCTTACCCTTATTTAAGGATAACTTACTTCCTTATCTATCTTTAAAGCAGTAACTGCTGACCTCTTTTAGTTAGTAGGTTTTAATTAGGTGCTCTTAATCTTAATAGATATACTACTTAAGGTAGCATGTTTAGTTACTTGATGGTTAAGTAGTGAAGGGGGTGTTTTAACCACCTGCCTAAATAAGGGCAGGGTCTTTAATTAGGATATGTCTAGTAAGCCTTCCTTGCCTTCATAAAGTGTATAATACCTCATGAGAGAGTCATTATTATTATTACTTATGCTATCACCACCAGAACTTTCACAGGTGTGAGGGGGTGTCTTAGGGGCTTTAGATGCTGGGTTAATATTAGCATGACATATCCTATTATTGTTACATTGCAGTAACACTGATGACTTACGCCCACATGGATGGTGATCATGATTCTACGCAAGCAAGAAGGTATCTAGGCTGGGTGGATCAGTAATATCACTATTAAAACTACTTATCATTTTGTGGTCACTTCTAAGTCCTTAGGTTGTATCTAAAAGGATCACTGTTAAGCAAGACTTCTTAATAATAAGATGTGGTAGATCTGTACATACCTTCACCTAGTAGTGAGATAACATTCCCAGCCTTTAGACTGCCAAGCACTATAATTTAATAGTCTAAAGGAAACTTAGGCTCATTATTAATAGGAACATATTTACTGTGATTATTATGTTAAGATGTGGTGCTGCCAGGCAGGATTATAAGATTATAGTAAGATGGAGTGTATGCATAGAAAAAGTACTTAGAAGTAGGAGGTTTTAGGGGCAGGGGATGATTTAAGGGGCTAGATAGAAGTAAAGAAGGGAAATTACAGGGTGGGAAAGTGTAAGGGAAAGGGACAGCACTAAATTATGACTTTTGGACAGGAAATGAAAATGCCGCTAGAGGTCTATTATAAGAAATCTGATAATTCATGCTAGATAAGGTGAGAGTTAGAAGTGAATTAAACACAGAAGGTATAGGATTTATTTAAGAGATAAACTTTGCTATGTGCATAGCTACTCAACAAGAGATAGAGCAGGGTATTTATAACCTGCCCCAGTGAGATAGATATTAATATGCTAGGATAATCTTTTTATACTTTAATAATAGAGTATAGTACCATGGGTTTATAGCTTTCCTCTAGTTTAAGAAACCACCTTAACTATAGAATTACAGATCCTATAGTCTAACCACACCATATAGCACCTCAACATTGTTGTTGCATGCCTCCCTGTTTGATATTTAGCTAATTATGAACAGTTATCCTAACCAAGATTTTGGTCAACCTAATAGATTTACCCAACATTACCCACAATTGGCAATTACTAAATAAGTGTAGATTCACTTATTATAAGACTATAGTAACTATTTAATAAGAAACCGCGAATGATGGTGCTTTTAGTGATGTTCTTTCTGCAAGCTTATATTATAAGGTGCAGAAGGCTGGAAAGTTAAGGATGGAACTCTGATTAGTTGCTAGAAGAATTACAGACAGTATTCTAGTGAGGTATTTATGCCATTAGTCTTGTTTTACTATAGGTATAATCTTATTATTATCTGAGCAACTCAAGCACATACATGGCAGTGTGCATATGATTAGTGCAAATATAATACTGGAAATAGTGGCTGCAGAAAGACTAGGGGAGTGGAGGCGGTGGTAAGGTATATTTAGCCTTATAGTTGCTGAAAGTTATAGTATCTGTGTCCTGCTCCTTTGGAAGGGAAAGTCAAGTAAGTGAATAATATAGAGGACTGTCTGTGGAACTATAGCCCCTAAGTTAATGAGTTTTACTATAAGTTAAGGATAACCAGGTAACGCACCTTATTCTTTTCCCTGTGTGACCTGGATGATTTCACTAGCAGTAATAAAGGGGAGATATTATCAGCTTAGCTAGCTTAATAATAAGGTTAAGGCTGATGGCTGAGAAGTGGAGACAAAGAAGAGAGGGGGGAGGCGTAGCTGTAATTTCTAATGGGAAAAAAAAGGAGGGGGTTGGGTAGCAGCCATAGGGGCAGATAAAATGATAATAGTGACTGGAAGGGTGTAGAATATTTGGGCGGATTTAGGGGGAAAGAAGAAGTTGGGAGAGAGGATAATTAGAACAGTGAGGGGACGGTTCTTATATACTGGAGGTCATGATGCGGGCGGTGTTTACAAGATGGCGTATTGGGAGACCATACCCAAAACAGTAAAACTAACCACAAGAGGGAATTCACAGGTCCTCGCTTTACAGTGCAGATAGTCTTTCTGCTGCACTCATGCAACTGGTGCGCATGCTTACGGTTGAAGAAATCCAAGATGAAGTAGTAATACATTCCCAATCGACTCAATTCTTTCCTGAGTCCCATATCTATCTCATCATAATCTACAGATCTAATACAAATAATCGAGGTATCATTGAAGAAGGCGCCAGCCCACAAGTCTTCAGGTTCATTCTGCTGCTGTCCCACGAGTGCGTATTGACTGGAATGTCAATGCTCCTCAATCGCTTGCCAGAAACCGTACGCTGAACGGCTTAAGTGGCCCGCGCTCTGTGTTTTGAAAGCGGTTGGTATTATTGTTGCTTGCAGGAGCTGGCTCGCTCGCTTGCGTGGCCGGGGGATCTCTTGCGCGGTTTCTGGGACGCCATGAATCTCTGGGACTGCCATGGCTCGTGCGCTGAATAGCAGTTTGGCGCAGCTGCGAGACTATGTTTTTCAATTGTGTTATTTCGACCCTCAGGGCATCGATTTCTTGTTGCTGTCGCTTTTGTGCGATTGAATTTGTTGCAGTGAAAGCGTCAAGACGGCCACTGTCAACATGCTCGAGGAATTTAGCGTCTTCCGGATCATACACCCGTGGGGGAGCTGGATCACTAGGCTGGGATTCTCTGTATTTGTCAAGAGGACCAGCAAGCATAGCGGACAACACGTCTCGCGAGTACAGGCCGACCATCCTTTGCCAACGGATAGCAGGATCTCTTTCCTCTGATATAATAAGGTCTTCCATTTGCTCGCCAAGTATACTGGCAAACTTGAAGCACTTTTCCCACACAGGCTTAATTTTATTCCCTGGGGCCGATGCGTCGGCTTTCTTCTGCCAGTGTTCAAACCGAGGATCCTTCGTTACATCAACGTCCTCCTGATGTTCAGCGGCGCTTGCCCAGTCAAAGCCACTATTGATTGCAGCAGAGATCAGGGCATCCGAGACCTCCCATTTGCCACAGGTATCGCAAAGTTGCACCATTAACACAATCAGTCTCTCGACATGGCGCTGCGAGTGTAGGCTCGTGGAAGTTAGGAAGGCTAGTGATCTCCTCAGTGTATACACGCCATTTCTCCAGTCAGCTCTAATAGCATTAAACTTCAAATATGCGTACAGAGTCGAGAAATCATCCGCGAGGCCGTGTTGCCTGCCTGCTTGTAGCCAAGCGTCGGCTCGATCAGGTTGATCGAAGCGCAAGGCAGCAGTAACGAGAGTTGTGTAGATAACAGGATTCGCGCTAGAAACAGGCGGTACAGTGATTTCAACACCATTAACAACCTGTCGCTTGTAGAAACTCAATCTGCCCAGATCCACGGGATAGCCATCACCCCGAAGCATCTCGAGGAAGGAATCAAACCCCTTGAGATTCTTGGTTTTTCTGAAGAAAGTCAAGATTGAGATGATCAGAGATGAGTTGAGAGGAAATTTGTGGGGTAGGATTGTTTTGAGTATCAATTCCACTAAATCAGTCTGATGAGTCTTGGTGAAGGCCAAAATCATCAGCTTCATACAGTAGGACCGATCCGGATCTGTGGACTGTAGTAGGTTATTCGCGAATCGTAAGAGTAATTCGGGAAGGGACATTTTATCTCTGAAAAACAAGGAGATATCTCGCTCCATCTCGTTATCCAGCTTCTCGCGCTCCTGCTGCATCTCCTTGATTGGCTGTACGCGAAGCTCCTTGGCCAGATCGTCATAAAATGCGCTTTCATTTGTCTTCAGAAGACGAATTCTGCGCCGAAGGGTGTTCAGTTCGGCCAGTAACTCCGCGAAGTTGAGTTGGGGTAGGTCGAAGTCTGCTGTGTACATCATCGGGACGCCAGCGTAGTTGTGCGCGATTGACTGTCGAAGCAAAAGTCGAATTGCCAATTGTTTGAGCGCAAGTTTCCGTATGGCCTTCTGTCGAACCGCGTCACCCGATAACCACTTTGGTATGTCACTTCCATCAAGGAAGAACCCATGCTCCGATATTGGGGCCTCATCTTCAAGATCATCCTCATTTTCGGGCATCATATTCCGAACAAGTCGATTGTGTTGTTCCATTTCTATATTCTCAAGGGTTTGACTGCGCTGTGCAAAGATAGAGCTCTGGATGAGGCGATTAGAAGACTCCGGGTCAGCTACATCTTCGACGAGCTGACTCGACTGATCTAATCGTAAATCTCGTGTTGTATGAATTGATCGACGAGATGGGATTGTCGGGACAGGAAATGATCCCAGGCTGCTAAACGAGCGCATTTGCAACGCTCCATTGGATACCGTCCTTTTTCTCCGCGCCTGAATAGCTTCTAGAAGCCGATGTTCTTCATCCACTAGCTCATTCACCTCCTCCTGCACGGCTGCGATTTTCTCGGCCCACTCATGTCGGCGCTTGTCCTTCGCATTGGCATCCGCCAAAGCAGCTGCGGCAAAAATGCTGGTGTATAGAGCAGTGACGGAGTTTCCGAGTCGAAGGCGTTTCTTGCTGGCTGCTGTCGTTGTCCGCGAAGTTAATGCCGATGCGCTGGTGCTCAGACAGGAAACACATCGACAGCTCGACTTCGTCGGAGCAACGCGGGACCATAAACCTTGCATTATCGCGGCATCTCCAATCAAGGGCTATCCAAAAACGGCATATAGATCAATTGGACCTCTGTTCGGCTCAATGGCCTGGGAGAAGATCGAAGACAAAGGGAGATTGCTGGATGACCGGACGGTAGACTAAGGTGGGACGACGTCTGCCGATTTCTTTCTAGAGCCGGAAAAAAGACATCTGGCTGGCACATGCAAACAGCACAAACTCCCCGGGTTGACGCTGTCTCCGCATCGAGTCTCGTCACCCGCTCTGTTGTCCTTAACAGCCCTTGATATTAATTATTTCTAGATCTCTGTTTCATTGGGGTTGTATTGCTACGGTATCGTCTGGGAGAAACCGAAGAGCTGTGAAACTCATTGGTTTGAAATTGTCAATCAAGCGATCCTCTCGACAATGCTCGTCCACTCCGTTGGTCTGACGACCGTATTGCTTGCTTTGAGTAGCAGCTTCGCCAATGCTCACGGATCCCATGCGAGTGAGCAGAACCCTTCTGCGGACTGGGCGACTCGTCACATGCAAGGTTGATTTCCAAAACCCCATCGAATTATTGGACAAGGCCCATTGACTATTCGATCTGACAGAGGAGCACCACATTGATTCCTTCGACCCCAGTTCCTTCTTCGGCCTTCACGACTTCGATGCCTCCGGCGCATGGACACCCGATGAGGTTCGGAAGACTTACGGAATGGACGATGAGACAAATTCGAAAGTAAGCGAGGAGCGGAAGCAGCAGGCACTTCGGGAGGTATTTAGCCTCTTCGACACAGGGAACTCAGGGGTAATCACACGCGACAACTGGATGCGACTGGTTTCGGCTGGGACTCGATTACCCGACCTTGGCTTTGGTCCCGGTCATCATGGAGACATTGAATACGAGTATGAAATCCACCACTTCGAAAAGTATCATGGAGAAGATGCGAAGCTGGAAGACCTTACGCACCCGGAGGATATTGAGCATTTCCGGAGACATGATGAAGAGGAGGATGCTGCGGAGAGACTCGAACAGCTTCAAAAGATGCCGATCGTGGAGGCGAACATACCCCAGAAATTCCGACGGGCGTAATGTATAGTTCAATATCTGTGACTGTATATATGTGTGCTTGTTGTGAGAACTGTCCGAGCGTTGGTTACACAGCATGGAACCAGGTGAAATCGATACCCTTTTCATGGAGCTTCTCAGAGAGCCACTTTTCAATTATCACGACGCGATGCTCCATTTCCCTCACTATCCTCTCGCCGAAGATCTAGGACGAGGGGGACGGCGTCTTCAGCTCGGGTCCGGGAGACGAGCTCCGCTCAAAGAAGACAGCTTGATATCGAAAACACAATGCATAATCCCTGGCGCGTATGTCTTAACCTGCTCGATATGTGGGCATCCCACATGGTCTTCTGCAGAGTCCGGTAGGACATCGGCTCTCAACCTCCCAATCTCAGAAACAATCCGGTCCTTCATCAAGTCGATCTCTCGGATGTCGACATTTTCATGGACGTGGATCCATCCTCCCTTTTGCAGGTCGATCATCTTGCAAGCATCACCCCAGGAACCGCTAGATGAAGGGAGGAGTCCCAAGTTAACGTGCCGGATACTATTCCAAGCATTTCGGCCCTCTAATTTTCCTTTGAGCTCGCTCAGGACGTCCACGGCGAATCTATTGTCTCCATGGAAGACGACCACTCGTTCCGAATCATGAAGATTGTCAACCAATTCCGGGATGGATTGACTTAGTGAACCGTCACCTTGCACCTGAACCACTCTACATCCCCATCCATTTGCTGCACACCCTCTTCGCAGCCCTTCCACAGACCAACCGTTGATCTCCCAGCCCCAGACCCTCTTTACTCCTCTCTTCAGGTACGAGAAAACAAAGTACCCAATGCCGGCATACATATCGACCACACTGACATCTTCTACTCTTTCACCGCCCAGCGTGCCCGCGTCTAGCCCTTCAAACACCCCACCTTGACCCAATATCCGAGCCTTCTCGGTGATGTTACCTCGAGAGAACATCGTGTACAGCGGGGCCCAGGTCTGCACAATGCCCTGGTTCTGCATGGTTCGCACCCAGAACGCGCGCTGCAGATCCGCCTCCGTCGGCTGCGCATCCTCACCATCTACAGACGGTGCAGGACCGAAGTCGCCGTAGAGAGGAATGAGCCCCGCGGGGCTGCGCATCCTGTTCTCCTGCCCTTCGGTGTTTGTGAGAGCAATAGGTGCATTCATAGCGACGTGTGTAACGCCCACACGGCCGAATGCCTTGGCAATGGATCCATAGAGAGCCTGGCGCTGCTGGCTATCCAGGCTCGCGTAGAGAGCACCCCAAGCGGGAGGATCGCTCAGTGCATTGACAGGGAGCAGCAGCAATGGTTCATACACAGTGAATCGCTTAGGAAGCGCTGGCTCCAGGTTCTCTGGCGGCAAGCCATGCTTGGAAAGCAGATCTGGGGAGATGTGTGCTGCTATGAAGTCTTGTATGCCTCTTCGGAGGGGGTTCGAGCTTCTCGCTCGCCGTCTGTCACTAGTATCATTCAAATGTTTTGTATATTTCTTCTTCTTGCCATTCGTGTCTGCACCATCTTTTGCGTGATCCACTGGCATTTTCAGGTGATCAAACTAGGTTGGGACACTGGAGAGAAAAAGAGCAAGGGCTTGCAAACCCACCCCACTCAACCAGATCGAGTGCCTCAGCCTGATAGCGGGTTGACGAAGATTCAAGATTCTGGAACAGTATAGATTTTGATTCCTCAGTCTCGTATAAGTGATCGATATTCACAAATAGCTCACTCAATCAGCGAGGAACAACTTACGAACATTTATGTCCATAAGTTTCTATTTCCAGTCCCGCCCTAGGGTCATGTGACTTTCATACCAGGTGAACGCTCGTCTACCTTGCAATGATAACTTGCGAAAGACCATGATTAAGAAAGGTGATGGACGCTACGGGTGTTCTATGAACGATAATCCTATAATGGGAGTTGCAATGCAGCTGGCAAAGAGCAGGCCGGGGATAGCAGGAACCACATCCACAGGATGCTATTATGAACTATATATAGGTATATCGCAGGCCAGTCCAAGTTATCGAGAAATAACAGATGATCCATGAAAGTCAAAGGATGTCGTATCACTGGGGTCGAAGCATGTATTTGAACAACTTCTGTCAAAGCAAAGAAAAGAACGCTTAAGAAAAGAGGGAGAAGCAATGTAGGAGGATCACTATCGCTGGAAATCATTAGTAGGATTGAAAGATACGGAGATCACGGCACAAAGAATGGTATCATATTGACTCTTTTCTCAAGCGCACTGTGAAGTCTACAGCAGTCAAGCACGAAAGATGAAGCCTATCTTGGTCCTGATGATAGGTAGTGCGCTTGAGAAAAGAGTCAATATTCTGTCACAGAATATCCCATCCGATCACTTGAGTCGAGTACCCTGTACTTCAGTTAATATGTGCCCAAGTAGGTATTTGAAGGAGAACTCACGAATATTGTTTTGTCAGCGTCCCTTCGCCACCTTTCGAAAGGTCGATGCTAAAGACATAGAAATTTCCATCGCTGGTAATCACCATTACCTGCGGCGTGTTGTTGCTCATCGCGACGACGCTGCGGAGAGGACCATTATTTCCACTGCCGCCAGCGTTCTGGCTTGGCTTGGGAAGTTTAATCCACGCGAAGTCCCGAGCCGGTTCCCACATTTCGCTGACACCTTTCGGAAGATAACCTCCAACTTTGGCAGCGACAGTGCTGCCAACGTTCTGCGATGTTCGTCGGATTATACCCATCAGTGTTCCATTGTGCTTCCGGGCGGGAAATTCAGAAGAGTCCGGTTCCCCGCTCACATCGCTTCGGTCAGGGGAATGTCCTAAAGAACTTTGGCTGAAAGCCCTGTCACGACCTGCTGGCGTAGAAGACGAAGGAGAGGTGTCGCGGGAGGATGATGTTTGCTGGCTCAACTTGAACAAGTGTATTGTCTCGGTGGACGAAGAGACGCAAAGCAAGGTCGAGGTCGTATTGAAAGACATGCTGAAAATCCTGGACGGCATCGAACCGCGACGGAATTGATATAGCTTATGCCCATCCGGAACGGAGAAGACTCGGATGATAGTTCCTTTATCGGACGCAGTGGCCAGGAGAGTGCCATCGCTGTTGAGGGTAATGCACGCCAGCGGAGATCGGTGCGCTTCAATCACGTTTATTGCCTCCAATTTCAGACTATCAAAAATCAAGACCTCCCCACTTGTCGGAGATACATGGGTATTTCCAGGAGGCGCATGAGACGGAGGAGTGAACGACGAGGGCGGCGCCTTTTGCGGCAGAGGATAGGCAAGATAACAGTTATCGGAGGAGGGGGACAGGGCACAGATTGCTACTGAGAGTCAAAGATTCTATCCATTTTATGCGGAGTAGGGGACGAAGGTTCATGGCACCTTACCATTGGGATTTGGAGATGTCTGGATGGTGTAAAGCAGCTTCATCGTCTGAATATCATAGAGATAAATCTGATCCTCCAGAACAATCACCAGCCTTTTCCGGTTCAGTTTGACCGCCAGCACAGTCGTGGGGAATGTTAACTCGCATATCGTGGATTGACGCTATATGGACCAAATGCCGGAGCAGAAGGCGTCAACATCATATGGCCAAAGTACTCTTGGAGTGAGGGACATGTTCGCGATCTAATGTGTACAACTGCTAAAGGATGGTCTACCAACCTTAGTATTGGTGATTTGAAGGCGACGTGGTGATAAGATCAATGCGACTAGCGACGTCGAGAAGAGCATCTCGATTATAGCAATATGCCCTTCTTTCGTCTCATAACTTTTGGCAAACGGATCCGTTGTGAATATGCGAAACCCCTTTGACGTCGCTGATAATTGTTTAGAGTGTGCGCAATCGATTAGGAGTGTCTAGGGATGCCCTTACCAACAGCCAGATAGCTGTAGTCCTGGTTGAACGTCACAAAGTTCATCGCCATCTTGTCACTGATAAGGCGGTTTCCGAAACCAATCTACCTGTGAAATATATCCGGGGGGGTGATGGTATTCGATGTGTGATGCGTCGGCGACCTCGAATACGGGTAGAGCTTTCCCGTGAATCACACGGTTTCAAGGCGACGCTTCGATGAAGATGAAGGGGCGCAGTTGAACGAGTTGGAGATCAACGGGGTCTCATGGCAGATCGATTTCGTCACAGGATGCATTTACCTCGCATGTCGCAGTCGTCAATAAATAATTGCTCCAGGGCTCGCGTACGTATATGTTTCAAAAGTCCCTCTCTCTGACAGTTATTTTTGAGTCTGGCTAATGATAATCACTCACGGACGGTGCTTGCGAGAATGAGATAGGAACTTGGAAGAGTAACGAGCTCATTTGCGGAGGATCGCGGGGGATCGCCTGAGCAGCCTGAGGCAAGCCGCGGCTCGCAGGATGTTTGGCTCAGCCGCGATAAGCGAGATGCGGACGCTCGGGCCACATCTTGATTAGTACACTGGAGGGGGAAATTTTTTTGGTCTTCTTAGCAACGTGGGGCATGAAACGAAACGTTGTCTTTGGCGGCACAGATTTGATTTTCTTCTTCTGATTTTATACTCCAGTTCGCCCATGGGAGCCTCAAAGAAACCAGCCGCGGCTGGTCTCACCTCCAAGGCTGAGAGAGAGGCCGACCTGGTGATGGGAGTAAGTCTTTACAGATTTGAACAAGACCGTGCATACAACTGACTCCGATTCTTCAGACTAACAATAGCAGTATTGTGTCCAAACGAAGCGTCGAATTACTATACTACCCTAAGCCCCATTTCTTTCGCTATTTCGTGAAAAAGCCCCAGAGACGATCGCCTTTGATAAACCGTGGATACTGGCTTCGTATGCATGCTATGGAAGAGACTGTTCGACAGTTCATGAGCCAGCCGTCAGACAAGCCCAAATTCGTCTTGAATCTTGGATGTGGATTGTAAGTCGTAGAGAACCATCGCCGTGCCAGTGGGACACTGAAGAAACGTTCCCCGTGGGCTGTATGCTAAGTTGGGCTATCGTAGTGATCCATTACCGTTTATACTCCTGAGTGCCGATAAGTCCTTGTGTAGTACCACGCAGTTCGTGGACATCGACTATGAAAAGCTCATGATCAATAAGAAGACGGCCATTCGTCGAACCGATGAGATCACACAGCTTCTCGAAAATGTAGAGTTCCTGTCAGATGAGAGCCCGATCCAGATTCGCAGTGAAAAATACATAGGCGTTGGTTGTGATTTGAAGAACCTCAAGAAGCTGGATGATGTGCTGAGAACAGAGGTTCTCCCTTCAGAATGCTCAATTCTGTTCCTGGCAGAGGTCTCTCTGACCTACATGGATGTCAAGTCCGCTAATGCAGTGCTGGACTGGGCCTCGAAACTCAATGATGGTCAGAGCAATCCACGTACCATTTATTTGATCTTCAGCTAACCTGGTTCTTCAAGATGCTAAATTCTGCATACTGGAGCAATTTTTCCCAGACGGACCAAACCATCCTTTCGCTTCGACCATGATGAAGCATTTCAATAAACTCGGAGCACCTCTGTACTCTATCCATGAATACCCTTCGCTTAGTGAGCAGGAACAGCGATTCAGGAATGCTGGATGGAAGCACGCGCACGCCAGGAGTCTCTGGGATCTCTGGTCTGATGACGAGTTTGTTGGCACATCGCGCAGAGCGTGGCTGGACTCAGTGGAACCGTTCGATGAATGGGAAGAGTTCGCGTTGTTCGCTTCACATTATTTTTTACTTATCGCTTCTACTAAGCCACAGTCTGCAGATCAAGATCCAGCACAGGCACCAGTATCTGCTGCGGATACAGATGCGTCTTTCCAATATATGTTGCTCCCAAGCAGCAGCCAGGGTGCGGGCCACAGACGATTCGGTGCCCTTATCCCGGACAGCGAGAAGTCTATCGGCCACCACTCAGGCCTGTGTCAGCAGACGCGTGACGCATCCACCGATCTTTACACCAAGTCAAGGGAGATAACCAGCCCCGAACTCCCTTTTCCATCGCGGGAGGTCTCCGCGCGGATGTGCCATACTGTGACTAGCCTGGGCGATGCTGACTGTCTGCTCGTTGGTGGGCGAGCGTCACCAGCCTCTGGTTTTCAGGATTGTTGGCTGCGACAAGGGAGTCAGTGGCGCTCAGTCCAAAATCTTCCAGCCCCCCGGTTTCGGCACAGCGCTGTCAAGCTCTCTCTCGACAGTGACTCTGAAGTTGTTCTCGTCTACGGCGGAAAATCTAGCGATGGCTCGATCTTCGATAATTGGTTGATGTGGCGCAAAGACGGCGCCGGATGGCAGGAAATTGAGACTCAGGGCTCGAAACCTACTGCTCGATTCGGAGCATGTCTAGCCACCATCAACGATACCACAGGCGTTCTGTTTGGAGGTATCGGACCATCTGGAAACATCCTTGAGGACTTCTGGACATGGAAGATGCATCAACGGGATGACGGATCTATCTATGTAGAGCTGATCGAGCACACGGATGGTCTGCGGAGAACGTCTCCTCTGTGCGAGTATATCTATCGATTCGGAGCGACAATCACCATGACCTCATGGGGATTGGTCATAGCCGGTGGAATCATTCCTCGACATGTTGTTCCTTACAGGAAGGAGATTATGTTACTTGATTCGACGACGCTGCTCAAAGATCTGAACGACAAGTCGCCTTGGAGTCAAAATATCGTGTCTGCAATTGGGCTCGGGGATGACCTGAGAGGCCCAAGACCATTGCTGGTTGGTCACGCCTCCTGCGCCGTTGAACCAGGTCAAGTCCTCATGCTGGGTGGCGGCGCAGTCTGCTTCTCCTTCGGGACGTTCTGGACTGAAGGGAGCTGGATCCTGCAATCTGCAGCCTCGGCCTGTGCGAATGACTGGGCACTGGTCCCGGAAACTGTGCAAGCAAAGAAACCCGTTGTACCGCAGGTGACGCCACATATCGCAAACTGCAGCGCTACTAAGGAGATCCCTTCAATCCCTCGCCGTCGGGTCGAAAACCCCGAGCAATTCCAACAAATTCTAGCTGATGGAAGACCTGTGATTATCGAAGGCTCAGACATCGGACCCTGCACCGAGCGGTGGACGAAAGAATACTTGACTGAGGCTGTTGGCAGTGACCGCAAGGTATAGTTTGAGATAACATAAGCCCAGCTAGTTCTGCCTTGCTAAAGATGGACAAACAGGTCATTGTTCATGAGGCCCAATCAGACAATATGGACTTCCAATCCAAGAATTTCTCCTATGTAACCAAACCCTTTGGGGAGTTTCTGAACCAAGTTCATGCTGGTGGCCGGCAGTATCTCCGTAGCATTTCATCTGAACAGCCTTCTAAGCTGCCTGCCAATCTCGCAGTTGATTTTCCAGGCTTGAAGGATGATTTCCAGCTCTCAGAGGCACTGTCATTGGTGACCGAAAACGCGCATAGTTCTCCGTTGAGGATATCGGGCCCGGTCACCATGTGGCTCCATTACGATGTGAGTGCAGACGCAGTTGATCTTAGATTAGTGTCGCTGATGTGGATGCACAGGTAATGGCAAACGTATTGTGCCAGATACGAGGTAAGAGGAGACTTGTGCTGTTTCCTCCTCGCGATGTGCAGTATCTACAGATTCCTCCTGGAGGCTCGAGCTCCACCATCAATGTATTTCCGAACATGGAAGATGGCTCGATCATCTCGATTCCACACACGTCGCCGCAAGAAACCGTCTTGAACAGCGGCGATATTTTGTTCATTCCACCGATGTGGCTGCATACCGCATCTCCAATTGGAGAAGTTAGTGTTGCAGTAAACGTCTTTTTCCGCAATCTCTCCAAGGGATATGCAGCGGGTCGCGACGTGTACGGCAACCGCGACCTGCAGGCGTATGAGAAAGCAAGAGCCGATCTTCAGAAAATGGTTAAATCATTTGATGGTCTTCCGGCTGATGTTGCCGGCTTCTATCTCTCTCGACTCGCACAAGAATTGAAGGAAAGTGCCGAAGTATGAGTGGAGCCAAGTGTTAATGGTGGAAGACGGAGTGGGTGGGAGGTTTGGGAGATCATATCTGAACTGATATCCTATGCCACCACCCCTACCAGGTCGCATTGGGGACCTGCTGAACTGTCTGCTCTGGCTGTTGGCAATGCTGCACGTCGTCAATTATGCGAATTCAATTAACCATTGAGAATGTGGTGTCTTTGTAAGGGAAGAAGTTTTTGGCGCGAGTATTGCCATGTTCGTTGGGTTCAAGGCCCAGCAGTTATAGATGTCAACCCAAAACTACTAAGACGCCTCGTGCCAGCAGCGCACAGTTGCACACAACCAGCAAGCATATCGGGCGTTTGAAGTGTCTTTGAACAGAGCTGCCCAATGCCAATCAATGACATACCGATTTGAAGCACACACCACTCTGGAAAGATATGTGCTACAAAAATAGAGATGTTTATGATATTGAAGAAAAGTCCCTTTTTTTTCACGCTGTGTTTTCTCGCACATCCACGTGACAGGATTCAGATTTCCAAGTGGTAGTTACATTGCTCGGTTCAAGTTCAGCCTTGGTGCCTTGATTTAATGCTTAGGCGCTAGACTGGAGCAACAGATCGCGCGCCCTCATTTCCAAAGTAGGTAGGCATATTATTACGGAACATACATCGTGCAGTCAATTTGCATTGGCGAAGACCATCAGGAGGTTTGCCGGCGCGTGAGGGGGGAGAGCTAGCCGCTTCCCAAAACCTCGGATGCAGGTGTGATTGCACGGCGTTACCCCCAGCAAGGAACAATCCTAGACACTATGGGATACTTACCTTCCTTACTGTACGAGGCATGTCCGCCCGAGACCATTGCAATCCAGATAACTTCTCCCAATAGAAAAGAGCAAACTCAAGATAACCCCATCAGTCGTCATCATGGCCCTCATCCCAATGGATTGTGTCCAGAATGTAGAGATCGTGGCTTGTCAGAGAGACCCATGACACTCTGGAACCATGGACTCAGACCACCGGGTTAAGAGATCGAAAGGCTGGTATGCCGCAAAAGAGGACGAGGATCTCCCTATTATGCCAATGAAAAGCCCGGGATTCAGAAACTGAGTTTATGGTAGTCATGCAGAAGGGTCGACAATTTCAGTCCCACACTGATGCTGGCTGGACCACATTTTGCAATCCTGGAGGGGGGGGGGAACACTCTCCTCAAGGCCCTATTGGGCGTTACACAATGAGTGTTGGCGTCAAGACTGAGTCAAGAGTTTTATGCGAGTCTGGAGAAGGGTGGGGGGGGGGGGAACTGTTCGATGTTAGGACTCGGGTTGAGACTTGAGTTTGATAGAAGTATGTTATCGAATATCTGGCTTACTGAGCATGGTTCCTTGATTAACAAATAGAGAAAAGATGCCCGAAATGAAGGATGAAGTGCACTGACTTCTACAAACGCCATTGTAGATAGTGGTGGGGGTGATCATCGACCATAGATTTGGAGGCATCATAACCCGAAAATCCTTAGGCGGGAGGCAATGATAGACATCAAATCGAAGCGATGATGATACTGATGGACTAGATAGATAGCTCAGTCCAGAAGTGATCTGACTGACTAACTGACTACGGAGTAGCATCTAGCATCTATCTTCGTTAGTATACTCAAGTTGGAGAGAACAGGACGAAGAAAGATGGGGAAGCACGAGCCACCAGCATCCACTGCGACCGTGACTAATAAAATACATTATACATTATACATTACCTTACCAGGTAACTAGGTAAGTTACCCCGCGTACTGTCATGGTGGATTGGATGAATGGAAGTACTTTTAGTTTTTGGGCGTACAGCATTTCAGTTCCTCTCTTCGAAGTACGGGCTCTCTTCTTAATTGACAACGCAATCATGAATCTATTTCTTGTTTCCATTCGAACAACCGACTATTAGATAGACATCAATATCATATCATCCTCGCTCATCATTAGTTTCTCATCGTCTGCCTACTTCCTTTCTTCTTTGTCTCTTTGTTCTCTTCACTGACTAACGGACTTATTTCCTCACCCCCCCCCCACACAACAAACGTTCGCGCCCAGTTCCACTTCCAAGTTCCCTTATCAGCGGGTCTCTGTTAGTCTATCTTCCAGGTGGTGTCCCCACCTGGTAGAAGACCTCTATAGCAGTGCTAGACTGCTAGGACTAGGACTAGGACTAGGACTACTAGGACGAGGTAGTTCCCTTACGGACGACTGGACTCTTGACGGACTCTCACATCCACCACGCCATCGTCTCCACGCGCGTCGACAGCTTCATTGATTTAAGTCCTCCATCTTTGGGTATCGTCGTGTTGGATGCAGGGTTCTAATCCTCTGGTTGGAGTATCTAGCCGGTACGTTCAAGAGCTGGGTCTCTTCCCTTATCCCTTTGAGCTGACAGCTCCCTCAATTCGATTGCATTGGCATCGAGCTTCAGTTAAAAGACTGACCATTGTACAATACAGGCACCTGTCTTCCCGTCATTAGTGCTCGCGCTCCACCGTTTATCTACAGCCGCGACGTGCAAGTCGTGCCGCGGATGTGTTATTAATCGATCCTATCCGTGTTACTGCATCGAGTTCGAGGACTGAATTTCTTTTGGACTTCTATATAAACTCGTGCATACAATCGTCAGTGGGAATGGCTACGGTGCTGGTGCAGCAGCAAACGCTGCGACATGCGACACCTCCTCCAACAAACATTGCCTCGTCCCTCAGTATCAACAGGAACACATCGCCCGTGCCAAACAAGCATTTACCTGTGTGTCCGCCTGGAACATCTTCAGCAGCATCACAGAATACCGCTCAGAGTGCCAAGGAAGATGGCAAGGGCCAGCTCGTATCACTTCTCTATCCACCCGATGCGTTTGCGCGAGTATCGAATTCACCCCCAATATACTCCATCAACATTGTAACCTTAGCCGCGGCCCTTGAATACTGGGCTTCCCAACCATTGCCAGACCCCAATCAGGTCTTTCCCTGGCTACATGGTCTTCACCCTGAAAATCATTTGCAATTGGGCTTTTTCACAAACCGAAGACGATCTCTTCGTAGGACACCCCAATGTTGGAGAGGAATCACAATTGTCAAAGTTGGCGGTGATATGTCCACGTCCCGAATCAAAGGTGCCGTGGCCCCAGATGAGATCCTAGCCCCGTCCGGCTGGGACTTTCTATCCATCGATCCCCGAGAAGGGTTCTCTGTGCGCAACTTTCAGATCCAGACAGCAAAACTGGCCACTTTGTCCGACATCGTCGTCTACGGACAGGATGGTGTCAGCCGGAAACAGCTTTTAGAAGTCGCGGAGAGGATCGCAACTGCGCAGTATCGTTGGCGAAACAAGAATGATCCGGACCGACTGCTTCCTGGCTTCCATACGTTTATACTTTCGAGTGAGTAAAGCCTGGTTGTCCGAAGATGGAGAATGGTCGCTAATTGAATGGCAGATGAATTTTTCGAGATCGAACGCCGTTGTCCCCGCCTGGTAGCCATCAACTCTCAAGGACAGCTTACTGGTCAAGTTGTTGATTTCTGTAAGTATCCTCTCAGATTCTCCAGTCAAGACATTAAATTAACCCAGCAACAGTTCAATGGGAGCGACTCGAAATGTGCGAGATGGCGAAAGCTTCTGAAATCTCCAAGAGCGTCTGGCAAGGGCCAACCCCTGATTATATATTGAGGACCACACCGGGCGACTCAACCGGAGTTGAAGACTTCGATATTCTGATTGAGACCAACGACCTTGCTGCCGTCCCTGGCCCTCGATATCTGGCCAAACTCAATAAGCAACTGGATGCTGGGCCTTTGCGACTGGAATTTCCGTCCTCCGGATCTCTTGTTGTTCCTTCTGCTGAAACCAGAGAGATAGACGATTTTGTCAACACTATTCGATGGATATACTACGTCGCCAATCCAGAAGAGCCAGAATCTCCCACGGACAAGGATGGAGACGTTGCCATGATTCCTCTCCGACGGAAAAGCCGCAAGATCCTTATACATTGTCCAGACGGTTATACTGAGACCTCTCTGTTGGTGATTGCTTATCTGATGTTCGCAGAGGGGTTACCAGCTCACGAAGCATGGTTGAGATTGCACTGTGATAAGAAACGCAATTTCTTTGCCTATCCCTCCGACGTCACCTTCCTGGGCACCCTTCAAACAAAGCTTTTCCAGGACAGCCCTGCGACACATACGAACAACATCTCCAGCCTTCCAGATCCGCCTTGGTTTCGATATTGCGACGGATCCCTTCCAAGTCGCATTCTCCCGTACATGTATCTTGGTAATCTGGGTCATGCAAATAACCCAGAGATGCTCTGGGCACTTGGTATCAGACGTATTCTAAGCATTGGCGAATCGGTCTCGTGGCGTGATTCTGATGTTGCTCAGATGGGAGCAGAGAATCTAATGCACATCACTCAAGTTCAAGACAATGGCATCGACCCATTGACTCAGGAATTTGACCGGTGTTTGGAGTTTATCCGTAAGTTACATCCTTTCGAATATCTGCTGGGGCTCAACTAATGATTGAATACTTGTAGGAAAAGGGAAGCAGGATGGAGCCGCTACTTTGGTCCACTGCCGTGTTGGAGTTTCTCGGTCAGCGACCATTTGCATTGCTGAAGTTATGGCATCTCTTAACCTGTCGTTTCCAAGAGCATAGTGAGTCCGAGCCCTTCTTCGCCAAGTAATCGCTCAACGGCTAACTTCAATCCTCTAGTTGCTACGTTCGGGCGAGAAGACTCAATGTTATTATACAACCGCATCTGCGTTTTGTGTAAGTACACTTCAGTCCTCTCGAGGGTATTCTCCGAGGATATCTACCCCTGTCCATGGCTGGTCGTTTCTTTGGCTAACAGCACTTTAGGTATGAGCTTCTCAAGTGGGAGGAGCAGCAACTGCAAAGGCGCAACAAGCCCATCAAGAGAGAGCTGGAATGGACCTCGGTGGCTCGAGAAATCGCACTCATGAACAAACCGTATCTGAGATAACTCAGTCAACAAACACCTCATGTCGACTTGCAAATTGCAAAATCTTGTCTATACTCGCAAGACATGACATTTGATGCGGGGTCATGCCTCACGACGATGGCGAAGGTTTACGCTTTTTTTGACGATCTAAAGGATTACACGAGATGAATGGGAATATGAATGGATGAATGACGGATTTCTTTGAGTTTTCTGGCGTTGTTGGGATTTAAAACGATGATGCTTTGGACTCACATACCTGAGTCATGCTACATCAGTGACGTCCTGCTTTTCTTTCTTGCTTTCTTTCTCTCCCCAGGCCTACGCATTTTTGCATTTGTCTTGCGTAGGACTTGTGCTTGGTTTTGACAAGTGTTGTTTTTTAGTTGTCACCTACCTCTCCTATTGTATTCTTTAATCTGTGTTTTCTATCCACGCACTCGAATGGTTTCGATTTCTGACTGATATATCTCTATCATATCAACTTGCGGTATTAAACTTTCCAGTGGCATCCCCCCCAAAAAAGACTGTAATATCAGCACCGTTCGAATACACGGTATAGACCTTTTAGATCCGCCACTTCGATCACGCCACGGAGAAGTCGCGTGGTCGCAACTAGACGAGCCCGAGCCGCCGGAAAGACAACGTGCTCCAGCATCCGAGCCATCTGCACCCGACGGAGTCTCACAAAGTCACCCTCATCATTCTGGCCCGCTTGCGGCTCGGCAGTGCTGTCAGCCTCTGCAGCAATAATAGAAGTCTCCGGCGGAGGGGGAGGTAGCTGTTCAGGCGTGTAGAAAGCCGCAAGTTCTCTGAGGAAGGTGCGGAAGCACTCGTCCTCGCTCGTCCAGTCCACGTACGGACCCAGCCTTAGCAGGAAGCGCGGCAGCTTCCCCAGACATGGCAGGTAGCCTTTGAGGAGAAGCGGGATCGTGAGCAGCTCGCCCTCTGGGGAGATCTGAAGCGAAAAATACTCGTTCAGCATCTCGCGTCTGCCGATGAGGGTTTTCGCCACCACGTCTGGCGCGTGGGCGAAGATCTCGGTTTCTTCGCCCGGGCTGGCCTGTGTTGTCTGCTGGCTGGGGGCTGAGGTCGATGCGTGCATCTCTCGTTCTGCCTCTGCTGCGATCCGGAGGAGGTCGATGAGCTTCGGTGCCGGGTCGAGCTTGATGGAGCCGAAGTTGCCGAAGTCCGTGAGGCCGATCTGGTAGAAGAACTCGCTGCAGAGCATTCCGTAGTCGACCAGGTAAAGTTTCACGCCAGACTGGATGGCTGCGATGCGTCGTCGTTCGTCGACTAGGCCCACGTAGGTATGAGATGCAATCATCTCCGTCAGGTTGTTGTGCATGGTTGATCGTACTGCTGCGCGGAGGTTCTTGATTGATGTCAGGGCGATTCGGAGAGGTTCGCGATCTGTGGTTTCGTACTGCAGCCCTTCGTCAAGGATTGTGGATGAAGTGGTTTCCGCCTCTCCACCGGATGGAGATTGAGTCAGGGCAGCGGGCGGTAGCATCGACGTGATCTTGCGGACTCTGGAATCTGTTCGCACGAGAGAATGCTCGTAAGGTTTTTTCGTCGTAGTTGGAGTTCGAGGAACTTGGCTATCGCCATCTATCGACGGGCGAGCCGACGGCTCGATTATTGTGACTCCAGGGAGAAGTGTCTGGGTTAGAAATGTCCGGCTGGAGTCGACCTGCGCGAGCTTTGACCGGATCTCGCTGCAAATAGATTCAATAATATCATCCTCATTCAGGAAGTTTACCTCTCGCTTGGTCGGGTGCACATTAACATCTACGCGGTGCGGCTCAATCTCCAGATCGATGTAGACAAATGGATGTCCACCTTTGGGCAGGAAACTCGAGTAAGTCTGCTCAACAGCTCGCTTGATGGCAGTAGACTCGACGGATCGATGGTTGATGAAAAGGAGAATCACTGTCCGTTTGACATGGTAGTTTGCATTCGTGACGAGGCCTGAGGAGCGAAAGCCGAGCTTCGAATCCTCAACTTGGAACTCTACCAGTTCGTTGGCAACGGCGCTTCCGTGGATCTGGCGGATCCGATCCGTTGTATTCGCTGCTGCAGGAGTCGAGATGCCAGCACCAGATTCGCCGTGTTTGCGACACGAGAATGCGACTCCTGAGCAATGGACGGCGTAACGTCCGACAACATCAAGGATTTTCGCATACTCCTCGCTGGCAGACCGGAAAGCTCGTCGCCTTGTGGGGACATTATAGAATAGATCTTCAACCTGCCCGAGTTATTGAATGTCTCAAACTCGTCAGGAGTTACTTGCTTGACCTACTGTTATTTGCGTGCCGCCTCGTCCAGCTGTGGCTTTGGGTTCAGCGCTCTGCCCCGGCTTTGGGGGGACAAGCTTTCCATCACTGTAGTGTGCTCTCCAGGCACAACTGGACCCAGCAGTCTTGGTAGTCACTGTTAGATGGGCAATGTGACTGATGCTAGCCAGCGCCTCTCCTCGAAAACCGTATGTACCGATTGAAGAGAGGTCTTCGAATTGCTTTAGCTTGGATGTGGTGAACCTTTCACAAAGGATTGGCAGATCATCTCGCTAGCCACTCACATCAGCTACTCAGACTGGGCTCACAATCCCATAGGCAACTCACGTCAATACCATGTCCGTTGTCGGTGATCTGGAGTAATTTGAGACCCCCGTCCTTGACCAAGACTTCAATTGACGTCGACCCGGCATCGACAGCATTCTCTATCAACTCCTTGAGGGCATGCATAGGAGCTACAATAATCTCCCCCGCGGCGATCTTGTTCACAACATCGGGATCGAGAGGCTTTCATATTTATATCAGTCAAAATGAACCAGTGCTAGTAGAGTGACAATCTCAACTGACTCTGATCCTCTTGGGTTTTGAAGGCGCCTCTGTTTCTTCCGCTGGTCGCTTGGTACCACGCGACGCAGTGATATCCATTTCCGCTTGAGTATCCATGATCGTAAAGACTGCTCCTTGACACTAAATGTTGTAGATGTTCGCTAGCCTGGAGATGCTAAGGACAGAAACATGACCTTGCGCCTCTTCGAGATCAAGAAATACAGATAAGGAACTTCAGCACTGTCTGGAATGTTTGATCATTGACCCCATAGAGCCATCAAGCTTCAAGAATAAACATCAATCCTTGATGCAGAAAGAGACGCATATGTCCACGGTATGAGTCTGGACAGTGGATCGCGGAGATGGCGCTCTGGTGGAGAATCGGTCAATTAATCCAGTCCGCCTTATCTCCAATTCCCGCAAACAGCAACTCATGGATAGCTATCCTGTCAGCGATTTATTCTTGACCTTTTTCCAACTCTTTCTTATTGCAATAAATGGTTACTTCAAACCACAAAGCTCCCTTGGAGCTTTCTTGCAAATGTCCAAAACATGTCGCCATTCAAGAGACCCTTTACGGCTGACGAAGAGCTTGGGAAGAAAGATGACGACCACCGACCCCAGGCTATTAGAGAGCCGCTCTGGAGGTCAAAGCAATGGAGAGCGCCCCGGCCGCGTCGATTCATAGTAGTGGTCATCGCTGTATACCTACTATACCTATTCTTCAAGAATATGCCCACCGATATACCTCCCGCGGTGGAACGATTCAACCCAGGCTTCGCGCAAGGACGACGACAAAGTGGAAGACCATGGCCTCCTTCCATCACTCCGCCGGCGACATCTGCACAAAAACCTCCTCCACGAGACGCATCTACCAAACAGGATAGAACGGATTTTTATTACGAGGGAGACATCAAATTTAATGCCTTGCCGAAGTCTTTGCAGCGTTTCTGGAAGCCACCGGCTCGATATGGCAACACCGCTAGCCATGCTGTTGTATTTGCTGCCTCTAGCTTACGAAGCGTTTCCGATCTTCTACCTCTTGCTTGCCGAATGGCGGAACAGAGAGTGAATGAGGTCCATTTTGTCCTCATGGGAAGAGACGATGTGTCGATAGAGGGGATTCAACGTGTTAATGGCATAGATGAGATTGCTTGCCTGATTAATTGGCATGGTACGTTGCGCTGTTAGATGTATTACAATATTGCTTTGAGTATGCTGATGGAACCCTCTTCTAGATGGTCGGCCTAACTATGCCCCATGGTCTACTGAGGCTCGCATGGAGAAAGCCGTGGCGGCAGCTTTAGGTCACATTCAGCTCTATACTCGTCCACAAGCCTTGATCACTCAAGGAGACTCATGGGAAGACCATTTTTTTATGAGTGCTGTTCAAATGAAGGCTCAAGAAATCAGCTTAACCCATATCTCTCTACCAAGTCCTGCAAGAGATGTTATGTGGATGTCTATGCTGGATAGCGATGCTCTCAAAGGTAATCATCCTAATTGCCTCTCCTCAATCCGACTTTTTATGACTGACATTCTCGTCTGTGAAGCGTGGAACGATGTTCACATCGAGCTCCTTATCCAAGCATCACCCGAGTCTTCTGGTTCTTTGATCAGATTAATTCGATCATTGGCGGCGGCTGATTATCTTGGGTCGATCCCCAGCTTGACCATTGAACTCCCTCCTCGGGTAGATCCACAACTTCTGCACTTCCTACAAAAAATGAGATGGCCCCCTCAAACCTCGAGCAAAGTCACTCTTCGTCATCGTATCCGACCACATCATTTGGACGCAGCGGAGGCTTCTTTGCGAACTGCAGAGGCTTTCTATCCAAGAGATCCGAACATGACGCATGTACTTTTGCTGAACCAGCAAGTTGAGCTGGCCCCTTCGTTCTATCATTACCTGAAGTATACTATGCTTAAATATAAGCATTCGAATCAAGTGCAGCACGCCCCTTCTAAACTTCTGGGGATTTCGCTTGAGCTTCCCTCTTCGCAGGTAACAAACGACGAGCCTTTCAAGCTTCCCGAATTCGACATGAGTAGCCATATGTCACAGCTAGGTGACGGTGGAGTACTTCCTATCTTTCTCTGGCAGGCTCCAAACAGCAATGCGGCCTTGTACTTTGGCGACGGGTGGGCTGAATTCCATTCTTTTCTCAGCAATCGGTTCACTATTCATGATCCTACCTCCAAGGATCCCCCAGACGAGCAGGTCATTTCCAAGAAATACCCGGCAGTAATGGAGTATCTCCTTGAGATGATTCGAGCCCGCGGTTACTATCTATTGTACCCAGCGTTTCCTGCCCAAGGCTCATTTCCTCTTGCAACAGTGCATAGTGAATCATACCAACCCCCGGAGGAGTTTGCTGATGATATTCTACCAAACACGCCGGAAACGTCTGCAGATTCAGAGGTGGGTAGGAGAACTGAAAAGCCCTTGCATCAGATATCGACATTGATGCCGCTTCTCGATCGCTTCTCCATTAACTTGCCGGACCTCAGCAGTTTGCCATTATTGTCATACCGCGGAGAATCAATCTCAGATGCAATTTATGCAAAGGACATCGAAGAATATACGAAGAGATTCAGGACTCGTTATGGGGGATGCCAAGATGGTAACTGGAAAGCAGACTCAAGCCCAGGTCTATTTTGTTCAAGTGACCTGGTGGATGTCGCATAGGGCGCATGCATTACTCTGCTTCATCCAGCGTATGCGCCGGCTATTTTTGATATAATGTTCTTGCGACCGCATAGTCCATGTACTTTAGTTATTATACCTTGTATTCTTATTGATTCCAGCCGATTCTCATGATTTGACATCATATTTCCATGTAGGTGTACAGAGAGTTGATGTGTATTGTTCTCTAAGTGCGTACGAACTATTGTATTGTTGAATCTTGATAACCCACTCCCTTCGATCCCAGAAAGACCATGCCATTGCCACATTGAATCTTAGGATATTGTCTATGCTGTGATCCTGTCCGTGAAAGCTGTGGAAGCTGATAGTATCATAACTCTTGGCGGTGATTGCGCCTTACATAAGCGGCCGGGAGCTCCACTGAAGCGCAACGCCCAAGCGGCGATGAGCGAAGCTCTCTTGTGTCCCATCAACAAGCTCCGGACTTACTCTCTGCTCCATCTCTCTTCTTCTGCAAGGGTTACTAATTACGTTGTTTGCTGTCATCTATAGATTTACGGCTGGCTTCAGCGTTTATTCTTCTAATCATCTCCTCTTTCTTCCTCCATCCCATCTAGACCTACTCGCCAGATAGCCGTCAGAAATGGCGAACGAGGGCGAGCGGTCAGCTTCCGCCGACAAGGGCAAGGGCAAGGTAGATGATGTCAAGGATCTGCCTGGAGCGAAGAAGGCACAGAATGAAGATGCTGTACAAACGAACGGAAAGAAGAAGGAGGAAGAATCGCAGGAAGGTAGGTCATCATCCGCCCACGGCGCTCGGGAATCAGCATTATCCCGTGGCGCACCTCTCGACTTCGGCAGGAGTGCTGACGTTTCTGGTTCTTGTTAGAGGAGCTTAATGAAGAAGATCAGCAGTTGAAGAGTGAGCTTGAAATGCTCGTGGAAAGATTAAAGGTATGTTTAACAAAGCCGAAGCCTTGCAGGTGGACGATGTTGTTAACCTATCCATCTCTCATTTTCAATAGGAACCGGATACATCGCTGTATGGTCCTGCCTTAGATGCGATCAAGAACTTCATCAAGACCTCAACCTCCTCCATGACGGCTGTTCCCAAGCCTCTCAAATTCCTCAGACCGCACTACGATGAACTGACCGAGCTCTATGACAAGTGGCCGGCAGGCACCGTCAAGGTTCGTTCATTCTTAATCTCCAGGACTCATCGAACTTGTGCTCACATGATATATCATACTGTAGGACTCCTTGGCCGATATGCTTTCGGTCCTCGGGATGACGTACGGTGATGAGGAGAAGCTCGAGACGCTGAAGTACCGCCTCCTCGCTAAGTCAGAAGATCTGGGCTCTTGGGGGCATGAATATGTTAGGCACTTGGCGCTGGAGATTGGTCAGGAGTACCAAAACAGATTGAATGCCGAAAAAGATGTGCAGGATTTGATCGATCTCGCGCTGTCCCTCGTCCCATACTTCTTGAGTCATAATGCCGAAGCCGATGCTGTTGACCTTTTGAGCGAGCTGGAAATCATTGAAGAGATCCCTCGCTTTGTGGATGAGAACACCTACTCCAGAGTTTGTCTATATATGGTTAGCATGGTCAATCTTCTCACCTACCCTGAAGACCAGCAGTTCCTCCGAACGGCACACGAAATCTACGTCCGGTACAAAGAGCTCACGAAAGCAATTGTGCTTGCGATTCGACTGAATGATACCGAACTCATCAAGAGCGACATCAACGCCACCTCGGACCCTGCCCTTAAGAACCAGATGGCCTTCCTGGTCGCCCGACAGCAGATATGGCTCGATTTTCCGGAAGAGGAGGATAACGCGTCATTTATGGACTGCTTGAACAACATATCTCTCTCGAAGCATTTCAAGTCGCTGGGGAAGGAGCTTGATATTCTGGAACCTAAGAATCCCGAAGACATCTACAAGACCCATCTCGAAAGCAGCCGCGGAGCTGGTTTGACCAATGTCGATTCGGCCAGGCATAACCTGGCAAGTGCCTTTGTGAATGCATTTGTCAATGCTGGATCTGGTAAAGACAACCTGATGCTGGGAGAGGATGACAAGGGTAGTTGGATCTGGAAGACGAAAGATGACGGCATGCTATCCACCACGGCTTCACTCGGTATGCTCCTCAACAAAGATACGGACGATGGGTTGGACAGAATCGACAAGTTCACATATGCTAGCGAAGAGCAGATTAAGGCGGGTGTGTTGTTGGGCACAGGTATGATTGGCTCCGGTGTACGATTAGAAGGAGACCCGATTCTGGCCCTCTTGGGTGATGCGGAAGTCTGGCAGGAGAAGAGCGTACCAGTCAAGGTCGCTGCCATCATGGGTCTTGGTCTCGCCTATGCTGGATCGAACAAGGAGGATCTCCTCGAAATTCTTCTTCCCATTGTCGAGGATGTTTCCTTGGATATGCAGCTGTCGGCAATGGCAGCTGTCTCCCTTGGTCTCATTTTCGTTGGGTCCTCAAACCACCAAGTCAGCGAAGCCATTGCTACCACTCTCATGGACGAGGAGCGGCAGAAGCAACTCAAGGACAAGTGGACACGCTTCATGGCCCTTGGCTTGGCTCTTCTGTACTTTGGCCGCCAAGAGGAGGTTGACGTCATTCTTGACATCCTCAAGGCTGTTGATCATCCCATGGCTAAGCCTACTTCTGTTCTTGCCTCTGTTTGCGCCTGGGCGGGCACCGGTACTGTGCTGAAGCTGCAGGAGCTACTCCACATCTGCAACGATCTTATCGACGAGGAAGACGATGAGAAGAAGGGAGACGAGCTCGTTCAGTCCTATGCAGTCTTGGGCTTGTCGCTCATCGCGATGGGTGAGGAAGTTGGGCAGGATATGATTCTCAGACAGTTCGGCCATTTGATGCATTATGGCGCCAGCAATATCCGAAAGGCAGTACCACTTGCCATGGGTCTGATCAGCCCCAGCAATCCCCAGATGAAAGTCTACGATACTTTGTCCCGATACAGCCACGACAATGACAACGACGTCGCCATCAACGCGATCTTCGCCATGGGTCTTTGCGGAGCTGGTACCAACAATGCCCGCCTGGCACAATTGTTGAGACAGTTGGCGAGCTACTATCACCGTGATCAGAACTCGTTATTCATGGTTCGCATCGCTCAGGGTCTGCTGCACATGGGTAAGGGAACGATGACATTGAACCCTTTCCACACCGATCGCCAGGTTCTTTCCCGTGTAGCAGCTGCCGGTCTGCTCACTGTCGTTGTATCTTTGATCGACGCCAAACAGTTCATTCTTGCTGAACATCATTACCTTCTGTACTTCCTCATCACCGCCATGTACCCACGATTCCTCGTCACCCTTGACGAGAACCTTCAGCCACTTACCGTGAACGTCCGTGTAGGACAGGCCGTTGATGTGGTTGGCCAGGCTGGTCGCCCTAAGACGATCACCGGCTGGCAAACACAGAGCACCCCTGTCCTCCTGTCCTATGGTGAGAGGGCAGAGCTGGAGGATGAGCAATATATTCCTCTCAGCAGCACCCTCGAGGGTCTTGTCATCTTGCGAAAGGTAAGCAGCAAATTCTTCAATTCTTCTACCCTGTCTTCATCCCTTCCGATAACTAACCCTGTGTCCTAGAACCCCGATTGGGAAGAGAATTCCGCCTAATTGGAATGTTGATTTGGGAATCTGTTCCTACAGGTTGCGCCTAGTGCAGGGGCAACCATATAGCGCTCAGATGTGGTTGGATCTAATGTAAACAGAACGATTCGAGAAATATCATGCCATGATCTACTTTATTCTCTATAAGATAGAGCAACCGCTCTCTGTAGTTCTTCCATGAGCAAAAGCGCATAGATCTATGTAAATTTCAACGAAGCTGAACATACTGATACTTGTACAACCTTAATCGCGGGTATGCAATCATAGAGATTCAAGGAAAGGGAAACTTGATCCCTCAAAAATTCGCAGCAGTGGTTAGAAGCAGCCAGTTGCTCCCATTCACAATGAACGAGAGCTTATCAATGAGATTCCGAAAAGGGAAACTAGGGCATAGGGCAAGGGATGTAACTTTTTTCCGCCATGGCATCCGCCGCAACAGAGACCAGCACGCTGTATAGACAGTTCTTTCCTGTACTCTCGCCAGCTACATTCGACGTTTTCTATAGACAGAATGAAGCTCGATCCCAAGGCGATCCGATACCTCACTGCTGAGGATTTCCGCGTCCTCACCGCGGTATGCCCCTCCTTCTGCCCCGCCTTTCGTCGCTCTTCGATCACGGCCCGTTGTCTGACTGCTAACAAGCCCTTGGTGTAGGTGGAGACAGGGAGTCGAAACCATGAAGTGGTACCGACGCCGTTGATTGTGCAGCTTTCGGGTCTTCGTGGCGGCAGTGGAGTTCACCGGGCTATCTCCAATCTGGCCAAGACGAATCTTATCGCCAAGGTGAAGAATGCGAAATGTACGGCCCTCTCGCGCTCTATTTTTGATAAACCGTCTCTACCGGGAATGGTCTCAGGGAATGATTCATTCTGACTTGTTCTGAATCTAGACGATGGCTATCGGCTCACCTACGGAGGTCTCGACTACTTGGCGCTGAACGCTCACCAGAAGCAGAAATGCATCTACTCCGTCGGCAACCAGATCGGTGTTGGCAAAGAATCGGATATCGTCGTGGTGGCAGACAACAAAAAAACGCAATGCATCTTGAAGATCCACCGTCTGGGCCGCATTTCCTTCCGCTCAGTCAAGAACAACAGAGACTACCTGCGTCATCGAAGCTCGGCTTCGTGGATGTACATGTCGCGATTGGCTGCGATGAAAGAGTTCGCGTTCATGAAGGCGCTTCGCGAAAACGGCTTCCCCGTACCAGAGCCGATTGCGCAGAACAGACACACAATTGTTATGAGCTTGATCGATGCATTCCCACTTCGTCAGATCTCGAAAGTCGCCAAACCGGCATTGCTGTATTCGGAATTGATGGGCTATATCATGGAACTTGCTCGCTTCGGCCTTATCCATGGAGACTTCAACGAGTTCAACATTCTGATTAAAGAGGAGGAGGATCCGAACGCGAAGGGAAAAGCTCCTGCCGACGCAGAGGATGATGGTGAGAATATCCGGCTGGTTCCGGTCATTATCGATTTCCCACAGATGGTATCAGTTGACCATCCGAATGCTGAGATGTATTTCGACCGCGATGTAAATTGCATCAAGCGCTACTTCCAGCGGAAATTTCATTTCGTCAGCGATGAACCAGGCCCGTTCTTCGCAGACGCCAAGAAGCAGCTCCTGAAGAATCCTGGGAAACGACTAGACGTTGAGGTTGAAGCCTCCGGTTTCTCCAGAAAAATGGCTCGTGAACTGGAAGCCTACATGAAGGAGGTTGGAGCCAACGGTGACGGAGGAGAGCCGAAAGAAGATGACGAGGAGAGTGATGACGAGGAAGAGCAATCAGGATCCGACTCGCAGGAAGAAGAGGAACAAGCCGAAGAATATGTAGTAAGGGGTATCGGATCAGAGAAATTGGGCAATACGCCGATTGACGATATCAGTGAGAGTTCCCGGAAATTGGGAGAACTGCACGTGTCGGAGGCTTCTGAAAGCCGGTAATTATGTGCATGGGGCAAAAATCTACCAAGCAAGCATGTAATGAAGACAATGAACAATAATGATACACTTGAATGGTAAATTATCTGTCCATTATAGTCAAGGCGTAGCGAGCAGTGGCATTCGCCCACGCTGTATACTTCTCTCTTATCTACGGAAGGCGGTGCGGCCATGCGTGCAATTTTTCGGACGCTCCAAAAGTTCCGCCGAGTTTAGAGGACCCGGCATTGTCAAGCACGAATCCCACGTACAAACCTCCCACTTCTACGCACACACCTCGGATTCAATCCACTCTTTGGAATCTGTAGCCAAGATGGTGCGCCAATTCTCCAAATTCCCCAAGAAGCCCGCGGACTGGGTGCCTCCCTCGGCGCCGCTGTCGATGCGGAAGCAGGTATTTCTGTAAGTTCCACCACTAATAGGCTCTGGGCACTGAGAATTGCCCTGGATGTTCTGCTACTTGTTCTTGTTCTGAAACGTGGACTGATGAGATGACTCTGAACTAGGCCTGAATTTACAGTCGCCCTCATCCGCACTCCTTTTCTCCCTCCACGATATGCCTCGTTCTACGTGCCCTTGAACTTCAACAAGCTGGATATGCGCGACTACCTGCAGCGCTTATACGGCGTCGGTGTTCTTCGCATCCGCAGTTACGTTGAGCAGCAGAAAGTTACCCGTCTCCGACCCCTGGGCAAATTCGGATACGGACAGCTGCGGAGGCCGATGTCGAAGAAGAAGATGACGGTAGAGATGAAGGAGCCGTTTGTGTGGCCCGAGGCGCCGACGGATATGTCTCCGTATGTTTTTTTCCCCTCTCAACCTTGCTTCTCTGAACATGCACTCAGGGACCCGATTCAACTAACACATGGTGTAACAGGTGGGAGAAGGACCAGTACTTCAAGGCCGCCAAGTACCAGAACGAGATTCAGCAATCGCAACGACCGGACGCGGCTATGGAGCCAAACAAGACCGAACGCGAGGAATATGAGAAGGAGGCGAAGCAGCTGCTGGATGGCACGAAGGCCTGGCGGCCAACGTGGCAGGCCCTGGGTCTCAACTATGACCGGTCGATATTCAATGCAGGCAAGGGTTCGGCTTCGACACGCTCATAGAATACCTTGTTTTGTTGTTTGTATTTGTTCGCTCAAGGGGGATAAGGAAAGCGGGATTTCATTTGGTTCCCTGTGTTTGTTGGCTCCCTTTTTTCTGTTCTGACCGGGATCTGTTTTAACATGATCACTTAACTTTGTACCATATGGCGAAACTTTATCTGATTGTAAATTTGATATGGCAACTACGGTCATACTGAGTATGGGAGAGCAGGCGATCCTGGAAATTGACATTTGCTCGAGTATACATAGCGCTATGCTAGAAGATTGGGGTTGTGTGCGCTAATCAAACAAGTATGAATGGCGGAAGACAAGTGCTGAAGTCGACACGACAAAATTATAGTAACGAGGCAGTGCAAGCAATGATAAACGCAGATATACCAACAACATCAGGAGTAGATGTCCGCTACAGCCGGCTTTCAACAAAATTCATATGATGCTGTCCAGGCCAATGGGCGTCAGGCCAGACCTGGCGGATGGCTTCCCAGATATGTCTATCGAAATTCGATTAGTGACCCAAGGTCGTATCGCAGCTTTGATGACTCGTTTCTTACCTGACATGGATGATTTGCAGCCCATCTTTGACTTCCTGCGGTACATCCTTGACGTCTTTCCGGTTCTGCTCGGGCAGAAGCACGGACTTAACGCCGGCACGCAATGCCCCAATCAACTTCTCCTTGATACCGCCAACAGGCATCACTCTTCCACGCAGAGAGACCTCGCCAGTCATTGCAATCTGAGGGGGCACAGCTTTACCCGTGAAAAGCGAGATCAGCCCGATTGTGTGCGCAAGACCAGCAGAGGGGCCATCCTTGGGGATAGCCCCTGCTGGGCAGTGAACGTGCAGGCTCCTGTTCTTCATTATGTCTTCATTAGGATCGTGGGTGAGTCCAAGCTCGAATGAATGGGCTTTGACCCAAGTCAGAGCTACCTCCACGCTCTCTTTCAGGACATCACCGAGCGTTCCCGTAAGTTGAACGCGGCCATTTCCAGGCATGTCTGCAACCTCGATGAACAGGATGCTGCCCTGTCCTCCAGTCGAGTACGCAACGAGGCCAGTCACGACGCCTGGCCGACCGTGCTTCTCTGCAATCTCCTCATCAAATCGTTCGATACCAAGGATTTCTTCCAAATCGTCAAGAGAAACGACAGGGTTGTAGGCATCCAACTTGGCCGTGTCCACTGCATCTGCATATTGCACAGCCTTATGGCGACAAACCGAGCCGATCTCGCGCTCAAGGTTTCGCACCCCAGATTCCCTAGTGTAAGATGTTATGACCTTATCAATGACCTCGTCTGAAAGCGCAACCTGGCCCTCAGACAAACCGTTGGCTCTGATCTGCTTAGGGATAAGATGTCTCTTAGAGATATGCCTCTTCTCCACCGTCGTATAGCCGGACAGCGAAATTGTCTCCATGCGGTCGAGCAACGGTGCGGGGATAGTATCCAGGGAATTAGCAGTGGCAATGAACAAAACTTTGCTCAAGTCAATGGGGATGTTAATGTAATGATCGAGGAAAGTGTGATTCTGCTCGGGATCCAGGACTTCCAACATCGCTGCGGAAGGATCACCTTGGAAATTGGCGCCGCCGACTTTGTCGATTTCGTCGAGGAGGAACACAGGGTTGGCAACGCCAACCTTCTTCAGTCCATTGACTATCAGGCCCGGCATCGCAGCGACATAGGTTCTCCGGTGACCTCGAATCTCAGCCTCATCACGAACGCCACCGAGCGAGATTCTGTGGAATTTGCGGCCTAAAGACGCTGCAACAGACCGCGCCAAGCTAGTCTTACCGGTGCCCGGAGGGCCTGCAAGCAAGAGAATCGGGGATTTATCGGCTACTCGTCTGGATTGGAGCGCATGCAGCTTCGCTTCAATGGACAATCGATCGGACTCTGATATGGCGGGGATATCCTTCTCGACGTCTGTTTCATTAGCAGCATCGAGCTCCTTTGTCAGAGCAGCAATTTGCTTCTCAACTTCTTGATTAGTTGACTGCTTGAGTCTCAGAACAGCCAGATACTCAAGGAGTCTCTTCTTGATAGTCTCAAGGCCATAATGATCGTCATCTAATTGCTTTCTTGCTCCTTTGAGAGTCTCGGGTCCAAGCCTGTCCTCGGTGACCTTAGTCCACGGAATATCGGCGATGTTCTCAAGATAAGTCCGACAGACACCATATTCTGCGTTTGCCGGATTCATCTTGCGAAGACGTCTCAGCTCCTTGTCAGCAACCTTTCGAGCTTCAGGGCTAAGCTCGGCCTCCTGAAGTCTCCGTTGCAGCTCATCGACTTCATTGGTCTCCTTTTCGTCTTCATTGCCACGCCCACTTGCAGCTCCTGGAGGAGTCAGACCCGTCAAACCCGCCATGGCCCGTCTTGCAAGAAGTTCGCGGTCGCGAGGATCAATCTGGCTGATGTCAAAAGTAGAGTCCTGGGGAAAAGAAGTGCCGGAGATCGTAGTCACTCTGACACTATTCTTGATTCCCTGGACCTGTCTACCGAGAAGCTCAACCACTCTTTCAATTCTAGTTCTCAAATCAAAAGAAGACAGAACTCGAAGTTTCTCCTCGAAGGTAGATTCAGCGACATCCGCCATGAAATCTGCCAAGTTGCCTGCCTGCCACAAATCCGTCTTAGCGATGAATATCTCAAATTTACGGGCAACGATTGGCGATAGACGCGATCCAGTCGACGGTAATAAAGATGAAATCCGTAGAAGCGTGATCAGTTCGCGCGAGAGTTGTCGAAATTGTTGGAACAATTCAGCAGTTTCTGTGTCATTGGTAACAGTATCTATCCAGTCTCATGTTAGTTGTAGGCTTCAGTTCGGACGGTCGAACCCGGAATACTAACCCCGTTCATTGTGAAGAAGCACCTCTGCTTCGAAAAAGGGTCTCTCTTTCAACACCCGTTTGATGGTGAACCGCTGAACTCCTTGAACTACAAGAAATGGCTCTGCATAAGCACGTCGCTGTACGCCTATCACCTTGCCGAGGGTGCCGTAGCGGAAAAGATCCTCCTTTCTTGCCTGGCCTGCATCTATCATATCATAATCCTCCTTCTTTTGACGGTCCAAGTTTCCATCATCCACAAGGTGTTGGCCATCTGTGCTTAGTAGCGGTGAGCTTAAGGGTACGCATCCGAATGTGATGGAGCTCCCATCCCGTTTGCCCAGATTCGTCCGGTCCAGCAGCGTGGAAAGCAGGTTGGCAAGATCAGGACGATTCGACACCGGGATTCGAAATGTGATGCCGGGAAGCAACACAGAGCCTTTGGGGAGAGGAACCAGGGGAAGCTTCATTGTTCTTCCATTGTTGGAGCCCATTTCCGCTTCCCAGATCCGAGAAATGCTTTTGGTGTCAGTAAAGAGACAGAAGCGCTTCTGTATGATAACCGTAATATTTAGTTGGCTTCGAAGTCCACAGAGTTAAAAGGTTGGAGACTCAGCAGTCTTGAAGGTCAGTTTTAAGGCTGTGGAAAGGTTCCAGAACCCCGTGGATAAAGTCCGTGACTCTGGGGAGGCGATTCCAAGATGATTAGGTATTATGATTATGATAAGCGCCTTTCCGAAGCCGAGGTTCGTGCTGTCTACGGAGAACGTCAGTCAGGTCTGGGGTAACTTGGGCAGATACCGAATTAAGCCTCATGCCACTCAAAACCCCAAGACAGCTGTGCAATTCTGCCAAACGGAGCAAGAAACCAAAGCCCTTTACTCCGGACTTCTAAAATCCTTCCAGGTACACGTTCAAATTGAGAGAGAATCGTGTTATTCCATGTGTTAAGTAGCAATCATCCTATGGATCACGGGGCTGTATCGGTAATTTGGGGTATCCTATACCTAAGGTATTGAAGTTTGTGACAGTACACTGTAAATTACATTGAGAACCGGTATTGTTCAATACGGCTAGTATTAACCGCCTTCGATCGGAACGGCGTCAGGTTTCCCGATGCCTCTTATGATCTACTGGAGGGGGTACAATATCCTCAATCCTGACATCTTCAGGTTCACAACATCTGATTCTTCTAGGCAGGTGTCATCACGACTATTTGGGATTGACTCGGCCATTCCCTCCGGATAGAGCAGAAATCCTCTAGCATCAGCAGTTTAATCGCCACATCCTGAATCAACCGCCGCAATGACATCTACCCCGCCTACTTCCTCCGACGCCGCGTCGCGAAAAACCTTCACGATAGGAACTCGCAGCTCGAAACTTGCTCTTTCGCAGACTGATTTGATTGCCTCGGCGCTCAAGAAGAGATGGCCCGATTATACATTCGAGATCCATTCGCGGGAGACAGCAGGTGATCGGAACACAACGATAGCTCTCCGGGAATTCACCACCAAGAATCTGTGGACTCAGGAATTGGAAGAACTCCTGATGGCCGGCGACGTTGATCTGATTGTCCACTCGCTGAAGGGTATTTTCTTTTCCCTTCATAATATGATGGCCGCACTTTAGACTAACCGAAGTGGTGCTATCTCTCCAGATGTCCCCACCTTGCTACCTTCCTCGTGCACATTGGGTCCTATGACGGAGAGAGAAGATTCCCGGGATGTTCTCGTAATGAAGAAGGGATTGCCTCGAATGAGCTTGTCTGAGATGCCAGAAGGATCTGTTGTGGGAACATCGTCCATCCGTCGCACCGCCCAACTCGCTCGCCGATACCCTCATCTCAAGATCCAGGACGTGCGCGGAAACATTGGTACGCGGCTCGCCAAACTGGATGCAGAGGACAGCCCCTTCACTTGCATCATCCTGGCTGCCGCGGGTCTGTTGAGACTGGGTCTGGATGATCGCATTACTCAATACCTTGACTCTAAGAACGGTGGAATGCTCTATGCTGTTGGTCAGGGTGCTCTTGGTGTTGAGATTCGGAAGGACGATCAGCTCCTACACGAAATGCTGCAAACCATTGGCCATAAGGAAACAACCTTGGCTTGCTTGGCAGAGCGCAGCCTATTGCGGACGCTGGAAGGTGGCTGCAGTGCCCCTCTTGGAGTGGAAACCGAATGGGTCAAGGATTCTACTGGGGCATCTAAGCTGAGAATGAGGGCAGTTGTTGTCAGCGTCGATGGTCGTGAAAGCGCCGAAATCGAAGTGGATGGATCGATCGATACAAATGAAGAGGCTGAAAACTTCGGCGTGACTGTTGCGAAGTCGCTGGTCGAGAAGGGCGCAGGAAAAATCCTTGAAGAAATTCAGCGCAAAAAACTGACCCCTTGAAGACGATATCTTGTATAAAAATGAAAAAGAGCCCTTGCCAATATGGAGATGCTGGTCCTCTCCCTAGGTCTTTGTGTAAAGATGATGATTCTAGGCGAATACCCCATGTATAAAAGGCTTCATGCGATCTCCCTTCCTACGATATAGATCCTCAGACTTTTTTCAGCAGAAGTCTGGATATATGAAAACCAGCAATTGATATCAACGAGATTTCTTGGCGTATATCGAAGGGTATCAGATCTGTAAATGGACAAAATCGACATTGGCAGACATGAAAGCCTATCTGACCGCAGTTGAAGAATAGGTCATCAGCCCCTGTTCAATGTATTCCCAGAACCTCTTGGGTTCGCTTCCGTAAATTCATCCCAAGCTCTGGCTTTCATCGTCTCTTCATCTGCCTTGTCCATATCATCCTCGTCTACCTCCTCTTTCATGCCAGACTTTTCACCACCTTCGATGATGCCTCCTCTTTTCCTTTCCTCTTCAAGATATTCATCAATCGTCATCGTCGGGAGATTATGCCCAGACCTAAATACACCCTGTTGTAGCTGTGTTCGGCGATCTAGTAGAGTGAAAGGTTGCAATGGCTTTCCTTCCTTGCTGAGTAATGGTCTGAGTCTACCACCCTGAAGCAGCTGAGACAGAGGGGCATCAAGACGCTCCGAGTAGCCCGAATGGGGGTCATCGTTCCGTCTCCTTGGGTCAGAGTGCGGCAGCTGCTCGGGATTCGGGGGGTTTCTGCGGATTGCGGAAAGCATGGAAAGCTCTTGAGAGACTAGATCCATGGATTGGAATGCTTCGTGTGTGAATAGGTTGATTTCCGCTAGGTAGAGCTGCCGTACATCGTCTTCGTCACTCTGTAACCGGCCCTGGTTGTTTGATAGATACTTTGGGGACAATGTAAGCGCAATGCTCCAAGAAAATCCGAAGAGTAATGTTCAGCGAACCTCAAGTTTCTCCTTCAGCTCTTTCTCCTCCTGAAATCGCGCTACCTTCACCTCTCTTCGGCTGGCCGCGTCATTAGTCGGGGCTAGCGAAAAGGACGTCGGGTTCGATATATATCGGTCGTATAGCTTTTTGTCATTGGGCTTAAGTAGTTGATAGTCATCCAAGCGTGCAAGATAGCTCTCATATAGCTCCAAGGCGCGCCGCAGAGTAGCTTCACGATCTGAAGTGTAAGATCTCTGGAGAATATCCGCAAAAAGATAATCCACGGTGAGATAACTGGGGGAGATGGACACATTTCAATACAAGCTCATTTCATTATCGAAGGAGTTTCACTCACGGTAGATCTCCTGTTGATACATCTTCGAGCGCTTCGTTAGAGCTGAACAAGGATGCCAGTGCAACGAGTCGCTGACATTCTTCAAACTTGGCTATCGTTGCATTAACATCATTGCGATAGGAGTCGGAGTTGCTGTCAGGGCGGGGCTCCAACGCAGTCTTCTCTGCCTTTGCAGCAGCGAAAAGAGATCGGAGGCTCTGGGGCTGCTCCATTATGAGCACTATGAGGTAATTGAGGTAATCGGGGGGAGCAAGCTTGGTTGAAGTCCTTCTGGAATGGAAGCTGGCGAAGAAATAATCTCGAAATCATCGACTGGCCCCGCGGCGCGCTAGATCCGCGCCCCGCAATCGGTTGATAGTGGGAGCTCTTATCGGTGCATAAACCAAAGAACATATTCCTACATATCACACATATCAAAGATGTTCTCATTCCTACTAATATTGACTTACTGCAACTGTTTGAGTATTAATAAGGGGCATATTAATCGATCTAAGGATTAATATAGTGATCATTACAATCAAAATGGAACAATATTATGAATATGGTCCCATCTTGCCGGCAATGTCATCTGTTTGCTCTCAGAGTATCAGGTCAACAAACGATCATTATAGAGCTTCACGTATTTCTGAGACATTCACTGGATGTCTTCCCCTTTTCCCTTCACCATACTTCCTTCAGGTCCTGTGGCTTATCCAAGTAGAATCATCTCTTAACCTCTAAATCCAAAGTCCCCGGCTTCTTCACTTCAACAACTCGATCAAACTGTATATTTCTACTCACGGATCATCTTTCCCAAGACAACTTTTGAACTGTCTAATTCTGAAGATGTCATCAGATCTGATTTCGCAGGCTGAGAGCATTAGCAATATCGAAATTTTGAGAGCTCTTTTTATTACTGATACCCACACCACTGTGGGCGATGTAGCTGTCCCCAGCGCTGAACCTGGTGTTGAGCACGACCAGATCTCCCCAGGTGAATCTGACGAAGAGATCGAAGAGAATATCAGTGATCAAAACAACAGCTCGAGTCAGAAAAGGCTTCAGAATGCTCAATTTGAAGCACTGTTAGTACTTTTTGGCAACAATCCTGCATCGTTCACAGCTAACCAACACCCAGACTTACTCGGCGGGCTGAAGATACTTCAAACGAGAACATCGATAGGGTGCCATTGAACTTGTCCGACAACGAACTATCTATAGCGCATCTGGTGGCGAAACAGGATGTGGGGGGTGGGCTGTTGGACCCTAGAGAATACCAGATTGAGCTATTCGAAAGAGCAAAAGCACAGAATACAATTGCCGTTTTGGATACAGGTATTTCCCTAATGCGCCGAGTCTGAGCTAGAATCCCTTTTCCGAGCAAGAGAGTCGCAGCGGTGACCATTCAATAGGATCAGGAAAGACTTTGATCGCCGTCCTCCTGCTGAGACATGTCCTTCAGAACGAGCTGAACGATCGGGCTAATGGAAAACCACATCGCGTATCTTTCTTTTTGGTATGGAGACTGAAACTTGGCTGGACCGGGACTGCTACTAATGTCTGTGAAGGTTGACAGTGTCACGCTTGCCTACCAGCAGGCGGCCGTACTACGCAACAATATTGACCAGAATGTGGCACATTTCTTCGGCGCCATGGGTACTGATCTGTGGGACAGACAAGTCTGGGAGGAACATTTGCAGCAGAATATGGTCATTGTGTGCACTGCAGAGATCCTGAACCAATGCTTGCTCAATTCACATGTGAGGATGAATCAGATAAATCTGCTAATCTTCGATGAGGCCCATCACACGAAGAAGGACCATCCATATGCAAGGTTTGTGATGTCAAGAAAGATTCTGAAAAGGAACTCTGACGGGCCCTTAGAATTATCAGAGATTCTTATTTCAAAGCATCGCCTCCTCAACGTCCACGGATCTTTGGAATGACAGCATCGCCAATCGATACAAAAGGCGATATCATTGCGGCCGCAACGTAAGATATGCCTTTGCTTTATTTGAGGGACATTTGAGGGCCTATGCTAATCTCCTTCAGGAGACTCGAGACTTTGTTGGATAGCCGAATCGCCACAACATCAAAAATCACCCTCTTGCGGCAGGTTGTCAGTCGTCCAATAGAAAAAGTGTGGGCTTATGACAGGCTTGAATCTCCTTTCAAAACAAATCTCCATAAGCTCATGGAGAACCGCTTCGGAAATGTCAAGGCCTTGGAAGGCGTCTTCAGATTTGCCTGGTACGCTAGCTCAGAGTTAGGGAGATGGTGCTCTGACAGAGCATGGTTATATGCACTGGCAGATGATGTGCTCCCGAAGCTTGAGGGCCATGTCAACAAACTCGCCGAATCCACGGCTGCAGCCACAGAGCGAGATATGGCTTTTAAGGAAATCACGCTCATTAAGGAAGCTAGCAACATCGTCAAGGCTCATACATTCAATGATCCGGAATTTCCAGGCGAACTCAGCCCCAAAGTGAGACTCCTTCAGACGGAGCTCAGCAAGCACTTCAGCCATGCACCAGAAACAAAGTGTATCATCTTCACACAGAAGCGCTACACGGCGAAAACTCTTCACGAGCTCTTCACAATATTGAGCATACCGCATTTACGTCCGGGGGTTCTTATCGGTGTTAGGTCTGGTGATATTGGAGGAATGAACATAACCTTCCGACAGCAGTTCCTTGCCTTGGTCAAATTTAGAAAAGGAGAGATTAATTGCCTGGTGAGAGAGCTTATCGAAATAATTCATCTGCTAGGTGTCTAACGAGTAGTAGTTTGCTACCTCAGTTGCTGAAGAAGGTCTTGATATTCCAGATTGTAATCTGGTAGTTAGGTACGCTATACCAGTGTCGGGGTTCATGCTTGATTGATGATTGATTGAACAGATTTGATTTATACCACACGCTCATTCAATACGTTCAAAGCCGGGGACGTGCTAGGCATTATCACTCCACGGTTAGTTTCTAAACCGGCTAATAGTTCTGAGTGCTGATTGACCTGGGTTATATTCAGTACGCCAGTATGGTTGAGAAAGACAACTCTGATCATGAAGCGCGGCTAAGAGAGGTCCGAGAGGCTGAAGTACGTTCTGATACAGTGTTGATGGCAGTTGTATGGATCTGACGATCTAGAAAACCATGCAAAACTTTTGTGAGACCCTTCCCGAAGATCGAATCCTACATGGAAACGACCATGATTTAGATTCACTTCTTCAACATGAGGAGGGAAGAAGGACTTTCACCGTGAAGAGCACAGGAGCAAGGCTCACGTACCATTCTGCTATTGCAATCCTTGCTCGCTATGCCAGTTCTTTGGTAAGGTCCTCCAACCATGCCTTAATGGCTTCTTATATTGACAATACTTGGAAGCAATATGAGAAAGAAACCACGCCTCAGGCCACTTATGTGGTCCAGTCCGTGGGCAACACATATGTTTGCGAGGTGATATTGCCAGAAAAGTCTCCAATTCGAGGGCTCACTGGAAGCCCCGCAATACGAAAGTCCATTGCCAAACAATCTGCAGCATTCGATACGTGTCTCTTGCTCCGAAGACATAAGCTGCTTGACGACTTTTTCAAGTCAATCTATCACAAGCGCTTGCCTGCAATGAGGAATGCAAAATTAGCCATCACGTCCAAGAAGACGAATCAGTATGACATGCTATTGAAGCCATCCATTTGGCGAAGACACCAGGGAATTCTGCCTAGCAAGCTTTATGGGACTATTCTCTCTCTCTTACCGTCAGAGCCTTTGAGTAGGGAACATCAGCCCATCCTTGTGCTAACCCGCGAGAAACTTCCAGACTTTCCAGCATTCCCTATCTATCTCGATGAAGACATTGAGACCAAGGTAGTTCCACGTTCTTTGGATACTGGCATGGAGCTATCGGCCGAGGAGCTGCGAGCGTTGACGACATTTACACTCCGCATCTTTCGAGACGTATTCCATAAGGTGTATGAACAGGAATCTGAGAAATTGCCTTACTGGCTTGCACCGGCCGAGCCTTTGGATGCAAATGGCAGAGAGCCTGGACCTCGTGGTATCATCGACTGGAAAACAGTAACTTTCGTGCAAGAGAACGATGAAATCGTATTTTCTAGGGATCTGGCTCCAGAATCCCTGGTCAACCGCTTCATGTTCGATAAATGGGACGGAAGGTCCCGCTTTTTCACAATTAAAGTGATGGAAGGGTTGCGTGCTGCTGATCCTCCTCCATCTTCTGTGCCACGACGAAGGCACATGGACAACATCATGAGCTACTGCCTGAGTCTGTCTAAGAACTCGCGAGCTAGATTTCTTGCGGGCTGCCACTGGGACCAGCCAGTTCTTCAGGCTGAGCTTGTTCGTCTCCGAAGAAATCTCTTGGATAAGTTGACGACCGAGGAAAAGAAGATACAGACAGAGTGCTTTATATGTGCTGAGCCCCTAAAGATCTCTGCTGTTAGTAGACCCTCCACTGATTCGGAAGAGCTTCGGATGACTAACGTATGAGGCAGATTCCTCCCTCGATTGCATCTACCTGTCTCGCGTTTCCTGCGATCATCACCAGACTGGACTCTTATCTCATTTCCATCGAAGCATGTGATGAGCTTGATCTTGTGATTAGGTCGGATTATGCGCTGGAGGCCGTCACGAAAGACTCAGACAACACTGAGGAGCACCGCGGCCAGCAAATACACTTTCAGCGCGGCATGGGGAAGAACTATGAGCGATTGGAGTTCCTGGGCGACTGTTTCCTCAAGATGGCCACCTCCATTGCGCTCTTTACACAAAATCCAGATGATGACGAGTTTGATTACCATGTCAATCGAATGTGTCTCATCTGCAACAAGAACCTCTTCAACACAGCAAAGAAGAGGCAAATTTATCGGTACATCCGTAGCCGGAGTTTCTCCAGGTGGGTTAAACGTGAGATACGGTAGTGATAAAAGTTGACGAGTTGAGTTGCAGACACGTATGGTATCCTGATGGTTTGACTTTGCTGCAAGGAAAGGATCACAGCAAGAAGATGCTGAGCCAAGCAAAGCATGCTCTGGGAGAAAAGACAATCGCCGATGTTTGTGAGGCTCTCATAGGTGCATGTTTACTTTCAGGTGGCCCAGAGCACAGGTTTGATATGGGTGTCAAAGCAGTGAGTGTCTTTGTTGACAGCCCTAGCCACGCTGTTTCGCGCTGGAAGGAGTACATTGGTCTTTACAAACCGCCCAATTATCAGGTTCGGAAAGCGGAGGGAGCCGAAACTAACCTGGCTCTTCAAGTGGAGGAAAAGCTGGGGTATCATTTTAGGTATCCTAGACTTCTGTGCTCTGCAGTGACACACCCATCCACGCCTTCAACGTGGTACTTTCGAGTGCCATGCTACCAGCGACTTGAGTTTCTCGGGGATTCGCTGTTAGACATGGTGTGCGTGGAAGATCTATTTCATAGATTTCCAGATCGCGATCCTCAATGGCTCACTGAACATAAGGTAGGCTCAAAGCATACGATGTCCCTGCTTTAACAGGGGTATGACTGACAGTCGTTTCGCAGATGGCGATGGTGTCAAACAAATTTCTCGGCGCACTGGCTGTGAAACTAGGATTTCATAAGCATATTAAAGCTTTCAGCAACCCTTTGCAGGCACAGATCACTTATTATGTTGAGGAGATCGAGACTGCAGAGGCTGAAAGTGAAGGAGCGGTCGACTACTGGGTCGTTGCAAAGGATCCACCAAAGGTAGGCTTCAGAGATACTTCTGAGAACGCATTCGGAGTCCATATTAACCTGGAAAACAGTGCCTTCCAGACATGGTAGAAGCGTATCTTGGAGCCATTTTTGTGGACTCGGATTTCAGCTTCGAGGTGATTGAAGCATTCTTCCAGGCCCAGATCAAGCCATACTTCCAGGACATGTCAATTTATGACACATTTGCCAACAAGCACCCAACTGTGAGTCTGGCTGCGGTCTTTGTTTTTGTTGTTACATGTAGCTAATGAAAGCCAGACTTTCCTTCATAACCGACTGGCAAACGAGTTCGGCTGCACCAACTACTGTCTAAAAGCCGGGGAGATGCCCGCCATAGATGGAATGCCGGCCGGGGTCCTGGCTGCCGTCATTGTACACAACAGCGTGGTTTCAGAAGCCACGGCATCTTCTAGTCGGTATGCTAAAATCAGAGCAAGCGAGAGAGCATTGGTAGTGCTCGACGGACTTCTTCCATATGAATTTCGTCAGAGGTATAACTGCAACTGTCAAGTTGTGGGCAACCCTGCTTCAGCTCCGGACATTGGGACTGCGATATGAGGGAAAATCAGCCTGTTCAGTCGCAATCAAATAGCAGAGGAGCATTCCATAGAAAGCCTAGTTAGTGCAATGTTATCGTTGTATATCTTTTGCGGCTCTTGTCCGATTTGCTAAATTTGATGGTCAACCCAGACAGAAACAACTTGGACTTCTAGACCCAAGCAGGATGGCGCCACCCATCGGATGTCGAATGAAACCTTTGGAGTAACAATTTGATTTGAACGGATGGAGCTGAGCCGTGCTACAAGCAAAGAGAGCAATGTACTGACTGAGTCAGGCCTGACTTCTGAGCCTTGGATGATGGGCCGAAGATGCCGATGGTACACTAACCGCACTGAGGATAGCGGCAGTTGACCCCTGAAGTACCAGACAAAGAAAACACGCCTGCCGCGTCCTGCTGGCTTGATAACAATAATAATAATATATCTACATAGTTGACTAGAGCATAAAGTCATCGAATCTGGCTTGATCAGAGTCAGACCAGCCGTCACCAGCAAGGGACCAGGCCTCAAACTGAAACAAACGGGCATGATCATCTAGCCTAATAATTTGTTATCTTCTCCAAACTCTCTGTCCCTTTTTAATATTTCCCCATTTTCTCAACACGACCTAATATCTCCGCCTTTTCTGCCCAGCCAGCCTTCAACCTCCACTCACGACAGCTTCTTATCGGAGCCCCCGATGCTTCCCGTGGATCGCTGTCTATAGAGTATTATAATCATGGAGGTTGCCTCTGCTGGGGTATCGAATGGGGTTGCGACACCTGTGCAGGCCTCGTTTGTGGACTCCGGTGCTGTGATCCAATACTTGGTTGATGTGCTGCAGGCGACTCTGGGAGCTCTGAAAACCGAGCTTGAGAGTACAGGTAGCTTGCTATCTGAAGCCAAATACAACGAGACGGTACAGCGATGCACGCGCTTTGCTTCAGAGTCACAGACAGCTCTGTATGTGCAGAAGGATCTTGTGGCCGCGGAGGGAGCAAGTGCGGTAGAAGATGGCGAAGGCATGTATCTGATGTCCTGCTGATTACCCCTCGAGCGTGACGGTGACTGATCTCCGATCTTCTGTAGTCCTTGCGGCGCAGTATGCGTATAATCTCTCCACCGAGATCTCGTCCTCGTCTAACACTGTCGTGTCCGTCGCATTCATCAAACGCCCTGCTCCTATTGAACCGTCGCTTCCCATATCGTCACAAATCCAGGTTGTCAACCTTCCTGGCCCGGCATCCCTCAATAACGCCCAAGCGCAACAAGGCACTTCCTTGTCGCCCTACGAGATTATGCACCTCATGGTGCACCAGGTGTTAACTCCCTACTTCGAAGCCAACACCCGCAACCAGGATGCAGCCAGTGGTTCAAAACAGAGGACGGACACGGAGGTTAAGACCGGGGTGCCTGGGACCAAGAAGAAGCTGGCAGAGCTGGAACTTGCTCTGTCACATTTGCAACAGAATGTTGAAATCCCGGCTTTGAATCTGCCACTACATGAAGTGGTTCAAGCTGCCCTAGCTGAAGCGGAGGTTCGCGGAATTAAATCTTCCGTGGAGCTAATCCCCTCCAATATCCTAGAAAGCAGCGCGTTCATCAATAGTATTCAAAATACCGTGAATGCTTGGATTAGATCCATCCAAACGATCACGAAGATGTCCCGTGATGCCGATAGCGGATCGGCAGCTCAGGAGATTAACTTCTGGTTGTCAATGGAAGGAGCTCTTGAAGGCATCGAAAACCAACTGCGCAGCGATGGTGTTCAGCTGACGATGGATATCCTCCGTCATGCGAAGCGTTACCAAGCAACCTTGAGCTTTGTGGCCGATACTGGACTGCGAGAGGCCACAGATATGGTCCAGAAGTACAACCAGCTTATGCGAGATTTCCCATTGGATGAATTGCTTTCTGCTACAACTTTACAGAAGGTGCAGGAGTCCCTTGGGCTGATTTTCGGTCATTTGAATAAGAAATTGAAGATCTGTCCCTACCCAATCAAGCGGGCTCTTGCACTGGTTGAAGCTATCTCCGGTGACTTGGACACGAAGATTCATAATCTGCTCCATGGCCGCACGATCTTGCACTTGGACTACCGTGAGTTCCGCTCTCTGATGAAGACCTGCGGCGCGATCTGGCGAGCTTGGGATGAGAACCTGAAGGAGTTCACCAATGTCGCTCGTGAATCGACAAGGCGCCGGAACGAGAAATTCATTCCCATCAAGGTTGCTGCTCGCCACGAAAAGACACAGGAGCGCTTGAAGTATATCAACACATTCAGAGTGAATCACGAGCAACTCCAAAAAACGATCGTGAATGTACTCGGCCCAAAGACTTCTTCTGCGGGAGACACAGCTACCGGAGCAGGCTCCGATGGTGCCGTCATTGTTGAAGAAATTGGAGACGTCGACGCAGTTGAGGAAGTTGCACAGGCATATGCCGCTTTGAGAAATGTAGACGTATTGGACGTCACTCCCGAAGGCACCCAACAATGGATCAAGGAAGAAATTGCTTATAATGAGCGGACTTCTCGAGTTGAGAACTCCATTATTGCTCGCTTGCGTGATCGTCTCGCTACCGCGAAAAACGCCAATGAAATGTTCCGGGTCTTTTCGAAGTTCAACGCGCTCCTTGTTCGCCCAAAGATCCGAGGTGCAATTGGTGAATACCAGACTCAACTTATCGAGAACGTTAAACAGGACATTTCCTCATTGCACGAACGATTTAAGCAGCAGTATGGCCACTCAGAAGCTCATGCTATGGCACAGCTGCACGATCTTCCTCCCGTTTCGGGTGCTATCGTCTGGGCGCGCCAGATCGAGCGACAGCTCGATGGCTACATGCGGAAGGTTGAGGATGTCCTAGGAGAAGATTGGCATCTTCACACCGAAGGTCAGAAACTTCAAGCTGAGGGCAATCTCTTCCGCAAGAAGTTGGATACTCGGCCCGTTTTCGAATCCTGGCTGCACGATGTCCAGAGACGTCACATCACCATCTCTGGCCGTCTATTCAATATTGGGCGCAATCGCGCAGCCGGTAACAGTTTGGAGCTCAACGTCAATTTTGACGCTCAGATCATTGCCTTATTCAAAGAGGTCAGAAACCTGATATGGCTCAATTTCCAGGTCCCACACGCCGTCAGCAGCATCTCAAAAGAGGCCAAGCGTGTTTACCCGTATGCTATCAGCCTGATGGAGAGCGTTCGGACGTTACTTCAAACAACTCGCTCTATTGCTGCCATGACAGAAGTTGCAATCTTACTCAATGGATACCTGAATGATGCTCAAGGCATGGTGATCAAGGGCATTCCCCTTCGTTGGGAATCGTTTGTCCATTCATACGAGCTTCATGTGAAGCAATCGGCATTAGCGAATGGTGCCATCGAGTCTACCATCCCAGCAAGAGGAGAGAGCAAGCATGTTCAATTCGTCCGAGAATTTGCAGGATCGGCGTCGGTGCTCCAATCAAAGACAGCCGTCTTGTATTCTGTGTACGACAACATCCAGAAAGCCATCCTCGAGCTGAAGACCTGTCCCTATGAGGCGTCAGCATTCAAGCAACGCTTAGACACCATTCAAGTCGCCGTTGATAAGCTGAACTTGGAGAACTACGTCAATCTTGGTTTCTGGGTTGCCCGCTTGAACCAAAAGATCGAATCTATTCTGCGTGACCGGCTCCACCGCGCCATTCGTGAATGGATTCACTCTTTCTTGGAAGCCAAAGAGCAACGAAATACTTCCCTGATATCCATTGGGACTCAGCATCCTGCTGCAGGGGAGCCGGAGGCCGTCTCTTACAAGATCGAATTCCCTGAGCTCGTTCATGAAATCTCGATGCGGAACCAAGTTCTTCACCTGGATCCACCTTTACAGTTTGCTCGAGCGAGTTGGTTCTCCCACTTCGACAACTGGCTGGGTGTGATCTGCAATTTGGAGAAGATTAAATCATCCCGTTATCAAATCTCTATCGATGTTCAGAAAGCCCAATTGTCCGAAGTCTGCTTTGCCGATCTCCCGCAACACTGCACCGAAGAACTGGGCCATGTATACAATGTCGTGGAAGCAAGGCTGAAGGAAGTTTCGGAATACGTTGATAAGTGGTTGCAATTTCAGTCTCTTTGGGACTTGCGGTCTGAGCAAGTGTATGACATCTTGGGTGATGACCTGGCTCAATGGCTCCAACTGCTCCAGGAGATTCGGAAGAGCCGAGCGACATTCGACACTTCTGAGGTCAGCCGATCATTTGGCAACGTCAGGATAGACTACGAGCAGGTTCAAACTCGAGTCAACGCCAAATACGACCAGTGGCAACACGAGATATTATTGAAGTTCGGATCGAAGCTGGGAGCTAGAATGAGAGAAGTGCATTCTGAGATAGCTTCTGCTCGTAGAGACCTGGAGGGACAAACCCTTGAAGCTTCTTCAACTGCGCACGCCGTTTCGTTCATCACTATTGTCCAGCAATGCAAGCGGAAAGCCAAGGTTTGGGAGCCAGAAGTCAATCTCTTCCGACAAGGCCAAGCTACGCTTGCTCGCCAACGTTATCAATTCCCCAGTGACTGGCTTCATGTGGAGAGAGTCGATGGCGAGTGGGCTGCTTTGAATGAGCTCCTGGCGCGGAAGAGTAAGATTGTTCACGATCAAACTGAAGGTTTGCGTGCGAAGATTACGGCGGAAGACAAGGTGATTGGTGATAAGATCTCTGAAGTCATAGCTCAGTGGAATGAGGAAAAGCCAGTATCTGGAACTATCCCGCCTGAGGAGGCTTCTCGAACTTTGAGCACCTTCCAATCCCGACTGGAGGCCCTCCAGGCTGAATTCGAAATGGTCTCCAAAGCCAAGGAAGCCCTAGATCTGCCAGCTAGTGCTGAGTCCTCGCTACCCGCGATCCTCGAAGAGGTACAGGATTTCATGTCGGTCTGGGCAGCTCTTTCAACCATCTGGAAGAGTCTCAATGATCTCAGAGACATGCTCTGGACAAGCGTACAGCCCAGAAAGCTCCGTCAGTCAATCGATGGGTTGATTAAGATGACCAAAGAAATGCCAAGTCGTATGCGTCAGTATGCGGCATTCGAACATATACAGAATGTCCTCCGACAGCTTCTCAAGGTTAATCCCTTGCTCTCCGACATGAAGTCTGAAGCTGTGCGAGAGCGACATTGGCAGAAGATCTACAAAGCTCTAAAACCTGGAAAGCGGTTTTCGCTCGTGTCTCTTGCCCTGGGAGATGTGTGGGATCTGCAGCTCGCCACTACTGAGACTGTCATCCGAGACATCATTGCTCAAGCCCAGGGTGAAATGGCCCTGGAAGAGTTCTTAAAATCTGTTCGGGAGACATGGCAAAATTACTCTTTGGACCTCGTCAATTACCAAAATAAATGTCGTCTCATCCGTGGCTTTGATGACCTGTTCGCGAAGTGCAGTGAAAATTTGAATTCTCTGCAAGCTATGAGGCATTCGCCATACTATAAAGAGTTCGAGGAGGAAGCAGCCTCTTGGGAAGACAAGCTCAACCGAGTACATGTCCTCTTCGACGTGTGGATCGATGTTCAGCGGCAATGGGTCTACCTTGAGGGTGTTTTCACGGGTAATGCTGATATCAAGCACTTGCTCCCTCTTGAATCAAGCCGCTTCCAGAACATTAACTCCGAATTCTTCGCGGTGATGAAGAAGGTCTACAAGTCACCGTTCGTGCTCGACGTGCTCGCCATCAATGGCGTGCAAAAGTCCCTGGAGAGACTGGCTGAATTGCTGAACAAGATCCAGAAGGCTCTGGGTGAATACCTGGAGCGTGAACGTATCTCCTTTCCTCGTTTCTATTTCGTCGGTGATGAGGATCTGCTGGAAATTATCGGTAACAGCAATGACATCTTCCGCGTTGCGAAGCACTTCAAGAAGATGTTTGCAGGATTGTCCGGGGTTCTCATGGATGATGAAAACAACATAGTTGGCTTCACTTCGAAGGAGGGTGAGGAGGTGCGCTTGAAGAAGGAAGTCAATCTAGTCAAGACTCCCCGAATCAACGATTGGCTTACTGCACTCGAGACCAACATGAAGTTAACACTGGCCGAACTTCTTGTGGAGGCAATCGAGCAATTCGAAACCATCTATAGTGCCACCGAGGTTGATCGCACCGCTTTCAATGACTATTTGGCCAATTATCCTGCTCAAATTGTCGTTCTTGCCAGTCAAGTCGTCTGGACCAAGGCTGTGCAAACGTCGCTGGAGAATGGTGGAACGAACCTCAAAGAGTTGCACGAGGCTGAAGTCCGCGTGCTCGAGTTACTCGCTGCTACCGTGCTTGGAGATCTCGATGGGATCAGCCGCAAGAAATGCGAACATATGATTACGGAATTTGTTCATCAGCGTGATGTTATCACGAAGCTCATTGCCGCCAATGCAACCACACCAATGAATTATCTTTGGCTGCTTCAGATGCGCTACGTTTACCAAGACGATGGCGACTTCCTTCAGCGGTTGCATGTTCATATGGCCAATGCCAAACTCAGCTATGGCTTTGAGTACCTCGGAGTCCCTGAACGTCTCGTCCGCACTCCTCTTACGGACCGCTGCTTCCTGACACTTACTCAGGCCTTGTGCCAGAGACTGGGAGGTTCGCCATATGGTCCTGCTGGTACTGGTAAAACAGAGTCAGTCAAGGCCCTGGGTCTTCAGCTCGGTCGTTTCACTTTAGTGTTCTGCTGTGACGACACTTTCGACTTCCAGGCCATGGGTCGTATCTTCCTTGGTATTTGCCAAGTGGGCGCGTGGGGTTGTTTCGACGAGTTCAATCGTTTGGAAGAAAGAATTCTGTCCGCCGTCTCTCAGCAGATCCAGAATATCCAGATCGGCTTGAAGACTGGAATAGACGATGAGAAGGCGCAGATCGAACTTGTAGGGCGACGTCTTCGCGTGAATCAGAATACCGGAATCTTTATCACAATGAACCCCGGTTATGCGGGACGTTCGAACCTGCCTGACAATCTGAAGAAGCTGTTCCGTAGCGTTGCCATGTCTAAACCGGACAAAGAGCTCATCGCAGAAGTCATGCTCTTCTCTCAGGGTTTCAAACAGGCGAAGCACTTGTCCAAGCAAACCGTGCCCTTCTTCGACCACTGTTCCTCGCAGTTATCAAAGCAGGCACATTACGACTTTGGCCTGCGTGCACTTAAGAGTGTACTTGTTAGCTCAGGAGGTCTCAAGCGGTCACGTATCGCCAGCACAGATGGTGACCTTGGCCCTGATGAGGTCATTGAACCTCAGATCATTGTTCAGAGTCTTCGAGAGACAATCGCCCCTAAGCTGGTCCGTGAAGATGTTGACCGGATGCTCGAGATACAGGCGCACAACTTCGCTGGTGTCGAGTATGTGCCTGCCAATTATGAGAAACTCACTCAAGCGATCCGTGATATTGCTCACGAGCAGCATTTTGTTGACAGTGACATGTGGATTACCAAGGTTCTGCAGCTGTACCAGATTCAAAGTATCCACCACGGTGTGATGATGGTCGGCAAGTCAGGGTCTGGAAAGTCTGCTGCTTGGAAGATCCTGCTCCAGGCACTACAGCGGATTGAGGGTGTCGAAGGCGTCTCCCATATCATTGACTCCAAGGTCATGTCCAAGGAAGCTCTCTACGGCAATCTGGATAACACCACGAGAGAATGGACGGATGGTCTGTTCACTGGTATTCTGAGAAAGATTGTGGACAATCTTCGTGGTGAGGACTCCAAGCGGCACTGGATTGTGTTTGATGGCGATGTCGATCCCGAGTGGGTTGAGAATCTGAACAGTGTCCTCGATGACAACAAACTTTTGACTCTCCCCAATGGTGAACGTCTGAATCTTCCTCCGAACGTTCGTATAATGTTCGAAGTCGAGAGCCTCAAGTACGCTACCCTGGCTACAGTCAGTCGTTGTGGTATGGTCTGGTTCAACGACGATACTGTCACTCCTCTCATGATGATCTCCAACTACGTCGAATCGCTCAAAACAAAGACATTTGAAGACCTGGACGACGACAGCGCCCCTGCAGGACAAGCTGCCGTCAAGACCCAAGATGCGCAGAACATGCTCTCCACAATCCTCAAGCAAATTTTACAAACCGATGGACTGGTTTTTAGATCTCTTGATGAAGCTAAAAAGTACAATCATATCATGGAGTTCACGGATATTCGCGCTCTCAACACTCTCTTCAGTCTGTTGAACAAAGCTTGCCGCAACGTCCTTGAGTATAACATTCAGCATGTGGATTTCCCGTTGGACTATGAACAGATCAAATCTTACATCTCTAAGAAGCTCCTCCTCGCTCTTGTGTGGTCCTTCACCGGAGACTGCCCTCTGACAGACCGCCAGGCTTTCGGTCAGTCTGTCTCGGCCTTGTCGACAACCGAATTGCCTCCCGATGGAGCGTCCTCTCTCATTGACTTTGATATCACGCTGCCTAAGTCGGAATGGGCGAGCTGGCAGTCGCAGGTGCCCTCCATTGAGATCAATACACACTCCATCACTCAAACGGATGTGGTCATTCCAACTGTGGACACTGTTCGTCACGAGGATGTCCTCTATTCTTGGCTTGCTGAGCACAAGCCATTACTTCTCTGTGGTCCTCCAGGTTCCGGTAAAACCATGACTCTGTTCGCAGCACTTCGAAAGCTGCCGAACATGGAAGTCGTCGGCCTCAACTTCTCAAGTGCCACAACGCCAGATCTTTTGATCAAGACTTTCGAGCAGTACTGCGAATACAAGAAGACATTGAATGGTGTTGTTATGTCCCCGAACCAAATCGGTCGCTGGTTAGTCATTTTCTGTGATGAAATCAACTTGCCTGCGCCAGACAGATATGGTACGCAACGCGCGATCTCTTTCCTCAGACAGCTCGTTGAACAGAACGGATTCTGGAGAACATCGGACAAGACATGGGTCACTCTGGATCGCATTCAATTTGTTGGAGCTTGTAATCCTCCCACTGACGCCGGACGTACCCCGATGGCCGAGCGATTCCTGCGTCACTCTCCCCTCATTATGGTCGATTACCCTGGTGAGATTTCGCTCATGCAGATCTACGGAACATTCAACTCGGCCGTTCTCAAGATCATACCACTACTGCGTGGATATTGCGAATCCCTCACCAAAGCGATGGTACAATTTTACTTGGAATCTCAAAGTCGATTCACTCCCAAAATCCAGCCGCACTACGTGTATTCCCCCCGTGAGCTTACTCGATGGGTTCGTGGTGTGTACGAAGCCATTAAACCTCTTGAGACGCTTTCTGTCGAAGGTTTGGTGCGTATTTGGGCACACGAAGCGTTGCGCCTCTTCCAGGATCGATTGGTAGCGGAGGAAGAGAGAAATTGGACCGCCGATGCAGTCCGACGCATTGCTCTCGACAACTTCCCCACTATCGATGACCAGCAAGCACTCAAGGGACCGATTTTGTTCTCGAACTGGCTGTCCAAGAACTACGTCCCCGTCGAGCGGGAGCGTCTGCGCGATTTTGTTAAGGCCCGTTTGAAGACCTTCTGCGAAGAGGAGGTTGATGTTCCTCTTGTTCTCTTCAATGACGTTTTGGAGCATGCTCTACGTATTGACCGAGTGTTCCGCCAACCCCAAGGTCATCTCATCCTGATTGGTGTGAGTGGCAGTGGCAAGACGACTCTATCTCGCTTCGTTGCTTGGATGAATGGCTTGAAGGTCTTTCAAATCAAGGTGCATGGGAAATACTCCTCGGAAGACTTTGACGACGACTTGAGGACCGTTCTCCGACGGGCAGGATGCAAGGGCGAGCAAATTTGTTTCATCATGGACGAGGCCAATGTCCTTGACTCTGGTTTCCTTGAACGCATGAATACGCTGCTTGCGAATGCGGAGGTGCCCGGTCTGTTTGAGGGTGACGAGTTCTCGTCCCTGATGACCGCCTGCAAAGAGGGGGCTCAGCGCCAGGGTCTTCTCCTCGACTCCCAGGAAGAACTCTACAAGTGGTTCACGCAGCAAATCGTCAAGAACCTCCATGTGGTATTCACCATGAATCCTCCCGAAGATGGACTCTCTTCCAAGGCTGCCACCAGTCCCGCCTTGTTCAATCGTTGCGTCTTGAACTGGATGGGTGATTGGTCCGATCAAGCCCTATTCCAGGTTGGCTCTGAACTGACACAGTCACTTGACTTGGACAAGCCCAACTTTGTTGCCGCGGATAGCATTCCCGTTGCATATCGCGAACTAAGCCTTCCCGCATCTCATCGAGACACGGTTGTCAATTCTATGGTGTACATCCATTACTCACTGCAAAGATTCAATCAGCGTCTGCAGAAACAGCAGGGACGGACAACCTATCTCACTCCTCGCCATTACCTTGACTTTGTCGCGCAGTATGTTAAGCTTTTCAATGAGAAGCGCGAGGATCTGGAGGAGCAACAAAGACATTTGAACGTGGGTCTAGAGAAGCTGCGCGATACTGTCGACAAGGTCAGCGATTTGCGTGCTAGCTTGGCCCAGAAAAAGATGCAGCTGGAGAAGAAAGATGCAGAGGCGAACGAAAAGCTGCAGCGCATGGTTGCGGATCAAAGAGAGGCCGAGCAACGTAAGGCCGTTTCCCTCGAAGTGCAGGCTGCCCTAGAGAAACAAGAAAAGGAGGTGGCACTGCGCAAGGAAGTTGTGCTGAATGATCTGGCTCGCGCCGAACCCGCTGTGCTTGAGGCCCAGAAGAGTGTGAGCAACATCAAACGTCAACATCTCACCGAAGTCCGTTCAATGGGCAACCCACCAGCCAGCGTTCGTCTTGCTCTTGAAGCTGTGTGCACTTTACTTGGACACAAGGTGGATAGCTGGAAAACGATTCAAGGTATCATCCGCAGAGACGACTTCATTGCCAGTATCGTCAACTATGACAACGAAAGGCAAATGACCAGGAATCACCGTCTCAAGATGCAGAGTGAGTTCCTTTCAAAGGATGACTTCACCTACGAGCGAGTCAACCGCGCCAGTAAGGCCTGTGGTCCTCTTGTCCAGTGGGTTGAAGCTCAAGTCAATTACTCTGAAATCCTTGACCGTGTCGGGCCTCTACGTGAAGAAGTCGATCAATTGGAAGAACAAGCTCTTCAGACCAAAGCGGAGGCTCAGGCCATCGAGAATACCATCCAGGGACTGGAAAGCAGCATTGCCACCTACAAAGCTGAATATGCTGCGCTTATCAGCGAGACTCAAGCCATCAAGACAGAGATGTCAAGAGTGCAGTTCAAGGTCGACCGAAGTGTGCGTCTGCTTGATAGCTTGTCGTCCGAACGTACACGTTGGGAGGAGGGTAGCAAGTCTTTCGAGACCCAGATCAGTACGCTCGTAGGTGACGTCCTTATTGCTGCAGCGTTCCTTGCATATGCCGGATTCTACGATCAACAGTTCAGAAAGGCTATGATTGATGACTGGGTGAACCAACTCGCGCAATCGGGTATCAACTTCAAGCCACACAACCCGATCACAGAGTACCTGTCGAACGCCGATGAACGTTTGACTTGGCAAAGTCACGCTCTCCCGGTTGATGACCTCTGCACAGAGAATGCCATCGTCCTCAAGCGGTACAACAGATACCCCCTGATCATCGATCCATCGGGTCGTGTCACCGAGTTCTTGCAGAAGGAAAGCACAGACAGGAAGCTCACGGTCACGAGCTTCTTGGACGACTCTTTCGTCAAACAACTCGAGAGTGCACTGCGTTTTGGCAACCCAATCCTCATCCAGGACGCTGAACACTTGGACCCTATTCTCAACCATGTCCTCAACAAGGAGTACCAGAAGACCGGAGGCCGTGTTCTCATCCAGCTTGGGAAGCAAGAAATTGACTTTTCGCCTTCGTTCAAGCTCTTCCTTTCGACAAGGGATCCTTCAGCCTCCTTCCCGCCGGATGTGTGCAGTAGAACCACTTTTGTCAACTTCACTGTCACGCAGAGCAGTTTGCGTACCCAGTCACTCAATGAGGTTCTCAAGTTTGAGCGGCCGGATGTGGATGAACGACGTACCGACCTGGTCAAACTACAAGGAGAGTTCAAGATTCATCTCCGCCAGCTTGAGAAGCGACTGCTGCAGGCATTGAACGAATCTCGCGGCAATATCCTGGATGACGACAACGTTATTGAGACCTTGGAGACATTGAAGAAGGAGGCGGCCGAGATCTCTAAGAAGATGGTGGAGACCGAGGGCGTGATGAATGAAGTTGAGAATATCACTCAAAATTACAGCATTATTGCGCGGTCTTGCAGCGCGGTGTTTGCGGTTTTGGAACAGCTTCACCACATTAATCACTTCTATCAATTCTCGCTGCAGTACTTTGTGGATATCTTCCACTCGGTCCTCTATCAGAATAAACGTCTCGCCCAAGAGAAGGATCATTCGGCGCGCGTTCAGATTATTCTTCGGGATCTGTTCATCACAGCATTCCAGCGTACTTCTTTGGGACTGATCCAGAAGGATCGCATCACGCTGGCTATGCTCCTTGCCCAAGCCGCCCCTTACCCCATGGATAAGAGCATCATCGATATCATTCTTGACGAATCGGTAGAGGGTGCGGACCTGTCGACCGCTCTGGAACTCAAAGATCAAGTTCTGAGCAAGATTTCGAATATGGCCCTCTTCAAATCGACGTTCCCGAGCATTTCTCAAGACCAGTGGGACAAATTCCTGGGCGAAGAACTAGCCGAGAATTTCATCCCAGCCGTTTGGGACGACAACACGGAGCAACTCGACCGTCTGCTTCGTTCGTTGCTACTTGTGAAGCTATGCAGATTGGACCGATTCATCCCAGCTGCTGAGCGCTTCATCGAAGCCGTCTTTGGTCGCGAGTTTTTCGAAGGAAGCTCCGACTTGCAGCAGGTTGTTGAGCAGGTGGCAGCCACCACACCGATCTCACTCAGCTCAAGCCCTGGTTTCGATGCCAGTTACAAGGTGGATGCTCTTGTTGAGCGCATGCATGCAACCTGCGCGAACATCGCAATGGGATCCAACGAAGGTCTTGAAAGTGCCGACAAGGCAATCAGCCATGCTGCCACAGCGGGTACGTGGGTACTGGTCAAGAACGTCCACCTGGCCCCGTCGTGGCTGCAGAGTTTGGAGAAGCGACTCGACTCGCTTAAACCGCACAAGGAGTTCCGGCTTTTCTTGTCGATGGAGTCTAGCCCTAAGATTCCGGTCAACCTCATCCGTGCTTCTCGCGTCCTCATGTACGAGCAACCTGCTGGTATCCGCGCAAATATGAAGGATTCGCTGTCCTCTCTGGTGGCCCGTGCCGGTCAGCCTCCGGTTGAGAAGGCGCGCGTCTATCTTCTGCTCTGCTTCTTGCATGCCGTGATCCAAGAAAGACTCCGATATGCACCTAGCCTGGGGTGGAAGGGCTTCTGGGAATTTAACGATAGTGATGTAAGTTGTCTATTACTCCGATAGTGTCCTCGCAGCAAACGACTAACAACTATGTTCAGTATGAGTGCTCAGCACACATTATCGATGTCTGGGTGGAAACCGTCGCTCAGGGTCGATCCAACGTCGCACCCCAGAAACTCCCATGGGAGATGATTCGCACGCTTGTGACGGAGACGTACGGTGGCAAGGTCGATGACAGCGGCGATTTCCAAGTGCTGGAGAAGCTTGTGCACAGCTTCCTTACACCGACCGCGTTCGAAGTCGACTACAAACTGGTCTCTGGTGTTGAGAACGACGACTGCTTAGCACTGCCCGGAGAAACCGGCATTCGCGATTTTGTGGAATGGGTGAATCGCCTACCAGAACGAGAACCACCCACGTACCTGGGTCTTCCCGCCAATGCAGAGAAGCTGCTGTTGGTCGGTCATGGAAAGAAGATGATCTCAGACCTGTCCAAGGTGACGACTTTGTTGGATGAAGGGGAGCAGTTAATGATTGAGGCGTAGGATATCGGCTCCTGACGATTGGCAGATTGTACAATTCCGCTGGCGGATCCTTGATTTTTTTTTCTGTACTTCTTTCTGTTGATATACTTTTGTGCTTTTAGACCGGATACTGTACCTAAAATGCTTTCTACTTCGATCTTGTATTAAATGGACTCGGCCCAGGCCATGGATGTTGTTCAATTCGTGCTAAAACTTGCGTTCCGACTCCGTCGTAATCTCCAAGGGTATCTCAAGTTCTCAACGCAAAAAAACATGATCCCCAACATCAAAAACCGTAGAGCGTCTGGCCTATCTGTGCAGAGCAGAGCTCTATATCAGCAATGGGCACAATCACCAGGAGAATTCCAAACTCACCCTCTGCAATGCATACACAACCTTCACCAAAAATCCATTAGCAACAACTCTTCACCCCCGTCTCCTCGCCTATATCCCATGACGAACTTACATCCCGAGTCGTCACCACCTAACCCCAACAATCACATCCTCAGCACCATCATCTGTTTGAGGGGAGGGGGAAGGGGGACAGTAAGCCATACCTTCCGCTGATGCCGATGCGTACTCGCCGAATCCAGCACCTGCACAACCTGAAACAAAACCTAGGGATCACGGGGGACATCAGATCAGCACACGAAACCGACACCACTTTCCCCCCCCCTCGTCGCCGTACGCCCCGTAACACCGTATTCATACTCGGAGAAGAGAAGAGGAGAGGAAAGGAGGCATTGATTACCTCACGCAGACGCTGTCTGATTGCCACGCGGGCCTCGTTGTATATGTCGCTCTTGATGCGCATGACGCCGCCGCGGCGCGCGAGACGGCTGGGAGGGTCGTCAGAATTGGGTTCCTGGGGTGTTGTGGGGCGGAGTAGGGGGTTTACCGGATGGCGGGCCGAGCTGGGGTAGAGATTCTTGTTAGATTGAGGGTGTTCGAAGGGGGGTAGGGGGAGGGGGGTTTGTGTTGGTGTGTTGGTGGCGTGAGGACTTACTGATGCCGAGGAGGTTGTCGCGGAGGTGGCTGTGGTGGTTTAGGAGGGTTCAGTATGTTATGCCAAGGAGGAGGTGTGGAAGAGGCATACCGCCGGCGGTGGCTTTTGAGAAGTAGGCCGCGGGTCGATCTGTTCTGGGGGGAATTGGGATCCATGGTGGTGAGTATGGTGTGGTTGAGGGTGTAGATAGTGATAGTAGAGGGAAAGAGGGAGAGAGGGAGAGAGGGAGAGAGAGAGAGAGAGGCTTGAGGGTGTTGTGTAAGGAAAGAGGGAGTAGATAGGTAGCTTGGAATGGACATTGTTGTAGATATACTTGATGGTGTTGTGCTATTGTGCTATTGTGTTACTTGTTGTGTTTGGTCTATTGAAGGGGTTGTGGGAGGCGAGATGCTTCCAGTGAATCAACACAAACATGAAACTGGTGTTGGACGTGGTCCCTTCGGTAGGTGCGAGAGAAAACAACACTTGTGTGTGTTCAGAATGATGAGTAGGAATGGCATTAATTTTGTATATGGATAATTAGGAGCACACGAGCGGTGCGTGGTGTATGAATATCAACCAGAGGATGTAGCAAAAATACTCAAAACGCCGTGGATAAGTTCCTTCCAGGGGTGTTATATGTACGTAGAATCATTCAGGAAATGAAGGTCGCCTCGGAGAACATGAATCCTTCCTCCGTGATCTCCTCGTCTCCGACCTTGAGCTTCAGCGAGAGCTTCTCCTGAGGAGAGAACTAGCCATCTGTCAGCACAATACAAAACGCTATGTGCTCCGCAAAGTTTCGAGGCCGCTTACCTGGAATATATACGGCCGTGTTCCAGCAACGCTGCCCGCAATGGCTTTCACGAAGCCCGGCACCTCGGCCATGACATCGATGCGGTCTAACCGGTTGCCGAGCGGTCCCTCGAGCTCTGCGCGAATCTCCTTCTCGTCTTTCGACTTGCCTTCCCACAACCACTTAATCGACGTGGGTTGGGGCCAGTCGCTATCCGAGTCATGGGACGATCCGGTGTGAACCGCCGAGTTCGTCGTACCGGCGTAGATGATCTCGTTGTCCTTGACGATACCACCAACGTTGACGACTGTCGAGCCGTACGAAGGAGGGGTGGTGAATTCCATCATAACAGCGGAGTATGAAGGGGTCTGGAAGTTGACGAAATTCCAGCGCGCAGCTATTGTGGCCTTTTAGCATTCTCTCCACTCATACATTGCCCGTGCTGCGACCAGAGGGTGGGGCTTACCGGCGTGATGGGGCTTCATGCCCTGGATGGCGTGAATGAACATTCCCCGACCGGCAAGGTCATACGTCTTCTCCTTCGTCGTGATCGTACCCTCGACGCGGCACCGAGGCCAGAACGCGTGCATCATCGAACCCCAGGGGTTGGCGGCGTCGGTGCCGAAGTACGAAGTGCCGTCCTTGCCGACGACAAAGCCAGGAGCGGTGCGGGTGAAGGTCAGATTCACCAGACTATCGTCGTTGACGGCGGACTTGATGGTGTATGCATTCCCTTCCTCGTTCAGTGTCAGGGCGAGGTTGTCGGCTCCGAAGGAAAGCATCTGCTCGTCGAACATGTAGTTGGACAGCGGGTCGGAGTGCCAGACGTGCGGTTCATCGCCGTTGAGGTTGAAGATCTTGGTGTTGAACTGCGCGGTGGTGTGGATTCCTCTGATACGCAAGTCAGATTCTTGTCTCTATCGCATCGCAGTTTTTGCAGTGTAGGAGCGCCCCAGATCCAGCCAACCGGGACCGGGGATTTCAATAAACTCACGCGATGTTGCTGTAGATCACCTGCACCATGACCAGGGTGCCATTGTCGGCCATCGCATAGAAGGTATGGGTCTCGACATTGGTATATTGGTAAGCGCGCCACCGCAGATCGTCCTTGGTCAACTCGGTATAGGGGGTGTGTTGGGCCTGCTGGGCGACGGACTGGATGGCCTCAGGCCCATAGATGGGCTCCTGAGTGCCTGCGACACTTGCGAGGCTAGAGAGAACGATCTATCAGCACAGCGAATATGACATATCAGCAAAGTCAGTCGGAAGAGAAACATACGTAGACTTGAGCCAGTTCATGATGGGTGGGATAAGAGATGGGATGGATGGTCAGGACAGAGGGATTCAGTAGTTGTTGGAGGGGAGGAAGAAAGAGGGAGACCCAATAGCGCGCGGGGCCCAAAAGGTGTCGACCGGCTTTCAATGGGAAGTTTCTTTTGGGGTTTGGGGGGGGGGAAAGAGAATGAGATAGGAAGTATTTGGTCTAGAGGACTACGAAGTGACTATTTCTATTTCTCACCGAACGGCTGATTCAATAATGAAGAATGTATCTATCGATGCCTACAAACAACCAAAATCATCCCATCTGTTCTGTTTGTATCATGAGATGACGTCCAGCAGTTGTTCCATTTTTCTAAGGCAATTTCTCTTGTTTTTTCTGGGCCTGGCGGTGTAAAGTAACTCCGGTCCCGCGGCCTAAGCCCGGATTATTATTATGAATAAAACTTGGCCGCAGAACAGCACATCCATAGATCGGTTGGCAAAGCTCACTGACATCGAGGGGGTTTCTTTCACGGTTCCATTTCAGTTCTATTAAACACCCGGCATCATGGCGAAGAAAGCATTGGCCAAAGATCAGATCGTCAAGCTCATTGTGGGAGCTGGACAGGCCAGCCCGAGTCCCCCCGTCGGTCCAGCCCTGGGTAGCAAAGGTGTCAAGAGTATGGATTTCTGCAAGGTAAGAAGAGACGGAAAAAGATCCCTTTGGATGGAAGAGCGTGCTCACAATGCCACCAGGAATTCAACGCCAGAACCGCACACATCAACACGGGAGTGCCCATTCCCGCCCGAGTGACCGTCCGTCCCGATCGCTCCTTCACCTTCGACCTCCGCACGCCGACGACGACATATCTCCTCCTGCAAGCGGCGAATGTGGAACCCCGCAAGAACCGAATCCGCGGCGCCATGAACCCCGGCCACGAGACCATCGGCAAGGTCTCCCTGAAGCATGTGTACGAGATCGCCAAGATCAAGCAGTCCGAGACGCGGTTATCGGGCCTGACTCTCCCGGGGCTGTGCAAGAGTATTATGGCGCAGGCCAAGTCCATTGGTATCCAGATTGTTCCTTGAATGTCCTGTGAGGCTGGGAGACAGGGACAGGGATGGGAACGGAAGAAGGAGGAAAGAGAAGGGTGATGTCCGCACTTTGTATTGTATATGCTGCCTTGGGATTACGACACCGGCGTTGATTTGGGTTGGGCGCTTGTTACAATGTGTACATTATAGGACTTGCATGCGATATAGAGCGTTGTCGAATACCCAAGCATCTACACGCATGAATCGAGCCTTGCTTACGGGAGCAAGAGAGAGAGAGAGAGAGAGAGAGATCGGCCCAACATACGGAGTAGGAAACGGCGGGTGTGTGTCTGTGGGATTCCGCCCCAGTGGGAGAATTCCGCCGAGTAGAAGAAGAAAAGTACAGTGAACGGTGACTGGGGAGGGACAAATTTCCTTGGCATGTGAGAGCAACTACTCCAGACCAGGGTCGTCCTGGTGTGACCGAGGAGTCTAACCATCCACGGAGAAGTTCGAATAAATAGACCGATAGATAGATAGATAGAAAGATATCGACCTCCAGGCTGAATGTTGTCTCCCGGTGTTGGGAAGCCAAGAAAGCAGCACCGGGCCAAGACAGAGGCAAAGGGATAGGTGATCAGGTGACGCAATTGGCATCCTTGTCCTCAAACTTATGAAGTCTGTGATCTCCTCTGACTTGTGACTTTGCTTGGCAGGCATGGGGAATCTGCACATCCGCGCAATGTCCTCGATAATTGGGGTCTTGGCAGTGCCTGGAATGGGGAAACGGAAGGGATGGCTTAGGGGAGGGCTGAACATACATACGGAGTACGGAGTAGTAGTAGTACTACTATGTAAGTAGTAGCAAAGGAATATAACTCCACACGGCCCATATTCGGGGAATTTCCCACGGCGCTGACAGGAGCATGATGAGTTGTGATTTCTGATATCCCAGGGATAACTAGGATCCCAGGGATAAGTAGGTAATCTGCTGTGTTATATGTTTACGGAGTAATGTTATAACTTGGCTGGAAGATGAACTGATGCTGGGAAAGGCTAGAACATGATCTCCCGTACTAGACTGTTTCCGGTAAGGCCCCATTGAACTGCTTGGCTGCTGAAACAGGCTTAGTGTGGGTGTGTGACCAAAGGTACCCCACGGTATCTGTAATTCTGTATCCGGAGCCGTACTGGAATTACCGGGGAACTTGTACCAGTGTATCTAGTTATGGACGTATCTAACCATCTAGGTCAATTAGCCGCTGCATGCCATGCCACGCAGACAGATACTACCCCATCGTCCGTACAGGGGCCGACCATTATCCATATGACCGTCCGGACAAGGATAGGGACCACGCTAAAGAAGGATGATAAGAATCCAGAAAAATCTAGCGGGGTAAGGGAGGAACAGTCATCGTGGCCCGTGGGACAGACGTGCATGAGCGGATAGACGGCATCGGGTCAGAGTCAGACTGACTGTCAGCCATGATCCAGCTGATAAGTTGCCTGGACTGTTGGTGTACAGATGACCTGGAAGGGGTGTAATATTCGCATTAACCTTATTATTTTCTTTTCCATTGTCTGGAGGATAATAAGGAGTAAATATACTTGAATACTTTCCTGGAGGTGGGCATGGAAGAGTTGGACTTGGATATCTACCTGTCTGCCAGTAACTGCGTCATCGCCGGAACTAGACTCGGGCAGACTCCAACCCTGCCAACAGACAGCATCGAATAGTCCAAAAGAAAAAGAGGCAAAGAACAAAAAGGGATTGAATCATATTAAAAACATTCAACGTCTCTCCGTGTGATTCCGAACACTTCGACTCCAGCGCCAAGGACGCTCTCTTGTTCATCGTTCATCGTCCATCGTCCATCCTATGTCACTGCCAAGATCGGACAGAAAAAAAGAGGCAAGAAATGGGGATTATTTAAATGGGCGCCATTTCCCTGATGGACAAATCCATTACTCCCTAGTGATGGACTGCAATCGAAAGGAACTCTTCAACCTCCTCCAGAAGATTCAGAAGAATAAGACGACGAAGTACTCCGTAGTACTCCGTAGGAATTCATTATCTGACTCAAAGCTGGTTTCCTCTCCAACTTGATCCGTCGCCGCTATTGCCGCCGCCGTTCAATAATACTCATAATCATAATCATAATCATAATCAATATCTTCTCTTCTTTTTCCTTTCTTTCTTCCTTTGTCTCTCTCTCTCTCTCTCTCTCTTGTCGATCGTTCTGGCTGCAATCTGGTGCATCATTCTCACCACTTATCTTACCAATAAAACAAAATCCTTCCCTCCCCCCCCCTCTAAAGCCAGCAGACAACACCATTCTTCTCTTCCTTTAATTCCCGACCAGTGGCGAGTTCAAGTCTTAAGGTAGTGAAATTTCCTTCCCACCGATTATCCCGTATCGGCCATCCCGCCGTCTCCGTCCACAAGCTTAGCTTGCCCTGTTCGCCGTACGGAGGACGCTCGACCAGACTTTTGCTCCTCCACTAAACTACGACTACGACTACTACTCTCCCTCTCCCTCTCTCTTTCATCAACTTTCTCCCTCTTCCCAATTTCATTCCCATCTGGTTCACTTGCGGACTATATGTTCGAATCTCCCTTCGAGTCGCGGTCGCATCGGTAATTGTATGGTCTGAAAATCGATACGACGCCATCGTCACACCTCGCCTGGCTTCCCTGCAATTTCATACCCGTGGAGGGGCATGCGTTCCACATTGCGGTTTTCTGACCAGTCCATATGACGTCTCAAGCGTCTGAATTTGCCAACACTGCGAACAACATGGATTCTGGTAAGCATTCAATCGTTTCATTCTTCTGTGTTGGTCGTCCCCTTCTAACGCAGGGCTACCCGGACAGCAACTCGCCCAACTCAGGAGCAACCTCCGGCCCTGGCTGGCCAGGCTACGGATGCCTACGACCACGAGTCCATGCACAAGGCACATCCCAGTCAGGTTCGCTTCTCGACCATCACCGAAGAGATCGAACCGCCCGAGTTATCGGAAGCTCTCCAGACCCCCCCGCCGGACTCCTCGGCACCTCGGAAAGATGACGAAGACTTGCGCGCTTTAGCGGCGAGCCTCCAGTCATCGCAATTGCAGGAGACCCGGCTGCGGAACTTTTCCTACGATCCGATCTCTCTTCCATCATCAAGGGTACGTCACCGGCTGCTGATCTGGCAAGGCCGCCCGTTGTTCATGCTGGCTATGTCCCCCAAGTCAATTGGGCACGGTTTTCGCTCTCCGCTCCGCAGGCAATCCCGCTAACAAACAATCCCCTCCCCTACAGGCCGTCTCCCGGGAGTCCAGCAATCGCAGTGCCCGAGAAATGAATGGTTCCGTCTTGCCATCTCCCCGGGCGTCCCCCATGCAATCGCCTCCTTTGACACCGGCAGCCACCCATTCTCGTGAAGCGAAACATCACGACGTTCCTCCTGTCGCCCATCCGACGAACAGCGTGGCCGCAATGACCCCACAGACCTCTCCTCCCGTGATCGGCGAAACGAGAGGTGTCGCCCAGAGCGCGCCCTCGTCCCGACCGTCGTCAACCGATCAGTTGGCCAAGCAGATCGATGTGTCGAAAACGTCATCTCACCCGTCGAACGGAGGCAAGCATCGGGCCCAATTTTTCCTCGGACCCGGAGCCGAAGCCAGCTCTCAGGAAGAAAGTCCGCCCATGACTCCGAGAGAGTTCACCCCACCCGGCACCATCACACCGGTTGGAGAACCCAATGATCCCTACGCTCGCAGCAAGCGGCCGCCGCAATCCAAGAACCTCACTCAGATTGATGCCCGCTTTATCTTTGGGGGCCGTGATTCCAAACGCCGCAGCCAGCACTCGTCCACATTTGGTCGCCCTGGCACCCCCCGCTCCGCCAGTGCGGGGGACCTCAAGTCCAGTGACAAGCGGAGTGGCATCTTCAGCAGCCGGAAGGACCCGCGACAGAGCGAGGGAGAAGGGAAACATCATGGCCATATGTCGGAGCTCAAGCGGTTCTTCAAGATGGGCCACCACAAACACAAGCGAGGGGAGTCCCCCTCCTCCTCCTCCGCCATGCCCAAGCGCTCGAGTCGCTCTTCCGCCAAGAGCACCCCTTCAGAGCAAGTCCCATTTGCCGATGACCATGGATTGAACTCGAAATACGGCAAGCTCGGCAAAGTCTTAGGCTCGGGTGCCGGTGGCTCGGTCCGGTTACTGAAGCGCAACAGCGATGGCGTGACGTTTGCTGTGAAACAGTTTCGGGACCGCCATTCGTGGGAGACATCGAAGGAATACTCCAAAAAGGTCACCGCTGAATTCTGCATTGGGTCCACGCTTCATCACGGCAACATCATCGAGACTCTGGACATCATCCACGAAGGGAACCATTGGTACGAGGTCATGGAGTATGCGCCTTTTGATCTGTTTGCCATCGTCATGACCGGGAAGATGTCGAAGGACGAGATCGCCTGCTGTTTCAAGCAGATTCTGAGTGGAGTGGCCTATCTACACGGAATGGGCCTGGCCCATCGCGATCTGAAGCTCGACAACGTCGTGGTCAATGAACATGGCATCATGAAACTGATCGATTTTGGAAGCGCCGTTGTCTTCCGATACCCCTTCGAGAATGACATTGTCCCTGCTTCTGGTGAGTCCAACGCCCGCTTGGTTCGGGGATTGTCCGTTAACGAGAATTTGGCTACAGGCATCGTCGGATCCGATCCTTACCTCGCCCCCGAGGTTTACGACGAAAAGAAATACGACCCCCGCCCTACCGATATCTGGTCTTTGGCTATCATCTTCTGTTGCATGACTCTGCGACGGTTCCCCTGGAAGCAACCCCGCGTTAGCGACAACTCATACCGGCTTTTCGTGTCCAACCCAACACCCGGAACTCCAGTTCCCGATGCTGATCCCAAGCGTCACCGACCCATCAAATCAGCTCCCAATCTGGGAGCAGTGGCCGACGAGAGCAAGCCAGATCAGTCAGCGGAGGATAAGACCGGACCCAGTGAAGCATCGGCGCAGTCGGATTCGGAAAAGAAACCAGTCAGGTCGACTTCCGCTACCAGCGAGGAGAATCGGCTCCCGGAGAGTCCCAAGGACCAGACGAATGGGAACCTCAACAAGACCACCCGGACAACAAGCAAAGAGGCACCTCCACTCCCCGCTTCGGCGCAGGCAGCAAGCCAACGTCAGGAAGTGATCAAGGGTCCCTGGAGACTCCTCCGGATTCTACCCCGTGAAAGCCGATATATCATCGGTCGCATGCTCAAGGTCAGCGTCAAGGACCGGGCCACTCTGGATGACGTTTTGACCGACGAATGGGTTCGAAACATCCAAGTTTGTCGTCAAGAGGTTACTGGCGAGGTCACCAAAGCCGACAACCATACCCATGTTCTGGAGCCTCCCTCCCCTTCGCAGCCGGTCCCCAGCAAGGCCAAATGAGCTAGCTCATCTCGATGATCTCTCCTTCTCTCTCCATCCTTCGTGCATAGATTCCTTTCCAACGCCCGTACGAACATGATCATCCCTTCCCCCCCTTCTCCTTTCTTTTTGGTTACTTCGGCTTCATTCTTATCAAACTCTCATCTGTTGACCTTCTTCCGCTTCTTGTTCCCTTGACCTGCCTTATCTTTTATGATCCCCTCTGGCTGCCCTAAATTCGCTATGATGATCGGTTTAGCCTCTCTCTTTTGGTGGGCGGCCGTTTGTTTTCCACTTGACCTCCTTGATTGTGCGGGCTGAGCTTCCTCTTCCTCTCATTCTCTTCATCAAATCAAATCGTCCTTGTGTATCATTTTATTCGTTGATCTCAGCGTTGGCAAAAAGGATTCGATGGTGATGTCTTTTATTCTTCCTTGCGGCGTAGTGGTCCTTTTTCTTTCTTTCTTTTTTATCTTTTGACGGGTGGACTGCCGAAGCAACTTCCGACTCCCAGGATAGAGGGGTTGGCTGTTAGATTTCTCAATTCTTCTTCTTCTTTTTTTTTCACGTTCTTTGTTGCCTGCGGTACTCCTTTATTATCAGTAGTAGTGTGATTATGAGGGCCTCTTGTTTATATGCACCTGTCTCGAATTGTGTATCCACGAGGCAGAGTGGTTAGGTAGATATTATAAATCAAAATCAATGATACGCATGAGACGGTCCACCACCCAGTAGAAGCACTGGCATTTTCACTCTATAGTAGTCGTTCATGAAGCTATTGACGTATGGGCGCGGAGATAACGCGGATTTTAGCGCTGGCTCGAAGCCCTGCGGATATCGGAGTTGATCGAAATCTTGAGCTTCTTCAACCTTCACACGGACTTCCACGGCGTTGTCCCATTTCAACGACCACCTCCGCTGGGCCAATTGACTCCGTTTTGGTCTCGATTGAGTACTGCCATCGGGAGTCTTGTTTAGCTTGAAATTCAAGCCACTGTGCACCGCGCTGCTTCGGCCAGACATGTTGAGGTAGAACGTGACTCAATTACATTCGAAAGACACTCGAACTCTCCATCTCCCATGGCCCAGCAAACAGAAGCGGCGCCATTGGTCTCCTTATGGAGCAGATCTCTTATTGTATGCCATATTCCTTTTGATTAGTCTCTAGCATTGCAGAGCGATATCCCTCCTTGGGACCTTCTCCGGTTTTCCCTCTCGAAACACTCAGCTAATGTTTGTCCTCCCCACTTCCAGTCCGGCGCAATAGCCGGCCTCACCGTGGATTGCTCGCTGTACCCGCTGGACACGATCAAAACCCGGCTCCAGAAGGCTAGACACCATGCGCCATCCGCGCCCTCGCCCAACCTTTCCCTCCGCCAAACCATCCGCGGCATCTACGCCGGTCTCCCCTCGGTGCTCTTCGGCTCCGCCCCCTCGGCCGCCTCCTTCTTCATCGTCTACGACGGCGTCAAGCGCTCCCTCCTGCCCCCGGTGGCCACCGACGCCCCGTCCCGCACCCACATCGTCCTCACACACTCGCTCGCCTCGTCGATGGGCGAGATCGCCGCGTGCGCCGTGCGCGTCCCCACCGAGGTCGTCAAGCAGCGCGCCCAGGCCGGCCTCTTCGGCGGCTCCAGCCTGCTCGCCCTCAAGGATATCCTGGCCCTGCGGCATCCGGACCCGGTGACGGGCGCGCGCCGCGGGTACGCACAGGTCGTGCGCGAGCTGTACCGCGGGGCGGGCATCACGATCGCCCGCGAAATCCCCTTCACCGTCCTGCAGTTTACCATGTGGGAGTCGATGAAGGAGGCGTATGCCAAGCGCATGCTTGTGGCGGGCAGCACGGGCGCAACGTTGGACGCCGGCACACCGGTCCAGGTGTCTGCGTCCACGAGCGCTGTGTTCGGCAGCGTGGCGGGCGCGATTGCCGCGGGGCTCACGACACCGCTGGATGTCATCAAGACGCGGGTGATGCTAGCGCGGCGCGGGGATGGGGGCACGCGGGTGCGCATCCGCGACGTGGTGCAGGAGATCTCGGCGGAAGGGTTCGGGGCGTTCTGGCGCGGCATTGGGCCGCGGGTGGCCTGGATTGGAATCGGGGGCGCGGTGTTCCTGGGGAGTTACCAGTGGGCGTGGAATACGCTGGAGCGGAAGCAGGAGTCGGAGAAGGAGTTGGAGTAGAGCTGAGACGATCTGTCTGGCCACTGCTTTGTGGGCCTATATGTATAGCCTTTCCCTTGTTCTAGAGCCCAATAGAAATACAAATACCAAATCAGATACATGTACATATACAACATACCTACCTATTCATGAATACAATCCACCAACTTACGCCTCCCCTCAACAACCACCCCATCTGCCCAACACTCCTCCTCAACCCCGGAACCATCGTCTTGTAAGTGTAGGTGTAGGTGTAGGTGTAGGTGTAGGAGGGAAGTGATGGAGATGGTGGAGGGAGGTCGTAGTATGGAGGTCATCGCGATGCATGATATCAGCAACCCACGTCGTGGGAGACTCGAGATTTGAGCAACTCTGTTGTTGGTGTTGGTGTTGGGTTTGATATTTGGAATCTCATTGGATTGGATGATGTTTTTTTTCTCAGTCTCATGTGCGTTTTGAACTGCTTGATTCCCCTGGGGTGGCGTTGGCCAAGCTGCGTGTTAAGCTGCATTCGGATGGATAGTTATTAGTTCCTCGTTGATGGATGGGATACAGTAGTTAGTAGTAAGTAGTTAGTAGTAGTAGTAGTAGTAGTCTAGTTCAAGAGACAAAGCCATCTGCTCATTTTAATCTCATAATCATAATCATAATCATCATCTTCCTCTTCCTCTTTCTTAGCACTTCAAGTGACACTATCTCTCTCTCTCTCTCTCTCTATCACTCCATCGCTCTGACATCCTCCTCCTCCTCCTCTTTTCCCTCCATCTCCATCTATCCGTCCTACTCTCATTTCCATCCCTTTTCTCTATTCTGAATTCTTGTACATTATCGTCCTGCCGGACATTCTATCCCCTAAACCCAACATCTGCACGTTCGCTGATCGATCACTCCCTCCCCTCCCAAACTGTTTGGCGGATAACACTCCGCAATCCACTTTCCCCCCCCCCCCGTCTCCTCTCCAAGTCTCCTTCTAGACTCTAGTAGGTAGTGCCACATCTTCCGACCTCTCAGGCTGTCACACAGTCACACTGCATGGCACGGAAACCAAGTCAACAGAGGGTCGCTTATGGTTAGTCTTTCTTTCTCTTCTGTGTGCACTGTTTCGCTCAATGCCAATATGCCAATCACGCGACATGCGTCTTATCTGACTTGTGCGCCAACTTAGTGCTCCCTCTGCCTGATGCGCCGGGTGGTCATCGACTCGGCGTCAACAGCTTGACCGTTGACGAAGACAATTCTATCCTGTGAGCGCCCCTTCCTTCTCTCGGCCTTCTGTGGGTTTTCTGTGGCTTCTTATCGGCTGGAATTCAAAGTCGTTGTCCTCGGTCAGAACACCGCGCGCTAACTTCCACTCCCCTCTCCCCCCTCAAGGTACTCCGCAGGTCGCGATGGAGTGATCTGCTCATGGGATCTCAACCTCCCCCTCTCCTCCACATCCAAGAAGCCATTCCCAACCCTGGGCGCGCAGAAGCCCGGGCCGACGACCTTCAGACACCAGGTGCAGGCCCACAGCCACTGGATCAACGACATCGTCCTCACCCAGAACAACTCGGCCCTCGTATCGGCGTCCTCGGACACCACTGTGAGACTATGGCGGCCGCACTCAGACTCCACGGAAGTCCCAGCGCCCATCGGGAAACACACAGACTACGTCAAGGCCCTTGCAACACCCGGCAGCCACGCCAACTGGGTCGCCTCAGGAGGCCTCGATCATAAGCTTTACCTGTGGGATCTGAATGGCGGCGGAGAGGTCTTGAACGTCGATGCCTGCGGAGGCGAGAATACGGCGAAAGGCTCCATCTATGCCCTGGGTGCGGTTTCCTCGGTGCTCGCCAGCGGCGGGCCGGAGAGCGTGGTTCGGCTCTGGGATCCCAAATCTGGGAAGCTCATCACCAAGTTCGTCGGTCACACAGACAACATCCGCGACATCCTGATCAATCGCGACGGCGATAAGATCTTGACCGCCTCCTCGGACCAGACAATCAAGATCTGGTCTGTGACCGCGGGACGATGCATGCACACCTTGACCATGCACAACGATAGCGTCTGGTCGCTCTACTCCAACCATCCGCAGCTGTCGGTCTTCTACTCAAGCGACCGCTCCGGCCTAGTCGCCAAAACCGATACGAGAGACTCGCCGGATGTAGAGCAGGGAATCAGTGTCGCTGCGTTGCAGGAACACGAGGGCGTGATCAACGTGGTCGCCGCCGGGGATTACATCTGGACAGCCACGCCCAAGTCCAGTATCAATCGGTGGTACGATATCGACACCGCTGCCGAAATCGAGCCGCCTGTGTCGAGAGAGGTCAAGAGTTCTTCCGGGTCGGAAACTGCCGCGTCGGAGGATTCCTCAGCCCAGAGCGGACGGCGCACCAAGATCCCGTATGAGTCGATTTTACAACTATCAAGCACCTCGATCTTCCCCAAGTCGCGGATGCCTCCAGGCACATTGATGCCCTTGATACCGAATGGACAGCAGCCCCCTACGGCCGACGTGGATGACGAGCTGGGTCTGACTCTCCCCGTTTACGCTCTACCGGAGGAGACGATCGAAGGTCAAGACGGGTTGATCAAGCACTGTCTACTGAACGATCGCAAGCGCACACTTACTCAAGACTCTGCCGGAGAGGTCGTTCTGTGGGATCTCTTGAAGGTATCATCAGCCCCACAGTAGCTGTGAAGAGGCTCCGCTAACATTTTTCTCAGTGTAAACCAATACAATCGTTTGGCAAGCGCCATATGGACGATGTCGCGAATGAGATCAATACCACCGAGACCATCGCTCATTGGTGTACGGTTGATATCCGGACGGGCCGACTGTCTGTCATCTTGGAGCTCAATCGTTGCTTTGACGCCGAGGTCTATGCGGACGAGGCGGATCTGGCGGATTACTCGCAGATGCGGGAAGATCAGAGAAGTATGTGGACCGGCTTCTATTGTGCTTTCCAAACGCATGGTCGCTAACCTTGCATAGTCAATCTGGGCAAATGGGTCTTGCGTTGGCTCTTTGCTCCCCTGGTGGATGAAGAAATTGAACGAGACCAGCAATATCGGGCCACGGCTATTGCAAAAGCTGAAGAAGCAGCCAGACAGCACACATCGACTACCGCGCCGATGGATATCCCATCGCCCAATGCGCCCAGGAATCTGGGCCTTCAAATCCCTTATGATCCGTCATCGCTCGCCTTCCGCCCTGGAAACGAATCGTTCGGGAGCCCTACGACGCCGGGCTTTGGGATTCATCTCGCCAACACTCCAGGGTCGCTCACCTCCTCCATGCTCAACAATCACAACCACCACATGGCCACATCACCAGGAGAGTTCAACGACCACCTGGCCTCGCCCCAGGCTCCCGATTTTGCGAGGAATTCCATGTCGGATAAATCTGACTATTTCTCGCCCACGAGACCTCACGGGCCCACGGACAGCGACAGGAACCCAACCACCCCGGGAGATCCGACGCCAACTGCACTTCCTCAGTCACCGGTCGAGCCCGATAATCAGGAGCGGAAGAGAACCGGATCGTTGTTCGGTAAGAAGTTTCGGATGGACTTTCCCAAAAAGTTGGGCCGGACTTCCACGGAGGTGAAGCCACAAGTACCAGAGGAAAAAGCGGAGGAAGTCGATGAGTCCCTGACTGTTAAAGAGGAGAAGGTGTTTGAAAGCAATCTTGGCGGTCTGGTAGAGAAACTCCGCCATGAGTATGATGAATTTCTCGCAGCAAACCCCGGCCAGGAGCTGGTGTCGACCATCACTCCCAGTCCAGAGAGCGAGGCGCCGATGCTGGAGATTCCGCCGCGCACAGCTGTCATCATTCAGGAGGAATCTGGGGATACTGCTGTGGCCTCAGATCTTTACAGAGGCAGTGTCGGGAGTATCCGGGAGGAAATTGACAAGCTCGAGAAGTCGATCCCAATGTGGCTTGCTGAGTTGCTCTTGAAGGTGAGCAGCTTTTTTTTTTTTTTTTTTTTGTCTTCTTCTTCTTTTCCTGGCCGCGGGATCGACCCAGTTAACGCTCGTACAGAACCAACTGCCTTTGAAGGAACCTGTGAAGATCGCTTTCATTCTCAAGCCCTACGACGACCTACTGCCACCCGTTGCCAAACCAGACCTGTAAGTCCCCAACCTTGACCCCTGCGCTTGCTGGACTTCAGCTGACACATGTATCTTCTAGATCGGTACCCAATGCCGCTAACAATTCACGCCTGAATGCCAACCGGATGCTGCGCGCGAAGAAGATTCTCGCGTATGTGGCGGAAAGGATCGACCCTTCGAGCTCGGAAGAACCGCCGGAGGGAGCACTGAAACCTGAGGAATACCTGGAGCTCTACTGCCACAACATGGTATTTACACGCGCTCGTCCAATTCTCTCCAGCCTGACTAACCTTGATTCAGCTGATCCCATCAAACATGACTCTCGCGACGATTCGCGCCCACATCTGGCGGACTGGAGGGGATATGGTCCTGTTCTACAAGGCGAATGGAAAGAAGGAGATACCCATGCCCGGGCCCGGAAACGAAGGCGACCACAGCAATCACACGGCCGACGTGCCTCCGAGCCAACCGCATTCGTTAGAGCCAGGCCTGCGCAGCGGAGATGCTGATGCTCAGCCCAGCAGTATTCATTCCATGGCAGCATCGGGATCAGGCTCTGCATCAATCCACAACTCGTGAGACGCGTAGAGAAGGACATTCGTAACCTTTACCGACTTCGAGGATTTAACTGGCTGGACTCCTGCAGCGTATTTTGTCTCTGTTTTGTGGTTCTTTCCATTCCATCTCTTTGATATCTCTCTCACATACCTGGAGTTGGCATCTGATGCCTGTGATCTATGGTCTGTGGCGAGCCGAGCTGCAATTGTGTAGAACACAATGTACTTGATCGATGAATTAGCGTCAGCGATGCTCCAGCGAAGGAGCATTAATGTTGAACTGTTTTTTTTTTTTTCTATTTTTATTTTGTTTATATTATATTGCTACACCGTATGCAGTGTGCACTCCGTTGACAATATATATATATATGTATCTCGGTGATGCTGCTGCCAAGAATCTGCAGAACAGTCTCCCATCTCCATCTCTTTCTCCCTCTTCATCCTCTCATCTCCAAATCAAGCCAGAATGATCAATGGCTGCTACATCATGTCTCTCCCGACAATTCACTCCAAAGGCCATCTCAGCCTCCCAGTTTCTAGAGCACTTTCAACGAGCATGGACCGAGTCACGTCTCTCCTGGGCGGGCTGGCAAAACCCACGCCGTACCCCTAGGCACCTTGGCCTCGCCGTAAGCGGCGGCGCCGACTCCATGGCCCTAGCATACCTGTGCAAGCAGCTAGAGACGCAGAAGCTCGTCCCCGATTTGCGCGTTACAGCCTTTGTGGTCGACCACAAGGCGCGCGAGGAGAGTTCCCGCGAGGCGCGGACTGTCGCCGGCTGGCTTGCGGATCTAGGTATTGCCAGCACGCCCATCCCCCCCCCCCCCCCCCTCACTCCTCCTCTAGTCAGAAAGGGTATTAGGGATTCGCGTCAGACAGGGCTAACTCGATTCTACAGGACTGGACGCTCAGATTCTTGAGCTTGAATGGCCGTCGTCCGCCAATGTCTCCGCGTTCGAGACGCACGCCCGCCGCCTGCGCTTCCAGGCCCTCGGCCGCGCATGCGCCGACAGAGATATTCCCGCCCTCCTCATGGGCCATCACCAGGACGACAACGTCGAGACTACCCTGTGGCGCCTCTCTTGCGGCGCGCGCGGCGCCGGCCTCGCGGGCATCCCTGCCGTCGCGCGCATCCCGGAATGCCACGGCCTCTACGGAGTGTCGGAGAGCGGGTCGAGGAGGACGCTGCTGGCGGGCCGTGGGCCAGCGCCGCAGGAGGAGAAGGAGCATGGCGACAGCAGCACCACCAGCACCACCAGCAGCGGTAAAGATGGCCACCGCCACGACCGAATCACCATGGCCGCCGGTGGCATCCTCATCTGTCGCCCGCTTCTGGCCTTCCCCAAATCCGCCCTCCTCGCCACCTGCCACGCCCACCGCGTCCCCTTCGTCTCCGACCCAACCAACTTCGATCCCACCCTGACCCCGCGCAACGCTATCCGCGCCCTCCTGGCCTCGTCCGCGCTGCCCCGCGCCCTCCACCCGCCCTCTATCCTCTCCCTCACGCGCGCCAGCCACGCCCTCCTCGACACAGCCCTGGAGCACTCAAACGCCCTCCTCCGGCAATGCAGCCTGCTCGACTTCAACGCCGCCGCGGCGTCAATGGACATCGCCTTCCCGGGCCCCCTCACTCCTCTGCCAGCAGCAGCAGCAGACCCCCAGATCCACGCCCTCACTCTCCGCCGCATCACGGACCTCATCGCCCCGCATCCGCAGAACCACTTCCCCCTCCCGAGTTTCGAGAAGCTCGCTGCCCACATCTTCCCCTCCCCATCCCTCTCCACCCCGCAACCACACCCCCAAGCAGAAGCCCGAGTCCAAGTACATGCACAGCCCGGCCGCCCCTTCACCCTCGGCGGCGTGCTCTTCACCCCGCTGTCAACCAACAGCAACAGCAACAGCAGGAATACATGGCGTCTCGCCCGCCAGCCCTTCATGCGCCACCGCCTCCCCACGCAGGCTGTGCAGATTCCCCCCACCGCCGCCGCGGCGGAGACCTACTCGCCCTGGACGCTCTGGGACCATCGGTTCTGGATGCGGTTTGCCGTCCTCCCCGATCCCGATGTGTCGGTGTCGGGACGGACGTATCGGCCCGACGAGCTGGAGGCCGTGCGGGCGTGTTTCGCGGCGCGGAATGTCTCGTTGCGGGTGCGCCCGCTGCAGCAGGCCGACTTGCAGGTGCTGCGGCGGATAGCTGGTGAGGGAGCCGGAGGGGGAGGGGGAGGGAAAGATGCTGCCTTGATGGCGCTATTGGATCGACTCGCGAGGGATGCCCCCGGGCAGACCCGTTTCACTGTCCCTGTGCTGGTCATGGAGCACGCTTACCAGGGTCATGAGGGTGAAGTTCTACTAGCGTTGCCGACGCTGGATTGCTGGTTGCCCTCCGCCTCCCAGGCGCAGGAGCTACTCTCGTGCCCGATACCATGGACAATACGGTGGGAATGGATGTTCAAGTCAATTGATGAGGTTCCTTTGAAATTAATGGCTTGGCTATGAGGTAAACCGCTATTTGCTATACACGTACAAGAAAGAGTATGAGATGCTGGTTGAAGAGCTGGGAAGGCAGAACGAAACAATGGAAAGACCTGATCCGTGCAGGCTTGGACGTATCTCTTCGTCCTGGCCATCTGAATTCGGATCAAAAAATAACAAAAGAAAAGCCTTGTCGACATGATAAGGAAATAGTGGTATCAAAAGATGGAACCAGAGACAAGGTCGGGTTGGTGCCCGTGCCATGTGTAGGAAAAATAACGAGAACCCCAAAGCAAAAACCATACCAACCAACGATTATCACTCCCCCGTAAGATGCATGAAGTCGTGCTCATTGCAGGGAGCCTGTATCAAACCAAGAGACAAAAAAAAAAGAGGACAGCTGAACGTGGCTCGGAGGTGGCCAGCCACAATACTCCTTGGGCGCGAACGAGAAAGACACATCGACGGCATGATCGTTTATTCACTGGCCTTCAACAAGGCTACGGCGGCTTGCTGCGCACGCAAACCGCTAGCCTCCCGCTTCAATCTGAAGTTCTCCTTCTTGAGTCTTCCGATCTCCTCCATGGCCTCGGATAATTGGGCCTTCAAGGCTTCTTCCACACTACCCGATCGCACATCTCTTACAATCTTCCCCAGCTCCAGGTTGAATCGATCGTACAACGCCTCATTCTCCGCGCTCGCTTCACGATATAGCTCGTCCAACTTCTTTGCTCGTTTCTCACTGACAACCAGAGACGATTCCAGATCTCTCTCGATTGCAGCAGTTCGGCCGTTCAGCTCTTGCGAGAGCACCTCAAACTTTGACTCCAGATCCTGAAGATGGTGAGAGAGGACCACCGCGTCTGTTGCCGCTAAGAATGAAGGCGGATCCAAAGACCCAGGGTCTTGTGTTATTAGCCTGGTCTGTTGAGGCGCGGTGACCTTCAACGCTTCCAACTCCTGGCCGATCAGAGCCAACTCCTCTTTAAGGCCCAGTTGAGCAGAGATTTGCGTCCTCTTCTCACTCTGGAGACGATCTCGAAGCTGTAAATTGTCAGAGAGCGAAAGGGGCTTTTTGGGACAGACAACAAAAAGCCAGGGCACAGCAAATGAATCTAACTTACCTTCTGTGGGCTCTGCATTCGCAGTTTGAGCGATCTTTGCGCGGAGTGCAGAGCTTGCGGCCGTTTGGGATCAGACGCTTTGACCAAGCCAGGCCGCTCCTTCAGTCCAACACTTCGGGATGATGGAATGCTGGTTGCCCGAGACCTTCTCTTTAGATCTTGAGTTGGCGAAACTGAGGCATCCCCCTTTTCTCTTTGTGGCCGATCCGTTCGACTCAAAGTGGGATCGATGTTTTCTTTGCGGCTAGGGGTGGCTGGTCGAGTGGGTGATCGTCGGCTGGGCGAGGGGAACCGAGTCGGGGAACTACTCTTTGCGGGGGACGTGCTTCTTGCAGTTGAACCGGAACCGTGACTTGTCTGCGGCCTGGGCTGGGTGGTTGGGGTCATTAGTTCGCTACCAGAGGGATTGCCGGATGATACGGGAGTAGAAGGCCTCGGGTTTTGGTTCGGGGAAACGGCAGAGGTCTCTGTGGAGGCTGTCCCTGGACGGAGATCAGACAACGAGCTCCGTCTTCTCCTTCGAGCCTTGACTACTCCGTTGGTTGGGATCCCTCGAAGTGAGGAGAGCGACGGCGGCTGTCCTTGCGAGCTGTCGGGTCGTCGAAGATGCTCCTGAGATGAAGCTGCGCTGGCGCGATCGCGAGAGCCGGGGCGTAAGAGAAGGCCGAGACTGCTATCAATGTCTATTGACTTGGAACGCAGCAGTGAGCCGCGAGAAGTGTTGAATTCCGACTCGCCGGAGCCCTTGCCCTTGCTAAGAGTTCGCAAGATCGACGAAACCTTGCTTTCTCCCTCCATCTTGGAGCCGTCTCGATGCAGGCTAAAGCCAAATCGTTTTCGGAAAGAGGATGCATTGGAACTGATGGAACTTGCGTCTCGGGCACTTGGTTTGGTCTGGTCACTGCTTAGGATGCCGTCGAGTGACGCTCCGGATGGTATGAACTCGTCAAAAAGATTATCAAAGTCATCCACGAGTCGATCCAAGAGGGAGATATGCTGCATGGGGTCTCCTTCAGTGGTGAGAATTTCGGCGAATGCCGCAGTCAAGGCACCTCGATCGCCGTCATTCCCCGATGCATCGAGCAATTCTGCCAATAACCGTACCAAGGACGCCAGTGCACGACGATTTTGAGGGCTGATGTCCACGAGAAACTTCCTGAAATTCTCCTCGAAGTCGCGAGGAAACATGGTATCGAACTGATTCTGAATCTGTTTCAATACGCCAGGGTCTATCACGGGGCCCATATGCTCCTTCCATGCATTCGCCATGAATGTCTCGAAAGCGACAAACAGGGTGTCAACGGGCACTTCTGCTGCGGCTTGGATTTTCCCAGGATCTTCTAATAGGACATTATACAGCTCGTTAACTGATGACCGGTCAACGTTGTCCCTCGTCCTCAGGGTCCGACCAACAATGTTTCCACTGCGAGACTGCAGCGATAGGACATAGGCCGCGAAAGTCTGTTCTAGCAGGCTGAATGGACTGTCTGGGCCCTTAGACGGGCTCGTTCCGACGACGGAGATTTTGACCGGGGTCTCTTCCTTCCCGGGGAATGCCGAAGGCATCGTATTAGAGCGAGGAAGATTGGCCCGCGGAGGGGGCATCTTTGGGAATTCTCCAAGTAAGGTTGCGGAGTTGGGCGCCTTGAGGCTTGATGCACTAGGGTCTTTCGACTGTCCACCGCCAGCGCTGCCGCCCAACAGGCTCGAGAGGAGCTTGGTGGGCGAAGGAGGTCGAAAGCCGCGCGATGCCTTGATCTGCGTGATGAGATGACCGGCGAGATATCGCAGAATCTCAAAATTCGAATGGATTATTGATTCCGTCATGGTCCGGTTCCGGGGTCCGTGTAGGGGCATCAGCGTGTTGAGCACTATGCATAAATTAATATGGGAGGTCTTTACAGGGGCCATTGAGTATCACTGTGGGAGGAGAGCAAGAACTTACGTCGTTTGGACAGCACAGGAACGAAGCTATCCGCTGTTACGATATCTGAGGAACTAACACCGACCGCCGAGTCCATGTCGACTCGATATTGGTCGTCACTCGAGGAGGAGACTGATACAATGGCCTCCACATCTGAGGTGCTTAATGCCTTGCTGCAAATAGTGCGGGGAGTATCAAACACAACTCTGATCTTCGACAAGCTAGTCCGAGTCAACACGGTGTCCTGCTCCTCCTCCAGGACGCAGGCTAAAATCCCGATGTTCCCAACCGTGCCCGTGGGACTTCTGAGCGTCCATCTGCCGTTCTCTCTTTCGGACTCGGAAAAGCGGCCCTCGATTTTTGCCTTGACAATCTCTTCGATCAGTCGACTGGCCCGTCCCTCATACATCCCATTCAGCTCCAGAGCAAAAAGATCAACGGTGGTATTCTGATTCGGCTTTGTTTTGGCTGATGTAGGCGCGAGGAAGAGAATGCGTCCGCAAGTGGATTGCATGGAACGTACGGTGTGCAGATCGTAAACTTGCGCAACCCTAATATCTGGCGCGGTCTGCAGACCAGGTGAGGTCATGGGACCTGATGCGGCGCTGTCGAGGTCTGCCAGCAACCCGCGCGCAGTCGTTCTGCTTCCGGGCGTCCTGGCTAGGAGTACAAGACAGTTCTTGTAGATCAGCATGATGCCCGAACCCTGACCCTGAGGAGGGTTGTCCAGGTGGTATGGGGGGGACAGCTCGTTGAAATCAACTGCCGTGATTAGGCGTCCGGTTGGTAGGATGGTTGCGGGCCACCCATCCACCAGCTCTTTCAAACGCCGAAAGCTCTGGTCGTGATTCGTGGATGACGGATCATCCAGCGAGCATATATCCTTGATCACATCTCGAGCTTTCAGGAGCGGTTTCACGGCGGGATGGATCAAGGGAAGACTGCTGGTCATCGTGTCGATCAAGAGGCTGTACCGAGGCAGGCGTTGAACGGGTTCCATTAGTAAGGATCGCAACTGTTGTTCCCCAGTCTCATAGACTCTTTTGGAGAAACTCGAGTTCCTGTCCCTCATGAATGAGTTGAGGGTCTGTGTGAAGCCCGTGTGGGCACGCATGTAGTCCGCATAGGGCTGTGAGAAGCGCGGAAACCACTCCAGCAACGCATTTGCGAATGCGACAGCACCCATGGCATCTCTCCCTTCCCTGGATGACATGCGATGGGCCATGGACGACGGAAGCTCTGTGTCATCCCCAATATCTGCGATGGCTTCCCGCTCTGTTTCTTCGAGAACGTGGCGGATGACTTCCAGAAAACCAAGGTTCACGTCCAGGATCTCGTTGAGGCATGGTGGGAAAAGGGTGGTCAGAGCGGCTTCGTCCGGGCTGGTACTGGAGGGTCCGCGACCTTGTGCTCTGATGCGAAATTCCTCGGCCACCTCCCGCACCAAACTATAGAGCTTACTCACATATCTCTCCTCGGTATCGACCAGTTCGCACATGGTGAGGCGAAGGGATTCCTTCTGGCTTCTCGTGAAGATCCTGGATTTGCTCAAGTTGGTCGGCTGCGACGGCGCTCGTTTTAACCGCGAGGTCGGTAGGAACATGGGCGGCCCTAACGCCCTAACGAGGGGGGAGTACTGGCCGTACTGAAGGTCGGGATTATCCTCCGCGTCCAGAGCATCGTCATCGCAATCATTTTCGGGCCGGTGAGGGGGTTGTATCGTCCCCGTGGGGAACACCAGATCGATATCCACCCACGGTACTTTGCGTTCCTGGAAAGCGCCGCGTATGTCGCGTACAATGTCCGAGGTCTGGTCCACCTTTGTCATCCGGTTTGCCAGGTCCGCCGCGTGCATCTCGTCAAACAGCTTCGGTATCTTCCCACCTGGTTTCCCCGCGCGGGCGATTGTTTCCAAGCATTCCCGGGCGGGGTCGGACAACTCTGCAAAGTATTTCAACATGCTTACCGCAAGACCTCGACAGATCTCATCGCCTTGTTTCTCGCGCGGTAAATGATTGACAGCGGCATACAACGGCGCCGCGGGGGAGATGGTGATCCGAGGATAGCTCTGAAAGCCGGCGGGGGTCAAAATATGCGCCTGGATGCGCGAGCTGCTGACAGTGGCATTTGCGGTCGCGACGGGGCCGTAGAAGACGAAGATGGACGATAAGTAGGGATCGGACGCCTGATACAGAGCGAGCTGCTCCAAAGGCAAGTCCGACAGGGCGCTCGACACGGTCGCCATTGCGGGCGGATCTGAGGAAGGAAAGGAAAGGGAAGGTAGGAATCGCTGAAACGAGACCACGGAAGGAAGAAATCGGAGCTATATGTAAGCAGAGTATTAAAAGGAATTTAAGAAAAAAATTAAAAAAAAAAATTAGAGGACGAAGAGAGAAGAGAGTCAAGGGAAAAGAATCAAGGATGGACGATAGTAATAATGGAGCAGAGGAAGAATGAGCGACGGCAATAACAACAATAACAACAGTTACACGAGGAGCTGTAATAATGCGATCGAAATGGCGAGAGGGAATTAGTATGAATACATGCAGTGACGAACAGTAAAAGAGAAAGGAAAAGAACGAATGATGGTCCTCAGATCATGCAACGAGGGACAGAAGAGAGAGAAGAGGGGGACGAAGGAGAAGAGGAAGACGAAGAAGAGATCCCCTCCATGGGAAGAGAAGAAGAAGAAGAAGAAGAAGAAGAACAAGCGATGGAAATGGAGATGGAGGGGGAAGAAGAAGAGAGGAAGAAAGAATTCCTCGAGAACTTGTGATGTTTCCGACAGCCCTCTGTTTTTGTTGTCTTCTTCTTCTTCTTTTCTTGACCTTGTCTTTTTTTTCTCTCTTCTGTTTTGAACGGGAATAATAATATGCAGGAATATGCAATGCGATGCAATCCGAACGAATCGAGACGAGGGGATGGGGTGGTTCGAGTCGAGCGATGAGTTGTTACTTTGGCGGGAGGATTCTGGTTGGAGGAGGGAAGTATTCAATCACGCAGTTAAACCGACTAACAGTAACAGGAGTTGGGAGAGCAGAGAGATCAGCCGATCAGCCGGTGGAAGGAGTTATAAGAGATGAGTTGGATATGGATATGGGATATGGGATATGTGAAAAGATTCATCTGACTGTACACTGTAGTAGTAGAGAGAGAGAGAGAGAGAGAGGAAGAGTGGCTGGTGAGGGGAAGACAAGGCAGAGAGGGGAATCCACCATATACCTCCTATACTACCGTCTATACTACTTGATCCAGTAGTAGTACTAGTATCTAGTCAGCTATGATCGATCTATCCTCTCGATGCACACTCTCTATATTATATACGCTGTAGACTGTAGACTGTAGACTGTAGACTGTAGAATGTAGTAGTTATAGAGATGTTGACATGACACGTGTGCTTGCTCCTGGTCATACATATACATATACATACCTTAATCCTCTCAGAATATATTTATATACTCGGTAGGTTCCTATCTACTATGTATGTGAGCTCATATCAACTTTAGCCCGACGACCCAGAAATCAACCTAAAATAAACCATAATAAACAACATACGGACTACGGAGTACGGATGTGGAGAACTTGAAGCCCCCATCGGGAGATTATTTCCAAGGGACAACTGACCAGAACCAAGGTCATTGGATGTCACTCTAATAGTATCTACTATGTATACTACGTATATTATCTATCGACATAGTATCGCAGTCCATCGCTTGGATGTAAAGACGCAAGGATGCCTCGGACCATGAGAATGAGACAGAGATATTCAGTCAGCCTCCTTGCTTATGTCTCCCTGCTTGAGCCAGTAGTAGTGAAAGAAAGAAAAGGAAGAAAGCAGTCGGAGAATCCTCCCAGTACCTGATGGTATCATGGTGAGAGAGGTTGACAATGGCTCTCGGTAATGACTGTACAGTACCGGTACCATTCAAGCCACATAAATACAATACCATACCATATACCATATACCATACCCCCCAGATACACCTAAACCCCATTGAGTAAGCAACATCCAAAACGCTGAAAGAAGACCAGCTGTTGCGTTCAAACTCTCAACTCCAACACTCCTCCAACCCTGTCATTCCTCTCCTCTTCTTCCCTCCAGAGCGACAAGCGATGGTATGAGATTGCTCCCTTCTGCTTGAGCAATCTCCCCCCCCACCTTCCTTTCGTTTTAACAACCCCGCCCCCCCCCCGTCATGTCAACCTCCTCCCTCTCCATCGCCGTGGATCCTGTCGCTCTGGTGACTACAGAATGCATCACCGTCACCTCGTCCATGCGCAAACATGCCCGCTGGGCTCATTCGTCCGTCTCCGCCATCCTGGGCGGGAATGCTTCCTCCCGCGTCTATGAACGAGATACTTCCGCCCCCCCAAGCCCGCGTACGAGCTCAACTGCCTCCCGTCCTCGCTCGAGACTGTCCGCCGTGGACGATGATCATGCTCTGGCCAACCGATGGGGTTTGAGGGGGAAGAAAGGCAAGAGCATGCAGGACAATCCTCTCATCTCCGCATTCACACGGTTACGGAGCGATCTCAAGGATTGTAAGGACATTCGCACCTTCGACACTCCGGCTCTCCTCCATCCCTTCCTGCAGGTCATTCGCTCGTCCTCTACCTCGGCCGCCATCACCTCCCTCGCCCTCGTCGCTATCACCAAGTTCTTCTCCTACAACATTATCAACCGCGAGTCTCCAAGACTGTCGATGGCCATGCAGCTCTTGTCCGCCGCCATCACCCATTGCCGCTTCGAAGCCAGTGACTCGGCCGCCGATGAGATTGTCCTACTGAGGATTCTGAAGCTCATGGAGGGTATGCTCTCCCGGCCAGAAGGAGAGCTGCTCGGGGACGAAAGTGTCTGCGAAATGATGGAGACTGGTTTGAGCATGTGCTGTCAAGTGCGTCTCTCCGAAGTCTTGCGGCGTTCTGCCGAAATCGCCATGGTCAATATGTGCCAGGTCATCTTTTCGCGATTGTCGCACCTCGAAGTGACCGAACCCCTCGAGCCCGGCCCGTCGAAAGCCACAGGAGACGACGGAGAGCAGACCGCAGGCCTCAAGATGGATCCTTCGGTCAATGGAGATACTGTGACGGCGCAGAATCCTTCCGCCATGGGCTCCGACACCGCGGCCCCGGACAGTGAGCGTGTCAGCGGGGATGATCATAGTGAACAAGCGACTAACGGTAGTGCCGTTGCTGCGCCTCCAGACCCCGAGGACGATCTTGGGGAGGAAGCCGAGCCATACTCGCTACCCTCCATCCGAGAGTTATTCCGTGTATTGATCGACCTTTTGGATCCCCACAACCGGCAGCACACAGATCCGATGAGGGTCATGGCCCTGCGGATTATCGATGTGGCGCTGGAAGTCGCAGGCCCTTCCATCGCGAAGCATCCCAGTCTCGCGGCATTGGCCAAAGATGATCTTTGTAGACATCTGTTCCAGTTGGTTCGCTCGGAGAACCTGGCCATCCTCAGTGGCTCGCTCAGAGTGGCTGGCACCCTACTTTTGACTTGCCGCCCTGTGCTGAAGCTGCAGCAGGAGTTATATCTGTCCTACCTGGTTGCCTGTCTCCATCCTCGAGTAGAGATACCTCGAGAGCCTGGCATCGATCCGGCCTTGTATGAGGGAGTACCGCAGGCACCCAAGCTGGTGAAGCCTCCCCCCTCGCAATCGAGCAGCGGCCGGTCAACGCCGGTTCCTGTGAAGGACCGACAAAAGCTGGGTCTGGAAGGGGGATCGAGGAGACCAGAAACCCGGGAGGCCATGGTGGAGAGCATCGGCGTGCTGGCACGCATCCCGAGTTTCATGGTGGAGCTCTTCGTCAACTACGACTGTGAAGTCGATCGTGCAGACCTCTGCGAGGACATGGTTGGATTACTTTCTCGCAACGCGTTTCCGGATTCCGCAACATGGAGCACGACAAATGTGCCTCCCCTGTGTCTCAATTCACTGCTAGGCTATGTTCAATTCATATACGACCGACTCGATGACGAACCTCGACACGAGGGGTTTCCCTCGAAGGAACTCTTGAAAACCCAGCGCCAGAAGAAGAGAGTCATCATACAGGGCGCCCAGAAATTCAACGAGAACCCCAAGGCCGGGATTGCCTATCTTGCTGCCCATGGCATCATTGAGAATCCAGACGACCCGGCCCTCATTGCCCGCTTCTTGAAGGGAACAACTCGGATATCGAAGAAGGTGCTGGGGGAGTTTATCTCCAAAAAGTCCAACGAGGCTCTCCTCGACGCGTTTGTCGATCTGTTCGACTTTTCGGGGAAGACGGTTGTTGACGCGCTGCGAGACCTTCTCGGCGCCTTCCGCTTACCTGGAGAATCTCCCCTCATTGAACGAATTGTCACGACCTTCTCCGACAAGTTCATCCAAAAGGCCCATCCGAAGGGCGTTGCGGATAAGGATGCCCTCTTTGTGCTGACATACGGCATTATTATGCTCAACACCGATGCCTATAATCCTAATATCAAACCCCAGAATCGCATGACCTACACCGACTTCGCTAGAAATCTGCGCGGAGTCAATGCGGGACAAGACTTTGCCCCCGAATTCCTCCAAGAGATTTACGACTCCATCAAGCAGAATGAGATCATTCTGCCCGACGAGCATGAGAACAAACATGCATTTGATTTTGCATGGCGCGAACTTTTGCTCAAATCCTCCTCCGCCGGTGAATTGGTGGTTGGTGATACCAACATCTACGATGCCGAGATGTTCGAAGCGACATGGAAACCCGTCGTTGCGACGCTCTCGTACGTCTTTATGTCCGCTTCCGATGACGCAGTTTACTCCCGAGTCGTCATGGGTTTCGATCAGTGTGCTCAGATCGCGGCGCGCTATGGGATCACCGAGGCCTTTGACCGCATCATCTTCAGCCTCGCCTCCATCAGCACCCTTGCCACGGACAAGCCGCCAAGCACTGCTCTCAACACCGAAGTACAAGCTGGGAAGAAGACCGTCATGGTCAGCGAGCTGGCTGTCAAATTCGGACGCGATTTCAGGGCACAGCTGGCCACCGTCGTTCTCTTCCGAGTCCTAGCGGGAAATGAATCGGCTGCCCAGCAGAGCTGGAAATATGTATTCCGAATCATCAGCAATCTTTTTATCAACTCTCTCATCCCTGCGTTCGATTCCGACCTAATCGCTGAATTGGCAATCCCTTCGATCCCACTGCAGCCACCCTCGCAGGTCGTGGATCGTGATGCGCGCGGGAGCGAATCAGGTCTTTTGTCAGCTTTCACCTCTTATCTTTCCAGCTATGCAGCCGATGATCCGCCAGAACCGTCGGATGAGGAGCTTGACAACACTTTGTGCACCGTTGATTGTGTGGCTGCTTGCTCAATCAACGATGTACTCCTCAACATCAAGTGAGTGCTTGGGAATTCTCTAAGCGCATTGCCGAGGCTAACGGCATTCTATAGATCTCTCCCTGCGGCTTCTGTTGCACTGGTGGTCGAATTCTTATTGTCCCAGCTGCCCGAAGACACTACACCAGCGGTCATTGTCGTGAAACCTGAAAGACCCCTACCTAGGTCACCAACTGGCAAGTTTGACGCACAGCGATCGAACTATGATGCCAAGATGATGTATCATTTGGAGCTGGCGACGGTTTTGACTCTGCGTGACCACGAAACCCTCGAAGTACTTGGTGAAAGACTTGGTACCACGCTGCAGGCATTTATCAGAGATGCGAAGAATATTCACTCGTTGGCGCTGTCACGTATCATCTCTTACCTGTTCCAGCTTCTTCGTCTGAGCCATGTAGGACTGCCTCTCATTCTCCGACTACTTCATGCGAACTCTCCGACTAACATTCTGCTAGGATCAATCCTTCATGCGTGTGCCTGTCATTCTTCATGGTATTTCCAGCTTCGAGCAGGACACTTTAGAAAGCGTTGCTGTTCCTACGATTCAAGGCCTTTCCCGCTGCATTTCAGAACCGGGTCTTCTGAGGAATGAGCTCACTGTTTCACCAGACTTCTGGTCCATTTTGCAGAGACTGCACCAACATACAGAGGCGGCCACCTTGGTATTCGAGCTGCTTCAGGCAATCATTGTCTCGGTCCCTCCTATCGTGACTGCAGATAATTATGAGTCTGCCGTCGGTCTTGCCAATGAATTCATTAGCGCTGGAAGTATAGGTCACATTGAGGAACGACAGAGAGATGCAGTCTCTCGGCGGTCCAAGGCTGTCAAACCCTCGAAACCAAGGTATGTCCTTTGACATTTATGGTGACATTGGCATTGCATCTAACAACGTAAATAGCGAGAATGAGGTTGTTTCTCGTGGCGTGAAAGGTGTTGATCTCATTTACCAACTGACCGGCCGCGTTCCGACCCTCATTAAACAGTCCCACCTCGAGGATAATGAAGGTCAGTCTCAATCATCTACGTATCGAGCAAAACAAACCCACTAACTTCGATGACTTCTTTAGCTTGGTCCGCCTATTGGTCTCCTGTATTCCAATCTCTGAGTGCCCAATGCATCAATCCTTGTCGGGACATCCGCCACCATGCAATTTCTACATTGCAGAGGTGTCTCCTCTCCGTGGATATCAGCTCGACCGACGATAAGGAATGGATAGCTATTTTCGACCAAGTCCTTTTCCCGCTGATTCTTTTGTTGCTGAAACCCGAGGTCTATCATTCTGATCCGCGTGGCATGAGCGAGACCCGGATGCAAGCCGCAACGTTGGTTTGCAAAATCTTCCTCCGCTATCTCGACCAGCTTCCGAACCGCGACGGAATGCTGGACCTCTGGCTGAAGATCTTGGATATCCTCGACCGCATGATGAACAGTGGTCAGGGAGACAGTCTGGTACGTGGGCATAGCTACACTGCAACGCTTCCGATGGATCATCGTGCTAATTGTCCTCTACAGGAGGAAGCCATCCCCGAAAGTCTCAAAAACATCCTCCTAGTCATGGCCGATGGCGGTTATCTGGTGCCGCCCTCCCAAGACCCCAGCAAGGAACACATCTGGTTGGAAACCAAGAAGCGTCTCGACCGTTTCCTCCCCGACCTATTCAAAGACATCTTCCCCGAGACATCCAGCGAGAAGCCCATCCCAGCGTTCGAGGTCTCGTCCCCCGTCCCCCCATCCGATGACCATGTCAACGAGAGAACCGCCGACGAGAGCGGATCACCAGCCCCCAGCCAGTCCGAGAGCGGCTCTCCCGAAGCCGGAAGCCCGAATCCCGAACAAGAGAACTCTTAGTAGTGAGAAGGGCGGTTCTGAACCACCGATAGATACCACATGATCCTCATTTTTTTTGCCCCCCTCTATACCGCCTGTCTGCATCAAGCATTTCTAGCGTGGGTACTCGCGTCGTCTCTTGCCTCGTCTCGTATACATGTACATATATAGTATCTACTCCCCACATGGCGCTGGGGAGAAGTGGTGGAAATAATCTTTGTCTCTGGACTACGCTCTCTCCACGTGGAGTAGAACACGACACACTTGACTAGGAACCAGAACAGCATACGGATGGGATGTATGCTATGCTCTTATTCCTCGATAATCGAGATCGTACCCGGAAATGATCCGCCTGGCTCAAGATTTGTAATGACCATCTATACAGAAGAGAGAGAGAAAAAAAAAAAAAAAAAAAAAAAAAAAAAGAACGCCATCGTGAAGCCAAATCGGGGTAACAAGAACAAATGGGAAAGGCCAGTATAGCAAAGACATTTGCAGACTAAATTCACAGACGGAGACGACGGGACGACATTGTATGGGGACAAGAGAATTGTTACAGAGAAGGGGGAAAACACAAGATGAAGCGAGTGGCATTGATGCGGCTTCTAGCGCATTTGAGGTTCTAAGAGGAGAAGGGAATCGGTTGTGGACGGTGGGCGGAAGACATTTGAAATGAGTAGAAGTAGTAGTAGTAGCAGTAAGTAGAAAGGAAGAAGAACTATTCGGCATCCATATCATCATCAAGGTCAATTGCGTCCGGGTTGACGGGGGCAGCGGCCGGCGGCGCTTCTTGGCCTGCTGGGGGCGGGCGGTTACCGCCCTCAGGCCCTGTGCTGGCGGCAACGAAGCCGACCGGGGCGCGAGCCTGGCGTTCCAAGGCTGCCATGGCATCGGCGCGCTCCTTGGCGCCGTCCATGTCTGTTTCCTCGTCTCCCTGTTCTTTGCCGCCTTCCTGGGCGCGCTGCTGGCTGCGGGCGATTGCCTGGGAGGCAATGAAGTTGACGTCGGTGCTGTTTGCGGGTGGTGGTTAGCGTTTGGGTTCCTCGAGTCATAATGATTCAGGGATGAGTGTCTACTTACTTGTACTGTGCTTGGACGCTTCTCTTGATGCGGAGCATCTCCTTGAAGGTGTCCTCGTTTCCATGCTGGACCTCGAATGCCTCCCACTTCTGCCAGAAGGGCGCGTTGGTGCGGGGATCGCAGAACTGGGAAGCGTGGCCGTAGATTGCGCGTGCGCGGTCGATTTCGCCCAGTCTTCGTTCCATTTCCGCGAACTTGAGGCACATTTCCTTGGCTTCCTGGTCCGGCAGAGCCGCGATCGCTCGTTCGTAGATCGGCCGTGTGGATGTCAGTCCGAAGTTGGAGGCAGACTTGGTGATGTAGAACTCGAACATCTCAAATCTGTCCTCGTCCGAGACCGCGCGAGTAGCACGCTCGTAAATCCTCATCGCATGTCGGGCAAGACCGCGCTCTTCTTCGAGGTTGCCGTACATCAGGTACAGGGGCTTTGCAAACTTGGGAGGACATCCATCGAGAGCCTGTTCGAAAAGATCCCGCAGTCTCTCGATGCCAATCTTCCGGTCCACTGCTTTGGTGAGGTATAGATTCCAAAGCTCGAAAGCAACTGGATAGCTGAAGAGATCCAAGCCTCGTTCATACACCTTGAAGGAATCTTCATAGTATTTGTGTTCTTCCAGCAGATTGGCATAGTTGACCACAGTTTGAGGGGTTGCGATGCGCAGTTCAAAGATTCTCTCGTATACCTTCCTCGTCTCTTCCAGAGTCGCAACACTCTCAACGAGATCAACATAGAAACTCCAAAGTTTCCAACTCTTGTGAACGCGTTGCTGAGGAGACAGGGTCTCGTCGAAGTAGTCCACGGTGGATTTCTTGGGCGTCTGTGTAGCCTTGGCCATGATGCCAACGGCCTTGTCAAAGTTCTCGCTCCGCAGCTCCATCTCGGCCCATTCGCACCAGGTCTCTGCTAATTCAGCAACTGATTTGAAGGGAACCTTGACAGCCTTATCAAAGATAACTCTAGCGGAATCCAGATCCCCACCGCTCTCATAAAACTTGGCGTAATTGACCCAGAGTTCAGAGAACTTTCCGTGAGCCTTCTTCGGATTGATAGCAGCAATGGCGGCCGTGTATGTGTTGACGATTTCCTCTTTGTTATCGCCCCATAGAGCCACCCTCTTCTCCCATTCAATGACATTGTTGGGATTTTGCCGGAGCAGGACGTCATTGACAAGGAATGGTCGACGATCCATAAGCTGTTCGAATCTCAGCATACGCAGGTCGAGGTCGAAATCTGCATCTTCGTCGGCATTTCCTTTGTCAGACCGAGTGGCTGCCGCTTCCATTAAGCTTCCGATGATCGACTCTTCGAATTCGACATATGAGTCAAAGATCAGAGTAAAGTCGCGAACGGTCATAACGGTAGTGATACCCTCTTCAAAAACATCGCGTGCCTTCTCGAAGTTGCCTTTCATGATCCAATAGGTCGCCAGACCAGCCCAAAGCTTTCCTCTCTGATCCGCAAACCGATCAATTCCACTCCGTAGGATGGCGTCGACATTGATGCCCACTTGCGGACCAGTCTCAATATGTTTTGCCTGAGAAACGAGCAGGTCAACCATCTCGGTCCACAGCTGAAAGTTGCTCTTCCCTTGCTTCGACTGAAATCGTGGGTTGTCAAGTATCTCCATGTAGCGCTTCACAGCCTCTGTGTACTGGCCCAAGTCGACGAGCAGTTCGATATATTCTTCAGCATTCTCCGGGTGTATCTGCATATATCGAGCCCAAATCTTCACGGCCGTTTGCCCAGATGCTGAGCGCGCAAAAGCCTTATATAATTTCCAGATCCGGTTATGCTGTGTGATAGGCAGAGCACGGAGTGCACGGTCGAATGTTCGTCGAGTCTGCGTCACTAAGGGCTGCTGAAGCAGAAAAGAGAGATACATCTCCCAGATCTTGGGCATCTTGTTGAGAAGGATAAGGGCTCGTTCGAACAACGCGTTCACCTTCTGGTATTCAGCTCGGTATTTTGTCGCATTGCGGCCCCGGAGATGGTTCATTCGAAATTCCAAATACTAGGAGAGTTAGCCTATTGATTCAAGTCATGTTTCGCTGGTTTTCTGGGACTTTGAAAAAATAATCCCAAAAAAAAAAAAAAAAATGTTGCCATACCATTTTCCAAAGTTTGTAGGATCTGGGAAGCTGCTTACAAGCACGCTCCATGATCTAGTTTCTCATTAGCATATCGTACGCGCAGCATGAGTCAAAAGACTTACGAAAGCCCGCTCGTAAAGTGTCCCATTCTGCTGCTTATACTCAATATAAGCAAGCCAAGGTTTGATGCTGCCGGCATCGCGAAGAAGATCCTGCTCATAAACGGTGTCCTGGTCGGCCTATGATCAAAACAAAGTTAGTATTGAGAGTCTTGGAGCACAATCAAATGCCTAGCACGTACAATCAGATAAAGATCTGGCCCTGAGCCCGACGTTCGGTCCATCTCTGCGTGTTGCCGGTGGGATCTCGGGGGCAGGAGTGTCCCTGGCATTGCGCCGCTCATTCGAGCGAGACCAGCTCACACGGTCAACACAGATTCAATAGAAAGGGAGTTGGCATGAACAGGAGCGCTTTCGCTTTTACTCGTCGCGTTGAAAAAGCGAACCGCAGAGCGCTGTGGACGTTGAAGTCTCTCGCGCACGTGACTTGCTGTCATGCCGCAGCCAGGCGGGCAAAGGTGGTCCAAGCTTCTGCCTCTATCGCGCGGCGTATCGTCATGCCAATCGGAGGCTCAAGCATATGCGCTTTGCTTTACCGTGGTGGCTACGTCGAGGTTGATTAAGATTTCCATTCTTGAAGCTCCCAGCCATGTCAGGTGCAGTGGTATTGTCTCTCTGATCCCTCTACTTGCTCTTCCACTATTGCTAATGCATGTGCCTGTCCTTATCTAGGGCCGTGAGCCAGTCTTCCCGACCCGCCAGTCGCTGGGATTGATGAAGGGTAAGCTGAAGGGTGCGGAGACTGGTCACAGTTTGTTGAAGAGAAAGAGTGAAGCCTTAACAAAGTAAGTTTGTTCGATTTCTCTCGATGGAAATCGACTTGCTGATACGCCTATCCTGACTATAGGCGTTTCCGAGGTGAGTGATTCAGGCCGCATAGCGCACCCCGTACTATCACCTCAGAGCTGACACCGTACTCCTAGAAATTACTCGGCGCATTGATGAAGCTAAGCAGAAGATGGGACGAGTTATGCAGATCGCTGCCTTTTCTCTGGCAGAAGTGAGCTACGCCGTTGGAGGTGATATCGGCTACCAGATCCAGGAGTCTGCCAAACAAGCTCGATTCCGAGTGCGGGCGAAACAAGAGAACGTCTCCGGTGTTTTCCTGCCGCAATTTGAGAGCTACACCGAGGAAGGAATCAATGACTTCGGCTTGACTGGTCTCGGAAAAGGTGGTCAGCAGATTCAACGTTGTCGGGAGACCTATGCTCGGGCAGTGGAGACATTGGTGGAACTTGCGAGTTTACAGGTATTGGATACTCGATCTTCGACAGCTCAAGCTACCTCTGACACCTGATAACTAGACTGCATTCGTGATCCTGGATGAGGTGATTAAGGTCGTTAACCGCAGAGGTAAGTGTCTACATGAATCTATAGTGGCCTGATTGCTAACCGTTGCTAGTGAATGCAATGTATGGACTACCAACCAGCAGGTAGATACCTGAAGTTTACACACTGACTTGGCATTTAGTGAGCATGTTATCATTCCCCGGACAGAGAACACCATCAAATGTCTGTATCTTTCCTTGAATCCCTTACCCCGCCATCGTTCTAACCAATGGCAGACATCAACTCGGAACTCGACGAGCTAGACAGAGAAGAGTTCTATCGACTGAAGAAGGTCTCAAACAAAAAGCAGCGGGATACTGCAGCTGCCGATGCAGAGATCGCCGCTGCTAGAGAAAGAGACGCTGCGAATAAACAGCTTGCTGAAGCAGAAGAAGCCCCCGAAGTCCCTGATCTCTTGGGAGAGAGCGAGGACGCCGACATCATTTTCTAATCTTTGCGTTGTGTATATGAGCATTGTATCGACTTCCTTTTCAGCATGTTTTGGTCGTTTCTACATTCGGTTCTTATCTATCTTATATTATGGGGGTACACTCGAATACAGGAGGCCAGAGCGTATACCCATCGGCAGATGAAATCCGCATCGTTTTCTCCATGTTCAGTACAAAAAGAAAGCTACACAACAGAAAGGAAAACAACCATCCTAACGCCAGAACAAGATGAACCCGATGCCCACAGCCTTTTGAATATAGAGTAGTTCATTGTCTCTGGTAGGTAACGCGGATGGGCTTGCCTTCGTCTCCCATGGGCATGCCGGAGGTCGCTTCCTTTGCGCTGATAGCACCCGATTCGTTCTCGTACTCGACGAAAGCAATCCCTTTCCGACCAGGGACCAATCTGACTTCCCTGAACCCCTCGAAGCGGCCGAACACCGCGGTAAGGCTGTCCTGGTCGGCAGAGTCGGGCAGATCCCGCAAGAACAGAATCTTGTTGGGAGGAAGGTACTCGTCCGGGATGACGGCGGCAGTTGCACCGGTCGTCGGTTTGAGGCCGGCGCCTTTGACGGTCTTGGCTGGACGCGCTGTGTCGACAGGGCCAGGAGGACGCTTGAGCTTCTTTTGAGCTTCGAGGGCTTCGTGAGCTTGTTTGCGCTCTAGAGGCAGTTGGACACGGTCAGCATAAATCGTAATCTCAAGCATAGACATAGAAAGTGTGATCCTTGAGCCCCATTTTCAGAGAGAATGACAGAAGAGACATACCCTTCTCCGCTAGCCGCCTCCGCTTATGGACCTCAAGCTCCTCTGAGCCTCCTTCGCGCAATACGGTCGCATCGCTCTTGGTCTTTGCATAGTCCAGGACCATGGGCTTGTCGAACAGGTCGAAACCATTCACTTCGTCAATCGCGCGGGTTGCGGATTCGACATCGTCAAAGACGATGAACGCTTGCCCTTTCGCCTTCAGATTGGTCTTCGCAACGATCTCAAGGATGTTGCCATATTCAGAGAAGATCTCGGCAAGAGCTTCCTTGAGCTGGTCGACCTTGATTCTTTCCTCGAGGTTGCGGACCTAGATTTGTAAGACGCTGGCGTTAGACGTTGGAGACCTGTTGAGGAAATGAGGGGACGCGGAGGCATACATAGACACTGCGGAATCATGCTGGGGTTAGTACAAACTGTAGCATTGATAGAATTCGGGACATATGCGAGTACTTACGTGGAATTTGGAGGAACTGAGGGGGTAGATGCTGGTAATGCCGCCATGATTGCGACAACTGAGCCCTTGTCGCGAGCTTGTCTTGATCAACTTTCCGTATCGACTGTCGGAACTTCTTTTGAGGTGCTCAGCAGAGGACTGGATAATTGGATGTCGAAACATATAATCTTATTTTCATTAGTCCCAATATAGAACAGCATCATTGGTCTAGTGGTAGAATTCGTCGTTGCCATCGACGAGGCCCGTGTTCGATTCACGGATGATGCATTTCCTTTTTATTCGCTCTCTTTCAACACACCAAAGCACCCATTTTTTCTTCATCTTTTCAATACCATATGTACCAAGATTTTGAGGTCCCTTCTGTAATTCACTGCCTTTTTCATTATTCATGTGCGTTTAGTACTTGTGCGATCTATATCTAGTGCGCGCCATGGCTCCCTCTAAGTTACCAATACCCCCCGCAAAGTCTCAACTTGAGCTTTCAATTGCTTCGGTTGCTTCGTCCAATCCTCATCCCTCACCAGTTCTGACTTCGTCTCCATGTATAAGTACTCTGAAACAGTTGACCGAACCTGCCATTCATCAGTGGATTCGTCTCTTGGCGTTCGTGGACATTGCTTATTTACCTTCGGGAACGGGTGCAGCAGCATCCCAACCATCTTCTTCAGACATTCGGCTCTTAACTGTTCTAACCGACACAGAGGGGCGTACACCTTGATCGCAGCCTCAAGCCTCGCCATATTTGGAGATTTGAAGTGAGCTTTCTGGACAAGGGTGAATAACCTTCTGAGACTGTATCGAAAGTTAGTCCCAGTCCATATTTTTCTGCGAACCATATACGCACCCTGTTTCAGAAACATCGAGGGAAGAGGTGACATATCCGTCTAAGAAAAACGCCGCGAACTCCATCACCGGGATGGCGTAACGGTCGTCGTGTAGATTATCACTTAGTATAGCTCCAAGATCACTTAAGATGGCTATGGCCTTGGACTGCTGTTGCTCCTCGCTATAGTTGCTGATGCTTCGCACCAATGCTAGTCGAGAAGATCGGACGAGCCCTTCAGCACCGGCAACAGCAGAAGTAGCCAGTCCCTGGTACAATGGTAAACGCAGCCAATCAATGGCTTGCAAATGAAGTAACTGAGTGAAGTATTCAGTCGAAGACACATGGCTGAAATGGTCATATTTGCTGTTTTGGTCAATATCAATGCCCAAAGAGGTTATTTCCAGGGGGTTTTCTCACTTTTGTAATGGAGGAAAGTCTTCGGCTGACTCCCAAAAGTCTTGTAAACAGATCCAAGCTTGAAGACGAACCTTGTCCAGCTTTTCTGTAGCAAGCCGGCAGAGGCACCCAATGATACTCTGCAGGTGAGAAGAAAGCAGATCAAGACCAGGCTTATTCTTGAGAACTGTCTTTGCCGCTTGGATTGCCTCCAGCCTCAGTAGGGACCCGATATCACCGCGCCTGTCAGTCGTGTAGTCGTTCAGATACTCTATGATGTGACTTGCGAGATCCTCTGTGATAACTATCAAATTATCAACAAATTGCCCACTTCCGGAACCGGCCTGAACTCACCAGTATGAGGCAGCACTCCTGTTGTCAAACTTCTCACAGCCACCACCCGTTTCTCTATCAATTCCTCCTTGTCCGTGGATCGTAACAGCTCCTTGATAACAGACTCTCTTAGACTGCTGTCAGGTTGAAGTTGCCTGAAAACCGCACCTAGGACCGAGATCTGTCCCTTGCCAGTTGGAAGCTTCCAGGTAGAATGTATGTACGAGAACCAGTTTTGAATTGTATCTTCCTGCTTTTGTAGCGAAAGGAGAGGGAATAATTCGGATATAGCATCGGATGAGGCATCTATTGCGGTTTCTTCACTCCGGGATATGCAAAGCAAGAGGGTGTCATGCGCTCGTTCAAGCGAGACTGTGGAAGGCCGTGAAAAACCAGCCCCTTCAACATGGGGAGCCGATTGAGAAAGCGAATAAATTAGGCGTGAGGAAGCCTCAGCGGTCAGTTCTGGTCGAGAGATTTGAAGTGTCAGGTCCTCCTTGGTTGGGCCTATTGGAGAGCTGAAGATTTCCCAGAGCTCAATTATCTGTTGGGCAACCTCAAGGGCTGTGGACTGCTCTTCGCTATTTTCTATCCTTGCTTGATTTGAATTGAAGGCGTCTATTGTGGCAGATATAGACAGTAAGCAACCGTGTCGTGTCTCAACGTCACCACGAGGAAGAGTTGCCAATTTATGCCGCAACCGCCGAAGCACTGAGCCCATGGTTTTGTATGATTCGTGGGTGCTGAGGACTCCTATTGCTCTCGCCGCCTGTCTTCTGGATTCAGCATCTGGTGATCCGATGCCTCTCCAACCCAATAAGGACTCCACCAGTGGGCTCCAATAACAGTGGTTCAGTGCTGCTGTCACTTTCGCGACGTCAATCATGGCTCGTGAGCGTCGAGCAACCGCATGATAATCCACCACTTGTACTAACGATATGCCTTCGGCAATGGTGTTAGGATGACGGCCGACCAACTCTTGTAGAGCAGCAGAAGCACCTCTTCGGATATTTCCTGAAGGATCCACGCAAGCAGCACACACAAGTTCCGTTGCCAGCATCTGCAGGATGCTTTTCTCATCTTGACCGGTGGGCGTGCTGATCGTTTGTGAATTCAAGGCCAGCAATTCCTGTGTCGTATATTTGCGGGAGAGGGCCCAGATCCCAAAGCACGAAGCGTCCCGGACACCCGTGCCCACAGAGCTTCCTGTCGACGACCTCTGCTCGAAATCCAGACCAGAGATCAGTGGCTGCAGGACATGTGAAAGTTGATCGGTTGGTGGCGCCCGGCGGAAAAGCAAATGACCTAGTGTCAATATTAAGCCTTGCCACCTCTGGGCGTCCACCGCACTCAAATTCTGCTTCAGTGTGTTAACACCAATTCTGCGCGCTTCAAAGGGCGCGATTATGGCTCCATCTGGCTTCTCATATAGGATATTTTCCTCCAACGAGCCAGTCACAGCCTCGATAACTTCAGAAGCCATGTCGGGGTCCAGTTTCAGGGTAATGATACTGAGGGCCTTGCTCGCAGCAAACCGCACTGGTGTATCCTTGTCCGCCAGGGAGACAAGAAAATGATCGATCGAGTCCTCCAGGATCGAAGACACTTTGTCATCTGAGATTGGACTGTTTGGTCTCTCGCTAAGTGAAAGCGCCATGACTGTCATTGTACGAAGAATCTTAACAATGATTTTCCGGGCAATAGCAGACGATTTTATTATTCCAGATACACCGGTCTGCTCCTGCGCAATGCGCAGGGTCCGTTCAAATATCGGAACTATCAGGGGCCCAAACTCATCCACTTGACCAGAAGCACCCAAGCGTGCTAGGAAAGCCAACACCCCGATACACGTGTAGACGGAGGGCTTCTCGGCCGCGACCCCAGGTTGAAGAGTAGAGAATGCCCATTCCGTAAGATTAGTCAAGAGTCCGAGGGCTTGCATGTCCCGTCGGAGGACCATTCGCGCCAGCAACATAGTAGCCGCTTCTCGCTCCTTGCCAGGACCGTGAACGTAATTCAATGATACCGAAAGCAAAGACCTTGTAAGCATCGGTGTTTTCTCGGGCAGCGGCCCGATGTGATGCAGGTTCTCGTACGGTACTGGGAGATCGTCCGAGGACATGGACGAAAGGTCAAACGGGGCGAGCAGCAGATGCGAAAGCCATATCAACATCATATACCGTTCCTCCCAAACTAACCGCCGTGGGCCTTCTTCGCTAGGGTCACCACGAAGTGCATCCCATTCGACGAAAGCGCGCAGCATTGGATCCAGATACTTTGGCTCATTGTTGAGAAACCGACTGATGACCTTGACCCCGCGGACCTTGCAAAACGTGTAGAGAAGTCTACAGATAGCCCTTGGCAAGGGGTAAAGCGACTGCCCTTGCTGCGACCTGAGACTTCTAGACCCATATTGGTCGCGATGCTTGACTAAGTAGATGAGGAAAGCATCAACCAGAGGGGGCAGAAGCGTCTGCAGGTGCGGATCCAGCAACTGTGGCCATTCTTGAAAGGGCTCGAGCTGCAGAGTATTTTCATCAGTCCCATGCTTCCTCAATCATATATGACAGATCGATCGTACATACAAGGTTTATAAGTCTCTCTGTCTTCGCAGCCTGCGTCCATCTTCTTAGAACTTGGGTCTCCTGTCCATTCTCAACTCGCGGTTTCCAAAGCAAGCCAGGCAACTTTGCTGAGAATTCGCTGATCAAATCCCCAGAAGCTCGCTGAAGTTTGATTTCTTTGTCCTCGGCTTCGTCCATGATGAGATCTTGTGTCTCTGTGCGATCTAGACATCTTGAAATTTGTCAGTCATCAAACAGCGGGGAGACATTGACGATATCACGTGACTCTATACTGTTGTCCAGGGACAGGAGAGCCATCTAGATCAATGTCTTGTTGATGAAGAGAAATAAGTCCGGGGCTTTCCAAAAGAGAGAGCTCGTATTTACTTGATTGCTGGCTTCTGAAATGTTATTCCCGGGTCATCATACACGTTCTGTTCCACGATACCGCAGAGTGTACACAATATATATCTTGGCCGTTTTGGTAAGAAACAGATCATTCTTTCTGCTATTGAGAATATATATTTAGAAGATACTCAATCAGTGCACATGTACGCTTTTCAGCTCAAGAGTCAATCTCAGATAACAGCTAAAATCTGCATATTAGGAAATGCGGTGTCATAGATACATAGGGAAGCAGATAGAGAGATGAAAGAGAAACATAAGATACTATCTTCCCATCTTTTGGCTCAAAGATCTCTGTCCAAGTCCAGTTGCGCGTCGGTAGTAGTCGTAATATACCCAGCTGGGCTGTTGCCTGCAAGTCCAACCGTGGTGTGACGGATATGCATCACAGCAATTGCTACTGCAAGTGAGTTCCAGACATCTTGACCATGTTCGCCTAGGTCAAACTGGCACATGAAGTTGCTGTCCGCTTTGCCTCCTTGAGCTTTTGCGGCAGAAGGATCGGAGTTCAGGGTTAGAATAGCGACCACCGGGCCACTGATGACGAATCCTATCAGTACAGGAAAGGTGAGGGACCTTGCAACGGGATGAGTCTTCTTTCTAGTCTGTTTTGCAGGTGCTGCACGGTACTTCACTGTCATGGATGGACTGAGGGTATCCTGAAACCGATCAGCTAGATTCTGAAGGCGACGGTTTGCCTTCATCACAGCGTTGACGGTGCTCTCTTCTGTTTTTCGGGCACATATGGTATGCACGGGTATTGCACCAGCATTAATGCATAGGCCCGCATCATTAAAAGCCCAGCGTATGTATCGCTTGATTGCCCTTTTGATGACGAGCTCTGGCGCAATGCCTAGTAGGCTGCAGTCCCTCACATGGCCACCGAGAGTAAAAAGATCAGAAAGTGATTTGATCGCTGTTCCACTATCAGTGGGCATTCAACGGAGGTGTGTGGCTAAAGTTTACTTACCATAGAACTCTGAGCCTCTGGCTGGAGCGATCGTTGATGCCGCCATTTCTCTTGAGATAGTAAACAGAGAGTCAGGGAGAGTGGAGAAATCATAGTGCCACTGTTTTGGTAGCAAAGGTTCGAAGCCTCTCATGGCAATTCGGTAGAAGAGATCTTTCTCTCCTTGGCTCCAAAGGTCCTTCGGCACATTGACTGCAGTTGCCCAGCGTTTGGCTCTTTCAATTGATAAACTCTCTTTGAGATCTGTTGCCTCGTCTTTCTGGGCTACTAGAGTTTCGGAAGCATGGGCAGGGGAATCTGAAATTCTTTTGGTTATGTCCTCAGTCTTGATTTTCTTTTGAACTGGATCGGACTTGCCCGAGGAACCAAATTTGTCATTGGATTTGCCTGCTAAACCGTTAGGGGGGATCGACTGCGAATCTCGATGAGTGTTAGCGAGCGAGAAGAGAGACTTATTCCTCTCATCCGCAGCCTCAGTGAGGACGGACTTCGCCTCCAATGCCAAATGATGATTCGGTTGCAGGTTGGCGTCGACAGTCTCCCATGGCTTCTTGGTGACTATGGCCGCTTCTGCATCTCCAGACTGAGGATCTGTAAGGGCTGGAGACAATGGCGCTGTTTGGCGCAAATTCGAGTCGGTTTTCTTCTTCTTCTTCGCGGCTCGAGCAGGTGACTCCTTGCTGGGTGTTGGTGAAGACCTTGCTCCAACATCAGGTGCCGCTTTTCTCTTCCTCGGCGTTCGTCTCACAGGAGATCTACCCTTATCGATGGTGGGTGATTTTGGAGAAACATAAGGGTTGGCCCCTTGGCCATCTTTCGCAAGAGTGAAAGTAGGGTCTAGAGTGCGTCTTTTCTTTCTCCCTGTCCCATCCTTGGCCACCCTTGAAATGAACTCGTCGTCGTAATCCGCATCATCGTCCTCCTTGCCAGGGATGTATGTTGGATCAAGCACTCGCTTCTTCTTGGCCGTAATCATGCCATCTCTGAGTAAACCAGGCGACAGGACCTCATCTTCCTCATATGCATCATCATCCTTGCCAGGAACATATGTTGGATCAAGAACCCGTTTCTTCTTCGTAGCGATCAGTCCATCCTTATTTATTCCCAGAAGGATCTGACCCTCTCGATCAGCAAGTGCATCGTCCTGTCCTGGGGTATACGAAGAGTCCGAGGTGCGCCGCTTCTTGAATCGACTGTTCTCGTCTCTGGTTGTTTCTGTTTCTGACGAACCCATGGGTTCTTCATCAAAAATGTCGCCTGAGACGTACATCGGATCCCCAGTCCGTTTCTTTCTTGGTCTGATTCCATCAGAGCCAGTCATCTCGCTGTTGTGTTCGATGGACTCGATTGCTGTGTCTGCGGTCGGTTGAGGGTCCCTCATCTTCACTCCGTTTGAGAGCGAAGCGGATGAAGATATATGGTCGTTGGAATCTGAATTCTCAGAAGTGACAGTCTCGTTCCCATCGAAGTAACTGACAATAGCTACTGGCATGTAAGAGGATAGGGAAGACTCGGAAGAATCAGTGAGGTGAAGGCCATTGTCAGGAAAGAGTGACGGGGAGGCGAGGGCAGCGGGCGTCGGCGCATGATGTCCCTTTTCAACACCACCCATAGCAGACGATAGCACCAAGGACTCGGTACGATCTGAAAGGACAAGCATATTTTGCAGCGCCATGCCTGGTTTCTATCTTTAGTGATCCTGGAGTCGAGTTTTCTTTGTTTGCGCAAGTTGATCAGAGACAAAGAACGCCGAGGACGGAAGATCTCCAAAATAATCCAGTTAGGAAGAAAATGAGAAGGGCTCAGTCTTCGGAGTCCAAACTCTACCACCGTTTACCTTTGTGGTCTGAGGTCAATGGCTGTTTAGATATGGTTGAGTTAAGGTGTAACACAAAGGAATCCTTGATAACACAAGTGAAGCATCCCAGAAAGATGAAACAAAGAAAGATCTGGGTTGGAAGTTTATGCGTATACCTTCGTTTCTCTAGCCATGGAAGTAAATGGCTTCGCTGTAGTTTAGCAAGATTGCCTGCCACTCCATGAACACTGCTGTGCTAGGTTCTTCCCAATTTCAGTCTACAAACAAGTGCACTACCCAGCGGCATCGGTCTGTATACGGACAGACGACGACCTCCGAGACAGGTGATATCGCAGAAAACAGAAGCTGTAATTTTTAAGGATTAAGCGATTAGCCCTAGATATCTTTAAGCGAATTAAGGAAAGACAAGAGACCCCGGGACCAAGCCGTATATTCGATCCGCGCTCATAAAGGCCGTAAAGACATTGGCACCAGCTCTCAAAACTCTCATGGGTATGTTAAGAAAAATCTCCAATGCAAAAACAAAGTGCTCAGGGTGACCGGCGACGGTCAGAAAAATCTGCAAGCAAAGGGCCCCAAAATCAAGTTGGGTGAATGAGCAACGAAGGCAGTGATATGATAATTCTTAATTAATACCGACTGGATTAAGCAAAGTCCGCGGTGTAGGAGAAGCCGCGGAACTCTTCCTGCATGGCCTGAGAAAGGACTAAAGTGAAACACATGACTGTCAGCCTCTAGAAATCCAGCGGGGATGAGCCTTCTCTTACCTGATTGTACGGGCGTAAGGACTGGAGTTACACTGGTGAACTCTTGGTCGAAATTGCTCGTGTCCGTGGGGCTGGTAATTGTTGGCATGAAGGGCGGAGGAACACGCTTGTGGTAAATATCGTCCCAGTTGACGTTCCTGAAGAAGGCATGGGACATGATCTCCTGGGCATCTGTGGGGCCGGATCCCAGTCTCAGCTCAGGCTCACGGGTAAGCAACTTCTGGAGGATGGAGACGGAATCTCGAGGCATGTGGATGGGATATAGAGGCTCATCTGCAAGGATGGCGTCGTAGATTTCGTCTTCGTCTTCGCCGCGGAATGGAGACTGCTGCAGAAGCATTTGATAGATGAGGACACCGAACGCCCACCAGTCGACAGCTCGACCATATTTCTTGTCCAGCAGAATCTGTGGTGACTGTCAGTAAGGGAGACCGAGTGATTCAAGAGAAGATACTCACCTCAGGGGCCATGAACTCTGGAGTTCCGCAGAATGTGCTAGTGGTGCAGCCATACCACATATTCTCTTTGCACAGACCGTAATCACCGATCTTGATGTGACCATCAAGGGTCAGGAGGATATTGTCCAACTTCAAATCACGGTAAATGACACCATTCTCATGGAAGTACTTAAGAGCCAACAAGACTTCAGCAGCATAGAATCTATACATTACTCGTTAGACTGTTCTCATGGGTCTCGAATTTCAGAGGAACATGTGGGGCAACTTACTGTGCTCTCTTCAGACCGAACTGGCCACGTTGGATATGAAGCATCAGATCACCACCACTGATGTATTCCATCACGAAGTAGACACGAGTTTCTGTTTGGAAACATGCGTGAAGGTTGAGCAGGAATGGGTGACGCTCCTTGTTGGCAATCAAGAAGACACGCTTCTCGGATTTAGTGCTCTCCACTTCATCGTTCTCAATGATAAACTCTTTCTTCAACACCTTGATAGCATACAGCTTCTTGGTGTTCTTTGTTTCGGCCAGCATGACCTTTCCGAAGTTACCCTTACCGAGGACAGACAGAAAGTTGAAATGATCCAATCCGATTCTGGCCTTGGGCTGTTGGGGGACTTCCTCCTTCACAGCAACTTGCTGTTGCATCGGCGGAGCCGGCTGCTGATGCGGATGTTGCTGTTGTTGCGGCTGCTGTTGCGGAGGCATGCCATAGGGCGTGGTCGCACCCATCTTCTGCATTGCCTGAGGGGGCATGGCTTGCTGGTAAGATGCGTACGCAGCAGGGTCATAGTGAGCGTGGGATGGAGGTGGTGGCTGTACTGGACGACTCGCATCTATTTAGAGAGGTAAGTTATGGCTTCAATGCATGAATGGACGAGAATAATGCTTGCTCGCACATACCTGGAGCTTGCGGTGGTGTCCGCAGCCCTGTTGCGGCGGCGGCGGCAGCGGCAGCAGTGCTCTGGGACGAGGAAGTTCGCGGAGGCAACTGTTGACGCTGTGCTGCTGTGGGAGACTGCGGAGGAATATAGGAGTTCGTCGCCGCGCTGATGGCTTCCGCAGAAGGTTGTCTTTGGGGTGCACCGTAGGGACCTTCAGCCGGCTTTTGTGGGTAGCCGAGAGCAGCATGATCTTGAGGTGCCTGGGGAGGACCGCTCGGCCGAAGTGTGCGTCCACTCAGGCCGGAGCTAACAGAAGCGGATTTATTGTGATTCTTTGTCCGGATAAGAGTTTCCAAGATTTGGTTGGCTGCTTCCATAGACATGCCACAGAAGTCAGGAACCAAGTGCGTACATTGCGCGTGACATGTGAGGTCACATTCTGAAGAAAAAGAACGATTTAGTCAGTCAAGTGCTACCAACCGAGAGGGTCCATGGTCATGGAAGAGACATACCGGTACAGCGCTTCGCATTTTTACGTCCAAAGGGAAGTAAATATCCGCAGTGACAGCACCAATTGGCTGAGATGTTGGAGAAGCCCTCGAAGCGATGTGGGATGCGGTGGTTGATCTTTTCCTCGTCGGGGTCCGTTTCGTAGTTCGCTTTGCTGATACACTTGGTGACAACCTTGGGATAGCACTTCTTGTGACAAGTATATTTGCAGTCAGCACACTGCATGCCAGCAGCATACTTCAAAAAGTCGCCGCACAGAGCGCAGCGCATGATGTTGTAAAACTGCTGAGTAACAAACTTGTGTCCCTGTTTCTCGTGAACTTCCTCTTTCTTCTGTCGAACGGCGCCCTGACGATTGAGACCAATATCGAATGGTCGTCGGTCCTTCAATTGCTTGGCTATAGAGCCTGTCAGTAATCGCGGCAGGAGAAAGAGGAAATTGCGAAGACCAACCAAAGCTTAGACTCAGGTGAATACGACCAACTGGCTCCAGCGCGAACCAAGTGTCAATTATGACTGGACCAGCTGATGGGCCACCTTGAGCGCCACCTCCATATCCTTGGCTTGGGCCGCCTGGGTGGCCGCCGGAACTTGGCCGGTTACCAGAACCCATCGATCCTGGAGTGTCTTGTCGACCGTGATGAGCGCCTCCATGGTCCATCTTGTCCGCAGAAACCCATCCCGATGCATTGAACTCTGTCTCGATTTTCTTGCGACGCATTTCTTCGGCGATATCAGATATGCGCACCCAGAGCATACCGATAGGTGTGGGCCGATCCCCCGACTTGTCGTATACGGTAAGCTCGATCTCGTTCGCTTTGTCAATATCGATGTTGAAACCCTCGTCCTGCCACTTGTCGGTTCTAGTAGCTTTCGTTCTGGCTTTGATTGCATCTTCGACTTTCACCACAATAAATGTCTCGGGACCTCTGGAGAACCGCGAGCTCGCAGCATGGTCTACATCCCTAACGGCATGAATGCGTAGGGTCAAGAGACCGGTTAGTGGCTTGCGCATGTTTGGTGCGCTCAGACTGTCATCTGCCCGGGATAAAGTCAGCTATTGAGAATTTCCGGTGGCCGAGTGAACAGCAGCGGTTTTGCGACATACCATCGGGTGTGTCAGTGGACTCGATATCGACATGCAGATCCTCATATCGCTTGAGGGCCTGCTTCAGCAACTGAATCTTTTGGTTACTCTCGATTCGCCGTCCCTCCGCATCCATCCGACTCTTTCGATCACCCTCGTCTTGATACAGGCGAACCATCTTCTCGATACCGGCCTTGTATTGTTTCTCGACACTCAATTTGAATTCCAGCTGGGACAGCATGAGCTGAATCTTAGGTCCGAGATAAGGCGTGTCGTACTTGATAAGATCTACATGCGAAAGCAACACCATCAGTCAGACATCATACCGTACGATGCGTCACCTAGAGATCACACCGAACTAGCGCAGCAGAACCTACCAAGCTTTGTGTAGTTCGGCCGAGCCTTCGGGATCGGAGCGAAAGGACGAGGATCCGCAAAGGGCGCTCCGGACGGCATAGAGCCTGCACCTCCTTGTGGATACGCCCCCGAACCCTCGCCATACTCGGCCTGATCGTTGTAACCGGGCGCGTAGTCTTTCGGGGGCGGAGCCGGGCCAGACGCGTCCGGCGCAGGAGGTAGACGCTTGTCTGTCGGAGAGGCCCCGTCGTGCTTCATCTGTCGCAGCTGCAGCTCCCGCATCTTCTCCTCCAGGTAGGCGATGTTCTTGCGGCCATCGCGGATGTTCGCATCGACTCTCTGTTGTACGAGCGGGTTGTCGGTCGACTGCCGCATGTTCGACGCGGCCGTGATGAGAGCCTTCTCCCGCTCGATCTTGCGGTAGACCGAGGCAATGAGATCGTCCCCGTCCATGGTGACAGAGTGGTCCGAAGACAAGAGAACCGGTATAATCTCAAGTGACTTCAAAACCTAATATACCATGGAGAGAAATATTAGTATCAAGTTGGGAAATAGAGTCAAGATGGATGAAGCGAAGATGAATTAGGCGGACGGTGGGCAGGTGAACCGTTCGCGGGGTTGCTTGTTGACAGTTGCAAGGAGGGAGGGGAGGGGGGGCGCCGTTGTTGATTGATCGTAACGAGACAGACAGTACTCAGTTAATAGTTTCATTACCTTACCTATAACACAAAGGATAGGAAGAGGTCGGTCAGTCAGTCAGTCAGTCGGGAATTGTGAACAACGCCCAGGTCTGATGACGAAATCTCTTCTTACCCCCCTACCAGACGGGAATAACCTTTGTGATGGGGGGAGAAAGAAAGAAAAAAGGATTATCCAGATAATTATTATCTAGTTAGGAGGCGAGAAGTGAGTTTCAGAGTGGGCTGTGCTTGACGGAATCCCTGGCCAGACTCGGAGTTGCGGTTGGTTGACCGCCCGCCGCAGAATAGTACTAATGACTGACTGTGAATTACGGAGATTTATATATCAGTCAATGGGATGGCAAGGATAACAGGAATCGTGATTAAGATGAAGTGCTGGTTGAGAGTCTACAGCCTCTTACCAGGTTGCACGCGCGCGTTTATCATGGAGAAGAGAGGATTTACTTCCACATATCTGTTACTATGATCGATATTTTACCCAGACGATGAAAGATTAATGTCATTGGTTCCTACTACTACGACTACGCTCTTCTGATTACGATAAGTACCTCATGCTTCTATGGTGAACGTTCAGCTAGACGATATGACTTGAGCATCGGACTTAGTAACATAGACAACCAAATCTCGAACAACCATCAGAGCTTTTATACCTATACTCTATGCGACACAGGATGCGCCAATCGCAGTGTACATTCCATCATCTTGAGAACTCAATACAGTAATTATGTTCGAACAAAGTGGCGCAGCGGGACAGGGCGCATACTTGGCTATGCTCTCAGAGGATCGGAATCGACCCAGAGAGAGAGATAGAGAATGGCGTACACCAGCCTCAAGGTAGATACCTGAAGGGAGAGAACAGATCCAGGCGCCAGAATATGGGAGTAGCCGCGATATACACTGATCATTGGCCCACAAGAATGCCTCTCATGGACAACACAATGCTTGACTAGCATTCCCAGGTCCTTCACGTGATGATCGCATCCCTCAAGGAAAAGATATGACAGACAGATGCTCATGATGTTTGGAAATATTTTGCTTTCAGGCCACCGAAGACTTGGGAGTATTGTCCTGGTCTGAACAGATAGTCCTTCTTGAAGTTCAGCAAAGCTTTGGATCTTGACAATCCCTTGAAATAACGAACTTGGTCTTCTGGGAGATTCTCCTTCGCGTAAGCATTGTCAATCCAATAGGTTCTTGTGGTGATGCACACAACCTTACTCAGACCTCTTAGAGATCTTAGGCAGTGCAACCCAGCCCACAAGCATCAGGCCGTACAACCCAATACAGATTGGGTGAAGAACATACGTCCCCACACTCTGCGCCAGTAATCCAGTGAAGAATGGAGAAACGGCACCTCCGCTGCTTCCCATTGCAGAGATAAAACTCAAGCTAGATATCTGGATATTTCTGGGAAGCAGCTTGCTGAAGACTGCCATAGCACAAGGACAGACAGGGCCGAGCAGTAGACCCACGATGGCTACCGAAACGGCATCTCCGATCACATTGGGAATGAGCCAGGTCATGAGCTGGAATGCAGCAGAGCCCACAACAAGCACAACAACAGCGAGCTTCTCGCCGACTTTGTATGTAGGATGCGACAGCAGAAATCGCCCGAGGGTGATGCCAGCCCAAAAGCCAGCACTTACATAACCAACCTGGGAAGGGTTTCCGTTGCGATAGCTAATGAGGAACGATACAACCCAGCCAGAGATGGAAACCTCTGCACCCTGATATGCGAAAATGAACAGCGCCCCAAGCAGCGTTGTTTTGTTCTTCACAGTCTGTTTCAACAGTTGCTCCCTGTTTGGCGCAGCATGACCATGTTCCTGTTGGGATACAGTTTGCTGAAGAGCTGTCAAGAGCTGAACCGGCAAGTCTTTCTCGTAGTTTCTAAAGGCCCACATTCCAAAAGCTAGGTTGACGAGCGAAAAGGCCAAGTTGATAGAGTAATAGAAGGACCAACGAACTCCGCCGGATACCATAGCTGTCGCTATCAGAGGTCCCATGGTTCCCCCAATACCATAACTTCCATGTAAGCCACCCAGAGCAGCTGTGCTATTGGCAAGGTTGGCACAAAATACATTGTTCAGAGCAAGGCTCAGTGCCATGCCGAACCCCAGTAGGAAAAAACTAGCCACGACGGCTGGGAACGGAGGCTTGCAAAGGATGATCACATACCCCGCTGCCAATATACCCATGGATAACGCATAAGACTTGGAGCGGCCCAACTTAGTCTCGAGCAACTGGGTGAAAGGAGCAGCGAGAATGAATCCTAACGCATTTGTCACGAAAATCAAGGACATGACGGCGTAACCGATGTTGTAATCCTTCTCGATGTATGGAATGAGAGCACCGGGGCCACTGTCATTCAAACCATTTGCCATGTTCATCAAACAGGCACTCAAGAGACGCCATTTCGTGACTGATGATGTTGCAGGGTTGGGAAGAGGATCGATGGCGCCGTCTTCTGCAGGTGAGCCTGGATGGCTTTCTAACACACTGGGCGTAACAGTATTTATTGGCGTATGGGCGCCTGTGTTCGCTCCTGAGGGGCCGGACTGTCGGTTATCGCGCATATGATTTAGCTCATATTCAGAGGGAGCACGAGCGATGCCTTGTCCGTCTTTGCGCACGGCAGCTGCGGGGTTGGCGATCGGTGAGGTGCTCTCAAATCGCACCACAGCTCCAAACGCTGAAGTGGCCATGATGAAATTTGATTCAAACTTCAGCTATACTGAAGAGAGAAGAGAATCAACTGTGGATGCGGACACAAACGCTGTTCACTACAGATGAAGATAGTGCTTTGGGAAAAGGGCTCTGGAAAGTGCTTCAAGACATTGTGAAGGTACGGTCTCTCCATTAATAATCCAGTTTGGAAAATGGGTTCCGATAGCGAGCAGCTGACTCGAGACGAAGTAACCTACCTAGTAGTAGTGAGGGTGTAGTGTGCGTTGTGCAGTTGATTTCAGGGCCAAGAACGCGACAAAGAGCCATTCGGCGTTTTGTCAACTGGCCATCAATGCCCAGTCATGACGATTTGCTGCTGGATATGTGCGGACGCTGACACAGATGTAAGAAGTGACTTATACATGACTCTGAAATTGTTACAATGGAGCTGTGGGTAGTGAGAATCGGGAATCCGTATTTATCTAGAATTCTAGATGATGGGGAAAGGAGAGATGAAGCTCCACTAAGGTTCTCCGTACTTCTTGCCATCCCCGCCACGTGAAGTTTTTTTTTCGCTTCTTCTTCCCACCTCACTATTTTTGACAGTTGCAACAACGTGCTTGTCCATTGGATTAAACTGTCATATCAATACTTTATTGAAAATTGTTGAGACAGAGAGGCATTGTTGACGTTTATTCTCTTATAAGCCATGGGACCGCCAAGGAGAAAGGTGCTTGCTACAGCTGAAGAGACTCTATTTCCACCTGATGAGCTTGCTGAAGGGCAAGAAATTGCTCGAGTTATCAAGGCGACTGGGAACAATGTCTATTTAATAGAACTCTCTTCAAAGAAGACCATGTTGGTAGAATTACCCGCCCGATTCAGATCCACAATCTGGATGAAGCGGCGTTCATATGTTGTGGTGGACATGAACGCCCTGGAAGGCAGAGACAACAAGCTCGGTGGTGAGATTATCAATATCGTCAGGGATGAGAAGGCCTGGCGCAAGGCTCCTTTTTGGTCAGTTTAGTAATTATATGAAGGCGAGACCTCCCGTATGTATACTGACGGTATTTAAGGCCCAAGGAGTTTGTCAAGCAACCAGTCGCAGTGGTATCATCTGATGATGAAGAGGAAGAAGAGTCCAATGTTGGAAAGATGCCGTCCTCGGATGAGTCTGATGCATGATTGAATCCTCTAATCGCCATCTCCAAGGCTTTTGAGCCTATCGAGCCATTGCCGTAGTCTCGAGCAGGAGACGGGCTTTTTCTTTTTTTTTTCTTCTAGGTCTTTGGGTTGATGGCGGTTCGTAAATCTGCGCAGAACCTGATGTGCAACGGAAGATCGGAAGTGCAATGCTATTGCACATGTTCTTTTGGGCTATTTTCCGGAATTTGGCGCCCATTTGCGTTCCAAAGGATCCCGATGACTTGGACAGCAAGCGAAAGAATAACAACCAAGGAGCTCCCATTTGTGCTTGGATATATGTTCCAGGCCCACTCTTGCGCCATACATACCGCGTACACGACGATAGGGTGGAATCCTGTCTGCCAGAGAAGAAAGGGTGTCGCCCAGGCCAGATAAGCAAAGAACTGATAGTGCAGCGATCTTGCGCACAGGAGACCAATTGCAAGAGATGATAGCATCGTTCTCATGATGAAAGTTCGGGATAAGGAGACGGTGCGATAGCGTCTTTGAAGCAATTGCTGCACGAAGCTTGGCAACTTAGATCCGGACGGCTTCAGCCATACTCTGGTCGCAAACAGTCCCAAAAGGGCAATGTGTAGTGCCAATAGAGCTAGAGAGAATTTTCTAGATAGGAATAATTCTTCGCCGACGAATCTCCAATTGACTGTCCACTTGAACATGAACTGCCTGGTTAATTCAAAAGATCGCGCAATGTATCCAGCCGTATTATGGGACAGAAAGGGGATTCCCAATAGGATCTGTTACTCCGATCAGCTTAAGCGCACTCAACAACGTAGGAGTAAAGAAGAATACCTGAATGAGTACCGCCAGCGCCCCGAGTTGTATACTCGGTTGAAGCGATAAGCTAAGCACCAACACTACTGCGATTGCAGGCGCAAGAAGCAGGAGAGTCATCTTGATCGCGACACCAGTTGACCAGACGACGACACCCGCCGTCCACTTCTTTTTCTGGAACAAGAAAATAGCAATCCACATGGCGAGAGCCGCAAAGCCATCGTTGAAAAGGCGTAGCACGAAAATACTATGGAGCCTCTTGGACAGCACGAGCGGCAGAAGCAGGAATGGCGGTGCGCCAGCCTGTCTATAACAAGACATTACGACGGCCAGCGTAGCGAGGTATGGAATGGCAAACAAGATTTGCGCAAGCAGGATGTCCCGCCCTTCATCCGTGAGGTAGTAGAGGATGCTATAGATGTAGACGTGTGCGGCCGGATACACCAGTGGTCCGGTGGACCCTTTGATCAAGGTGTAGTCACGCTCGCCCGAAAGATATAGAGAGACCTGTTGCATGTAGGTCGTCCAATCAATTTCAGTATCTGTTTTGAAAAGCTTCGTGTTAGCTCCGTGTCAATGTTGACGTCGCAAGAAGTACAATGCTCGGTGTTTATGGCTCACATGGGACCCTCCAGATGATGAGCGCGCAAAGGACCGCATCCCCCAAAATGAGAAGAGGAGCAATCCATCTTGTATGTCTGGGATTCATACAGAGATCTCCCAGTAAGTGCTTCAACTCCATGTTGTCGATGGTGTTAAGGTCCCAAAGAGCTGGCTTCCAAGCATGTGGCTTGAGGCCAAGAGAACCAATGGTATTCGTCCTTTTCCGGCTTAGCTCCAGTCCGGGATGGAGGAGAAGACTCAAAGTCTCACAGAGAATGATCAATGCGGTAATAATTGTTGCGATACAAAAGTCATTCAACTCCATTGTGACGTTGTTCATTTGATATAGTACTGTGACAGGATAACGGAGGGTAAAGTGCTAATATCTACACTATCTGTACATGGGTATAGCAGGCATTGGGCCTTTTTCATGAGTAGAGAAGTCAAAGAAGACTGCAACATATGCCAGAATTGTTGCTTTTCAAGGAGTATCCGTCCTGATCCCTTATTAGAAAGGAGAATTTTGTTGCAACCCCCTGTGATTTATTGACTCCCTTGGCTTGGAGCGTTTGCCGGTCCAACCCTAGCAGTCTGGTGCTTGTGTTCCCCATCCTGCGACGAAAATCCCAACAATTGACCCAAGACACCCCGGGGTTTTGGGACCGGGCATTCTCGTCCTGGATTCGCAAGCCTCTCTGCTTCTTCTTCTAACTGTAAAAATGTCGACACCTCATCCGTAGCCTGGGGCATTGTGGGATAGACCGAAGTACCCTCTTGCTCCGTCTGATCTGTCTCCTTCCTGCGCCTTCTCCGAACTCTCGGAACTTGCTGTCCATCGGCGGTCATCATCATATCAGAGTCGGCGAATGTGCGACGCGGAGCGGGACACGGAAAGACATGCGGTATGCCAACGACAAAAAGCGATGCCATGAGAGTCCCTGCAAAGAGCGACATGGTCGACCGCGACCGGGGATGTAAATGAGGCGGCATTGTGATGTTTAGAACAGAATGGAATCGATTGTCGCCAAAAAGGAATTCCCAAGATGTGCTAACATGGAGGACTTGGGGGGGGTGCTATGCGGGACAGAACTTGTCAGTATCAGGAGGAAGCGGGGGCACTCGGGCTCGAACAACCAACTCACCTTTTTCCGTCAATTGATCTGACAATCGTTCAATTAACACAGAGAGCAGAAGAAAGGCCGTAAGGAAGACATGGCCCTTCCTCAATGGGTAGCGTAATTGTAACGAAGGACACACGAACTGACTTGTTGGATCCGGAGAAGCGGACGAAGACTGGAACTGGAACGATGAAATTCACGTGAGTTCGCTCAATGCTCTGGGCGGTCAGAATCTTATCTTATCGCTCGGTACTGTGATTGGGCGGTGGCTGCTCCTCCAGCACCCGCGTGAAATCAACTTGTCCAACGCGCCACAAGCCGGCCGCGCAGTGCCTCGCAGCAGCACCCCTTGGTCTTTTAGATTTGCAATAAAGCCACTCAGTGATCTTTTTTTTTTTTGCTGCTCACAGCATGGGCTATGACAAAAAATGATTGTTGACTCGGCTTACATCTAGCGCTGTTGATCTTTTTCTTTGTCTGATCGCTCAGCTAAGTCGATATCCCCTCCAACTTCCTCGGACTTTGGACCCACCGATCACCCAGCCGCTCAGACGTGACTGTCATCCATTCTCATCTTCCCTTTCAGAGATAATATGAGCGATCTAGACAGGTGAAGAATAGCGCTGTTACCTACCGCCAGTGTCATAGACCGTTACTGACTCCTGTTTCTGTCACTAGGGCGATTGCGCAGTTACGCGCTTGTCGCTTAATTCCCGAGTCCGAGGTGCGCGAACTCTGCTACAAGGCCCGGGAGATCTTGATAGAAGAAGGAAATGTTGTGTCTGTGGATGCGCCAGTCACGATATGTGGAGATATCCATGGCCAGTTCCATGACCTGATGGAGCTGTTCCGTGTCGGCGGAGACGTTCCTGACACCAATTACTTATTCATGGGCGATTTTGTCGATCGCGGGTTCTATTCTCTCGAGTCATTCCTCCTCCTTCTCTGTCTCAAAGTCCGCTACCCTGATCGCATCACCCTGATCCGTGGGAACCACGAATCCCGCCAAATCACAACCGTCTACGGCTTCTACGACGAGTGCATTCGCAAATATGGCAGCGCCAATGTGTGGCGGTACTGTTGTGAAGTGTTTGATTACCTAGCCCTGGGCGCGCTCGTGCTGGGGACAAGCTCGGAGCTGGAGCCGACGGGACCAAGCATGAACGATACCACCCAGTCCACGATGCCGCTTGATGATGGAGAATTAGAAACGGAGGTCCTCAACTCACGAGGGGAGGTTACAATGAGCACGTACAGGCGGCGACAGAGATCCTCGTCAGACGCATCGACCGACTCCAGAAATATCTCTCCGCCAAGAGACATCTCCGCGGCGCCAGGCCAGACACCTGCTCGAACCGGTCCCCCCGGCACAGGTGCTTCAGGACACGGCGCAGGGAGCTATACCAGTCGAACCGGCGCAGTACTCTGCGTCCACGGCGGTCTTTCTCCGCTGATAGACACGGTGGACAAGATCCGCCTGATCGACCGCAAGCAAGAAGTTCCACACGAGGGCGCCATGTGCGACTTGCTCTGGTCAGACCCGGACGAGATCGAAGGCTGGGGGTTGAGTCCACGCGGTGCAGGTTTCTTATTTGGCGGCGATATCGTGAAGCAATTCAACTACAAGAACGATTTATCCCTGGTGGCTCGGGCTCACCAGCTCGTCATGGAGGGCTACAAGGAGATGTTTGACGGCGGGATCGTCACTGTCTGGTCAGCCCCCAACTATTGCTACCGCTGTGGCAACGTCGCCGCCATCCTGGAGCTCGGCGAGGACGCAAGCAACGGTGGCACAGTCGTCAGAAGCAACGGTGATTTCGGGCGGAGTAACGGCGTGCTGGGAGCAGATGGCGGCGGCCCACGCGTCGTCAGCCCCGGGAGAAGATACAGGGTGTTTGAGGCCGCCGCGCAGGATACAAGGGGCATGCCTGCGAAGAAACCTGTTGCTGATTATTTCCTGGTAAGAGAAATCCTTGACCGCTCCATCTACAGACATGCTGACTTGACGACTCGGGTTGCAGTGATACCATTTGATGCACTTACCTTTCTTCCCCCTCCAACAATCTTGTTCACGTTCTTATATAGGCCGGCCGAAGCAATGAAATTTTTTCTAGCCTTTCCTTCTAGTTTGATAATCTACCGTTCTAAACCGTAATTCTGCTCTAAGCACAAGCCATTGGTCATGGTCGGCTGCTCAGGTGGACTTCCATACTAGATATGGCTGACGAGAAGCAGATATAGGCAGAGAGTGTAGGCAAAAGAAGAGTCGTATTGACATCTATAGAGTTCTGAATCTTAGAGACTAGTCCAATATTTCCAAGCTGTCAACACATTCATGAGAACTATGACTATATCCCAAAATGACATCAAATTCGTCGCGATTTGCGTCCAATTTCAATATTATTGCTGGAACGTTTCCGGCATGACTATACCATTGTACCCCGAGATACTCGGACTCTGATCCTCCTGCGTGGCGTTTGGCGAAGCACTGAGTTCGTATCGATACGGCTCTGGCATTCGAGGAGTATCACCAGACACTGGTACCTGCGCAGCGTTAGAGGCAGTAGTCTCGTAACGCAGCTGCGATCCCGTTCCGGCGACGCCTGGATGCCACCCTGGTCCCCAATTTTCCACTCCCAGATTGATTGCGTTTGTATTGCGCGACCACCAATCGTGGCTTTCTTCCACTAGGTTCTCTGAGTCGTCGAACCCGGTTATTGGAGATGCATTCGTGGTAGAAGGGGTGTTATTGTCTGTGTTCAGCATGGGCACTTGACCGTCACCAGCTTGCTGATACCAAGTGTCCTGCTGCGCGAGCGGAGCAGCTTGCATTGGTCGATAACCATGAGGTATTGGCCTGAGATAGGTCGGTTCTGGTAAAGGTGCATCACTTCGAGGAATTTGTGCACTGAAATTGCGTTGAGCCGCACGCATGGCGGATAAGGATGTTGGGAAAGACGATCCTGTGGAGTATTGATTGCGTGGTAGCCCTGTCGGAGGCGTGAGGTTTTGAGAAGAGGCGTCTCCAGAGAAATTTACCGGAGCCCCTCCTGTAGATGATGGTATATAGTTCGGAATGGAGGTCGAGACACTGGGAGAAGCATCATCGGTTGTAGAGGGGGAACCCGCTTGGTCCCAAGAGCCCCAGGATCCCCATTTCGCATGTGTCCTTTCAAAGATGCTTAAGGCTTCATGCGGTAGTTCGACTTGCCATTTGCTGGCAGATATATCGAGAATGCGAAGTGTTCGCCGAGCACAGAGCCAACTCTCCCCCATTTCCTCCAGATTCCGAAGGCCATGGATGATGTCTCTCTGTGCGTTCTTGTCCGGTAAGTTAAGAAGATGAATTGTGCAAGCGGTATGGGCAATATAAACAGCAACATTAACAATTTGCTTGAGTCCATATGTGCGTTTGTACATGCGAAGTAGTTTCGAGATTGCACCTGCGGCCTGTGTGCATATTTTGCGGGGCGAGACATGCTGCGGAAGGGGAGAAGTGGATTTGGTATATTTCAGGAACGGACGGTATAGGTGTATAAAGAGAAGTTGATAGAACATGCTATTTGGAAAAAATCAGTGGGCAAATCCTGGTAGATGTTGAGACTTAGATAATAGGCTTACTGCATCACGAGAACTTGAGGTAGCTGCCTTTCTCGGGGTTCCAGCTCCTTGGGTAAGCCCTTCTTCCAGGCTTCCAGTCTAGTATGGATCTCACTCAGCCGTTTGAGCTCCGCCTGTTTTGTCATTGGCTTGTCGCTTGGAGCCGGATCATAGAAAAAGACAAGAAGGTCCCCGCTAATTTCACACACTTTGGCAATCTGCAACGCCACGGCCCTGATCCGCGAGGCTTGTGTGTCATCATGGCTTGGCCCAGAGTCCGTATATGGAGACCAGAGTTCTGCCTCCTCATTAGGTAAGATATCAATCTTGGGCACACAGACCTGGGAAGTCAAGAGCTGGGGTTGGCGTCCAAGGTAGTTAGACCAGCACCTATTCTGGTTAGAATTTACATCGTCCCAGCCATAAGATAGAGGGTGACAAACTTATCAAAGATAAAGCAACCCCAGAAGGTGATTCGACGAGCGTCCAATTCTTCGTCATCAAGTTTTCGCGTTCCCAGGCTACTGGAATCAAGGTTCAAACCAAGATCTAAAGCCATTCGAAAACTCATGCCGCTATAAACCCAGCCTTTGCCCTCTCGACCACAGCCAGCTTCGCGGACGGATAGAAGTGCCAACGCTTGAACTGTGCATAGCTTGGCGTTCACATGTTCGTCATTTTCGAGGACCAGCCTCTTTGCTTCCTTGAAAAAATGGTCCCCCGCAGTTGCGGAGTTCTTCGGATCCTCTCGCGCCCCCTTCCACGAACTGAAATGACAACCCAGGGCCAGTATTGCATTGACCAGCAGCGAGGAACAATACTGGCTAGAGACACCACGAACATAGTCCCGATAGAAAAGATCCTTGGGAAACGTGGTGAAAAAAGGATAGTGCCATGTGAAATACATTGTCATGAGGTGGTTGATCAATTGCTCGTCGTCAGTGACTCTCGTCCACTGGCTCACTGGGTGTTCATGACCGAGGTCCAACGCCTGGCTATTCAAAGTCGAATCAAACTCATTGAGCTCTGATCCTGGAGGGAGGAAAATAAGGTTAGATGTGCCTCCAATATACTTACGGGAACCATCTAGCATGAGTTCGCTCATCTTCCCGGCCAAAGTAGACACAAATTGGTCTTCCGGGAACACAGGATCCTCCCCGTTAGACGCAACCTCAGCAACTGGAGGTGCTTTATCCCTGCTCTCAATCGATTGTGCCACATCTTCTAAACTGTCACAGGAGCGAATTTGCCGAACCAAATCAAATGCGTCTTCTTCATCGTAGTTCAGCAACGCCTGAACCAAGGTGTGTAGTGTCGAATTTTTCGTTCTGAGAGCATCTGTGTCCTTCTTGTACACACCCTTTCGTCGATGATCGGAGTTGGGGTCGTAGACACCTGCGTACAGGTCAGCAGAATGTTCTTCGCATCGAATCGTCCCGGCAGGTCCCGGCCATACAAGGAGTATTATAAACGGATGAACAGGCGGCACAGCTTGGAAGTTTTCCATCGCACTTGAAAGATGGAGCAGTGTCAGATAATACGAGCTGGGAAGGAAAGAAGCAAGCATGCTGAGATTGATTACCTTGGACTTCCGCCGCCGACAAGCAATACAAGCGGTGCTTACACAACGTCTCTTAGAAGCTGGGCCGCTCTCCGGGTTCACACCCTTGGCTTTCCCAGAAGCCTTTCCTCGGGGCCCTTTCATGGGCGGCTCCGGACTCAACGAAGTCGCATCCTCCTCCATGCTTGTTGTCATGTCCATTCTAGAATTTTCAACGGAACCGTTGAGTCAGAGCAGATCATGCTTGTCTGGGGTGCAGTAGAATGGTCAAGTCCCGCCACTGGAGGGAGTCCGAAAAGGTTGTATGCATAGATCCGCGAGATGGGCAGACTATCGATTACCGCGCGCTTGATAATGGAGCTGATCTGGGACTGAATCAGGAACATTAGTAAAACGCAAGTGAACTGCTGGTGGCTTACAGGCGGCTATGGCGAGTTTTGTGTACCCTGTACATCCACCATGATGATTGAATAACCAAGCTCGGAGCCTGGAGTCGGAAATATACTTATAAATCGCGATAGAACCTGGACGAAGAGCGCAATGATCACACCCCAGGGCTGCGACCCGCAGTGAAGGTGGGACCGTGGAGGATGGGATCAGACAAAAAAGCCGGGGCCGCAGGATTTAGAGGTGAGATGATAAGGGGCTGGACTAGGTGATCGAGTGAATGATTGGATCACGATGAGACGCCAAATGAAAAGCCATGGGGTGATAGTCTTCGACTGTAGAGAAGCTCTTGTGCAGCGCCGTGGACTTGTGGTGAACCTCGCCGCCGCCGCCGCCGCCGCCGCAAGTAAGAGGTGATAACAGTCGCTGACTAAGAGACATCTGGGCATCAGTCACAAAAATCGCGGGTCTGCTGAATGGTCAGGTCGTCGATGGATACGGGGGGCATCTCTTCGATAAATAGGTACCTATCTACTCCGTATATCGCTTTGTCAAGTAACGCTATGTGACACCCGTCATCCAGATCGAGTCCTCCAAATCCCGAAAACAACGAGATCCCTGATCGTCGAGGATCTAAATGTCGATGAAATGTTTCGGCTTCAGCCAATCACGATAGACACAATTCAGAAGCCACGATCTGCCAACATTTTTGCCTGCGGTGTGGCATGAGTTCATGACAAGAGTAACAACAAGTGAGTAGTCCAAGGAGTCATTGTCATTGATCTTATCAAAACAGTAGCACATGGTAATCCAGTCCCATGTCCGGGCAAAGCTTTCCAGTCTCACAAGATTGCATATTTGATCCTTGATAAGCACTTGTTGCGAAGACTGCAAATCCCTCCAAGGTATCTATCTAGCTAGATGATTGAAGAACAGAGGCAAACTCTAGCGGCAGGATAGTTACGACTAAGCCTATTGTCCGGCTTTTAATTGATTATGACTCTGCTAGGGACAATTCTACAGTTGTGTCATCATCTTGGCGATAAGAACATGGGGCATCTTGAAGATGTTGTTCATGTAACAGTACCTAGTATCACCATCGTTCAGCCACAGGCCGGCTATGACATAAATGTTGCATTTGAGTTGAAGAATCTGATGATCCAGATCCAGCCTAAGAGTCTCTCATACTGAGACTGACAAAAAGACTGGGTAGGAAAACCTGTGCCCGTTTGTTTATTGTAAACATTTAGCTGGCACCCAGAAATTGGGAATGCTTGGGAAAGAATTAAGATAGAATGCAAAATACCGGTAGTGGTACAGGGGATTTGGGAAATTGCGAACAGTACTCCATGAGGTATCTCGTATTCCGTGCCAATTAGAACCGGAGTTTAGAGTTTCAATCTGTAGATCAATTGCAATGGAGCAAGATCCCTGACATCCTTGGCATCTATCTGATAGAAATCATGATAAAGTGATTGTTTTTTAGTAGTAGTCGGAGTGAGAACAAGGATCCTCGTTGAAGTTAACAAGTCGCATCATCTAAAGGCCACTGAAGCCGCGACCACTCTTCTGCAATGCTAGATGACAGGGGTTCGATGGCCGTAAACTCATGTCATTGTGTACCAATCGGTACTGCTGATTCGTTAAATGTTTCATAGATCGTAAAGGACAGGTAAGAATCGGTATAACTCCAACGCATGAGAAGTAGAGGAAGCAGAGGCTGACGCCGTACCCAGACTTCCATGCAGCATTCCACTTGTTGTAGACTGGACCGCAAGCAATGCGAGGAAAGCCGGACTTCAATAGTTCGAGCTAAATACCCAGTCGGATGCCATGACTGTAATCATGGCAATCTAAGGCCAGAGGTCAGCAATAGTCCATCATGCGTATTAGAAGGCTTTCAAGTTTTACCAAAGACAAGTCCACACCTGCAGTAACTGTGACATCCAGCACCGGTCGATAGCCTTTCTTTGAGCTGGGCATCAAGGCTAATTTGTCGTTGTGAGGTATACTCTCGCGAATTTCCGCGACCTTCCTATCTCCATCCACCACATCAAATGAAGCCAAAGCGTTGCCATATTTTTCGATTTCCAGCGTCAGTATCTTTTCATCCTCCTTTTTCGAGTCAATGGCTGCTCTATTCTGGAACGTGATTTTAAAGTCTCCGACAGACCATCTCGCGGTGGCCGTCGCGATATTCGCGTGCTTGCTCCCGGGCAGACTGACGTTCCATGCGTTTTTGAGCGACATTTTCCTGTGAAGCTCAAACAGTGGAAGTCCAGAAGCATCCCAGAACTCTCGACAAGGGCGACCGCTAAATTTACGGCCTGTGGCAGTGAATAGAGTCACCCCGTCGGCATCCTGAATCTTGTACGCTCTGGAGGACTGCGCATCGCCTTGCGGCCTCACGATCAAGAAAGTCTTCTCATCCGTGATGTACTCGGTTCGAACGGCAATGGGACGGCCAGGAGCTTTGAGAACCCTCCGAAACGAGCTTTGCGATGACGATGACGAGGAGGACGAGGACGATCTGAACATTGTGGCGTGTAGTGAATTGCCTCAGTCAAGTGCGGGGGAACGCTGTCTTATATGCCGTCATCGCTACAGTTTACTACAGAGCTAAAGGTACGTTACCAATCTCTTTGCACAGCCCCGCGATCAAGCCTCAGTCTTCAGTCGTCGGCAAATTAGCGTATAGGCCATGGATAACCACTGGCGATGCAGATGGCAAAGATCCCTCACCCCCCGCTTCGAGCCTCATTGAGAATTCCAAACTTCCAATAGGGAGGAAACCAAGGCCTTGTCTAGCTTGATTCTTATTAAGGCTGCTTGGCGTGGGAGGAAAGTATGACAACTATGATCTATCAACCATGTGGTTGTTATGAAGCGGATCCCTGAGTTGATTCTCCATCAAAAACTGTCGTTGGAGTGGGATGTCCTCCTTACTAAGTAGCATAAAGCGATGGCCACACCCTCCGGCTATATTGGTTGTTTGTTTGGGTCTTTATTGGAGAATCGTATTCCCAGCCCTCTGTTAACTAGGTACAACGATTGGGCAGATACCACTTAGGATCACCTGATACGTATCCAATAGTTACCAGAAATCGACGGGAGGTATTATCAATTGTATTTGTGCGACGTGCCATCGTAACTTTTGGCGTACCTTGAATACAATAATAAATTACCTACCCGACACGGGTACTTCGTAATACAATTATACAGCAGACCTTTTGGGCAAAAGCGATGGAACATTCTGCGAGTTCTGTGGGGCTTCCGTAGAGTGGTTGCAGGTCAGATGAGCTCGTAATTTTACTCCCGCGAGCGGTAAATCTGTAAATTACAAGAATAAGTCATGTGATGCTCGCACCACCCTTTACCATACTGAAATAGATTTCAGCTTGCACCACCCTTTCTGTTATTTTACTAAATTAAATACTCTAATAAACTTAAGAGATCTTAAAGTTAACTACTTTCTAAGTACTTAAAAACCTAAGTACTTAGAAAGTACTTAGAATTTATTTTGAAAGATAAGTATATAAATAAATTCTAAGTACTTAGAAAGTACTTAGAATTTATTTTGAAAGATAAGTATATAAATAATTTTTAAGTACTTAGAAAGTACTTAGAATTTATTTAGAAAGATAAGTATATAAAGAATTTTTAAGTACTTAGAAATTACTTAGAAAGTACTTAAAATTATTTTTAATAATCTATATTAAATAAGTATATTACTCTCTCTACTAAAGATATATATATTAATAACTATAGTAAAAGATAATTATATTAACTACTTAGTAAGTACTTAGAAAGTACTTATTAAATAGTTAATAAGTACTTTCTAAGTACTTAAAATAATAATATCTATTATCTTTTATAAGTATAATAAGTTACTTCATATTATATTTTTTCTATATAAATAAAAAAATAAATAATAAGTAATTTCTAAGTACTTAGGTTTTTAAGTACTTAGAAAGTAGTTAACTTTAAGATTTCTTAAGTTTATTAAAGTACTCTGTATTTGATTTTCAGATAAAATAATATGAGTATTTAGATTTCAGGTAAGATAGTATGGTAATATTTTAGGTCGCGCGAGCCATAAATGCTTATTAATGGTCTTGGCGGTCACATGTATGGGGTATGGCTCATATGAGCAGTCTGGACTGCTCATGTGAGCTGTGTACACTTCCGTAGAAGGCCTAAGGCAAGGTACTTCGGTTACCTAATAATGGATGATGGTCATGTGAGACGAATTCCGCCTGTTCGCTAGTAATTTTTGTCTGATTTCAAATCAAAAACACCATACTGGTAAGGCAAAGTGTAAATGTGACACTGGTTCTACTTTTACCGCCTACTCCATACTCATAGAAGTATTCCATTACTGGGTGTAGACAAAGTCATGAGCTAAAATAACCTATGACCTCAAGACATGGGACCGGAGCGTTATCAGATTCGACCTACTACTATGTATTGGATGTATTATTCATGGCTGGAAGAATGGACCTTCTTGTCAAAAATACAGACCATACCATTACCTCACTGATCAGGCAAAGCGTGGTAAGATTCGGCAGGCAGCCATACATTAATTACAGTTTCGAAATGCCGTCACATCCACACTATTCATTGCCTCTTCTGTCTTATCTTCATGAAACGTCCCACTGTGTATGAAGAAGCACTTTTCTCGCCTCCAACTGACGTGGAACTCTTCTCCCATTTTCCTCGCCCTCCTCTCTCCCTTTTTCTGCACTTCTTTCTAATCTGACCGGGGCACTACAACACCTTTTCAGACATCTCAGCCTGTCTTGCCAGTTGCCTGTCAGATTCGGCTTATCGCGTGCCTGCATACGGACGCTATCCCGCAGCCGGCCTCCATTTCCGCTTTGCCTCTAATCTTAATCGCAAATCATCTGCCAACGCACCGATACTGCCACGCATATATATCCACTAGAATCGCCTGCTCCCTTTTGGGGGAGTTCTATATCCGATTCTCCTTTCCCTTTTCTCTCGCTCTTCCTTTTCCCATCCATGTATCTCGCGCAGGGTCTTGATCAAAGTGCCTCGTCGGGGCTGGAGTGCCTTATCAAAGATCTGCTGTCCTACGATAACATATCACCAAGATGATGGTCCCAAGGGCTTTTCTATTTACCTCTGTGTCTCCCAAACCATTTCGTGAGAAGGAGCTGCCGAGGAACTCATCCTCCTCCATGAACCTCTTCACCGCAGAAGACGTTTCTGGCCTCGAAGTCCCCAACGAGGCGTTCCCAGATGCCGGTCACACCAACCCAGTCGTGATTCCTCCGAAACGCGCTCCTCGCATCACCTCCACACGCAATGAACCTGCAGCCATTGGCTTGCGGACGCCAAAAAACAAAACACTCACTTCGAGATCATCCTCGTCCACTCTACGTGATCGCCCTCTACCATCATCCATCGCATCGATACTAGAGGCCACTGCGATACCTGTTCCCCGGCGTGCATGGACAGTTCGGGAGTCTCGTCGACTGCCTCGTGGAGACCATGTACAGGACTTTAGCAGGTTGCTGATGGGCGGTGTCAGATCCCGCGATGACCACCTGCTGGAAGGGACTGGTAACACTGTCCTTGACATCCTGCTGAGCCCTCCAGATGAGAATGAGAAGTCGGCTGTTGGCAGTGAATACGAGGAGCTGTCATTTTCGGGTCGTTCTATGTCTATCGAATCCATGCCGTCGTTAGATCATGACCTGGATTCTCCGTCTAGCCTTCCAGTCCCAACGACTCCGGGAAGCCAGCGAAGTCCATCTGAAAGGAAATATCGTCGCCCGCCACACCCCCAAGATTGTGCTTTAGATCATCCTCTGCTGGAAAGAGATCTTTCAGAATCGGAGTGGGAATCGACTGATCTCCCCCAGCCGCTGTTCTCAAATACCGGTTCATCCAAATCTCAAACGTCTCGGGCATTTCCCCGGCTAGGTTCAACATTCAAGTCCAATTTGACGGCATCTTTACGGGCAATCAAGTCTGCTGCTCAGAGCGTCTCGACATTTGCTACACCTTCAGTGCAACCCGATGATTTCCTTACGCGGTCGTTGTTTACAATTACGCCGGAGATGACGGACGACCGTCGGCCTCCGCCCATGAACGAGCCGCCATCTCCCGCTTTGCGGCGGTACCTAAACCCGATTCAGATTTCCCCAGCAGAAATGTATGCCTATCAAGACTACCCCCATGAAAAATCGGATTCTCGAAGCTGCCCAGTGTCGATCCAGATGCAGACCTACCATCGTTCAAGGGGACGCAGTGGTCGCAAGAGCAAGGTTCATCTTGCGGGCTCCGCAAGTCAAGACCGACGATCATTACCATTTGATCCAGAGAATCCTACCTTCTCACGGCCTCGCGAACCCCGAGAAAACAGTGATTTCCTGCGCATGGTGGTTCTGGAAATGAACATGAGACGGAGCGGCAAGCTTCGCGATGACATCCCCACTCGGGCGCGGATCTGGCTGCCGCCTCGCAAAAACACCCAACACCAGTTCGCAAATTACGACTACGACTACAACGATAACCATAACGACACCGAACATGTCATTCCCCCCAGATGGGTTGGGATCTCTGCGTAATGCACGCACTTCTCTATATCTCCTTTTTGTTTTTCCTTTTCTCACATCATCATGAACTTGGCCCGGGTCTTCTCGGATCTTCTCATTTCCAATCATCTTGTACATATCAGAGGAGGGTCCTCATGGTCGGAGCACAAAGGAGCAAGGTGTACGGGTGAAATTTTCCACATACATAGCTGATCAATCACCGCCGGGTTATTCCCGTGTTTGATGGCAGGAAGACCGTTTCCCTTTCTAGCCTGGTACATATATAGCGAAGCGGAATAGAATTTTGTTTGTCACTGAGCATGGACCCCAAAAAGTTTGATAACCCATATCAGACAGGTGATATCGGATAAGGTGGAACAAGGGCCACCTGGGCAAAACAACTTTAGATACATAACTTGTCACTATCATCCCGTCCTTCCTTTGCTTGCCGGCAGGTCTTATCTCTGCCCAATCGCATCAAGCATCTACAGGTGTTCGCGCCGCGTTCTGGGTAGGGGGGATTGCCTGCCCTGTGTAACCAGGTAGCATCGGTATAAATGGGGGTAAGACACCACCCAGCTCAGAGTATGTATCGATCATATGAGAATCCCGTGACGGCTATCAACTCCAAACAGGCCGAAGGCAACCGATTTTTTCCTCCTTTTTTTGGGCAGCAGTGCAGAGTGAACGAGGTAAGAAGTAGAACGACGGCTTAATTGGCTCTGCTCTTGCTCCTCCTGGTATAATCTCAAACAATAATACAATCAAAGAGGCTTAAAACAAAAATCATAGTGGGTATCTATATCCTGGTCGTCAACCAATGCTCCAGCAGCGGCAGAATTTTCAAGCCTTGGATCGCTTAGGCTGGAATCCTATAACCAGGTTAGATCTTGGCTTCTCTGGATATGGGGGGAGCACTATCTACGGTGTAGACTAGATAGGCCTGACTCACTCTCTTCGTCCAGTAACGTGCGTTCCTTCCAGCTCTCTTCAATCCAGTCGACAGCGACTATATGCGGGACTTTTTGCCCTTGTTTCTTGGACCATGTGCCTCGTAACGAAGATATTTCTGAGGATGGGCTTTCCGGGTCGACGACGACGTGAGTAATCGAGGCTTGGTTTGGGGAACTGGCGATGTTTGCCCCGGCAAAGCGTGCTGTGTTGATAGCCAAGCGAAGCCGGTAACTGTGGTCTGATGGGACCGTATTACCGCTGGATCCTGTATCATCCATGCTTCGATGCTGGAAGAGGATGGTCAAGCCCTTAAAGAGCCACCCACACGGTATTTCGTATCCGGAATGGACTCTTTCCTGAATGCGCTCGGTGAGCTTCGCGATGCCTTCGGGACACTGAGAACCTTTAAACCGATGCTCTTTCATCATTTGGTGCAGTGTCTTGAAGCAGTCAGCACTTGTCTTTCTCAGCCACCAGTTTGGGAGAAATAATACATTTTTGAGCTCTTCGCTCGTGGTATTACGAGCGTAGCTGTCGTTGAATTGGTCAACATTAGCGGCTACTTCCTCTTGCTTCTCGGGTCTGGCGAAGAACATGTGCCTAGGTACAGGTTAACTCGGATTTTCCTCAGCTTGAAAGAAGGACATACTTTGGCTCCATCGGCAGGAGCAGATCAGGAAGGCCTGCATCAATTTCATTTTGTTTCACACAATCGAGCAACCAGGATGGCCTGATGATATCCACATTACCACTTTTCTGCAGTGAGGCAGCCTTGACCGTTCCTATCGAGTACGTCAGCTAAAAGTTTACCAAAGACCGCATCATGGACGAGGCGTACTTCTGTCGGCTATACAAACTGTGTGAGGAGCTGCATTGTTAGTTTGGTAGAATTTGCCTCCATTTGCCTTGACCAGTTGCTCCAGCTCCTGCTTCGACTTCTTCACAGGCGCATTGGCATCAGTGAGTATGTCTGTTTTGCGTGGTAAGTAAAGAAACACGTGAGAAAGCTGTACGAGTAGGCAGCTCACAGAAGTTCAACCCCTCGAATATATGACCGGACGGTCCCGCATACTTGGCCTCTTCGTCTGCATCGTAACCAGCAACAGCCAGAGGTTTCTTCGTCGTTCTCTTTATGCGTTTGCGACGAAAATTGTCCACGCTAAACTCCTTCTCGCGATGCTCCTGTTCCACGTTTGATTTGAGGTCAAGGAATCCCTGTACAGAGAGAGCACTTCTCCAATCTTTATCCATGCGTAGTCTTTTGAATCGCGGGAATCTCAATGTCAGGCCGATACGGAACTGATCACTGACAGAGACGGATGCTGCCTTGACGCAGACGACGACCGAGTCTTCTGGCTTAATCCACATGTCGGGTCGCTCATATTGCGCATCTTTGCCGGCGAGTTCAATGTAAGCGGTGGGAGGTTTCTTCGGATTCCACTCTACCCATTTGCCATCCGTGTGATGACGGATGTTCGCATAATCAGCAGCATTGAAGCCACCTCCGACTTTGCAGAATGAATAGCACTTGGATGCATTCGAGCCCTGCGAAGCATGGGTGTCATCGGCCCTTAATCCACAGAGGAAGCTTGACAAGTTGCCGCCCCGACGACCAGAGCCAAAGTACCCGCCGATGACAATGAGATCCAGCGACTCTCCAAACTCAGTCATGTACTCTGGCTTTACCTTCATCCAATCGTCGTGTCTTTCGTTCAAACGATACGGTGACCTAGGATTTTTGAGCACCAACCCCTCGGAAGCTTCTGCAACCACCTTTCTGAGAGCAACTTCGACTTCATCTTTCGTCGTGGCTTCCTCGTAAGGATGTATTTCGAACCTACGGTGGACGGGGCGCACACTTTTTTGCAACGCATTGCGACGATCACGAAGAGTGTATCCGGTCAGATCTCTTCCGTTGAGATAGAGGATATCGAAAACACGGAAGAGTGGTCGGGCACCTGTGGTCGAAAAGGGGTTTCTCTGTTCAGCTAAAGCAGCAGTCTTGAGCGTACCGAAAGGCGCGGGAGCATCTTGCTCAGGGTCCCATGTGATCATCTCGCCATCCAATATCAAGCTGTCAACTCCGTCTGCAAATGCGTCCTTGAGATGTCTCGTGAGTGACCCATTTTCATCGTAGATGCCGTTCCCATAAAGATACGTGTATTCCTTCGCCTTCCTTGACCAGAATCGGAATCGTCTCCCGCCAGGGACCGAGTCGTCCGACTCCATATGGAGCTGCATGCGCTCACCATCCAATTTTTCCTCAATCCAGAATACGGGATCATCCTCCGTCGGTCTCATCCTACTGACCATTTTATCCAAGGATTGCATCTGAAACTGGGCCAACTGCGGCTGAAAACACTGCATCAATGAGATCCCTCTGTCCTCAGCATCGAGTCGAATATTAGGGTCATGCAACTCCCAACAGACGCGCCGAAGGCTACTCGAGATGCTGTACAGGTTCTCGGCATCCGGATGCCAGACATCGAAGAAGGTCCGCTCCGTCGCCCCCACCTTCATTTGCCGCAAGATGATTCGAATCAACCACATAAGCTCCTCCGGGTTCATGCGCCGGTAAAACTCCGCAAGGATTGGTAACTGCTGCTCCTCCTTGGAAGCCGCTGACAAGTTGTCGAGCTTCTCGTTCACCTCCTCAATCGACATGTCACCCACGTCTGTCCGCATCGGCCGCTTCGAGAGAACATCGTAGCATCGGCCAGCGAAGTCTCCAGCCATCCGCGTCGCGGCTGCTTGCCCCGGTAGCTTCCAGTTCAAAAGATTAAAGCCGTCCTCGGAGTTCTTGTCAATCTTCATGATCTTCACAAGCATCTTTCCTATCGCTTTTTCTTTGATCCCGTACATGGCCCGGTCCCGGTCCTTGTCCGGGAGAATCAGTCGGAAGGCGGGGTATATGTCGTCGCCGACCTCCTTCCTCCACCGTGATATGAAGCGCTCAATGACATCGCGTCGTCTTTCCAGAGGATTGAGGTTCGCTGCCGACTGTCCATGGGGCCCGACTTTCCTACGAGCCGCGACAGCCCCCGCGGGCTTTTTTTTGATCTCGCTCAGCGGATTGAAAAGGGTCTGGAAGAGTTCGTGGAAGGGCAGCGTTGAGGAATGATTACGCGGGCGATTAGGGTATCTAGTGAAAGAAATATGATATCAGTATTTTGTGCCTCGAACATGCGGATAAAATGGCTAGCAGAGAATAGTTACTTGGGATGGTTTATCTTACTTTTCATCAAGGTCTGATTCCTCATTCTCGACGGGAGCGCGCGGATGCCCTTCATCGGGACCGATATCATCAGAATTCATTGTACCTTCAATTTCTCGAGAGCTATCACCCAGCAGAGCAGCACAATGTGGTGTCGTGCCGTCACTTTATATTGTTCGCCAAGAAAGCGTGTAGATGCAGATTAGGCTACAGTGGCCGATAAGATAAGGAAGGATGCATGTGACATCACCTACCTTATACGGGCCATCTGGGATCAAGCGATTAGTGGGCATACTCTCATTTTCGTAGAGTCTCAATCATATTTTGAATGTAAATATCTATGATCATTGAGATGTATGTTCATCTGCCATCATATCCCCATATCTCCAGATTTCTCATCAGCCATGGTCTGGTTGCGCGTGTTCAGGGACCCGTGGCTGTGATGACAACTCTGCAAGCTTTGTGAGGATTGCAATGAATCGCTTGGTAATGCCCCATGATGAAAGGCCGGCAAGTATTTCGCATCCAGCCTGCAGTACAAGTACAGGACCAGCAGGAGCGCAGATGTCTCCCACGCCCATGACATTGCCCCTCATAGAATACCCCTCGCGGACAAAAAGTTGGACTAGCTCGTCATCACAAGGCCGATCAAGATGTATAAATGTGGGCTCATGAGTCTGCTGATATCGGGCTGCATAACGAGAATTGGGCTCTTGAAGCTGCTGAGCATGGCACGAGCCGTAGGCCCATAAAGTGAGTATGGACAGATAGACGGCAATCGGCTCGTGAAAAGCATTCGTTGAATATCGCCGAACGTGCCACAAGGTTGTACCTGCATGTATAATAGCAAGGCGAGCTTTATACTGGTCATGTTTGATCCAGCGCAATATGTAATGCCACTCTAGTGCTTGTTGATGTTCACTCCATCGAACCTTACCCAGCGCCAGTGAGGTTGCCAAGGAGCGAATTTCACGAAAAGGTGCAAGAAGAACCATGCGAGCTGCGTGGAGGTGAAGCACGGTTGGATGCTCAAGCCCCGCCGCTTTCGCTATGGTGCTATTTGCCGTCCAATGTAAAATATCCAAGCAATCGCACGCACTGTTGCGCCACTTAGAGTAAGAAGGAATTCCCGGTAGCCATACGGATCCTGACGGAATTGCAGTCTCAAGGGACTGCTTCTTTGCGGTTGGATTCCAGAAAGACAACGGACGCCGGAAGTAGTCACCAACTTCCCACATTCGATGATAGAGCGCGTGGATAAGCAGGACATGGCTGAACTCTCCGATTTCTGGGACAAGCCTTTTCTCGATATAGATAGTGAGTACCGCACTGTAAAGAGAGACATCTCGCGGGCCTGATAGAGTGTGTTAACTCGGCACATATCGCAACTAAGGTGGGAAGCGAGGCGTACCTGCCGACTTCTTGCCCACTTCACTCCATCTTTCAGAGGTTTGAGTCTGCCAAAGGCTCTCATGAGATGGTAATGGAGCTTGCCCATCGTCCAGAGATAGTAAAGGGCGGTTGTCAAAGTCGTATGCCAAAGTACAATCGAGGAGCTGCTGCTTCATTAGCTAATTTGAGACATTCAAAGCACGGCGCAGATCAATCCATCGAGTTAGCTTACCCATATCAGATATCCGGTTCGTCGTCGAATCTCATCCTCGATCCATATATGCCACTTTTGCTCTAGAGGAAACTCACTATGCAGAGATCTTGACTTGCTAGGGGAGCTTATCAATCCTTCTTGCATAGTAAAGTTGACCAAGTCGCTGAAGACATTGAGCGCAGAGGTTCTAACTTTCTCATACCTGCTGTGGAGCATGCCGATACAATTGAGGGTCATCGCCTGAAGGAGCCACAATGGCGTTCGCTCTAGTCGGCATTTTTCTTTCTAGACCAATATACTCAGTTAGTTTGAAACGGGGATTTGAATCAGAATATTATGGGCCTTTACCTCGATATTAACGGCTCGTCGAAGGAACTCATCAAATGCTGCAGTACATTCATCGACAGTAGTCAGGCCAGCAAAACGACACCCAATTGCCGATACTGCCAACGTCACAAGCCAATGACAATTATTCGGATTGAAGGTAGGAGGATGAAAAATAGGATAAACTGGCTGGAAGGAGTCGAAATAAAAATAGATGAAGCTCGAAAGAGCCGCGGCGCTGGGAAAATTGCCAGAATGGAATTTGGGATAGAGAGAGTTGTCCGTGCGGCATAGCTGGAGGAAGGATTGGTAGATTTTGTCATACGCCAAGGGCTCTATTTGACGATTTGGGTTTGTATCCTCTGCGGATATTGTGTCAAGTCGTGCCTCTTGAACAGGTGAAAATGAGAATTGGAGTGGCGTATCACTTTGGTGCAGTGGTGAGAGAATGTTGATAGGCTCCGCAGACGACCCTGACCACGAATCGCGTTTGCGTCTGTACTTTGGGAGACGGGCTCCCGCACCATCCACATAATAGTCTGCAGAGCGCTTGGCAGCATGTGATGGTTCTGAATGTACCGATACTTCGCCAATGCTGCGAGCCAAGTGGTCCGGAGTTCCCACTTCTGGATCCAGAGATATGAGTCTAGACGATGTCTGAGGGAGGTCCTCCCGCCCTGAGGAACTTATCCGATGTGTATTGACAACAGGAGGCAGCCACGCTGGTCGATTTGGTGAGTTATCGAGGGCATCTAACTGATCCGAAATTGGAGGAGGTCGCGAAAGGGATCGATTGCTTAGAGTATCGGGAAACATATCGTTTGGAAGCCAATTCAAAGTTGAGAGCATTGACTGGTCGAGAAATGGCGGGTCAAGTCCAAGCTGAAATTGGTGACTTTCAACTGCCGGCATTTCGAGAGTGAGATTAGAGCTGGCTGCACCTTCTGGTTGATGGTCTCTGGTCTGATGACCGACAGGCGGAGCCGAGCCAGGTGGAAAAGCGCTTTCGACACCAGACGTGGGTAAGTACGGGTACACCTGCTGAGCGTTAAAGCCACTATATGGAGGGAAGTTCGTGCGTGCTTCATCCGCGGATCCAGCAGCGTTCTGCAAGAGTAGGGGAGTGCCCAAGTTTTCGGCCTCTGTTGTTGCTGGGCCATCCCGGACCGTTACTCTTTCATCGCGAGAATTTGCCTGGGAGTCTCTAACAACTATTCTGTCTCCCGATGATGTGCCTGTGGTCCAGTTCGACCCAGTGATATCTAACTGAAACTCCGTAATCTGGAATCTGGGAGGTTCGTTTCTCGAGTTATCTCTGGTTTCTTCTCTGTTTGCGTGGACGACGGCAGGAGAAGGAGGTGAACCATGCTGAGAAGCCTGTCCATGGAGCGCATTTTCTTCAGAAGGTGACGAACGCTGTGGAGCCTGCTTCCGCGACTTGGTTTTGGAGCGTCGTTCTGTTGGGTACTGGCATTCAAGAGATCTATTCTGACAGCGTACACATGGAGAGCCACCGCTACATCTCACTCTTGCTACTGCGCATTTGAAACAAGCCCTAAATGTCTTGACCGTAATGCGGTGCATACGATCCTTGCCGCCTTCCGGTCCCAAGGTATGGTGGCTGAGTTCGTGCCGATGCAGCGTGTCACTGGCGACATATGTCAGCTTCCAAAATCTCCGGATAGCCCTTCATCAGTGCCCGGTTTTGTTTCAACACCGGTCAATGATAAACCACGTACGTTCTTGAGAAATGACGCCCACATTTCACACATTCGAACGGCTTCTCCTTTGTATGGCTGCGGAAGTGCCGTTTCAAATGCTCTGGTCTTCGAAAAGTACTGTGACAGATCGAGCATTCCGTCTGCCCAAGTGTGGAACTGAGTCGAACTTCGCTGTCCGGTTTATTGCTCGTATTGTCGGCAACCGAATCGGCCTCATGGCGGTTCGCAGCTTCTGACATGGCACGCGTCACTTCTTCGCTCGTCTAGCAAGGATTTTTCCCCCAATATGCGGCGAGATAAAAGAAAGAATGAGTGTACCTTGGCCAGCGTCGCTCTTCTTTGGGGACATGGCTCGTCATGGACAATTGATCAGAATGGTGAACAGTAAGATTTGGCATTGCAACTGCGCGCGTGCAGATCAACGAGTTCAGAACCAAGCAGGGAATTGCCTCATAAAATGGTACGAAAACAACATCGTATTCATGGGCATCGCAAGTGGTAGTAAAGCATAAGTTCTTAGGAGACCCAACAGCTGCCGGTAGCGGTGTTGGAGTTGTAGAAAGCAAGAAGTGCACAAACTCTAGAGGTTCTCAAATTCGCAAGAAAAATAGAGCAGCTTGCGACAGACTAAATTGATTCGTCCAAAAAGTTAAAGTTACGAAGAAGAAGACGACGACGACGGAGGGATAGCATTTCCATAGGTAGTTCAGATAATTCTCCCGCTCCCTACGAACTGACATCCTCATGGGAACTGCAAAGGCGAACAGTCTGATTGGGTCTCTGCCATTCCCCGCACTTTCATCTCGGTTAATTAAGCGGTTGAACGGCGAACTCTAGGCTAAAAGAGAGACCCCGAAGGAGAACACTTGTACAGTTGTACTCTGTAGTGTAAGCTCAAAGAGGAGTGAGTACGAAGGCAGATTGGCTTGCGAGACCAGGAAAGATTATTGGAATGATTTTTGAAGCCTCTGACAATCGTCATCGTTCTGAGTGGGAGGTTGGAAATCCTCTACCTAGCCACATGAGCCACATGGTGAGCTGGATATCTCAGTTCTGTGATGCTATGCCATGCCATGCCATGATGTCAGATTTCAATCCTTTATAAAGAAAAGAATGCCAAGCTTCTCAAATATGAAACTGGAGAATTGGGCTCTGGATGTTGTCAATCAACTGCAATAATTCCTCGTATCTACCTAGTAGTTTATACTACTCTCAACCAACGCACGGGCTTGTATTAGCTCAGCAAGTCATCACCAATCAACCACAGTTCGCCTGAAAACAACACCTGGAAATCCATCCAACTGGTGACTAGAGGAAAATGAACAATCCTTCCGTTTCCCCTTAGAATTCAATGGGATCCTGTCGAATATTCTGTGATTCCTAGTTCAGGGAAGGTTTCTGCTTCAGCCGACGCGGCTGTTATGAATGGCGAGCCCAACCTTCCATTCGGCCCATGGTCATGTCAACGACACCTTGACGGCTCTACAAGGAGCTACGGCTGCCTTTCGTTCAAGTTCACCAAACATCGGGTCATCCCAAATGACCCAGAAATCCATGGGAACTAGAGAGCTTGATTGTAATGGCCCCCATATGGCTGTGCATCCAGAAGACAAATGTGCGGAACTGCCTGAACCAGGATCCGTTAGGGATAAGATTGGAATGTTTACAGCACACTCTGATGATAAGAGGAGCTTACAGCCCCCTTCTGGAAGGGAACGAGGAAGTGTAGCCGCTTCCACGTCGCGGAGTCCTCAGCCAGCCGCTGGGCCCGGTACAACCCAGAGGCCTCCAGTACCAAAGAAAAAGCCCTCGTTACTGGCAGACATGGGCGCAAGGCCTGGGTTCAATCAACCGAGGTCGCAAGAAAGCTGCGATTCAGGAACCACTGACGTGCTGGCACGCAAACCTGTTCGCAGCATGACGGCAGGCAATGGTATGCCGGAGGGACCGCAGCAAACTAATAAAGAGATGACGATCAGGAGTGCCTCGATTCCTGCCCGAAAACCTGTGCCAGCACCGCCATCTTTCGGACCTCCCAATACTGCACAGGTGCCGATTACAAGAGTTCGACCCAGTCCCCCTCCACCCCGGAAAGGGGGAGCGACCCCCGTTTCCAAGATCACCAGTCTCGGTGAAGTGAAGACTGGAGAAATATCTCGGAGTTCTCAAGCTTCCGCAAACTCCAAAAATGGACCTGCGGTCGGTGCAGAGCCCAGACCAAAGCTGCCCCCTCGGCCTGAAGCGTTGTCTACGAGTCAAAGCCCTCTAAAAAGCCATCGTATCTTGTTAAATGAACACGACATCCGCAAAGGCTCAATGTCTCCTAGCTCAGCCTCTACCTACAGTCCATTGCAGCAGAATGGCAGCAGCTCGAGTCTCCTCGACCAGTCTAGTGGCCTGGATGAGGAGGCACTTTCGAATGCGATTGTAGCATCGTCATTGGCGTCGGCGAAAGCGCTATCAACCAAGAAGGTGCCACCACCGCCTCCGCCACAGCGCCAGCCGAGATCCCGTTCGATTTTGCCTTTACACTCGACTAAGTATGATTCTCCGAATGACTCTAGTCCGACCCCTAGCTTGCGAACGACACTGCGAACGCCAACCAAGGCCGATGAAGATCAGCATGACCATCATAGGCATAGGAAGCATATTATCCCTAAACACCCTCACAAACACCACGAAGGGGATCGGAAGCGATGGCAGAGCGAAGTAACCGAGAAGGAACGCAAGAGATACGAGGGCGTCTGGGCTGCAAACAAAGGCTATCTCATTCCTATTAGCAATCCGGGCAACGCATCCTCGAAGCAAGAAGATCCCCGCAGCGCATATCCTCCTAGTGCTTCTGAGATGGTATTGAACATCGTTGTTCGAGACATATGGTCTCGAAGTAGGTTACCGGCACCGATTCTATCGCAGATTTGGGATCTGGTCGATCGCCAGAAAATCGGACTTCTGACAAGAGAGGAATTTGTCGTCGGTATGTGGCTCATTGACCAACAACTGAAGGGTCACAAACTTCCCACCAAGGTGCCAAACAGTGTCTGGGACAGTGTACGGGGTGTATCCGGCATCAAGCTACCCAAGTTTCCAGTTTGAATTGAGGGTTATAACTCACAACAATTCCAACGGAGCATCACGGAATCAGGGGATGTGAGTTGTGGCTAGCACTCTACGATCCGCCTCATGCTTTCCTTCGTGTTCTAGGTATATACCTGCACAGTCTGCACAACTTGGACTTGGGAGCCTGGATGATGACTAGACTAGTACTGTCAAGTATTTGGAATAATATGCTCTTGGCCCATCCTTATTCCTTGCATCCACATCGGGGTCCACTCGTGCGCTAATTGTCCATAGTACGGACTACGGAGTACGACGTACTCCGTAGTTCGTAGGGACTCGGGCAGTCACAGTACAGAGACACAGACCGCGATGTGGCAATCGTGTGCTAGATCTAGTCTATTATGTGTATGCTAATTTTGGAGATCGTGGACAATAACCACCAACAACTTAACCAGCAGTGTACGTACTCATTGTAAATCAAAGGATTCCAAACCTTACCAATTCCCCGGTAAGATGTTTCCTCATCCCCGAAATTAGGACTTCTGATTTGGGTCTGGAGAATGCAGATCTGTGTCACTGATCGCGGCCCGTTGAGGATGATAGAATCGTCGATGCAGTATCTAGACTAGTGAGACTCGACTAGATAGATATTGTCGCATAGATTGGTGGCAACGATGGATCTTCAAATAGCGCATCACTCTAAAATCCTCAGAAGAAGAATACTGTAGTCTGTACGGACTACGGAGTAATCTGTATATTCTTGTGCTCACGGTGTGGCATCACGTGATAGAGCAACAAAACTGGAAAAGACCAGAGCTTACCCCAATAGGAAGGAGTCTCCCACGCCCATACTCCATACTCATAGATCGAAGCAGTTTCGCTTCACCTCCATCAGTTCATCCATCCTTTATCATCCATCTGGCTCCCCAGCAATTTCCATCGCGATATCCCTGAAGATGAGGATCTTGTGAATCTGTTTGATTATTATCGCGCGGTTCTCTTAGCTCTTTATCATTATTCCTAGTCCATTTTCCTCTTTCCGATTGAACGCCAGGTAAATCGGACGCCACATTTCTCTTTTTCTGCACCAAACCAAATCCCGAACAGTGGGCTTCGGGATTTGAATCGTTGGCTATGGATGATTAAGCCACGGCGCTACACCCCAGCTTTTATCTGTAACTATATCAGACCACATCTTCGGGACCCCGATTTAACAAGCAACAGATCGGCTTTCTTGGAAGAAAAGTTTCGTGATCGTACGGCCCCTGTGCCCAGTAGTTATGCGCGAGGGCGACCGTTCTAGATGGTGGGTATTATCTATATAGTGTGTGCTCTCAACAGATGACCCGCTCGAGACTTGCGACCAAATCCCGTTTGAATGAATGAATGAATGGACTCGACCCTCGAATTGAAGTGATTTGATTGATCGGGATTTCGCGATGGTGCTGGAGAACCTCCCACATCCTGTCAATACCGGAATCGCGCCAGTTACACAATCCAAGACTTTGCGGCCCACTGTGGTTCGCAAGAAGTTTGCCAAACCACCAGTCAAAGTAGCTTGTTTGACATGGTAAGTTGCTATACCCATTGTTCATGCTTGTCTCTTTGGATCTCTACGGCCGGAGCTGTTGGGTGCTTGCCTTCCTGTTGTCCTGATTAGCGCTGACTTGGATATAATAGCCGTGCGTCGAGGACGCGTTGTGATGGTCAAGACCCCTGTTCCAACGTGTGTTTCCCTCCCCCTTGTTGTCCGTTCTATGTCTCTACGATAGAATACTGAGGCAGACTCTCCATTTGGAAGTGTCTTGGTAAGAAGAAGAAATGCTCTTATCTGCCCAGTAGACGGGGCGGTCCCAGGAAGAAGAAAAAGAGCTCGAGTTCCCCGGAAGCGAATCCATATCAGGATGATTCCAAAAGCTCGAGCATCACGCCGGCACCTGGCTTTGACGATTGTGGGTGGAAATGGCTCTCTTCTCTCTGCAAGGACAACCCGCTGACGATGATACAGCTTCGACCATGTTTGGTCAGATCGATGTGCTCTCTATGCCAGGAGCTGGGCTGAGGGCCTTGGACTTCTCATCAGATATGCATACCATGTTTGCAGATCTCTTCACTCCAAGCAATGGCAGCAACCCTCATGCCCATATGGAACCTACGCCGTCGCCCTCAAATGCGCCGTCGCATACCATGGTGAGGACATATGGCAACGAATACGACATGTAAGGCTTCGCTGTGCCTTGTGCTCAGCGCAAAAGCTTTATCCCATGCTGATTTCCCTTACAGTCTGAACGCCTACTACGACTTCATTCACCACTACTTCCCCATACTGCCTCCTCGAGTCGTTCCACGATGCCCCGATCGGCCCATAGAGTCCGTTGGGACATACGCCTCATCTCCCTCTGAAGAACCTCTGCTATCGTATAAACCACGATCACCGCTCAGCCTGGCAATTTCCGTTATTTTGGCCTTAGTACCACATCCGGACGATCCCGAACCTTTGTCTCCGGTTTCCGTACTCCGACGCAGAACCTATGCCCATACCTTCGCGCAATTGGCAAATGCTAGTATCGAGCTCGATTGCGAATTACAAGCTTCGTCCACGGACCCATCGCAGGCTTTGTCAAATGGCCGGCCACTGATCAATCGAGAACGATTTCATCCGCGGACGCCTGTGGAGCTTGAAAGTCTTCTTGCGTTACTGATCCTATGCGTGTATGAATATACGCAGCGAGGGAACCTCCTTAAAATGAGGTATCGTGCTGGTCAAGCTTTAGCAATTGCACTGGATATGTCCCTTCATTCACTTGGGGAAGAACACGATGAATGTGCTGAAGCTCGGCGGAGAGCCTGGTGGATGACGGTATGCGTCTTGGGTCTATAACTACAGTCGATTCACTAATCGTTTCTCGTGTGTAGTATTATTGCGTGCTGCAGGGCTCAATTGTTAGCACAACGGTGAGTTATTTGAGAATATAAACCCAAATGGAATCTTGTTTCCTGAACGATACGGCTAATGCATAACATCACCAGTCACTTTCTATCCTTGCGAATGATCCTCAATTTGTCACTCCTTATCCTCGGTTCGCCGCAGATCCAGATGTAAGTTCTTCAACCACTGTTCAGCCACGATATATCGAGGATCTTTTTCAAAGAACAGAATCAATCTCTAACGAGTTTTGTAGGGATGGGCTGTCTTGATTCAGGCACAGCAAGTGCTTGTGTCCGCAACTCAATTCATAATCGATCTGAATAAGTGCATCTCAACTGGTACCAGCATGCATTTCATCTATGAAAGGATGCAACAGCTTGATGCGTGGGCTAGCTCCGCATTAGCACAATCCAATCTCCTCCCTATGGTGCCTATCAGTTCCAGCGATGAAGTGGAATACACAACCGCCCACAGCGTCCGAGCGATTGCGCGAATCAAACTATCCAGGTAGGCAATCAGCCGATGGATTTGCAAATAATCAACAAGACTTGCTGACTTTGTTTTCAGTGCTCAGATCAAGATACATCGGTTTAGGGCGTTCTCGGATATTCCGATTTTCATCAAAAAGCATTGCGACCTTACTGCAGCCAATCCTAACAGCACCGTATCAAACAACTCAACATCAAAGGTGTCCAAAGAACAAGAAGGGATGGCCAACATTTCTTGCTGCTGCAGCAGCTTAGATTCCTTTCCCCCCACATCAACATCCAGCGAGTACACAGCATCGGCCTCTTCCACCTCGTCAACATCCGATTTCCACTCCATGCCACAATTCTCATTCACGAGTGGATTCCCTTACACCAGCCAGCATTCTGCTAAGGTCTGCCTCAAGGCGGCCCTTACCATCTCGCGGATGTTTCCAGCCCTACCCATGCCGCAGCCGCTGTACATATCTAGTGGTAGCAGCACTCCCGAACAGGACCTACATCTGTTGTCACAAAACCAGCTACCGCGTACTATGCCATCTTTCGCATGCTGCTTAATGCAAGGGAGCTACGCTTTGTTGATGATATTCTACAAGGCGAGTGTGGAGAAGCAAATATCTCCAGATTACGGGACCGAAAATACCAGCAGCGCTTCTGATCGGTTAATTGAGGAGATCAGACAAGGCTTGGAGCGCATCATTAGGACTATCGAAAATTATGCAATTGGGTTTGAGGCGTTGGATGGCATGAGAGGTAAATTTGCTGCCCAGATCATCCCTCAAGACTGGACACTCAACTGACATTCTTTTGCAGATGAAGTTGAAGGTGCATATCACACGGCGTTTCCCCCAGTATAATGTTCAAATTTGGAATTTCCCCTTTTTTTTCTTTGTTTGTCCTCTCCACGGGCACAGTAACCCTTTGTAGTTAAAACAGCAAAACCCTGGCGGTCTTGAGATACTAGATTCTTTTTCTCGTCTTATGTTTTTGATCATGGTACAGGCGCTGGCCTTGTTCCACTCTAGCACTTATAATTGCACATGCTGAACATACTCTTCTCATAGATTATTTATTTTTTTCTAAGCTAATTCAGACCTATCAATGAAATAACTCGCTGTATGTACAATTACCTGCATCCTCCCAGAGTAATCTCAGCAATCAGAAAATAAATGAAATACACCTTCCCACCAAAGGCGTGATCTGAAAGTGCGTCTGGGAAAAAGAAACAAAAACAAAAGAAAAGGTTTATATTCTAAGCCCGAACCGCTTCGAGATGCGATAGGAAAGGGAGCTAATCCACTCAGAAACATGGCTCCCCTGAATTAAACTAATAACACATGGAAGAAAAATCACCCGCCGGGATAGCTCATAGTTTAGACCGTATGCCTTCAAGTCTGAACTTGACATCCTTCAGAACTTTGCTAGCAGGTTTCCAATCATCGAACTGCCTTAATAGCTGCATCGTTTCTTCGTAGAGCTCGCGGCGAACATATTCCTCCTCGAGAAGACCTCGCATGGCAAATGGGAGTATGTAAGGGTTCGCTGGTTGTGAGGGATGGCTTCTTCTGATGTCGAGGCTGGCGCCGTTAACACTGGAGGTTTCCAGAGCAAATTCGATTGCCAGTCTAGTTGGTCATGATTAGTGTCTTGAGGTTTGCAGGTTGGGTTAATGAGCATACCGATAAACAGCTTCGTCATCATAAAGGCGCGAGTGGCCTTCGCCGGAGTAAAGGCTTCCTGCTAGTGGAGAGCTCAGTTCTCGAATAAGGCCGTGGTCCGATATCCCGAGATTTCGCAGCTTAAGGACGAACCCAACGAGATGTGAGAGGCTATTGCTCGCGTTAATTTCACACTTAGCAAGAGACTTAGTTCTAAAGGTTGACTCGGCAACATACAAGCTTGGTGCATGGACTCTGCCATCCACAAACACCGCTCGGTAGATGTATGGATGAATAACGGGAGAAAACAGAGATGACTATATCAATAAATTAGACAGGAGCTCTTGGCAGTAAAACGATAGATGAATAATGACCTACCTCCAGGGATACTAGCTGGTCGTCAATACTTCCAACGTATGAAATCCGGACCCCAAAGTTGAGGGCACACCTCAGTGCCGCTTCATAATCTTTGGATACTTGGCTGTAGGGGAGGGCAAATTCGAACAGCTCGCCAGCAGAGCCACTAATCCATCGAGATCTGTAGTCAGAGAACGGGCCCATATTGACACCGGCCATGGCACATATGCCGACACGAGAAGCATTCAGACAGCCAAAAGCAATGAGCTTCGCAACCAGCATAATCGCAACTGGGACACCTTGGCTGTGACAGGCAATTAAGATGAAGTCGGCCTTCCGTATCTCCTCCATCCAGTTGAGAAGTAGCTTCCACAAGAGGTCCACACGTTCCGCAATGCGGCCTTCACCCTCCAGAGCAATCTTTTCGATCTCACATGCATACCCGTGACTTTCTGTCCACTTGTGTATGGCAGCAGCTGCCATGGTGGCAAACCTGACTGAAGTACCAGTTGGTTGACCGAGAACTGACCTTATCAAAGGAGCAGGAAAGTATCCATGTACTCCAATAGCCAATGCTCTCTTGATGCGGGGTGGATCTCTGATCCTGTGAACATACTTGCTGTCGGTCCCCTTCTGGTAATGCAAAAACCGACCGATTGTTTGCAAAAGCGATGGCGTTTCTTTAATAGCAAAAGTATCTGAAAAATGTGGCAATACCTGATTGGGTAGTACTCTCTGGAGATGTTTTGAGGCAGCAGCCTCAGGTGGTTTTGATGTTAAAGCATCTGGAAGCGTTTGTGAATCAGAGGGGATCGTGTCAGTGGCCGCAGCACTGCTTTTGGGAGTCTTGATTTTGACAGTCCCTTTTTTGGCGGGTTCTGCTTTCTGTTCCACCTTTGCCTCTGCATGTGGTTCATTTTGAAGCCCCTTGCATGAAATGTCCTGCACAGGAGGGACTTCGACTGACTGAACATCCGGGGATGGCTCTTGAACCGAACTGTGAGATGTATCCCTGAACCAAAATGACCAACCAGAAGACCTAGCATTTTTTACGGCTGTATTGCTTTGGCCATTGGTACTCCCGCATTCTGCATGTTCTGGCCCTGAGGCCACTACTGTAGGCTCAGCGTCATGAACAGGCTCTTCTGCTGCGGGAGGTGGCTCATTGGACTCATTGGATTCGCTATGTTGGTTGCTGTCCGGTGATTCAGGCTTGGGTGGTTCCGACCCTTGCGATGGCGCTGATGAGCCGTACCACATTTGGAACCAGGTTCGCTTTTGGCTGGGCGCAGCACTTTCTGTATTTGGCAAGGGGTCATTTGGCGTTTCTGCCACTTGATCACCCGACGTATCTTCGCTGTCCTTGGGCGTCTGGGCCGCAGTGATCGGTTCCGTCTGAGTGCTTTCAATTTCGGGTGTAGGTGCTGGGTCAGGGCCACTAAGGGTATCTACCACCGCAGTCGACGTGTAGAACCATGAAAACCAGCCAGCAGCTGGATTTGGAGGTGCCTGGGTCTGACTTGTTTCCCCTGCTTCGGTAACTGTATCCGGCGCCGATGTCTCGGTTGTGGGTTGTGGTTGTCCTTTATTCTGGTCCGCCGCAGTCACTGCAATTTCGTCACTTGTTTCTTCTTTGCCACTAAGGTTTGTTGCTGAACCAGCAGAGTCAAGCTGAGAGTCCAATGTAGGGCTGGATGTAGAACCATCGGAGGCAATGTTGATTTTGGTTGTCGTGGCGTCTGCGGGGAGAGATCTGGTTGAAACACCCTCTCTCTTCGTGAGCTGGAGCGAAGGATGTCTGTGTTGCTTTGGAGGTTTAAAAATCGGATCCGACGGTTTGATTATGCTTGGTGCTACATTTTTAGCAGCCGAAATGCTTTCGCGGGCAACCTCGGTAACAGGTGCGGCTTTGGATGATTTAGAGACAGCAGGCCAAAGAGCAGGATACCAATTCTATGAGGGAATATGATCAGCTACTTTGAACTCTGAAGATTCTACTTCTTGATCCGAATCGAGATTGATGAGAATTAACTTACACCGCCGCCTTGCCTCTGCGAGTTGAGGCGCTGATTCCCTGCTGAAGATGAGATAGTCTCGCCACTCAATGAGGTTGTAGATTGCGACTCCGTGTTCGACGGGCTGGGCTTTATTCTCTTACGAGATCCCATGGGCGCCATGGAAGTGAGGAGTAGAACATTACCAAGATCAGTATTGCTCGGCAGGTCAATATGGTGATGAAGTTAAAATACCATGATCAAAAACAAATCAATTAAGACATTTCTTTGTGATGAAGGTCAAGCACGGAGATCAACTCGCTATCTAGTACCGGTTATCAGGCAGAGAAAGGTCAAGAGACAGCAAGACACACTGATATCATGTCACATGCCATCAGAGTCACTGACTCACCGCCTTTATGTGCCTGAGGCAGTAGTTAAGGTGTGGCTAGTGTAATATCTCACCGCCACGGGGAACGCCGCGGGACCCACCCAAAAAAATATTTCCGCTGGGGAGAAATTTATCAGCGGAGACGATTGCGAGCACGCAGGAGAAGGTCTCTCCGACGAATTCTTTGACTTTTTCTTTCATCCTGACATTCTTTTGGCCGGTTCAATATTTCCGCACCGGTTTTTTTCTCTTTCTTTTTTTTTCAATCTTGACTTGCAGCTTCGGGGCTTTGTCGAGGTCTTCTCGACTTCCCGTTTATCACCATGGCGATCCAAAAGAAGGTATGCGAGGCTTTGACTGTTCGAAAAAAAAAAAAAGGATGCATGACTCACTTCAATTAGCACGGTAAAGGTCGTTTGGATAAGTGGTATCGTCTTGCAAAGGAAAAAGGATACAGAGCAAGAGCTGCATTCAAATTGATTCAGCTGAACAAGAAGTATGGGTTCTTGGAAAAGAGTAAAGTGCTTCTGGATCTTTGCGCGGCTCCAGGTGTATGTATAGCAGTTCGTCCTTCTCATGATTGTTGCTAATGGCGCATCAGTCGTGGTGTCAAGTTGCCGCAGAATGCATGCCAACGCAAAGTATCATTGTCGGTGTCGATCTAGCGCCAATCAAGCCGATTCCTCGCGTCATCACCTTCCAGAGCGATATCACAACTGAGAAGTGTCGCGCTACAATCAGACAACACTTGAAGCACTGGAAAGCGGATACGGTTCTTCACGACGGAGCCCCGAACGTTGGTACAGCGTGGGTTCAGGATGCCTTCTCCCAGGCAGAGCTGGTTCTGCAGTCAATGAAGCTGGCGACTGAGTTCTTGGCCGAGGGTGGTACCTTCGTCACCAAGGTTTTCAGATCGAAGGATTATAATCCTTTGCTCTGGGTCTTCAAGCAGCTATTCACATCAGTCGAAGCTACAAAGCCACCGTCTTCTCGCAATGTCTCTGCTGAAATTTTCGTCGTTTGTCGCGGTTTCAAGGCGCCCAAGCGCATTGACCCCAAGTTCCTTGATCCGAAACATGTCTTTGCGGAATTGGTCGAGACGTCGCATAACAACGAAGCTCGTGTGTTCAACCCGGAAAAGAAGAAGCGAAAGAGAGATGGTTATGAGGAAGGGGATTATACACAACACAAGGAGATTCCGGTCACGGAATTCATCAACACGACTGATCCAATTGCGATCCTTGGATCCTACAACACACTCAGTTTTGACCAGGCACCGGGCGGTGATCTAGCATTGGCCACTTTGAACAGACTGGAGGATACCACGGAGGAGATCAAAACCTGTTGTCAAGATTTGAAAGTGCTGGGCAAAAAGGAATTCCGGAATTTGCTTCGTTGGCGATTGAGGGTTCGTGAGAAGTTCGGCCTTGTCGTGAAAAAAGGACAGTCAAAAACTGAGGATCCCGAAGAAGTAGCGGAAGTAGCTCCTATGGATGAGGAGTTGGCAATCCAAGAAGAACTGCAGCGTCTCAAGGAAAAGGAGAGCTCGAAGCGCAAGAAGGAGAGGCGAAAGGAGAATGAGAAGAAACGTAAAGAAATCGTTCGGATGCAAATGAACATGACAACTCCTATGGATATTGGTATGGAGCAACTTGGCCCTGGAGGAGACGATATGACTTTCTCTCTGAAGCGAGTGGAAAGAGAGGGTGCAAGAGATGTCATTGCCTCTGGAAAAGTTGCGGAGATCGAGAGCGATAGTGATGATGATCTCTCCGATTCGGGTAGCGAGGAAAGTGACGACGAAGGCGATCAACTGGAAAGGGAACTTGACTCACTGTACGAACAATATCAAGAAAAAAGAGAGAACCGGGATACCAAGCTTCGCGCAAAGAAAGCACGGAAGGGCTACGAGGCGGATGAGTGGGACGGTTTCTCTGATTCTGGCAAAGAAGACGAAGGATCAGACGAGGAAAGCTCCGATACGGCAACCCCAGCGGCAAAGGCCGTTCTTCCACACTCCGGGGCGCTATCGAACAAGGCCGCCATGTTCTTCGATCAGGATATTTTCCAGGATCTTGAAGATCTAGATGACGTTGAGGGCGAGGACAGTGCAATCGAACTTCACGAGAACGATAAACCCGCAAAGAAGGAACCAGCCTCCGAGAAGAAATCCGCCAAGGATATAAAGAAGAAAGTACAGGCTACTGAAGACTCTTCGGATAGCGAGCCTGAAGAGTTTGACGATCCACGGAAGCAAAACGGCCAGCTTGGTATGTCTCCATGAATTGACTGTGATTCGATACCCTCGCTGACCACTCTCACACTATTTAGATATTGACATCATTACTGCCGAAGCTATGGCCCTTGCTCAGCAGATGGCTACCGGTGAGAAGAAGTCGCAGGACATTGTTGACGACGGTTTCAACCGATATGCCTTCCGGGACAGCGACGGTCTTCCCGAATGGTTCCTCGATGACGAGACCAAGCACTCTAAGCTTCAGCGTCCTATCACAAAGGCAGCGGCCGCCGCTATCAAGGAGAAGATGCGTGCCATCAATGCTCGACCCATCAAGAAGGTCATGGAAGCAAAGGGTCGTAAGAAGATGAAGGCCGCCCAGCGACTCGAGAAGCTACGCAAGAAGTCTGCGCTGCTGGCGGATGATGAGGCACTCAGTGAAAGGGACAAGTCGCAAGCCATCTCCAAACTGATGAGCAAGGCGGTCAAGAAGAAGCCCAAGCAGCAGGTGAAGCTGGTTGTTGCCAAGGGAGCCAACAGAGGTATCTCTGGTCGTCCACGTGGAGTGAAGGGCAAGTATAAGATCGTCGATTCACGTATGAAGAAGGACATTCGGGCTCAGAAGAGACTGGCCAAAAAGAAGAAATAAAGCTTCAAAATTCATGTGTGATACATTGCCTTCTCTAGTCAGATACATATGCACAATTTGATACCCTCAGGGCTTGCTTTTATCCGCCTCATAGACACTCATGGAGTCATGGTAGTACTCTAAGTCTACATGTGCTATTCCATAAGCTATCCTTGGTGCTTCTGTTTGATGCCACCATGCCTGAGTAGCTTAGCTACCCCATAGTGTACTAATTACTGGGCAGTGACCACGGCAAAAATTAGGAGTGAAGGTCCCATGTGGAGAGACATCGGAGTCACTGCATAAGTGGTGACAGTCACAGTTCTTACTAAGCCATTTACGGAAACCTCGACCCGCAGTGGCAAAAGTTTTAGGGCCTTGGGGCCTGAGGCCAACAGCAGAGTGACCTATCGATCACTTTCTTTAATCTATGCTCTGCTCACTTTTCGCGGCTCTTCTTCCCATTTTCTTATCCTCTGTAAACCTAAGACTTATTTTCGTTCATCTGTTTAGCATCGCATTCTGGTTCATAATTTAACCACTGCATCTCGCATATATGCCATAGTGTGTGTTTTAGCGCTTTCTTTGTGCATATCTTCCACGCGTTTACATATTTTTACCTCCCCGCCCCCAGTCCGAGTCCTGCCCGCCGATTCCGCTCCATGGGATTTTTTGATCACCTTCAGAAAGGCGGCGCCTTCTCTCTGCAGGCTCAGAAGCCACAGATTCGCAAAGTTGTTCAGACACGGCCCGCCTCTCTCTCAAGATCCTCATCGCATACCGCAGTCCGACCATCATCGCAGATTTCACCTCCAGAGAAGACCAAGAGAGCACGAGACTCGACGAGCAGGTCCACCTCGGGGGATTCTGATCGCCGTCCTTCTAAACGTCTCAGTACCCCTTTGCGAACCAAGAAGCGACCCACGCCAGAACAACGGCTATCGAGCGATGACGACGATGCGAGTGACACGGATAATTCCTTTGAGTTGCGCAAGCGAGCAAGGACGGATGATAGCGCAGAGCCTGACCTTTCAAGGCGCATACGTTCCCTGAAAGCCTTCTCTGAAGAGAATGTCAAACCACTGCCATTAGTCCATGCTGCAGATATCGTATCCAAGCAAAAAGCTGCTGGGAACTTCAAACGAGCGTTCAGTGGAGCGAGCGGGCCAACGGAGATCCTTCTGCAGTATCCCAGTGCTTCGCGAAAAGAAAGGTGCGGAATTCTCTTTTCAGATGGAATTACCACATTGCCTAACAAATTCTTTGTTTTAGATATAATCTTATTGTACCGCGCGACAACGACGACTTCAAACCCACCGATGATATTGTCCATGTTATTGACATCGTTTCCGAAAACTATATCCCTGAAACTAAAGCAGACGCCTTCAACAATGAATCTACGGGCATTCGACGGAGGTTGCGCCGAGCACTTGCCCATTCATCCGAACCTGAGTTCCGAGAAGCTGTCGCCGATTACAACCATGAAATTGAACGGTTGAGGCGTGATGGATCCATCGCGAGGCATCTGGACTCGATGCATCGACTGAGCCTGCCGCTGGTGGAGCGCATATTGACCCAAATATACGCGCGTACGGTATCTCCTCGGGTCGACGCTCTTCGTCAGTACGAGAACGGAACGGATAACGTCTACGGAGAACTTTTGCCTCGATTTATTAGTACAATCTTCAAGGAGACGGGACTGAAGTCGGGACAAGTGTTCGTCGACTTAGGATCCGGAGTCGGAAATGTCGTTCTGCAAGCCGCGCTGGAAATCGGGTGTGAAAGTTGGGGCTGTGAGATGATGGCCAATGCTTGCGAGCTGGCGGAAATCCAGCAAACTGAATTCAGAGCACGATGCCGGCTGTGGGGGATTGCGCCAGGGAAAACACACCTTGTCCGTGGTGATTTCTTGCAAGAACAAAGCATTATCGATGTTTTGAAACGCGCAGACGTTATCTTGATCAATAATCAAGCATTTACGCCTCAGCTCAATAACGAAATTATCAACCACTTTTTGGACATGAAAGAGGGCTGTCAGATTGTGTCGCTCAAATCTTTTGTTCCTGCGGGCCATAAGATACAGTCTCGCAATGTATACTCTCCGATCAATCTTCTGAAGGTCAAACAACTGAACTACTGGTCGAACAGTGTCAGCTGGACCGATGTTGGTGGCACATATTTCATTGCAACCAAAGACAGTTCCAGGCTTAAGGCTTTTGCTGAGACTATGGAGTAAAGAATTCATCATTGCTATAGCTGGTTCTGACACCAGTATTATCTTGGCATGACGACAATCTTCATAGTCGATCTGGAACTGCAGAATTTTGGGGGATTCTCTGTCGATATATGCGCTGACAATCAGTCTATACTGCAAGTATTGTCCACCAAACCCTTTTTTTTTGGTGCATACTTTTTGGAATATGAGTTCTTTGTGGAATTATTCTCTTCTTGTTTCTTGATACCTTTTTTGCATAAGTTCTGGATAGCATTGACTTTATTGCATGACGCCCTGCATGGCATATTACCTGTATGCAATGGCATGGTGCTCGCTGCGGCATATGCGAAGTATGCATGATTTGCGATGACGTCGTTGATCTCGGTTGGACTTTTTGGCATCAGGTGCAATGTGTGAATAGAGAGGCTGAGTTAGATCAGGCCAATCCCCCATCTTTGTACATAGAGCAGCATTGCCTGCCTGGAGTTGGCATAGACTGGTCGGGACCCAGGGGTTATAATAGATTCAAAAATTTAGCCCCATCTCGTACCAATACATCGATTGTATATGTCAGGAAAATCTAGAAGCATCATTCATCGCTTCCGCTTCTTTGCCCATTCTGGCCATCCAGCGATCGATCAGCTCCTGGTTCTCACGTTGTAGCTTACCAGAGCGCTCCTCGGCCATGTTGAGCTGCAAGTTCAGGGTCGCAAGCTCATCTTGAAAGTCCTACAGACATGCGAGTCAGTCATTGGAGGGAAGATTCAACAGAGCAGTAGTGGCATGCCTCCAGTAGTTTGGCCTTCCCTCTCAATTCTTCATCTCTGTCCTTTACACGCATCTGTAGGTGCGTTACTTCATTCTCTAAGGCATGGATGCGTCGTCCTTCCTGTGTACCTCTTTTTCGCAGCTTCTCCAACTCGGCGCTCACCCGGGTAAGCCGATCCTGCAGCTCAGAACGGGCGCGTTGGGCTTCGGACAGATCTGCTCGGGTAGCCAAGAGGACCTCGTGCACAGATGATCCTACAGATTGTTTGCCTAACGCAGGAGATGGTGTGCGCAGGTTAGCAGGCACTGTGAGGCTCTGCTCGCGCTGAGACCCCGCCCTCGCTAACCGTCCTGTCCGGTCGGCCAGCTGGGTATCTGGATACAATAAGCGTTAGAGCATTATGTGGAAAATTTATGTCGGTCACTAGAACTTGAACCTCATTAACTAGAAGGCATACAAGCATCATAGAGGGCCAAATTTGCCTTTTCACGCCGATCGCGAGCCGCCAAAGCTGCGAAGTACTCGTTCCTCCAGTTGGCCATGTGACGGTCTTGGGGTAACGGTGGGGAGAAAGAGGACTTATTGACCGAGGAACTTCGTCAGATTACAGATACATTGTGAGATGATGATAGAAGGGGTAAGGGTAAAAATAAATCAGCCAGCCGTTTCAGCAGGCAGCAGCTCTTCCTGTGAGGTTCCTGGTAAGTTAAGGAGTGACTATTGAGCCGTCCAGCGTGTAAATAGTGTGTTGTTTGGTGGTGGGCGATGGACCTTATGATAACGATTGTATCTCCCATTTGGTCGTACACCGCCTCGTCCACCGCTCGGGCCATCCTGCATCATCGAACCCAACGGTCCGCGTTAGCTTCGGCTCGTCACTGCAAGACCCCAACAGCTGCTCTCGTCACTGTTGTTACTGCTGCTTGCTCTCCTCTCTCCCCCCTGTTCTCTTTTGACCTAACTGTACATCATCTTCTGTTGAAGCTGCAGGATAGTCTGTGTTTTCTCAGCTAGTCTGATATCTTGTCCACACCCATTCATATAACATATCCCGCCTTGTCCCCCACCTCTCCACCGCCATGGCATCACGGAAGAAGGTCTTGCTGAAGGTATGTCGCCTCCATATGAGGTCTGGTGAATTGATGGAAGTTGCCAGGCTCTTACTTACGCATTGTGTTTGCTTTGCAGGTGATCATCCTGGGTGATAGCGGTGTCGGCAAAACGAGTTTGATGAACCAATATGTCCGTCCCAGCTCTCGGCGACGTCTCCATCCTATGCCGCTAACGTCTGTTCACATCGACAGGTCAACAAGAAGTTTAGCGCAAGCTACAAGGCCACTATCGGCGCTGATTTTCTTACAAAAGAGGTGCTCGTCGATGATCGGTTGGTGACAATGCAGGCATGTGTGCTCGCAATTACTCGAATTGCTTATCAAGGATGGATATTAACCGAACATGAGTAGATTTGGGATACCGCCGGCCAAGAACGGTTTCAATCTCTGGGTGTTGCATTTTATCGAGGCGCAGATTGCTGTGTGCTGGTATATGACGTGAATAATTCCAAGAGTTTTGAAGCCCTTGATAGCTGGCGCGATGAGTTCCTGATCCAGGCCAGCCCGCGCGATCCAGAGAATTTCCCCTTCGTACGTTCCTCTGCTTTCATTCCCAGTCTTGCGATAAGGACATATACAGATATTGACCGTTTGGCAGGTGGTAATTGGCAACAAGATTGATGTAGAAGAGAGCAAGCGGATGATCTCATCAAAGCGAGCCATGACATTCTGCCAATCCAAGGGAAACATTCCTTACTTCGAGACCAGCGCCAAAGAAGCAGTCAATGTTGAACAGGCGTTCGAGGGTATGTATTCCCATACTTTCCCATTATGCGCAAGCTATGACTCTTGCTAATATGCTACAGTCATTGCCCGAAGCGCCTTGGCTCAAGAAGAGGCAGAGGAGTTCAATGGCGAATTCAGCGACCCTATCAACATCCACCTGGATAGTGATCGCGATGGATGTGCCTGTTGATCTGTTTTTCCGATGATCATGACCCCTGAATGATTCAAGTACTACTTCCATTGTTCTTTCATCTCTCTATCGTGCGTTTGGGCTTTGTAGAGCTGATTCCGCGTCTGTTTCTTTTGGCGAGCTTGGAGGGTTGTATCTTTTACCACGAGTTTGGGATTCATATCTATATACCTGCACTGTCTCTCTGTGTCTCCAGTCGCCTGTTTTCTATTTGCCTGTGCGTCATATTTCTTTTTTTTCTTTTTTTTCTTTTTTTTCTTTTTTTTTGCGATGGTGCTTCATGGTTCTTTTTGAGCTGCAGCATACTCGATTAATCAGGTGTCAGGAATATATGTCTACAATCACATAATAATGATCAGATTTATGCAAATCATTAAAAGTATTGCAAGCCCTTTATGAAACAAAAGTAGATACCAGTATCCCTATGTCGATCAAGCAAAGGGAAGTACGTTGAGCAAATGGCCATGACTACGGAGTAAGTCTTGTGCTTATCAGGTTGCAGCTCGTGATGCTTGGCATTGATACCACCAGACTCATCACAGGACCGGATTGGTTTGCCGACATGATACACTTGCTGCATCAAAGGCAGCAAGCTCTCAACAACATTTGTCGTCAGATGAAATTCATGGACTTTATCCCACCTCCTAGCATTGCTGCTCCATGATCTGCAGTCGTCTGTGATCCGTGATACCGGGGATTGACCGGTCGTGTACCTTGGGCTGCACAACCAAATGACTAGGTATCTTCGTCACTCGTCTCACCAACTGTATCATTACTTTACCAACTCAATCGGTCTCCCACAACGTGAAGTGCTGAGAGCGTCAAGCTCATCATGAAGATATCGTGTACTGGACGTGGCCTCGGCTGGACGAACGGCGCAAGACGGTCGCTGGGCATCTGCTTACTATTGATTGTGGTAGTATTGTGGACAGCTTCAAACTTCCTGGCCAGCGTATGTTGATCTTGAGAACCTTCAATATGAACTCTGACGAAGGTTGCACATTCGTGTATATCCGATCATCAGTTGCCCTGCTACATCTTTGCTAACTATGGATGTTCCATCACATGCAGACCATCTTCGCAGATAATTCCTACTCCAAGCCCTTCTTTGTGACCTATGTCAACAGTTCGCTATTTATCATCCCACTCTTTACGATCATTCTTGGCAGACTATTTAAGCTATGGCGTCAGGACAGATTATCTCAAATTGACTCATTCCAGAGCCTGCTGGAGCATCTCGATTCCCATGATTCCAAGCTCGAGACACCAATCATCGAGAGTCGGAACAGTGAGGACAGGCTCGATGATGCTGGTCTATGGACTCGGGGAACGACGGAATCGGCGGACACCTCCAAGCTGGGCTTGAGGGCGACTGCGAAATTGAGCTTCGAGTTCTGCATATTATGGGTAAGACCTCAGTTGCATGAATAGCATATGTAATGATACAAGCTCACATGGGGTATAGGTTCTTGTGAGTTTCTCCATGCAAGAGAAATGTGGACTATTTTGTTGGGTTAAAGCTCATACTTGTATGCTAGGCGAATTATTTCGCGATGGCCTGCCTGCAGTACACAACAGTGGGGAGCACCACCATCTTGACCTCAACCAGCGGTACGTGCACAAAATAATGACTCGATCCAGGAGGCACGGCGAAAATTCGAGGACTAACCAAACCCAGGAGTCTGGACACTCATCTTCGGCGCAATGATCGGGGTCGAGAAGTTCACTGTCCGCAAACTCGCAGGCGTGCTCGCCTCCCTGATGGGAATCATCCTTATATCACGGGTTGACCTCTCCGCATCAGATACCCCTCAAGCAGACGATGGCAAAACGGGCTCGTTCCCCCACAAGTCCCCTGGCGAGATCGCCCTCGGCGACGCCATGGCCGGGTTTAGCGCAGTGGTGTACGGAATCTACACCATCGTGCTGAAACGGCAGGTTGGCGACGAGTCGCGGGTCAACATGCAGCTGTTCTTCGGGCTGGTGGGCCTTTTCAACATGTTCCTGCTCTGGCCGGGGTTCGTCATCCTGCATTATACCGGCATCGAGCCGTTCGCGCTTCCAGATACAGGGAGAATATGGACCATCATATTGGTAAGTTGAGAGCATATTCTTCTACAGGTAGGCGAGACAAGATGAATCTAGCTGACAATGTTTCCCCCGTAGGTGAATTCATTTTCATCATTAGCTTCGGATATATGCTGGGCCTACGCCATGCTCCTGACTACCCCGCTTGTCGTGACCGTCGGATTGAGCTTGACTATTCCGCTTTCGCTTGTGGGTCAGATCTTCCTGCAAGGGCAATATGCGAGTGCGCTCTACTGGGTTGGCGCCGCAATAGTGTTCCTATCATTTATGGTTGTCAACCATGAGAGCCGGGATGATACATTGGAGGAAGATGCGGCGGCCGGCTATGATGCTATTCCGGATCACGAAACGGCCGACCCCGTTCGGTAATGATTCCCAGTGAAGTTTGACTGCAAATTGAGACTAGTCATGTTCTCGTACTGACCTAAATGGACGCTCAACATCATTATCCTCCTCAACTACTAATAGCAATTTCATTTGTAGTAGGAAATGTAGGATGTAGTAGGTGCTGTATTGCTAAAAACATACAGCCAGAAGGGACCGCGATATTTAAAACACTCTTCCCACTCTTGTTGCTGATGGGAAGCCAAGATAAGCACACTGACAAGGAAATGACAAGAAGGAATGATATCATTATAATACAGCATAAGGGTCGGTCTGGAGCATCGCTTTCTGAAGTATAAGCCTGGCGCTCACGTCGGCGAACCTAAAGTCGAACACCGGAGACTGCTCTCGGGATTCGAATAGGATGAGCGATAGAAGCAATTCAAACATCAGAAAAGGGGGTATGTATGTCGTGAAAGAGTATATAGTAGCAAGGAAAAGACGCTGGGTGAGCGAGGGAAAGATAGGTGGCATCCAAATCGAGTAAATAAAATGATTTGAACGGAATGAATGAACGGGCGCTGAAGTAAACCAGCACCCAAGATCAACACAAAAGTCTCATCCACATTGTGGGGTGGGTTTACGGCGCTGCTGATGCTGTAACCGCCGATGCAGGCTCCAGCTTCTTCCGAGCGATCAGGATGCTTTTCAGAGATCCCAGCCATTTGGCCAGAGACTCTTCATCGGGCGCGCATAGCCGGTATGATTTGTCTTCGGCGATAATCTGAAGGCAGAACTTCTTGGAACGCGACAGAGGGTCGACCTCGGCAGCTTCGATGACTTGAGACATGGGTATGATCTTGATCGCTGAGTACTCCTGTTCATCCCCTGTTAGCTTCTCATGGCGCAAAACCGATGCTGCCCATACCTGATCGTCCTTGTAGAAACCAAGGCTCTTAGGACGCAAAACGACCCACAAGCGCTTCCACTGGCGCACCGCGCCCTTGATCCGAAGACATTGAAGGTAACCATTGTATATAACTCTTTCTGGATCACGCAAGATCCCCAAATCGTGGTGGCGACTATTATCCCGTGGGAGCGGCGGCGCTTGGGGAGTTGTAAGGTTTGGTATAGAAGACCTTGCCTTAAGATGGACGTTTGTGCTGCTTGAAGGCCCGTCCGACCATTCTGAGTAAGAAGTAATCTCGTTCCCGGAGTGGTCCTGTAAAGAGCCGAACCGGTTTGAATAGCGACCAGGAGAGAGACCTCGACCCAATTCAGGTGAGCTCGCTCTTACGGGATAATCAAAATCAGAATGATCTGTTGTATCGTCGATGTGCTGCGCCTTAGTCGCGGGTATGTTTCGTTTCTGCGACAGGGCCAGAAAAGCCTCCTCTTCCTCATCCATGCGGGTTTCGGCACGAATGCGCTGGATCCAGTCATCCGCGTCTTTCTCTGATGAGGCTTGGAATCGGTAGTTCTTAGACGGTGAGAATATACCAAAGACGTATTGTCGCGATGACCGTGGCGATCTGACTGGTGCAACCGCTGTGACTTCCGAAAGTGTGATAGACGCCCGAAGTCTTGTCGCTTCCTCATCTTTGTATACTGACAGGAGATTTGGCCGAAGGACAAGGTAGGCGGGTTTCCAGGAGGCTCGGAATGCCTGAAAGAGAAAATACCTCGATGTTAGTTATAACGAGTAAAAGCAAAATGCTGTGAACGAAGGCGAAAGCTCAACTGACATGCTTGTGTTTGACTCGGCGATACACCTTCCCAGTTTTCAAGACCCGATCGAATTCGAAGCTGCCATTTTCATTGACCGGGGAGAATGTATCCAAGTTGACATGGCCACTGCGATAGATAGGAGCTGCCTGTATAGGCCGAAAGGGCGTTGACTGTTGGACGGTGCCATCAGGAAAGTGAATCGAGGGGCCTTTTGTATGCGCCTCCGAAACTGGCGGGATGGTGTCGGCGAGTACTTGATTCATGTTGTCGCGAACAGGTTCTCGACGATTGGACGAATGTTCACTTGTTGGTGCTCACAGGAGGATCACAATCACACCAAGTCACAACCCTGCAGAGGACTGAGATGTCTATGGTATAATTCCTAGACGAAAGTTATAGGTACGCATCTGAGTGGCAGGGAGACCGTCGAATAGGTCCCCATAAAAAGAGAATAGGCAATTGTCGACGATAGGCAGAAATGAACCAAAGACCTGTGACTGGTAGTACTGAACCTAATGACGTGCAGTATGATTATTCAGGGAGTGAGATGACTGTCGAGGCACCAGTGTCACAAGAATGATGTCTTTGGAGGAGGAGGGGTGGAAATGATGCCGAATAGGGACAGATCAAGATGCGGCGATAACAGTCGTGTCGGGAGGAACCAGGAAATCAAAGTCGCAGCAGTTGAGGATTTGTGTTCGTCAAGTCGAACAACGATGAATAGATGAAGGAGATAAATTGGGAACGATAGCCCCTTCTCGAAGGCGGTTCATCCATCACAGTCCCATGGGACGGACGCATGGGCGCGTTTTTTTTTTTTTAATGACTGCTGGGTAGATCATCCGACAGGAGGTGCCTCAAAGAAGCCTTGCACCAAGTCGCTTACCTAGTTACGAACTATATATAATATAGATAGATACCGAAGACTTAAGTTCTGAGGCTGAAGGCGGCTATAGCTATTTTCTCATCTTTCTTGAATCAAAGTTATGTTTCAAATCGATATCTCTTCCAGTAATTGATTGGATTCCGTCATCTGTGTGCTGGCTGTATGATCGATGATTGATTGGGAGAGACATTCGAATCAATGACTTCCTAGTAGGTGCAGAATCCCAGAGTACCAACCTACTGATAATTCCGTTATAAATAGTCGCCTGTGCATCTACATGGACTACTCAATAGTATATCCTATGTGAATGTGAATGTAAGGTACTTGAATGGAGTACACGATGCATACATAATGGAATCATGCTTAAGGGTAAGAAGCTTCGACCCTTCTTGTCATGCATGATTCTCTCCCTGGAGACCATGGAGATTGTCCATACAAACGATGACTTCATGGATAGTATATCTACATACTCTACATCTGCATAGATCTTGATCTAAAGAACGTCTCTTAAGGAGAATATACTATTATTGGTTCCCCGAGGTGCTCAGAGGATATACTCCGTAAGCTTCGATCATCTCAGAGTTCAGACTGGAGTCAAGCACAGAGTATCTATAAGTTAAGAGTATGACAGGCATACAAACCATAACCATCTGGTATCTTGCCTAAGTTAGGTCCAGGTAGTTTCGCAGAGTCAGATGGCTGTAAGCTCGTACCTTACAGTTTTAACCAGCAACTCTGTATAAACTGGTAATCCAGCAATGGATAAAGGAGAACTTATCAAAAAAAAAAAAAAAAAAAACTACTAACAAGGTCCAGACCCTTGGCTGCTTAATTTTAGTCACCAGAAATGAGAGGAAAATTAAAAAAAAAAAAAAAAAAAGGCCACCTTGACAGATCCCGGTCACGTGTGGGTTTGTGATCTCAGGGTTCGAGACTGACCACCAGAATACTCACGTAGTATTATTTAATACTAGTAGTAGGTCTCCCACCAGCCAATACTACTGCAGGAGGAATACTCTGGATATGAGTAATATCTTATAATTTCCTACGGCGATTTATCTGGGCTCACTGCAGCATGTTTCATGCAACTGACAGTTGTCCAGCATGAACGGCCTTATCTTCGATTTCCTGATAGATGAAACGACTCGTGGCACCGATGTACTTACTTTGTAGGTATGTACCGTACGTCCGTACCTTGGTTTTATTATTATCTCATAACGAACTCCTAAATACAAAGCCCTGATAGAGAATTGGTACCAATTACAGTATATTCATTCCATCCTGTACCATTGGCCCGATACTCCATTGAGTATTCCGTAGGGAGTACCTAATCACTTGATTCCGGCTGTTCTGTGGTATCCGAATAAGCATCTATCTCTACCAGTGAGATCGATGAAGTTATGATCTCGTTTCAATCTTCATGACAACCATCTCCGAATGACACTGACTTGTTCATAATGGGACTCAACGTGCCCAACGAGCAGATCGGACTACTCCGTACCTGCTTGACTTACGGTAAAAACCCAGTAATGCAGATAGTTTACAATACACACAGTATGCAATTCGCATCTCTCATCGATAATCACCTTGCCTCAATAATGCTAACTGTCCCATCCTGCCTCCGTGCTCGCCTCCATTAATAGTACCTTACAGACTCTCATAGACTATAGGAGACAATACTAAGTAGCCATCTTCTATATCTTATATTGACCTTATGGTGGCTGTCACAATGCCTGGGAACGAGCATAGTCGATTAGCAGGTTGATCATTCAGTTTGATTGGTATTATTATTATTAGCCAATTTAGCATGGAAATTGTTAAGCGCGGAAGATGACCATCATAGAAATCCAAATGAGTCCATTAGAAAATTGAAGTGCACTCTGATAATTCTGCACTGCCTTACACTAATAATAATAGATGGATTCACAGCAACAACTACTCCTATTAATTACCACCACCACTCAGCTTGATCTTCTACCATGCAATGATTCAAATGCTGTTGTGTTGAATCAATAGAACCGCGTCTCCTGTAAAGTTGTAAAGTTACCGTCCCGGTGTAACTGTGACCATACTCAGAGCGGCTTGCGCCTCCTTGGGCTTGGCGGAACCTCCCAATTCCCCATCCCCAAAATCATCCTCTCAAAGCCTTCGACCCGTTCGGCTCTCTCCCGCTATTTCTCCAACCTTTCATCCCCGTTCCTCCTCCTGAATCCATCCGTGATTGATGACCTCGTCGACTATTTCCGTGTCTTCGGCCTCATTGCTTAGGACAACGGTCCCCTGCGTTGCTTTCAGCGCTTTTCGCATCAGTCTGCATCAGGTTGACTGAAGAGGGAACGGTTGGAAAGAGAAAGGAGGTTCTCCTCCGGCCACTCGTTTTTCTTTTCTGGTCTTCTTCAGCAGGGTTTCTTCTTATTTATTTACTTTTTTTTTTTATTATCTTTATCTTTGTTCTATACTGCTTGGTTCACATTCCTGTTCATATTTCTGCACCACGCAGCTGGCATACAACTAAATCATCGAGTCGAATCCTCCTGTTTCCCGCGTGCGGACAATTACAATACCTCATCCATCAACCCTTTTTATGACCCTCGACCACGACTCTTCTTGAGATTCACCGTTTCCCCGGCCCTGCCGCAAGCCACTGGATTCGACGCTGGATTTGATTGACGGTCCTTAGCGTCGCCTCGTTGGGAGTCGACGCTGTGTGGGAAGTCTGCACTCATGGGCTTCATTCAGCGGGTTGTGAAGCGGTTGCCCTCCGCGCCGAGCCTACCCCTTGACGATAGTTCGCGCGAAAAGGTTCGGAATTTCTCCAGATTCGCTTTCTTCAAGCGCAGGATACGGTTGAAGGGCAACTCGTCCATTTCTATCCCCCTGGGATTTGTTCTATTATTTCCATGCCTTGTAATTGTCCTCATTTTGCTCCTATTTGTTCGACATCCTGCCTCTCCTGGGGGTATCCTAATCCCCGCAGGCGCACCACCATCAATAAGGTTCGTTTTGCCCCCTTTGCCATCAAGCTGATTCTGCTCCCATTTCGTGATAGCTAACGTGGACTTCGTGCTGCAGAAAAATCAGCGAGAAGTATGACAAAGTGTTCTACACTGGCTGCTTGCCAGTCGAAGAGGTGAAACCCGATTACAAACGGGCAAATGCTGCTTTCGTCGTCCTCGCCAGAAATAAGGAATTGGATGGTGTTATCCAATCCATCAAATCCATCGAGCGCCACTTCAATCGCTGGTACCACTATCCTTATGTATTTCTGAATGATGGTGACTTCGATGATGAGTTCAAGGCCACCGTCAAGAATTACACCAGCGCGCCTGTGGAATTTGGCAAGATCGATGAGACGATGTGGGGTTTCCCTGATTGGGTTGACCACGAGGTCGCCAAAGAAGGTATCAGAAAGCAGGGTGATGCCGCGATCATGTACGGCGGAATGGAAAGTTATCACCACATGTGCAGATTCTATTCCGGGTGAGTGCCGCTGCAAATATTGGGCCGAATGGTTACTAACACTGTGCACAGCTTCTTCTACAGACATCCCCTTCTGTTGAAGTACGAATGGTACTGGCGTTTAGAGCCCGAGATCAAGTACTTCTGCGACATCACATAGTATGCATTAACATCTTCTCTCCAACGCTGTGGACACATGCTTACTGAGAGATAACAGTGATCCTTTCATTATGATGGCTGAAGCGAACAAGACCTACGGCTTTACCATTGCTGTCAAAGAACTTCGCGAGACTGTTCCCAACATCTTCCGCTATGCATCTGCCTATATGCGCAAGAATAATCTCAAATCGAAGGGCCTTTGGGAAATGTTCCTGGAGAAGCCTGAAGAAGAAGAACCCAAGCCAGAAGAAGAGAAGCAAGACAAGCTTCCCGAGGAGATTCTGCTTACTGAGCCTGGTGATAACGCGCTCTCTGAGGTTGATCCAGAGGCCATGGAGGGCGAGAAGTATAACATGTGCCACTTCTGGAGTAATTTCGAAATTGCGCGCCTTGATTGGCTCCGCAGCAAGGAATATGAGGATTTCTTCGAGATGATGGACAAGAGCGGGGGTTTCTGGATGGAAAGAGTACGTTTTGCAAGTTGCTCTTCAATCACTGAAGGACTGGACTGACACATTTCCTGCAGTGGGGTGACGCGCCTATCCACTCACTAGCGGCCGGTGCTCTCCTCGCTCCCAGTGATATTCACTATTTCCGTGACTTTGGCTATCGACATACCACGATTCAACATTGTCCTGCGAATGCACCTGCGCGCCAATTGCCTCGTATCCCGTATTTGGAAAAGACCACGCTGGACGAGAGGGCTCGAGTCGAGGAAGATGAATACTGGGCGGCTATTGACCCTGTCAAGGAGAATGGCGTTGGTTGCAGATGCAGATGTGACACGGACATCGTGGATGTTGAAGGCAAACAAGGCAGCTGCCTTGCCGAGTGGGTTGAAGTTGCTGGAGGCTGGGCATCTCCGTAGAGTTGGTTCGCCTTTCCACCCAACGATGTACGCTGTATAATCTCCGTCCGCTCCTCTTTATGCCTATTTGTTCGACTATGGGCGCTACTCGGGTCGCCTTGGAGTTGATTGCTTATCGCAAATCGTGTTGGCCGTCGGGAGTCTTCTGGACGGCGTTTAACGGTTCTGACGACTTTTCCATGGATAATGGTGTGCCCATTCCCATATGACATATTCATCTAGCGGCTTTGTACGTCTGATTTGGATTGCCACATTCTCTAATTCTTGTCTAAATCTTGATCCCTTTTTTCCCCAAAAGAAAACATCCTCCGGCTTTCCACCCCATTGTCTTCTACACTGGGGTTCCCACTATATCGGGCCGGGCCAGCCTGGCAGGTCCCTAATAGTGGACATGTGCCGTTTAGTGCTTCTCTGGCCTCTTGCGGTCGTTGCGCTGGTCTGAAGCTGCAACCCATCTGCTTTGGAATTCTTCTTGGAAGGGTCCTTCTAGCCAAAATTGTGGCAAAATTTCCGTCAAGCCGCGATCGTCCGGGGCTCATTTTCTAGCTGTTTCATGATCCAACAGAGATCTCAAGATCACACAACGGCGGAACGCACATCCAGATGTCTGTAATCCAACCATCAACTTTCTCACGTCCACATTGCCTCTTGTTCTGAATGCTCGTCCTTTTCTTTTTTTCTTCATTAGACTGTTCTCTTTCTTTCCCCGCCTTCTCTGATCATGATGTGTACATACTGTATGATATTTGGCCTTGAGTGGAGACGGGTCTTATCATACGCGTCCCCGAATCTACGCAAATAATTACTAGGCATGGTTGTTAATAGGATATCACCTAATTGATGTATGTGAATGTGTTTTTTTGCCAACATTTGGTTGGTGCATCCATATATGACTCTCTGGTATGATTCGCCATGCAAGCTGGGATTCACTTGAAACATAGGGGAGCAACTGGGATAAACTCCATGATTTCGACTCACTACCAGCATATTGTGTATAGAACGGTTGATAATGGTCCAGCCGGACTCCATGGTCTGTATAGTGTATATTCTTTGACTCTCAGTCTAGACTTGATCTGTACTAGCTAAAGTGCTTTTATCGTTATCAGTTACTTCAAAGCTCAAACTGCAATAATCATCGTGGTAGTCAATGATCAATGATGATGCTGCGGCACAGCACATGATGAGGTAACTCGTACCCTAACCATACGATTGACAGAGCGAAAGGGGAACTACTTTCTATCTTGTCAACTGACCTGAACATTCTTGTAAGGGTGATCCTTGCCAAACACTCGCGCGCATCGTTCCCTTGTCATGTGCCCCGCCCGTGGCTATAGATAAACGGCTATTATCTATCTACATTGATAGCATCAGTTTCACTCATCAGCTTCTCCCCCTCTATCCTCGCCCTCCCCCTCTTTTGGGAATCCTGCTCGGATTCTTTGATATCTCTGCTATTTGATGAAGAATCAAGACTCCTATTGGGTCTCTCTCACCTTCGAAACTGACTTTTGTTGCCTTAGACCACCTGACTATCATTCCGCTCGGGCCGGGAAACAGCTCCCCCGCTGCTATAGTAATCATCGGGCATCTGCCTATTAGGCAGGGTTGAATGTCGAAGGAAGTTCACTCACAAACCTGTCCTTTGTCTTCTCAGATAGGACGGAGCAGAGCCGAAGTTAACGTATCTCCCCATTCCACTTTGTCCACTCTGCTCAGTCTTCGTTTCATTCTATTCGACCAGAGCTACTACGCTTTGGACCTCTACGCTCCCACACAAACACTCAACTCTCTCCGCATCTCCACTCGATGACTCCCGCGCTCTAATAATATGGCTGACTATCCAGAGCCTTCTTCCAGACGTCGCGCTTCTGTATCAAGCACGCCGCGTCTCCAATATCCAACCTTCCCTCCCTTGAGTGGCTCCGTTGAAGAGTGGTTATCTCGATCGAGGCCAACAAGTATGACGTCAACACCGCCCACAGAACACACAAGCAGATCTTTGAGTGAAAGCTGGGCAACTTTGAGTGCATCAGACGCCCATTCTGAGGATGGTTCTCGCTCGGAACAGACTGATGCGGCATCTCTGATTGATCAGGCTGGCCCAGACGACGTTGCAAGTCTCGATGAGCGGTATAGCTGCAGTGAGATGGATGGAAATGGCGAAGATGACACAGATGAAGAGGACTATGATGACCGGAGGATCGACGAATTTGAAACCCAGGAGCTTCCTGCTTCATACCCCGTGACAGGTGATGCCATCGAGGATAGTAATATCACAGCAAAGACTGCCTTCTACCAACCAAGCGAATCGATCGAATTTGATGAGCCCGAGCACTGGCCCGAAGTTGAACGAGTGGAGTTGAAACAGACAATTCAAGTAATCGACGGGCCAGAGGCTGCGGATCTCAAAGAGCGTCTCGACTGCGAGGCCCAGGATACTTTGCTCACAGTCACTGTCCAACAGACGATGACGAGAAGGAGCCTTGATACTGACAAGCCGTTCCGTGTGCTCTATGTTGGGAACCCCGAATTTCGCAACATCATACTCGATAAGATCGGGGATGTCCTAGTTGCAAGTTCCTACAGCGGTTTTGAGAGTAGCTCCACAGAGTCTTCTAGGTACCATGTTGTTCCCACCGCATTTGGTGCAGGGGCTGTTCCCAACTTTGCGGAACTTCTCCCTATCCATGTGCAGCTCGTTGTTGACGAGTGTGTCCGGGTCTCCTCTGACTCTTCCTTTGACGATCCGGGAGCTATCAACGTGGAATTCAAGAACCGGCCTACCTGCACCTCATCTTGGAACGGGTCAGAGTATACAATCTCGTCCCCGTATGATTGGACAATTCCAGACGTAGCCATACTTTTCAGGTCCAGCATAGACACATCTGATGCTGTCGAGACTCAAAATTGGGCTCGTCTGTTCATGGAGAGACACGGTATCCCAACTTTGGTGATCTCAGAGAAGCCACTGTGGAGAATGATGAGCGAGCCTATACCGGTCAACTACCATAGCCTGCACATGTGTCTAGAATCTCGCCATCCTGTGACTGGGAAGAGCACTCTTCTGAGGCGATATCCTATTGACCTCGAAACATTCGAGAGCATCACACCCGGACAGCTCAACAGAAATTTGGCGTCCTTGGCGGACATATACCCTTCGAGGGCGCTCAAGATCAGAGACCAAAGATCAGATCGCTCCGAGAAGGCACTGTTTATGAGTATCAGGAAGTATATCAAGGAGATGCTGGGGTTCTGCCAAAACGGCAACACTAACTGGACAACGGTCCTCCGCCTGGTTGTTCTGACGCTCGTCTCGGCCATAGTTATTACCTTGGGCTATTCAGCTCTACAGGTTGCTGCTGTGTCTTTTTTACATTTATCCTCTTCTCCTCTTATCTCAGACTCCGTATCTCCACCTGTGACCGCGAGGCAAGCGTCCAGCATTCCTTCCATAGACAATGGGAGGTATACATCTCTTTCAGTGCCTTCGTTAGCCACCCAGGAGGTTCGGCTTCTTGCACCACAATCATCCAGTCGTTCACCTTTGGAAAAGCTGATTGGCAGTGTCGCATCTGTCCCTGAACGAGAGATGCAACAGGGCAAGTTTGAGATACATGTAGTCGGCGATTGTCACCTCGTTCTAAAGCCTCCGCGTACGTTCATCAATGCGAAAAAGCAACCAAGGTTTGATGTCCATATCAGCCGAAACAATATCCCTCTCGGCTACGAGCTCTCTAAATTATTCGACGGAGTTTATACTATCAAACTTGATCGAGGAGATGCTTACGGGGTCGTCGATATCGCACTTACAGCGGCTTCGAAACCACCCCTCAAGCAGACCATGTCAGTAGACTTGGGGACACCCTGGCTCAAGATTGCCAGCTGGAAACGAGCGGCGCAGGCCATCTCTTCTCAGGTCGCTAGAGACCTCAATATCGCGCAAACCGGCTTGTCGGAGGCGTACAGCCGGCTATGTACTGATATGCAACTGCTGATGGGGGATGTTGTGAGAAAGGCTCACTTCATGCGGCGCGAGGCTGAAATTCTTGGGCCAGACTCAGCATATATCTCTCTTGAGACAAGAGATGCGGTCTTGTCACGATCGAAACAGATCTCCGAGGCTGTGAAACGCAGCGCAGTGCAGCCGTTTCTGACAGCTTCGTCTGCGATACAAGGGCACACGGGCCGCTTCAACAGAGAAGCAAGAGGATTCATGAGCAATACATGGAACAGGGTCAGCACATGTGTACATGGCCTTGATCTTGGGGCGCTGAAAAGCCATGTACGAAATGCTAGGAAATGCGAAGCCCTGGGCAGAGCGCAGAACCGAGCGAAAGGCTTGATGAGGCGCAAGTCCTGCGAGCACCTGGAGTGTCACTCGCAGGCCTCATAGATATTGGAGTCTGATAGTTAACGGCTATTTCCTTCTGATCATTCTGTTATTCTTACTTGTGATGCAACGTGCTTCATAAATCATAGTTGGGAATTGGGATGGGGTTCAAGGGTATTTATTGCTGCTTAGGGGGAATCTCTGGAGGAACGAATATGATTACGAGACTTTTGATGAAGTTCTTTTCCTTTCGGTATCCCCAGATGTGTAGTGAAGCAATCGTAGTCCCAATAAGATAAACGTATCGCTATCTATATGGATTGACTGGAATAGGACAAAAAGGGCCTTTGAAGCCTTTTGAAGCCTTGGGTGGTGGCACTAGTGGAGCAGTGGTAGCCTTAGGCTACACTGGGGGGCAACATAATTATTTTGTCAACGAACTCCCCACCTTTTGCAGGCCCTGAGTCCAAAACAACATTTTCCCGCTTCCTCTTCCTGATCCTCCACCACAGAACCCTTTTCCCCTTGTTCATATCCTATATCAAGGTAATTTTACATCCGCTTCTACCAGAAATTTCATCGTGACTGACTCACGACCGTCCTGCAGAACCCATACCTCTCGCCAACATGTCTGACGTCGCTGAACCCAAGGCCGACCCCGCCACCAGCGCTACTGAGGCTCAGAAGCCTGAAGAGACCACCCCCGCCGCCAACACCGCAGAGTCAAAGCCCGAGAGCGAGAAGTCTACGACGGAGGCTGCCGTCGACACTGTCAAGGACGCTGCTACCAAGACAACCGACAGCGTTTTCTCCATGTTCGGTGGTGGGCCCAAGAAGGAGAAGCAGGAGGAGGCGGAGGATGCTCAGAACGAGCCCTCTGGTTCTTCTAAGGCCCAGAAGGGCGAAGATGAGGTTAGTCGACTTTTTTATTCCCCTCCTATGTTAGGTATGCGTCGGTATTCTCACCGAACATATATCCCTGATAGGGGCGATGGTTTTTTCTGATATCGCTTCTTTTTTTTTTTTTTCTCTTTACACCGCGGGATAGAGTCTAGGATCGGGCTATAGTGTTGCTTTTTCAGGGTTCATTACTGACGAATATTCTGATGTTTTAGGACGAGGCGCCCGAGTCCCCCGATGTTCACTTTGAGCCTGTCATCCGCTTGACGGAGAAGGTTGAGACCAAGACCAACGAGGAGCTTGAGGAGCAGGCCTTTAAGATGCGCGCCAAGCTGTTCCGATTCGACCCCGAGAGCAAGGAGTGGAAGGAGCGTGGTACCGGCGACGTTAGACTGCTGAAGCACAAGGAGAACCAGAAGACCCGTCTCGTGATGCGCAGAGATAAGACCCTCAAGGTCTGCGCGAACCACTACGGTACGTTTGTCATCGATCGGACGAAAATCGAATGGAACTGACCCGCTTTACAGTTGTTCCTGACATGAAGCTCAAGCCCAATGTCGGCAGTGACCGCAGCTGGGTCTGGAGTGTTGCCGCGGACGTCAGTGAGGGTGAGCCTGAGGCTCAGACTCTGGCCATTCGTTTCGCCAACAGCGAAAGTAAGTTGATGAAGTGAAAATGGCTGGAAATGAATTTACTTACTAACTTTCATTTTCTAGATGCCAACCTCTTCAAGGAAGCTTTCGAGAAGGCTCAGCAGGAGAATGAGAAGCTCATCCAGTAGAGAAACAATTGCTGGTCTATATCTGATATCACGGTGCCCATCGCCATCGTTTTTCAATGAGCCTTTGACTTTCACGTCTTCTTCTGAATATCACTATCACTCCAATCGATTCTCCCCCATCCCCTCCCCCCCACCGCACAGCCTCTTGTCAAGTCCTCACCTATTCCCCACCCTTTTTCCCTTTGAGCAAGAGCACAAATCTGTTCGCTGGTGACAATGAGATCATAAGTCAACCGCGTCTCAGATCCTCCACGTCTATGGCGTTTGGCAGGTCATGTTGATCGCCTTAGACGTTCGGACGAATCTGGTGGTAGATAGACATACTATCCCCTCGAATATATGCATGAATACACATCCCCACGTCAATGTACGAAATGTTCTTAGATGCTAGACCTTTTGTCATTTATTCGTTTGTAATGTTCTCCGCAACGTTCTTGTCTGTAGACTGGCCGTTCAAGATGCCTCAGTATCCCGAATCAATGCCGTCGCGAATATTCCAAAGAGTATGCAAGCACTGTTGGCATCATTACGAATCGACAAAGTCGTCTTGAAGTCCAAAAACCAAGCATATGCTCACTCGGAGATTGACAGATGAGACGATTGTCAATGCTCAGAAGTGCTGAGCCTCGACTCATCGGTCTCTGCCTGAGGCGTTCACCTTCGCTCACTTGGCAGCCTCAACGGAAGAGTCGCAGAACCATTCCGCGCACCTCTCACTCTATATTCATCTCAAACCAGAAATTGATTGACGTCTGAAAGGGATCAAAGCTTAATTCAGACTCACCACTAAAGGTAGGGATCTCTGCCAACTTCCATCGCAGGCCCCAATTTCTGATTTCTCCGCAGGCTTGGCGCTAAACATCCAACCTCGCTTCACCTTTGATTCGCGCGACCCTTGAGCCCGATAAAGTCCCTTTGTCTACTGATTCAAAATACTCGCCGTTGGAGAATCCCGGTTTCTCACCCATTCCTAGAGACCCAGTGTCCCTCGTTTCTTCCTTTCCTTTCCTTTCCCCTGTCCCGTTCCACAAAATTCTCGGTTTCTCGCTTCGCAAGAGCTGGCCGGCAAGATGCCTGATGTGAGTCCTTCCCCCCACCCCTTGTGCTTTTTGTCTGATTGAGCCGATTTATTGGGGGCTAGCCTTTTTCCCTGTATTTATTTTATTCATTCGCGTTATTTCTCTCCCGCGTGCTTGACGCACGAACCGGTTCAGGGCTCGATCGCATGCTGACTGCTGTCGCGCATCACAGGTTAAGAGAACAGTCAGGCTGGTGACAGAGCAGCACGTCGTGTACGTTCCCTAGCTTTTCCCCATCCCTTATTCGAAACCTCCAGTCCTCATTCCTGCCGGGCCTACCGCTGCGTCGCCCTTCTACGGTGTTTCTATACTTGTTTTTCTCTTCGCCTTTCAGGCCGGGAGAGCGCGCGCGCGTTAGTCACAGACATCTGCCGCATGGATGGGTGGTGGAGGGTTACATCATACCATGAAAAAGAACCTTCGAAGATGATGCTATATTAAGGGCTCATCAGGCCAACGAGCTCCGGCTGACATTACTCGCGATCGATCCTGCAGAAACAAAGACTCCGGCGTGGAGGGGTTCCCCCTCCGATCGTGGTCCATTGAGATCTACCTCGTCAACGAGCATGGGGAGCAGGTGCCGGCGACTGTCTTCGACAAGGTGACATACACGCTGCATCCGAGTTTCGGGGATCGTGCTATCCAGAGTACGTCCTCCTACGCTTCCTTTTTTTGGGGGGGGCTGCTGCGATTTCTTCTCCGGGAGACGCTAGACGCCATGTTTCCTACGCGGGGTGAAGGAGAAGAGAAGAGTAGAGAAGAAAAGGCTAATACGCACACGGTACCGCAGCATTCAAGAACCCTCCATTCCGAATCTCAGAGGAAGGATGGGGTGAATTCGACCTGCAGATCGGCATGACCGCCGCCGACAAGGAGCACTTCGTGACACACGACCTGAACTTTGCGCAGCCGCGCTACGAGTCCAAGCACGTTATCGTGAGTTTGGCCTTTCTTCTTACCTTTGTTTTACTCAGTACAGGCCCGTCCAGTCCAGGTTTTCTGACATATTTATTCTTGCCCGAATTCCCAGACATTCAAAAACCCCAAGCCCGCGCTCCTGGCCCTCCTCCGCGAGTCGGGTCCGGTACCCGGGGACGAGAACGGGGTGAAGTCGAAACGCGCCGCCGCCGGCGAGGAGAGCTCGAAGAAGAAGAAGCGGGCGGAGAAGAACGTGCGTTTTGCAATCTTTCCCCCAATTCCTTTTTTGTTCTTTTTTTTTTTTTTTTTCTCGACCTGCTTGAACGCAGGAACGCAGCGCGCGGCTCGTCTAACATCTGTATTTTTTTACGGAATAGGTCGACATGGACAAGCTGGCCGATGGCCTCCAAAGACTCGGGGAAGACGACCTCTTGCAGGTCGTGCAGATGGTGCATGATCACAAGGCGCCGGACTCGTATACCAAGAATGATGTCGAGCGTATGATATCCCATGGCATCCCTACCTATTGTTAAAGGGGATTGACTAACAAGGTTCCTGCAGAGGGCGAATTCCACGTCGATTTGTATACCCTCCCCGACAATCTGATCAAGATGCTGTGGGACTTCACACAAGAGAAGGGCGCCCTGTAATTCGATTCTGTTTTTCGGCGTCCTTTTTTTTTTTTTTTCCTTTCCCATCCCTTTTTTCTCATTTGCTTTCCTACACCTTTTTCACCCATCGCATCTCCTTTTTTGAAAATCTTCGAATCATGTTTTACTTGTCCATCTACTCTCCCCTCCGTTCTTGTATTCCGGTTTGACGAGGTTCATATATTTCGAGCTGTGGACTGGAAAGACCAAACAAGCAGGGATGAGGGAAGCGGATGATCCTTATAATGATCCTAGTGGCTAATGAAACAACAAAGAAATACGATCCAGCAATAAAATGGGCGTGTCCCAAACAGAAACCAGCCGAGATGATAAAACCTGCCTGTTACACTTGAACACCGTTCTCCATATAAAGAAGAAAGAAAAAAAGAGGGACAATAGAAAGGAAAAGCGTATTGGATATCTCATGTTCCATGCAGACGAGTTTGAGACAAATGAGCAGGATTTCAGATGGAAGAAGAGAAATTGATAAGACAGATTCAGCATTGCCGGATATGAAATGCGTCGCCAAAAAAAAAACAGAGCAAACCATAGGCGTGATGGATATCCGAAAGCGTGGGGGGGAAATGTATCAAAGAGTAGAGAAGATAAAAACAAATGAAAAGCAACCTAATGCGCCCGCTGTGCTCAGTCTATAAGAGATGTGGTTTCATCGGAAATGAAACAGGAATGAAAGGGTGTCGAGGTGTTGGTGTGGTTTTCTTCGAGCCTATAGAACTCGGTAGCTATGGTAGAGTCAGCGAAGAGAACCTAGGCAGGAAGGAGGAACGGGGTCAACATACGACTTGAGAAGATCTTCCAGACTATCAGCGCTAAGACTGCGGCCCTTGGGGATCTGTTTCATGATCTCGACGATAGTCGCGAATACGTCACCGCCTCTGTAGACGAGCAGCGCGGGGGCCTCAATGTGGTCCATTTCGGCGATTTCGTGATCCAGCTTGATGAAGTGGACGGTTGGCTGCCGGCGCGCAATGGTGTCGAGGCAGTCTTCCACGAGGGAACTCACTTTCGACTGGGGCAGGTCAGCTCCATGCTTGGTAACAAATAAAAAGAGACAAAGAGCGGTCTCCAACGTACCTCCGGATCAAACACACACACCACCACGACCGTGTCCGAGGCAACCTTCTCGATGGCATCCAAGTACCCCACCGCATCCACGGTCTCAACAGACCCATACATCTTCCCCCGGGGACTAACGCGGCGCAGGTTCCGACTCTGCAGTTCCTGCATGCGCGACTTCCGCCACTCGCGCATGAACTGCTCCTCGTCCTCCTCGCTCGCCGACCCATCCGTGGGTGACGAGTGCTGCAGCAGGGTCGCATCATCTGTCACCGACTTGGGGTGATGCCCGTAGTCGATCCCGGCCGCACCGAGCAGGGTCCGGCGGAAAGACCGTTTGCGCGCGCGCTCAAAGGCCTGCGCATCGGCAATGACACCCTTGGGCCCGGTGTTTGCGTCGTAGACGGTCCGGGGGACCTTGTATGTAGCTGTGCGGGTACCCATGGTGGGGTCGAAGTCTTCAGAATCGGAATGGTGAGCGTGATCGTGGTCGTTGTCGTCGTCGTCGTCTGAGGCCGAGTGGGAGTCACGGTCCGAAGTATGGCGGTCTTCAGGATGACTGGAAAATTTGTCCTGATTGCTGGCGACGAGACGGTTGAATTCGTCTTGAGCAGACATATTGAAAGAAAAAAAAGAAAAGAGAGAGAAAAAAAAAAAAAAAAAGGTTCAGAAAACGTGGCAGGGGGTCGAGGCCGACCTTTAAGGATTATCGACGATGCTGGATGATGATGCTCGTGTCTCCGAATTGGGGGGATGCAAGACTGCAAAACCGGGGGAAGCGCGGATTGGAATCCCTGCTGGTTCTTCTTTGTCTGGATTGCCTTGCTTGCCTTGATTCAACTAGTCTAGGGAGTTTTCCTTAGCCAAGTTCGTTTCGAATCACCGTCTCGAGTTTTGATTCGAGAGAAAAGAGGGAGATCGATAAAACACCGAGCGGTCAGAACAAGGACAAGGAGAATGACAACCAAGTGTCCAAACGGATAGCCCGAATATGCCAAGAAAGGCAAAGAAGGATGACGATGTTGGTTTCAGGGCGACAGTGTAATGTGTAATGTGTCTGTATGGGTTAAGGGTTCCGATCTTTTTTTTTTTTTTTTTTTTGCCCCCCCTGAACCAGCGATTTGATGGATTCCTGGATGCCTGAATGGGGATGGGATCTCCAGACCGCCGCTGCTGATCACTTGCCCCAAGCGGTAATGGATGGGAAGAGCAGTCAACCTATAAATATTCAAGGGAATTTAAAAAAAAAATTAAAAAAAAAAAAAAGGATTATTCAGGGACCTGATGCTGATGGGTTGAAAGAAGAAAGAGCAGTACGGAGTACACAATATATTATATACTACTACAGAGTACAGAGTTCCTCCTTCCCCAATCATGGGCTGATGTCTTCGGTAGTTATTAACCTTCCTGCTTGTTGCATCGCGCCTTCTTCTCTTACTGTGTACTCTTCGGCTATCCCAACTCTTACCCTTTCACCCCCGCGACTACCACCGAACTGGGCTTAGCGTGTTGGCGGAAGCAGTCAACACTCAAGTTCTCAACACTAGGTAGTTAGGTACTCGACCATCCTAGGCGGTTTCAAGTCTAGTGTCTGCCACTCTGCCTGCCTTGCATGGCTTCGCTCCGAATCACAGGACAGTATTTATAGCGATTAGCGACAACATCGAATGTTTCAGATATTGAAGATCGCCTCAGGCTCTCTCTCAACAGTCGGCCACTAGAAGAGGCGAAGAATATTCGATACATCTATCTGATGTCTCAACTTGTAGATATATATACAGTAGCTACTCTGTAGACTAGTCAGTATGCACTAGAGACCAGCTGTATCACATGAACTACTACTGAAGAGGATAAAAATAAAGGGAAAGGTACATCACAAAGTTCTCAAAAATAATACTCTCCCCCCCGTCTCATATTGGTCTCGATTGTTTGATACAACTTTGCAAATTGGCAATCATCCCAGGCCACGTGGGATCAGATTGTTTGCTGTTTGCCAGTTTCAGATGCCACGACTAATCGTGCTGCTGTCTGATCCCCAACTCCCAACACCAACCGCAATTCTCTGGATTGGAGCGAATAAACGCACTTCCTACATTGACAACAAACAGTGCACTCTATAGTTGGTGAGATCCACATGAGGTGACGCCCGATCAACACGAAGAAGTGTTTCGCCCAGCTGCTGCTACTTGGATGCCATACTTCATGACTCGAGCATGTGTCCTCACCGATTAACCGCCATCCTTAAACCAGCCAGCTATCCTCCACGGAAAGAAACTTTACCAATATCAGAGGATGGCGCGGCTCAGTGGGAGGCCCTGCGATCGTATGATTATACCCAATCCAGCCTATCCAGCTGCTGTTGTATTGCAATCCCAGCCTATTTTGCAGCAAGACTTCCGGGCTCGAGGGGATCCCTGACTCTGATAATTCATATGGGAAGATCGTCAGACTCACGCGAAACACAACTCACTTTCCATCCTCCCCCGTCAAAGAGGGATCAGCACCACGGCAAAACTGCGCAATTTGCCATGTCGGGGATCATTCGCCTCGCCGCATCTGACAGAGTCCAGCGAAACAATCATACCTCACTGAAGGCAGTAAACAACAAGAAACGTGATTGTTGGATGGACACCCAGCTGGGAAGAAACAACATCATCTGCAGGAGACCTGAAACGGCAAGGCAATAAATAGATTTTTGAGAGAGTCAGATTAATTAAAATTAAAAAGGCAAACGGGGATCAGAAAAAAAAAAAAAAACAATAGAAACAGCATTAGTCACAGGTCAAACAAAAGAAAAACGTCATGGCCCTATCCGAAAAAAAGAAAAGAAAAAACATTTCCTCCCGATCCATCAGCCACAAGATGAGTACATGCCAAATGTCAATCCGCAAGAGAGGCTGTTCACAAAAGAAAAACACGCAAAAAGAAACATCCAAAAATGAGTCTTCCAGAATAAGAGAAGAAATATGGGGAAGGGGTAATAAGAATAGAAAAAAAGGCAAAAAAAAAAGATGCCCCGTGGGACAAGAAGAAGAAAATGAGCATATAGAACAAAAGTGAGGTATGAGGCAAAAAAGGGGCAAAGGTATAGGATCGGGTAGTAAGAGGAATCCCCAGACAGTCACCCAAGGGTCCCATGGATCAAGGTCATCATCAAAAAAAAAAAGAAAAGAAAAAGGTAAAAAAGCAAAGACAGCATCTGAGCGCGCACACCACGTGAGCCTTATGTTAGTCGTCCCCCAGATATGCTTGATTTCAATATCATTAAGTTGTTTCCATAGTCAGCATCGCAGGGGTGTCGAGTCTCCGCGTTGTATTCATCCACCCTGAGCTCCGACCCCAACGGCCTGCTCGTCCTCCTTCTCGTGCACTTCTTTTTTTGTGGTTCCAGATGGTAGAAGATTAAATGGCGGACATTGCTCTTCGGGGAAATGCGAAATATCGTACAACGGCGGGCATCCAACCTATTGTTGCAGGGAAAGAATGGAACAGGAAGTCGAATAAAGGAATCGCAAAAGATTGAGACAGGGTATCTTTGCTTGGTAGATATAGACCGTTTACCAGGCCCAAACCTTGAGCTATATGGCAGACAGATATATCAGTGACTGCTGGGAACAGAAGGAGGGTATCCTTGATTTTTGCAAGGTAACTTACGAGAGAATCCCAGGATCCAGTACACAAACTGATGCCATCGTTGCTGACTCCCAGGCAGCTAACACGGTTCTCGTGGCCGCTCAAGGAGCCAACCTTATCACCACGAAGGACGTCCCAGACCTATGAAGAACAAAACGTTAACCAGCCGCTTCGTTTGCAAAAACCCGGACGCTCCATGGACAAACCTTGCACTCAAAATCATCATAGCCGGCAAACAATAGTCGACCGGAGACGGAGAACGCGACAGACGTGATACCGCACAGAATTTGATCGCTCTGTTAAATTGGTGGTAAGTCAATGAAACCTTGTACATGTCAAAGGTTACGGTAGCAAAGCAGGCTCACCTGGTAGATGTTCAACTCCCGGTCCGCGCGGATGTCGAAGAGACGGCAGGAGGTGTCATCGGAACCGGTTCCGAAAGCATTTCCGTCGGGGAAGAACTGGATCGCGTTGATGTCGGACTCATGTCCAGCGAAGGTCTGAACGGCCTTTCCGGTACGGATATCCCAGAGTTTGGCGAAGGCATCGCAAGCACCGGAAACGAAGATGTTCTGGTTGGTAGGATTGATGCTGATCGACATGACGTCTCCCAGATGATCCGCGAATTCAGTCACCTTGGATCCCGACTCGATATCCCACAGCATGCAAGTCATATCACCGGACGAGGTGATGATACGACGATCGTTGATGAAACGGCAGCATGAGAGGTAGCCCGAGTGCCCCGAGAGTTCGCGCGCGACGCGGGTCGGGCCCTCGCGGGACGAGAGATTGTAGATGGAACAGATGTTGTCAAGACCACCACAAGCAACGTAATTCCCGCTGGGAGCATAAGCGCAGGTCATCACCCACGACGATCTCAGAGGAATTGCATGGACCTTGTTCGTAGTGTAGGCGTCCCAGATGATCAGCTTGCCGTCTTGCGAGGCAGAGACGAGATGACGACGGTCGGTCGACCAGTGCATGGCGTAGATCTTAGCAAGGTGGCCTTTGAGCGTTCGCCGAGGCTTCATACCGATACGAGGAAGGGTGTCGGTCTGGTTCTGCGCGACTTGACGAACTGTTGAGAAGCAGAAGGGGGCAGGTCAGTAACCGAGACATTTTTTAGAAAGACAAAAAAATATATATATATATATATAATAGGAGAATCCCGCGAAAGCAACAACAGTAAACAAGGAGTTACAACGCCAGGTAAAAAGATAGAGAGAGGGTGAAAAAGTCGCGGAATTATGATGTGAAAGGGTCCGTACGGGTTGTATCTGCCAGCTCGTCCTTTCTGCGTTTGATTTTGTCCTTGAGACCTTCAGCTTCGCGCCTGGCCGCGGTAATCTTGGCCTGCATCTGCTCGCCGCTCATATCGGCTGCCATTTCGACCGAAAGGGGAATCCCTGAAAAGGGAGGTTGTCAATTGGAAGATTAGGAGGGCGAGAGGGTGAGTGTGGTTGAAATGGGGATTTGACGGAAAACGGTGTGTGTCGTGCTATTCCCAGGGGGAACGGGGATTGACCGGAAGAAGAGAGGATATTTGGGGGGTGGGGAGAGAGAGAGGTGGAGGGCGGTGGTGGACGGCAAAGGCGGCGGTGGGAGGAAACAGAGCAGTAAAGAAAGCGAGGGAGAAGTAGGGTTAGTTTAAGGTGTGAGGTGAGACTTGGAATTGAGTTGAGTTGAGTTGAGGTGAGGTCGGGTGAGGTGAGGTGAACTCGGGAGGACGAGAAGGAGGGGGGTTGATTGGGTGGTGGAGCGAGTTACGGCGGAAGCGACCGAGCGAGGAAGAAGAGGAGGAAGGAGAAGAAGAAGAACAATGACTAGGTAAAAATGAAAAGAAGAAGAAGAAGAGGAAGAGGAAGGTTCGACCCGGGGCAGTTATGGTTCGAGCTTGAGAAAACGAGCAGGGGTAATAATATAATAATAATAATAATGATAATAACAATAATAATAATAATGAAATAGTATTGATATTAAATTAGTTAGTTAGCATAGTGGTTGATTGGTACCTGCTCCGTCGTTGATGGGGCACGGATTTATTCAGAGTCCCAGCAGACGATCCGCGAGGGAGAAATAGAGGTGGACGAAGTCAAGAGGTTTACTTTCTCTGCCTGCTATTGATTTCATCTATCTAAGGTACAATTCTACATACTCTGTACATACATAGTCCGTACATGGACCAGAAGAAGTCCAGATGACAAGTGATGGTCCCAGTAGTGGCAGCAACCATACTCTAATAATCTAATAATCTTCCGATATAGTAAAGGGGAATAACAATTCATTATTAATCTGCGTACCGGGACTACCAACTGCGACTATTCCATAGTCCATACATCTCTCTACAAACCCGCAATTCAACCCCTTGTACTCCAGATAGCTGGCTGGTACCGTACAGACTACAGTCAGATTGAACCCACGATTTTCTCATCAGCCGTAGCAAGGGGACTGATCTATCTGACAGGCAGCTCATCAGCTGGGCTTGAAGCAAGCCTCATCGGAAAGGCTACACAACTTTGAGATAGCCAGTAGCGTATTATGTAAGTCTGGTCAGCCTCCCCAACTGAAGTAACAATGGGAAAGGATACAATCGTGCGTGGGCTTTGGGTCAGAAACTGTGGCCATTCTCACCATCGAGTTCGAATTTCGAAGTCTTAGCTGTGAGTTCCAGGCTTCCAGCCTATCTACCTTACTCAGTTGGTTCTAGCACCACTCAAACTGTACAGAGTAGTCGATACTTGATTAAGATGAGCCTGACAGGTACCGAGTAGATTATGACGGACAAAAAGTACGCCATGCATCGATAGTAGACCAGAATAAAGGAGTAGACATTCATGATTCATAACTTTACCTACCTATGTCCTGACTAATGATGACTTATCCACATCATGAATGCGATCATATGTAGGTAGCTTCAGAAAACACCTTTCGACACTTCCCATCAGTAACTAGTTGTTCAGATAGTGGTCAGGCAACCACCATCCGATCCTATCTGTATATCCCAAGTTCGATCAGGGGCTGAACGCCCGGTTCACCCCAATCAGAGTGATCATGAGCTTAAATGTATCGTGGATGCAGCCATGATCAAGGCAGAGGCGTTCTCTAGCCAGTAGAAGTGTCAACATGCAAACCACGGAGCTTTTTACCCATAATTGACGCAAGGAGTTACATATGAAGAGATATTGCAAGATAGGCCATTTCTGGTGCTGAACTCCCAGTACTTCGATTCTGCCCGGCTCCTGTCATAAAGTGATCGACTAATTGAGGGACCCAGAGATCCTGTGATCATCGCTTACCGACACTATCTAGTACTTACGAGGATACCAAAAAATTAAGCACGGGTCTTTTTGTCAATATAGATAGCCTTGAATATGGATAACAATGGATACAAGTTCATACTCATCGGGCATGGTGAGAATTGAACTTGGTAGATAGTCACTACTGAGTAATTAAATCCTGCGTTAGGGGTAGAATAAGGTCTTTTATAGTGGATACAGTGAATTCGTAAAATATGAGATGATCTTCGTGATATTAATGATGGAGACTCGTAGCAGTGGACATTTTATAGGAGTTCTCGTTGTTGTTAACTTCAGCGCCTTTGAGCATCATCATGTCATGGCCACCCGCTAGCTATGCGGTATCTTCCTTCTTCGGAGAATTATGTATCTTCAGGTCATCAACCCCTGAATTCCTGCAGATGACAGACTGTCTTGCAAGAATCTCGATCAGAAGCGGGTTACTTAGTGGACACCAGAAGCACTCCATAGTGGGCCCTTTTCGTCTTCTCCGACAGATTGAGCGAGCAATCTCTCCTTCGAAGATTTCGACACAGCCGTGTCTACGATCTACCTCTGCTTATTCAAACACGACTTGGACCATCCAACGTACACTCCACGTTGGTTGATGATTCCTTGCAAGTCATTCAAGTGCAGTGAACTCGGTGCTCTGGTTTGGATTGATCTTGACTGAGCGGGAAACCATTCCATTTGCATCTCAATTTTGATCCACTTGGCACTTGCAACTCCTAAGTGGCAGACAGCAGACGGGAACCCCACTCACTGCTGTGGTGATCACCAAGGCAGTAACTAAGGCACCAATTGACAACATTCCTGACTACTCCATTGGAGTCCACTACTGAGTAAATTTAAGGACATATCTACTCTCTACTCTCTGCTAACTAGTGGCTGTTGCGCTTGAAGGTAGCTGGTATCTAGTAACTAGTAGATAACCCTTGGCAATATGGTATGCTACTAGTCGACGTACAACGGTACAAGACTATAGTCTACCCTTCAAGGCTATTGTTCATTGCTAAATTGTTGGCGCATATATCATAACAATCGCTCCCACGCCGTGGTCTGAGCTTGTGGCGTGCATTAAGGTCTCTAAATGGGTCCAGGTCTCCAGGATCCCATGATTGACCTGACGTGCTCGGCTTTTCTGCACCTCCATTCGTACTACAGTACTACCTACGGAGTAGTATCTATCGCATTATTGACAGGCAGCTGCATGACTGATGGAGTAATGCTATATTACTCTGTTTGAGCATCCTTGAATACCTCGACAGACCAGATCTGGCCCACACTAAGCGAGTATTGTCTACTCTCAGATCTCTAAGTGGTCTTCAAGTCAGTCATACTGCAGGGTTTGTGAGATGCCTGTGTCGATATGAGCCGCTCACTCAATGGTTCAGGGCTCAGCTGAGATTTATGTTGGCTCACCCGCCGTCCAAAAAGTAGCAGCTAGGGTCCGAGAAGCCCGAAGACTAGCACTGTGTCACTATCTTGGGTTCTCCCTGTGAGAACAAGTTAACAGAGCATTCCACCTTTTGTTCGCAAATCAGCGCTTCTCGGTGGTCAACAGCAACGCAGTCATTATTATATAAATAGCCTTTTCCAATGAGCTTACACGGTTCCAGGGGAGTCATAAGGGTTTAAAAGCTTCCATTCTCTTTGGTTTGGGGGCATAGTCATTATAATCCAATCTAGCGACATATACAATGAACGAACACCAGGTAGATACGGGTTTCAAAAAAAAAAAAGCCACTCCGGACTGAGAACAAATGACAGCACTGCTTCAAAAAAACAGTGGAGTATAAATAGACTTCTCAGCATACTCCGTATAATCCACACCATCTTGTTCTTAAAGAACCCTCGGAGATCTGGACTCGGACGCTTATTGTTGATGGGCGGCTAATGGGATCCCTGTCAGCTGAAGTAGTTCGCGCCCGAACATGGGCATACTTCTAAATATAACCCTGCCAGACATGGCTCTTGTCTGTGCGGCTAAATTATGACGAGCATGAAACGATCAAACACCTTTCCATCAGGAATACCTGAATCGTGTGTATTTCCAAGGAGGTTAGAGATCTACTCAGATACATATGTAGACAGTTTATAGCGTCAACCTGAGCAGCCCTCAGGCCATACATGAAGTACTTACCAATGTTTGCTTGGGTTCATCGTGACCAGATTCTACATCAAGATTCACGGGTCATCGCTTCCTCAGTCACAATTATCTTTATGTTGAGCGCAAGTATTCCATTCTTTCTTACCTCTTCCCAAGATGACAGGGCTGCTGTGGTTTGAGGTAATCTGACTGACGATAGGTACGAGGACACAGTAAAAAGCTGCATAGTGTGCGATGAAGCTGTTTCTCAATATCATGCGAGTACCTCAGTGGCCAGACCTACAGGCATTTCACCCGTTCTGGTACAGGGTATGATCTGACTCCGACGAAGCGATCATGTGGAACATCATCATGGTAACTGAACTAAACCCCTCATAATTACAAAACCTGAGGATCATAGCTCGTGATTTGAAAGAGGATAGAGTATCAGCAACGATGATGCCGCTTGAATATACTCCGAGATGAATCACGATGGCTGAGATGAGATGGGATATTGGATATATGGAGTAATTTCCCTCATGATCTTCCAGTTGACGAGGGTATAGATGGCATCGAACGATGGGTCAAGGATCAAGGACCTCCTTGAGACATGACTGATTCCCGGAAATGGAAGGGTTCATGGTTGACTGTCAGTGTCATCCTAGTTGAGTGATTTTTTCCCTATAGGTAGTTAGTTAGGTAATGGTGGTAATGGTGGTGGTGGCTCAAGCAAAGAGAGTGAGAGAGAGGGAGAGAGGCAAAAGGGTGGCGTGAAAGTTACCATCGTCATAACAATAATAACAATGGCATTCATCAACTCTGTAGAAGTGACAGATCAAACTCACTTTTGCGCAAAAAAAGGAGAAAAACAGTGATTTGAAATCGCCAGAGAGATGGAACTAGCCAGTCAATAATTACCTGATATCCTCCTAATAATCAATGCAATGGAAAAAATTCTAGAACATACCTAGATTAGTATCGATATTATTCTATAGTACTCCGTAGATTAGTAGTAGACCTGCTGGAAATCTCTCGGTGTCCAACTCCGCTTTGCTTTTGCCGACTCGGCTTTCATTCATTAATCTTCAGTCAGTCAATTTCGCTTTCTCCTCTTTCGCCTTTTTTGCCCCCCCTCTCCCTCTCTCTCTTACTAACTACTATTATTATTACTACTACTCTCTCTCCATATCTATCAAAAACCCTCCATCAATCTTCCTTGGGTTTTTTTCGTCGTTAATTCTTTTTCGGGTTATACATATTGGCTCGTTTTGGTCTTTTTTTTTTTTTTTTTCATTACCTGTAATTCATTTGGTCTTTCTTTTTTAAAAACACACCCTCCCCCTTGGAACTTTTGTGTTTGCAGTTCAGTCCCTTGTGAATCATCTCATCTCATCTCGTGGCTGCCAGCGGCCACCCATCAGGCTCTGACGGACGGTCTTGTCTTGGCTCGGTCAAAACTCCCCTTCACAGTCGCTCTCCCCATCTCTTTCCAGCAGCATCTTCTTCCATCTCAAACTCAATCAACTGATCTCTGGGGCATCTTTGATTTTTTGCATCCTTACATTGTACTGTATGATATCGTCATCAGCACTCTAGGACCACCCCTTCTGTTTCTCGGTCACCGAGGTTCCCTTCTCCGGTCATCTCACCTTTGTCCCAAAACTGCATCTTCCGGTTTAGGGGCTTAAATCAAACCGGCGACCCTCCCATCGACCCAACGAAGAAGTCTCATCATTTGGGCCCATCTACCAACGACTATCTAACAACCAATATCTTGGGCTCTCTCGCTTCATCATGCGGGAGGTGAATTTCAGCATTCCCAATGTCAACAAGGCCTCCGTCAATATCACGACCACCCTCTATGACCGGCGTGCTCTCGACTGTACATCGACTCTACCCCTTATCAACTCCCTCAACCATCTCGCCTACCTGACAACCTCCTCTGCCCGCATTCGTGATATCCTCACCGTCGATGGTGGCATCGAAAGACTCGTGTGCATCCTCAAAGAGGGCCGGAGTGGGGATCTCATGGAGATGTGGAAATGGAGTCTCGCCTTCCAGTGTGTTGTCAATATCGGAGTGAGGGGCTCGGAGAGTGTGCGGACAAGGGTCGTGGAGGCAGATATGGTGCCCGTGATCGCGACCATCTTGGATAATTACATCAAGGTGGTCGACAAGGCACGAGCGCGAGCCGACTCTGAGTCTCATAAGCAATCCTCCAGACATCATCCCAAATCCGTGCCAGCACCGAGTGACTCTTCAGGACGTCCAGCTTTCCTGGAGCAGTCATCGGCCTCAGAAAATCGCACCTCTCGTCGCCAGGCTCCTCCCCCCAGCATCGAGATCCCCCCTCAACCTCTTTTCATAGATGTCACCTCTCCACCTCGTGTGCCCATGACCTCTCCTCCCGAAAGAAGCACATTTGGACAGGACGTCCACAACCATAGAACAAATGATACCCGCTACGCGCATCCTAGTCACCGTCACAGAACGATGCAGCCGTTGGCTACTGCGCTACCTCCTATGGACACCGCCGATGGCTTTGGTCTGCGCCCTGTGCGTGACAACGAACGGTTGCCAAGCATGCTCCCTGCTTTACACACCGGGTTGACTTCCCAGCCTGATTCTCCCACTACTCCCAACGCCCCTGTACAGCCTCGCAGCATTGCACAGGCTACACATGCAAGACATCGTCCCTCTCTCAGACAGCAGCTGTCGGCCTCTGGCGAATCTGACGATGGCAATGGTGAAAGTTCCACGATGGAAGACGAATCTACCCCTGCGGAGACCGCTGAGCCCATTGTTGGACTACAAAACAGGATGGACATCGATGATGTTGGCAACAGAGAGGCGATTATCGGTGGTGTCTCCGAATCCCACGATCTCACAGTAACAGATCCATCCGAAGGGCAGGAAGCTGAAACCTTCAACATTACCCACCGTTCCACCGTGGACGGCAGTATGATCAATACTGACAATGCGCAAAATAACGCGGCCCTCGGCTTGTCCCCAGCCCAGGCGGCCGATACCGCTACCTCTCCTGCTCTTGTTCCCAGCCCTTACTCTCTATACTTCCGCGACCGATCCACTGCCGCGGCTCAAGGTGTCCTGACAACGATGCCTCGCGACGAGGACGTTCTGATGTCGCTGCAGCTGCTCGCCTATGTCTCCAAGTACTGCAACCTGCGGTCCTACTTCCAAAACTCCCATTTTGTGCCCAAGCTCAAGATCGACCGTGAACTTCAAATGTTGGAAGAAGGAACGTCACCTATCGAACCTGCGGAGGAAGAAGATGAGTATCTGCTCCCCGACGACGTCAATATCTTCCCTCTGGTCGAGAAGTTCACCGTTCGGCATCACTCCAAGGATATGCAATACTGGGCCTGCGTGGTCATGAGAAACCTTTGCCGCAAGGATGAGGCGAGAGGTGGTATCCGGCAGTGTGCGTACTACAAGTGCGGGAAATGGGAGGAGACTGCGCGTCAGTTCGCCAAGTGCCGCCGCTGTCGTCGCACCAAGTACTGTAGCAAGGATTGCCAGAAGGCAGCATGGGTCTACCATCGCCATTGGTGCCACAGCACGCCATAAAAGGAACGGACGGAATCATTACTATTCAAGAGTACATCCAGGCTTGCATAGCGTCACATCTGTCGTTTTTCTCACATATTTCCTCGAGGTTCTATTCACCCGTGCATGGCATTCCAGAACTTGGCGGCGTTGCTTTCCATCTTCAAGATACCTTTTGTATGTCGTCTATGCTCCATTTGCAACAGTTCTTTTCTCCTTACCATCTTGACCCACGCATTTTTTTTATTTTGGTTTTGTTTCATTACTGTTGGGCACCTGGCCTTTTCTACATGGAATACCTTTAGCGTTTATGAATATGCATATTTGTCTTTTCGCACTTCAATTTTTGCCAAAGTTCATTTTACTTTACCCGTTTTCTTATTCTTTTCCCGCTCCATGTCTCTTTAATTCCCAGATGCTGAATTCTGCTTGCCATCACGATTTCCCTTTGTCGTTAAGTTGAATACCATCCGCCTCGACGCACGGCCGTCTTGGTGGCCGTTCCGGTGGCCGTTCTCTTTGGCATTTGGCCTCCAATAGCATACTACATCATCGTTCTCTTAGTATTCACTCCAACCATTATACCCCATTGGAGGGCAATGCGTTTTGTCTATTGCGTTGAGGGCTACCCGAGCAGATAGGATCCGTAATCCTCATTTTTTGCAACAAAAGATGGCAGCGACTCTTCACAACTAGACCACAGCATGTGCCATGGTATATTTCGATCCTGTGTAATATAGGGTGCACACTTGAACGACTCATGGGGAGTAAACGCTATAACAGAGACTTCCATAGGAACACTATCTCAATCTGAGCTACCACTTCGCGCCATCATTGCGCTGGAAAGCGCGCTCATTCCTTCTTGAACCCGTAGGTAGCAGCCAATCTCGACTCCAGATGCTCATACGCCGTCATCGCCCGCTTCCCCGGTGCCATGTTGCCGGCGCCACCACCAAAGCCAACCTGCTCGTTGACGATGCCGTTGGCCTTACAGTGCTCGCGGTACGCGGCGACTGCGTCGCTAGGCACGGGCACCAGCTCGGTGGAATCGAGCGGGTGGCAGAAGTAGGCGATGCTGTAGCGGTCCTGAGGGTTCTCGCAGCGCTGCTCGGCAAGCGGGAAGACGACGCGGTGGATGGTCGACTTGAGCAGGCCGTCGGTCCAGTAGCTGAGGAGATCGCCGATGTTGACGAGAATGGGTGGGAAGGGGTAGGAGGAGCCGGAGTCGGCAGTGGGTTCGGTGTTGAGTTGGTGCGGCTGCACAGGCACGGGCGCCCAGGAGCCGTCTGGGGTGCGGATTTCGAGACCTGGCTGGCCGGGGCGCTGGAAGAGGAGGGTGATGCTGCCGTAGTCGGAGTGTGCGCCGGCGCGCACGTCGACGTCATGCTGGTAGGAGGAGGTGGCGGGCGAGGAGATGGAGGGGTAGTAGAGGTATCGCAGGATGCGGCCGGTGGGGCCGTACTGGGGGTTGTGCCGAGAGGTGAAGAAGTCGTCGGAGATCTAGAGCGGGGGAGGGGAAGGGCTCGCTGGTTGGTAGTTGGACGTGGAAGAGGGGTGGAGGGGTCGTACTTGGAGTCCGAGGGCCAGCAGCTTCAGGACCCGGTTGCAGGTCTTGTTGCAGAGAGCAGCGAAGTGGCCAATCTCGTCTTCATGCGGGGCCAGCGAGGGAGGCAGAGGTTGCTGTGCCTTGCCATCCTTGAACTCGCCGAAGTTCATGGCTCTGGGACGTATGTGTTAGTCTTGGGTAGCGAAGATTGGCTGTCAGGGATGAATGCACTTACTCTTTGAAATCGCCTGTCTGTAGAACACACGCAATGAGGCGTGTATGTCAGTCTTCTGATCTCTTTCTGGAGTATATACAAGCAGGGGGGTACTGTACTCTCTGATGTTCCGGGTCGAGAGTCTCAGTGTGCATGCCCGACCAGCCACGGTTCTACAAGATAAGAATGAGTCCATTGAACATCATAGTAGGAGTTCAGAGCAAGACGAACGTTAGGGGTGATGCGGCAAGTAGACTTCTCCTCGACAGGGGAGGCAAAGAACTTTTTGGACTTGAGAGACTATAGTTAGCCATGGTATAAACAGTTGAGATGAAGGTATCTACACACGAGTTCAAAAGCTCTCTTCACATCATCGGCGGCGAAATCGGTGCCCTTGCTGTCAATATACAGGAAGCCATACTTGGCAGCTGCGTCAAGCATGGCCTTACCCACGTTGGGGTCATCGGGGTTGGAGACATCGATGATGGGGAGTTCGATGGGGGGTCCCACTACGGCAGTATCCTCCATTGTGAAGTGTATTGAATGTGAAGGTAAGCTAGAAAAAAATATGAGAATCAATGGAGAAGTGTCAAGTAAAACGATGGAGAGAAAATGTGGGAAAGAAGGGAGCGATGAATCACTGCCTTCGGAGCAGTTCCTATAGAAAATTAACCGAGATAGACGAGCTGTTGTTTTATCTCCATCTCCATCTCCATCGGGCTTATCTCGCTCTCGGGTCGGAGCGATGCGATGCTTTTGCTGCCAGTCATTATTCTTCAAAGTATTACTATCAGAAACTCAGACATTCAGTGCACACAATCGGTACTCGGTTCCATGTCCCATGGACCTTTTCGCCAACTACTATAACTATAGGATGAGCTGGTGGCGAATCTAATTCATGCCTCAGGGAAACTGGTTGACTTTGGTTTGTGGCGTGACTGGTGTCGGCCACCAAGACATACACATATCTCGGTCGTCTTATCTGCCATTTCAATGACTGATCAAACAATTTCTGATTTCTTCAGTCAGAGTACAGATAATAATATCAACCACGGAGTGCATGCAGCTGCCAGGCTGCCAGAATATGCAATTTGTTAGTACTTAGTACATCGTCTGGTCTGGTGGACTCCTTGACCCGCCAACGAACAACACCCGATACTTCGGTTGCAGATTCCCCATTTCCAAACACCAGAGTGTCTCCACAATGAAGGCTGTCGTGACTCGTGAGTCGTGAGAACGATCTATCTGCCGATGAGACCGGGCATTCTAGGGGATTTCAGTCTTTCCAGTTTCCACCGAAGACCGCAGGCGTCACGTGACATCTGATTCCAGAATCGAAATCGAAGCAATGCTGTCTGTCCTGCTCTTATCGCGATAGATTGGAACATGCAAGACTTGTACCCCTCTGCGGGAACTACGTTGGAGTACTGCAGAGCTAATCCAGTGTGTATATACTGCCTGTCTCGTGGTCAACGCCTGACACAGTGGTCACTAGGCAGTGAAACTGGTAGTTGAGGCGATCTGGAGTAAAGTCCTCGAGAAATGGATTCATTTACGAGTTATGGTCTGCTGGGACACTCAAAGCACATGGGTTTTAGATGGATAATCCCTAAGCGTGGTGGATGCGCATTTTCCCTCTCCTTCAGTCATACTCTTATAGCTTGCCAAATTATATACTACACAGAAACTCAGTTTCTCTGTAGCTCACCAGTTGACCACATAGGCCTCACACCTCAGGATTTATACATGTAAAGGCAGAAATTCGATCTAATTCACGGCTTTAATAGAGAAATTCTTGATCAACATGATATGGTCGCCATGACTAGGTGCAGCGGTGCAGCTGGTGCAGGTGTCAGTCGGAGACACTGATCTCCGCTCCCCGTGATTCCATCCAACATTGTTCCAGCCAGACTGTCGCAACACTGTCGACGCGGAAGATCAACCGCAATTCACGCTTGAACGATTCTTTTCTACCTCTTTTTATCTCCCCTCTTCCGTGCGGGAAGATTCCTCATCCCCTCCATTCTTCCCCCTCTCCCCTTTCCGGGCTTTGCATGCCTGGCATTGGGCTCCGCTCTCTTTCCCCGTGACACACAGCTCCAGCTCCAGCTCCAGCTCTTGAGCGCCATGCCGAGTAAGATGACCCTTCTAAGCTCATGCATGAGCCTACTAGCTTTATGAAGCTAACCACAATCAATTTCTCCTTTGATAGTCCGTCCGCTAGGTGAATGGGCCGCTGCCCGCACCCAGTCTCTTCCTCTTTCCGCCCTCAAAGGGGCCGTCGTTGGTATCGATGCGTCGCACTATATTTCCCAGCACCTCCTCCACCACTCAACACGCGAGCCTCTCCTGGTCGCCCTGGGCGGCTTCCCCTTTGCGCTGAAGAGCAACATCGAGAAGGAATTGCAGATATTCAAGGAATTGGGTGTGGGCTGTCTGTTCGTTTTCAATGGCCTCGATTTTGGGAAAAAGGACCAGCGACCTCAAGCGCAAGCAGAGTCGGTACGGGCCTTTGAACAAGCTTGGGAGCTTTACGATCAACAGCAGGCGGACCAGGTTGTCGACGCATTCAGCAGTGCCGGTATAGATCTCATGTTATTGCTCGCGCCTGCTTTGCAAACATCAACTGACAACATTTCTGTCCACACCAGGCACTCCGCGGCCCGGATCTCTCTACAAATTCTTGCAGCGCATTCTGTACCAGAACGGTGTAGATTTCATTGTGGCGCCGTATAGTGCTGCAGCTCAGGTAAGAGGACGGCGGTGGGCGGAGATTGACCCGCGTGATCGTTGACACAGTTTGTCCTGGATAGCTTTCCTATCTCGCCCAAGGCTCGAACCCTGTGATCGATACAATTTTTGGGCCCTCCGAAGTCCTGTTGTTCGATGTCGACAAATTGATTACACGGATTGATATCGAACCTTCCCAGTTTCTATGGATCACCAAGCAATCCTGTCAAGAGGAATTGGGCCGGCTGTCGAGTGACCAGTTTCTCGATTTCTGCCTACTACTGGGCTCTTCCTTCCTGCGAACGATCCCGGCCTTCGAAAACCCAGCATTTCCAGGAAAAGCCGTCACCGTTCGTGATGCTTTGCCAGTATTCAATCAAGCCGGACGAAACGCGCTGGCCCTCTGCGCCCAGTTTGAGGAGGATCGCCGCATGCAGGATATCCAGTACACGGACCTTTACAAGCGTGCATTCATGACCGTCAAGCATCATGTCATCATGGACGTAGACGGCAAAGTCGCGCCCATGGACTCGGACAACGCTCCCTCTGACATGCATGAACTTATTGGCCAGCGACTGCCTGAAGAGCTCTACTTTTACTTGTCGCGGGGTGTTCTCGGTCCTGAAATTCCCAACAATCTCACATCTGGTGAGGTCAAGATTTCCCTACCATTAGGGGTTGAAGACACCGAGATATATCGTCAGACGGCGAGCACTACACTCACCCCTATCAGGACACAATCGATATGTCTGCTTTCGAACTCGCTCCACAGGTTCTACCAGACCAAAATGATCAATGTTCGTACTTGGTTCGATGAGAAGTCGGATACATCGATCAATCTGAAGACCCTTCCTTCCGTCAAAGAGACCATCCAGGCTTGGAAAATCCATAGTCATCAATTACCGGACGAATTGAAGAAGTTGCAGGTCAGTTGAGAGAGAGCTCAAAGCATGATGAGTCGTCTAACTGTGAAACAGAGCACCACGTCTCCCTTGAAGTTTGCTGTACAGAGCTTGAAAGACGGCGATGTCATTTCCAAGTCTTTCACAGCATCAAAAGATTCTCAAGTAAGTCTCTCTAGGTCATACTTGACTATGTTTGTAGACGTTGCTGACTATCAGAAGCCCTTATCGACGCAAGAGGAGATTCTCGCCAACGTTTACTGGCGGTTCCTTCAATTGCGCGGCTATATTGATGAGAAGAACCAGCTTACTCCGTGGGGCGTCTGCCTCGAACAAGCGCTTTCCGTGCTCGATCCGTCCGGAAATCTGGAAGAGGCTACACTCCTTGCTATTGAGATGGCTCGATTTGGTCTTCTGAACTCCAGACAGTGGTTTTCTCATGTCTCAGGAGGGCCGATGAGAGGCTCGGGTAAGATCAGTCGTCTGCGAGTCCCCTCTAGCCATCATCTTACACTAACATTGTCCTTACCCTACAGATGAGGATAAGAAGTTCAATATTTTGATCTCACGCGTTGCTTGTATTGCCAAATTGCAACACAAGAACATTGGATATTCAGGACCGCTGAGCAGACAATTACTCTGCTATCGCTCATTGATCTCCGAAGTCCGGTCTACACTGAGGGATCTGATCGAAGTCGTCTTGACTGGCCTTCTCCTCAGTGGAGATGCTGTTCGGGATCGGAATGACTGGAGTGAATTGAGTCTCAAGTAAGTCCTGCGTTTCGCGTACTGAAAGTCATGGCGTTGACATTGGCTAGGCTGCCATTTATTGATGACAACGATTGCGGCCTCGGCATTGCCGTCCGCACCTATCTTGATGATTTGCCCCTACAGGCAGACCCGACTTCGCCAGAGGCACGGGCCGAGGTGAAGTCTAAGGGTAAAGAATGGTTCCAACATAGTGACAGCTTTGCGGGCAATCTTGACAAGGCATTCAAACTCTGGGATGCGGTAAGTGAAACAGATGCGACATACTATGCTACCTGTGGCTGACATCGCATTTTCTTTATCAGGTTTACAAGGGTACGCAGAACGCTGGCAGGGATTTCAAGGATGCCCAACAGTGGAAGGACGCCAATAACTGGTTGGCTGAGCGACGATGATCATACGGAGTTATGCTCGGTCGAAAACAAGATGCACTAGTACAAAATACAACCTCCTCATGGAATCAAACGTGCGAACATGAACCGGGTTTTTGGCAGTGGCGAAATCCCGTTCCGATGATTCGGACCGTTCAGCAAGCTGTATCAGTAGCAATGGACTAGGGGGTCACCACCAGCGAAGCTATCGTGACCATAATAGTTTCTTACAGATACAAATGCATCGAGAGAGAATGAGCAACAAGATGATTTGCATGGTTGTACAGAATTGTGGTTTTGTAAATCCTTCGTAGCATAAATACCAAGTGTCCTCTTCTGAGGCCGCTGATAAATCCATGTTGATCTATGGTGATTAATGCGGAGCTTCCTTAAGAGTCCGCCTTCTAAGACGGATGGCAACTTATCCTCTCTCACTCCTCAAAAAGACAATTTAATCCGGAGGCCACGGATACAGCTCGACTTTAACGAATTCCTCCACACCTCGTGCTTTTTAAATACCTGACCCCGGCTCTTTACATATCACAAAAGCCACCATGGCTCGTTTGAGCTTCCTGCTCGTGAGCTGCCTCGCGCTGCTCATCGGCATTACCAGCGCCGCCTCCGCCGTCATTGATCTGATCCCCTCAAACTTCGACTCGGTCGTCCTCAAGTCCGGAAAACCCGCTCTGGTCGAATTCTTTGCCCCTTGGTGCGGCCACTGCAAGAACCTCGCCCCCGTCTACGAGGAGCTCGCGCAGGTCTTCGCCCATGCCGAGGACAAGGTGACCGTCGGAAAGGTGGATGCGGACGAGCACAGAGATCTTGGAAAGAAGTTTGGTATCCAGGGGTTCCCGACGCTGAAGTGGTTCGATGGAAAGAGCGACAAGCCCGAGGACTACAAGGGTGGTCGGGATCTGGAGAGTCTGTCTGCGTTCATTACGGAGAAGACGGGCATCAAGCCCCGTGGTCCTAAGAAGGAGCCCAGCAAGGTCGAGATGTTGACCGATGCTTCTTTCAAGACTACCATTGGCGGTGACAAGGATGTGCTGGTTGCTTTCACTGCACCTTGGTGTGGACGTGAGTTGCTTCTTTCTTAAAAGCTTTCTGGCCCCCTGGGTTCTAGGGCGTGCGCTTTCCACCATGACCATACTAATATGATCCTGTGAATCACAGACTGCAAGACCCTCGCTCCTGTCTGGGAGACCCTCGCCCTGGACTTTGTCCTCGAACCCAACGTCGTGATCGCCAAGGTGGACGCCGAGGCCGAGAGCTCCAAGGCCACCGCCAAAGAGCAGGGCGTCACCGGATACCCTACGATCAAGTTCTTTCCCAAGGGGTCCACTGAGCCCGAGGCTTACTCCGGCGCTCGTTCCGAGGAGGCCTTCATCGAATTCTTGAACTCCAAGACCGGTACCAACCGTGCCGTCGGTGGAGGTCTCAACACCAAGGCCGGCACAGTCGCTGCCCTCGACGAGCTGGTCGCCAAGTACGTCACTTCGCGCAACGCCAAGTCCCTGGTTGCGGATGTCAAGAAGGCTGCCAAGGGCCTCCAGGATAAGTACGCTCAGTACTATGTCAAGGTTGCCGATAAACTCAGCCAGAACGAGGAGTATGCCACCAAGGAGCTGGCTCGTGTTAAGAAGATCTTGAAGAAGGGCGGCTCTGCTCCCGAGAAGATTGATGACCTTGTTTCCCGCAGCAACATCCTGCGCAAGTTTGTCGGCGAGGAGCAGATCGATGCCAAGGATGAGTTGTAGACTTCTCGGCTGGGATTTCATTGATTGTATGGTTCTGGTTATGATCTAGCTGTTTGTCAGTCACCATTGACGGACTTTATCACTTGAATGTACGATGTTTAGATTTTGAGCTACTGGTCGGAGTCTATGCCCATGAGATTGTATAAACACGGCCTGAAGACAAGCAATGAGAAACTTGAATATATTGAAATGAACTGAACCGAACCATATCCCTCGATGGCTGCCGCAGGGTATCTCCCAGTACACGAGAAAGAAGCACAACATGGTTCCGCTTCCATGCGTATATCGTAAATTATGCAACGCTTGACAATATCTAACCAACAAAAACTCCATAACCAGCTTCGAAATCCGAGACGCGATAAGAACGTGATGTGTACGTGTCGACGATCATTTCGTTGGAGACGCCGCCGCCGCCGTCCCCGGCACCGTTGCCGTTGCCGTGTCGCCCGCAATACTCAACGAAGCCTCCAGTTCATCAAGCCGTCTGGCCATATCGTCCACTATCCAACATCAATGTCAGTATCCCGAGCCAACGTCGGAGGGGTAGCCATCTGCATGACGTACATTTCCCAAACACCTCCCGCGACACATTGTCGAACTTGTGCTGCAATTGATCCAGCAGGTCGTCGACCGCTGCGGAGAACTGGCCTTGTGCGTCGGTACTCTGTGGCATATATAATGAGTTCCATTTTTCTTCAATCAAGTATTTGAGGAGGTTTCGCGAACCTGCTGTGAGCGCATCGATTCCCCCGTGGGAGGGGTGACGGCCTCTGACGTCGAGACTGATTTGTTGTCTTCTGACATTGTGTACCTGAACGTCCGATGTGAGATTCACCTTTTGTTGATGTTGATAACTCAAATGTTTCGCAGCCGAGAATTGTAAGTTGTCCAAAGCCCTTCTGCTGAAAAAGAAAATCCGCAAGCGAGCTATTGCATATGCGATCTCATACCTCGATAATCCGCTCCCTCCACTCCCCCCATCCAATGTTGGGACACAAGACGATAAGATGCAGGAGGATCAACAGTTTCTCCCGATTGCCGACATACGCCAACCAAATCCAGACTGGTACTGGCTTATCTGCCACACTAACCATATTCGAACTAGTACAATCCCAAAAAAATTCCCGTGCTCTGGTTGATTTGAAAGTCCGTTGGCAGTGCTTTGCAAGCTCGAAGACGAACATTTCTCTCTTTTTTCTTAACCTTCAGCCTCATTTTTCTCAGAGTCAAAATGGTTAAGCGCAGCAAATTGCTTCAGGCTCTTGATGCCCGCAAGGGTCGGGACTACGATGCTGAGAAGCAGAAGAAGTTAGTGAAGGCGGCGGAGAAGAGAAAGGCTGGAAAGAAGACGGATACGGAAGACGAGGAGAAGCCTGTTGAGGAGGAAGTGCGTATTGATTGGAAGTGATCGTGTTCTGGAACAATTGGCTAATTGAGATGTTTGTGTGTGCAGAAGGTTGACCCCAAGAATCTGAAATCCAAGAAGCGCAACGCTCCTGAAGAAGAGACCAAGGAAGACGAGTCGAGCGACAACGAGGAGAAAGAGAACGCAGAGTTAGGCGAGGAAGAAGAGGAAGAAGAGGAGGAGGAGGAGGAAGAGGAAGAAGAAGATATTCCTCTTTCTGATTTGTCCGATGATGAGAGAGAGGATGTGGTTCCTCACCAACGTCTCACAATCAACAACTCCGCCGCTATCAATGCTTCCATCAAGCGCATCTCCTTCGTCACCCGGCAGACTCACTTCTCAGAGCACAATTCCATAGTCTCGAAAGAGCCGATCGAAGTCCCCGACCCTAATGACGACCTCAACCGGGAATTGGCGTTCTACAAGGTCTGCCAGGCCGCTGCTGCTACAGCACGCGGCTTGCTGAAGAAGGAAGGTGTTCCGTTCACTCGGCCCGGTGATTACTTCGCGGAGATGGTCAAGACGGACGAGCACATGAGCAAGATCAAGAAGAAGCTGTACGATGAGGCCGCGGCGAAGAAGGCTGCCGCTGAAGCCCGCAAGCAGCGCGACTTGAAGAAGTTCGGAAAGCAGGTCCAGGTTGCCAAGCTGCAACAGAGGGCGAAGGAGAAGCGCGAGACGCTGGAGAAGATCAATGACTTGAAGAAGAGTACGTTCTCAGAAGTTTACATTGTTCCTATTTGACCTCGTTCATGTTGACTGACTATCTTTACTTCACAGAGCGCAAGGCTGATTCGTCTGGACCCACCGACAATGACAATGAAATGTTCGATATCGCCATCGAAGACTCTAGCAAATCCGACAGCCGCAAACGCGGCCGCGGCAATGAGAGCGGCGGTCCGTCAATGAAGCGCCAGAAGAAGAATGAGAAGTACGGCTTTGGTGGTAAGAAGCGTCACGCCAAGAGCGGTGATGCTATGTCTAGTGGTGATCTGAGCAAGTTCTCCGTCAAGAAGATGAAGGGCGGCCCTAAGAGACCTGGGAAGAGCAGAAGAGCGGCAGCAAAGGGCCGGTCGTAGTGGGTTGTGCTTTTCTCATTGTTTCTTTGCTTCGTTGTTCTTTAATCTTCAGCTGGGAAGTCTAAAGCTGAAAGTATTGTTTGGCGTTCAAAAAATGTCTGTTTTCCACCTCGTCAGATAGCAAGTGTGAGACCTGGGACACTCTGGCCACTGTGGTCGAGGTCCTCATGTATAGTGAATTAATTATAGACATGGTCTTCAAAGGAAGCGCACACGTAGTATCCGAAAGACTCGATGGGCTTGAGAGATAGATAGTTGCTCCCCTAGGCAAAATCGCCATTTCCACTTGGCGTCATTCGGAAAGCGCAAGTCTATCTCATATCATTGTTGTGAACCAGTCCACAACGCCACGCGGCACATCGTTCGAACGTCAAAAAACTGCGTTGCTCTCTCGTCGTCTTCACTATTCTTGCACTGGTCTTTCTCCCTGACCATCTATAACAGTGCGGTGCAAAATTGATATGGACCTGCACTCGTGAAAGATAGGCACAGGGTACAATCAATAGGAAATTGACCTGCGACGAGACGAATCAACCTTCGTCCCAAGGTGTCACCATATAGATGGGACTATATAGATTGCAAGAATGACGGGCCGTCGAAGGCCATAAGCTGCAGTCCTCGACTTTGATTTAGTGTGACAATAGCAACCCAAAATTCAGTTTGCACCATGCCACGCTGGGCAATCACAAGAAAGCTGTTCAGGGACTATCAGTGGCGGTCTTTTATATCCTTATCCCACGGGAGTCTCATTAGTTCCATTGATCCCATTTTCCATGAGGGCAAGCCCCGCATCAAAACTCCCCATCTCTCGAATGCGGTCAAGAAGGTTATCGACACGTAGATTGATATTGAGTCGTTGTTCCGCAAAAACGAGGTCCAGTTTAGCCTTTGTGTCGTCGGCATGTGCTAAGGAGTGATCTTGAATCATCTCTTTGCCCCTTTTCGAATTGCGCTTATTGATTACCTTGTCACAGCCTCGCACCTGACAGACCCATGTATCAGAGGGCGCATCATCCCCATGAAGCACATCTACTATAGATGAGTCCTGATCGGGTGCAGAAACAGAAGTGTTCCGGCTTTGGAGGGTCTCCTGTAACGGTGCCTTTTGGAGAGGCGTTGAGGCTGACTCGGATAGAATCGAGCGTGTCCTGCGTTTCGCTCTAGTCGACAGTGGATCTCGCACCAGCTCATGTCCACGGACTTTGCTTGGTGTTTCGAATTCATCCACTCCCTCTCGATTATCATCAGACATATCGTCAGGGTCGATCGCGGCGCTTCGAGTGCGTTTGCCGATTTGCTTTGTCGAAAACGAGCTGAGTTTCGGCCGCAGCACAGATTTACGAACCTGGCGTCTTCGTAGCCGCCGATTCTCCTCGAGTTCGCTCTCTTCCTCAGAAGACTGTTCCTCTTCGGAGGAGCGGGGACGCAGTGGAGTGAGAGTTATGTGCTTCAACTCATTCCTCTCCGACGCGGCCTTCAGCTCGCGATATATTACCTTCCGGGACCAGTCGAAGTTAGGGGTTTTGGCTTCATCCATCAACTCAATGATGATGCTTGCCCTTGAGGAAATGAGGTCCTGTGCATATTCCGCATTTTCAATCTCGAAACGGCTGACAAGAGTGGAAGCAAGAAGCTCGAGATTCAATTGACGCTTTGCCAGGTGTCCTGCCTCTTTCAAATCCAGAATCACTTGGTAAATCGCATCTGCCTGAGTTTTTGAGGCTATAGTCGGGTCATGCACGTGGATTGGTTCTTCTGGATCACCATTGACATCCTCGTCCTTTTTTTCATCTTCATCCTCATTCTCGTCCTCGTCCATCGCATCTGCACCTTGTTTTGACTCATGCATGGCCTTGATTTCTTCAAAGTCCTCCTGAGTCACTCCAGTCAACAATGATTTCTGGGCTAAAGTAATTAAAGGTAACAACGTACCGGGAACTTTTCGCACAGATGCTCGAACAAATGTGTTTTGGTCCATTCCACCTTCTCTTCTCCCTTCAGCATCCGAGAAAGCAGAAAGCCGCGGTGTTTGTAAAAGACCTCCGCCGAATCATCGGCATCTTCGCAAATACCGTGCGTATGGTTGACATACTAGGAAGGGCGATTGGCCTTGTAAGTTAACTGCATCCTGGGAAATGATCTGAACAGAACGATCCGTACTCACCTCCTCACACAAGTATTCAACAGTGGGGTTCCAGTTCTTCCGCCGCCTTCGCTTCGGCTGATGTCTGTCTGCCAGGAAGTATAGTAGATCAATGGCCTCGACGACATCATTGAACATGGGCTTGTATCCTCTCGCAGGGTTTATGGAGAACCAGCCAGCACGGCCAGCGATCCAAACGCCGACCTCGCCGTCACTATGTTGACCGTAGGCATAATGCGTCACATTTTCGATAACAATTCGTTTTGTGAGGTAGTCCGGATCGAGAACTATAAGTGAGGACCAAGATTTGGAATCAGTTTCTGGGTTGAACAGGAAACGAGATAAAAGGTATCCGAAGTGGAGGTATAACCCCAGGTAACAATAATTTAAGGTTGTAACTCAGTAATACATACCTAGAGACTCCTGCTCTTCTTCTACCTCGTCCAGACATCCCGTCACCTGGACAGGATTGTCGGGAGAAGCTGTGAGAAGATTCGCATAGCGGGATTTGCCTGGCACCAGGACTCTGACCTCTGACAGACTGAACTCTTCCCAGTCGTTCTCGTCTGTGAGAGATGGGTCTCTGGCGGCCAGGACACTATCTTCTCGCGATGTCATGTCTCCGGAGGCAGCATCGTGTCTTGACTCGGGGGGGAAGGATATTGACAAGAGCGGTTTCCAGGTCAATTCTAGAGATCGAAGAATTGAAGAGGGAATGTATGGGTGATGGCTGGATGGGAATACCAAAGAGGTCGTCGAGGGGACCTTACCTTGTCTGGAACCCCACGACAGTCTGGTAATTACCGTAGCTTACGGGCATCGAGTCCATGAAATACAACCGTATGTGCCAGTGGTACGGAACAAATGTAGGCGCTTCGTATTGTACCGTTTCCTTAGTATCTTGTTATCGCGCCTGGATCTCTTCTTTTTCTTCTTCTTTTTCTTCCAAGACCAATTGATAAGCTTCTCGAAGTCTTGGGTGACTGATTTAATTGACGTCGAGTCTCTGAAACCCACACTTCCGTCCTTTAACCGGACCCGCCGCATTTTCTGAGCTCTCCTCTCCAAACCATTTGCCCTCCCTTGGGTCTGATGAATTTCCGTCCAGGCTTCCGGCTGTTTCGCACCACAATGTCTGGTGAGAAAATCTACGAAGGCGTCTTCGGTGTGTGCTCAATCTCACCCTCCTGACTTAAAGCCCGACAATACCATACATGAGCTAACCTCCAGTAGCCGTCCACAAGCCGCAAGGCGTCACATCCGCCGGTGTAATCCGCACCCTGCAGAACCACTTCAACTCCTCAAAGCTCTTCCAGCCGTGGCTGGAGACCGAGCGCGCGCGCCGCAACAGAGAGAGCAGCTACCAGCGCAACAGACGGCGCTCGAAGCAACTGGACGTGAAGATCGGACACGGCGGCACCCTCGACCCATTGGCGACCGGTGTGCTCGTCATGGGCGTCGGCAAAGGCACGAAATTCCTCAACGATTTCCTGGGATGCACGAAGACGTACGAGACGGTTGTGGTTTTCGGTGCGGAAACAGACACCTACGACAAGCTGGGGAAGATCGTCCGGCGTGGCCCGTACGAGCACATCACCCGCGAGGCGGTGGAGAAGGCGCTGGAGCAGTTCAGAGGCAAGATCATGCAGCGGCCTCCTATTTACTCGGCGCTGAAGGTCAAGGGGAAGAAGCTGTATGAGTATGCTCGGGAGGGCAAGGAGCCTCCCATTGAGATCCAGTCGCGGCCGGTTGAGGTGATCGACCTGAGGGTTCTCGAGTGGTATGAGCCCGGAACGCATGAGTACAAGTGGCCTGAGGAAGAGGCCGCCGGAGAGGAGAAGGAAGCCGCGGAGAGGCTTCTGGCGAAGGACGGCACGCTCCCTATCGCCCCGTCGGCTGAAAACAAGTCGATCCCCATGAAGAGCGAGGAGCAGGAGCCAGCAGCAACGGCGACAAAGCGCAAAACGCCACCACCTGAGGAAAATAGTAAGGAGGAAGACACCAGTGCATCGGCTGCGGCTGCCGCTGATGCTGACGCCGAGCCGGCTCCATCAGCGAAGAAACAAAAACTTACGGCCGAGGGGGATGCAGCGCAGGCGCAGGTTGAGCCCTCGGTTAAAGCTGAGACGTCGGAACCAACCACCTCCCCAGCAAAGCCCACTGAACCTTCTCCCCAGCCTCCCGCGGTAAAGATCACAATGACCGTCTCTTCTGGCTTCTATGTTCGGTCTTTGGCGCATGACCTAGGCAAGGCCCTGGGTAGTTGTGGCCTGATGAGCTCCCTTATCCGTACGCGCCAGGCGGATTTCGAGCTGGGACCTGACAAGGCTCTCGAATACAAAGACCTCGAGGCCGGTGAGGACGTATGGGGTCCCAAAGTCCTGCGATTCTTGGACGACTGGGAGAAGAAGAGAGCCGAGGCGAACACTGAATAAGTTTTCGCGAAATGGACTGTGTCTCTAAAAGCGCTTGTATACTATTGCCAATAATACTTATACAATAGACGTCCTCCATTAATTGCTCCTGTACAGTATCTCTGCGGACGAGCCTTTGACCGTCTTTTGCTACGAAATCTTTAAATTTATGAGTTTGATTGGTGAAGCTGGGGCGTACATCAAGCCAAAGTAAGTCAACTTGACTTTGTCTTGTGATTGATTCATCTCCATATTGACCGAAGCTCAGCTGTACGTTTCTAGAAATTAGGATTGGTAGCATATCACGATTACTCCAGGGATATGACTGATAGCGTATGGTATAGAGTTGCATGCAATAGATCGATTTCATCAGACCATGCATCTCATCATATCAAAGATACCAGTAGGATCTTCTGAAGTTGGGACGACACAAAATAGATAGTAAAAGTCAAGTAGCCAGACACAGTCGGTAAGTGAACAAAAGGGAACCGCTTTTGGTTGGGGTATACCGCTGAAACAAAGTAATAACACGGAAAGGAGAATCTTAAGGGAGAGAAATGTGACCAAAATTTGGGACATGAAAGAATCACAGAGGCAGTAATGCAAATGTAGTCTATGTGGTAAGGAGTGAAGATCAAGGTGTAGATTGCTGATGAGCATTGTGGGCGTTAAGGAGTGCTGTCGAGCGTTAGCTTTCCAAATCCGGTGGGCAGAATGCCAAGTACTTACTTTGCAGCACGGAGGCTTGTCCCTGTCTGGATTCGCAGGCGCATTGAAGGGTGCTTCCATTGAGAAAATCCAGCAATATACTATTGGGAAGTTCTTGACGATCTTCATCCGGAATGCATGGTGTTCTGAACTCAGTCAGATGATACCGCTTGGCCATATTGCGACTGCTCGAATCGACAATTCCGGGCGTAAGTATCAAATATCCCTTGTCATCGATTCGGATAAACCGTCGCTTCCAGAGCAAGGTGTCGGGAAATTGAACGTTGACTTCGCCAATTTCAATCGCGGGGACGATGACGCTAGCCTTCTTCACTGGCGGCTCCACAACTTGCGGTGTTTCTTCTTCTTTGACAGCCGGAGCGAAAGCGCCAATCACACTTCTCTTTGAGTTCGATGTTATTGATGACATGCGGCGGAGAAGACGAGAAGTGCGAGAGTTTTTCTTCTCTTCCGGAGACGAAGATAGGTCGCTGGTAGATTTCGACATGGGAGCTCCGTCATTCTTGGAGATAGAAGAGATGGACAATCTGCTCTCAGAGCGTGGTAATGAAGCGGCTCGGGATTGATGGTTTGATCCAGTGGAAGATGGAGATATGCTATTTTTCTCAGATTCATCGACAGTTGGGGAAGAGTCTTCCTGTTCAACTGTCAGAGGACTCGCCTGGGGGTTGAGTGCGCTCGTCTCTGGCTGGTCCGGTTTCGAATCATTGGGCACATTGCTTGCATCGCGGACCATCCGAGCAGCAACAGAGATTGAAGCTGTGCTGCGTACAGCATTGGTGCTAGCATAGGAGTCCTGGCGTTTTAGGCTAGACGATCGGAAAAAAGATTCGGGGGTATAAGAGCTATGTCTGTTTACTGAACCCACGTCAGAGAGACCGACACCTAGTGACGCAGAAGCCCGCTTCCGAAGAGCTTCTACGGAGGACGCCGCAGGTGGAGCAAGATTCAAGGATGAGTTCGACGATGTCTCGCGACTATTCGAGAATTTCTCCAGTGCTTTGATGCGCTTCGAAATTCCTGAGGAGACGTTGATTTTCTTAGCAACAAGTACTGGGGCATTTGATCCATCACTGTCACCATAAGGGCCAGATACAGATCTGCCCACAGCTAGTGGCTGCATATTGCCCGAATTATGTCCCATCGCACTTGGATTCGAAACGGCCCGCGAATTCTTCCAAGCATGAAAGCTTATTTGCTCATTGTTGTTCGGGTAGACAGGTGACAACGGAGACTTGCCGACCGACACAGGCTTCGCTTCTTCGACGGTAGCACTTTTCAATTCTTCCATGAAGGAATCATCCGAGAGGAGGTTGTCGTCATCAGAATAATCTGGAGTAGGCACTTGAATAGGCTCAAGTTGAGGTTTTCGCTTTTCCTTTCGAATAATCACGTCCTTCACATTCGCATTCGATGGCTCAGGGGTCAAGTCATTCTGCGGATCGGTGGGTTGCGGTGCGACTACCGTGGTCTCGGGGGGGGAGCTCGGCCGGGAACTCGGAACTGGGGAATTCGGGAGAGGAATAGATAGCGGATTTGGAGAATTAGCTAAGTCAGTTGTTTTCTCCGATTGTTGGGAGCCAGAAACAGTATCGATTTCCTGTTGTTCTGGGGAGTGAACAATTTCTTTTGCTAGGTCGTTTTCAGAGACTCCGAGTGGGACCTCAATGGCGCCGGCGCTAGGCTCGCCGGAGGCACTGTTAGTGCCGTTGGTGTTGGGCACGACCAAATCCGGGTTGGCAACTTCTATTCCAGACCTAGACTGAAGATCATTTTGCAGAATTTGTGATTGATCTGGCTCCGGCGTTTCTTTCAATTCGGTCAGTTCGGTTGTCAAATTTGCATCATAATGCAGAAGCGATTGAGTTGGAAGCTGTTCATCATCCATGTTGGAGATATCCAGACCCACGGCAGAATCTGGTTTCGTGGCATCAGAAGTGTCAGGCTTCTGCGTTTCATGAGACACGACCGATTCGGACACAGTGAATAGCGGCGTCGTGGGAAGGAACTCCTCGCTATGATCAGACAGCGTTGAAGGGTTTTCGCCACTAGTTGAGTTCGAATGAGCATGGTCGATGTTCTCTTTGTCGTCAAGCGCTTCCACAACCTTCGAGCTGTGGCTGTTGACATTTCGGTCTTTTTTGCTTTCGGCCGCGCGCTTTTCCATTTGATTTTTACGCATTTGGAGAGCTTTCATCAATCTTTCTCTCTCGTTTGAAGTTCCAGAAGACGATAACGCACTCAACGACTTAGCGCCCGGGGAGAGCTGAGGTCGCGCAATAGGCATCGAGAGCGGAGGTACCAACAACGGAGGGACAGGAGGCGCGGTTCGGCTGGAAATAGATGCCACTGGGTTGCCTTGTGAGCGGGGGCGAGATGGACTGGGGTTCCTTTTCCGCAGGGAGGACATCCGAACGCCGGCAGGTAACGAGGCTACTGGCCGCTGCTCAGCGCTTCGAGACAAATTCCCTGCCGTACGAGGTCGCCCATTGCCATCCACCGAAGGTCGAGGGCCCCGCTTCACCTTGGGAGTGTATGTGCTTGCGCGTTCCAAGTCCCTTAGCGACGGTCTGGCCGATTGTGAAGACTTTCGTGGCTCAGAGGGCGCGTAGGACAGATCGTCCTGGTACCTTCTTTGCGAGTCCGGGTGTTCCGAGCGGCTCTCCCAGGAAATCGAGGCTTGATCACTGGTCGGAAAGTCATGTGGGCTCTTCGTGATGGACGGCGAATCGTCATTGTTCGGGTTATGCGGGACAGTTGATGCGACCGAGGGAGGTACTATAGTGGCTTCCGATAGTTGACTGAATGACCTTTGATGGGTAACCGGGAAATGAGGCTGTGTCTGCGCCTGGTCCTTGCTCGTGCCGTTCTCCTCTGCATCTTCAGCGATTTCCATCAGCCTGCGACGGCGGAGGGAGCTTGAAGAGGAGGTGATAGAACCTGAAGCAGCATGTAGCAAGCACGCCGAAGACAACGCACTCTCAGTGAGGTCCGTCGGTTTGGTCAAAGAGAACACCGTATCGTGAGGGGAGAACTTGTCCAAGATTGACTGAAACTGGACCGTAGTCCTGGCTGTATAGATCCATGGTCGAGTCAGCGAGGTGACAGCTCGGCAAGGGGACGCAGTTGAACCAGAGTGTGGGGATACCTTTGACAAGCCTCGAGAGACCCTCGGGCAGATAACTGAGCACCACCTTCCTTCGACGATATTGTAGAAAGCCGTAAAGAGGTAAGATTTCCTCATAGTTGTCGACTGCGCTCCGCACCTCGGGCACCCCGCCCGTTCCTCGCTCAAGGAGTGTTATCTCATCCCTTGATACATACCGGAGGAGGAACCTAAATGATAAGGGACAATGTACGTCAGCTCAGACATACATGACACTAGAATCAATCGCCATTGCAGTGAAAGGAGGCAATTGCAACCCAAACAAGTTCAATTTGCGTTTAAGAGACGAGATGAACTGACCATCCTCCCGCTTCAGCTAGAGCGCTCTGGTAGGCTTCGGTGACAGCGGGATTATCTAACCCATTCAGAGACATGACAGGAACCGCATTGAAGGCGGGAACCCTGATAGTCGGATGCTACGACAAAGTGTGAGGTGGTGGTGTACAAGATCTGTGTTGCGATGAAGAATGGGCTGATTTGAATGAAAGAGTGTCGGGACCGATAGACGATCGGGAAAGAAAGGTGAACGGTGAGCGTGGCCTCACGATGAGACCCCTCCCCAAAAAGAAAGGGAAAAAAAAAAAAAAAAAAATGAACGACTGGACGACGGTGTCGTTCCTCAATTAAAACACTACTAGTAAAGAAGAAGAAGAAGAAGAAGAATATCAATAATCAATCGATATCGAGGATTGACTCAAAGGAGGGACTCGACGGAGATGTCGATAATCGATATCACCCCAATCTCTCAGGAGTTCAGGGGCTTTCTTAGTGGAAGGCAAGTTGCCTCCACTTAATCTGAAATATTCCTCCAGGGACGGCTCGATAATATCGTCCCCACGTTCCTTTGGCTCAATGCCAATCTTAGCCCCGATGCTGAAGCAGGTGAATTTAATTAGTAGACGCTTGGTCCAGGTCAGGCATCGAAAGCAAGTTTAAAAAGAAGAATTACTCCGTAGATAGTTTGCAATGGAAAGAGAAATCCACGAGGATGATGGATTGAGTCGATATTCGCATTGCGACTGGACAATCGGACCAGGATATCAGGTACCTGATCGAGTAGAGACAATGCCGTAAATTCGATCAGCTGCAAGAAGACGATAAGTTCTGTATTGTTTGGATGTTTGGACTTGGTTTGTGCAGCTAAATCAATACTCTTGCGGTTTCCGATGCAATCCAAAGGAGTCTACCTAGGTAGCTAACTTTTTTTACATAGTCAATCTCGACTGACAAATACGTACTGTGTACTATCGTCTCCTGGGATCTTTAGCTATCCCAAATAAAGCAGAAATCAATATGTCAATTCAGTCTAGGGCTGCCTGAGGTACTAGAGACTCTCTCCGACACTATGGAGTTAGCCCATTGCATCTTTCTGCTGAAACGATGGCTGCATGACGGCGACGCACAATCAACACCAGACAGGAATCTCCGGAACGCTCGAGGGGAATAAGTGGAACTTGAATAAAGGCAGGTCAGTCAGAACTGGTCTAAACGAGCGCATCTGTATAACCTTCTACTGTACAGGTTAGTTGTACAGGAGTGGACATCAACTAAACAGGCATAGCGCAGATCTCCAGAGAATAAGCACTCCAGCTGGCTCAATATCGTCCTAGGGCTTTTGGCACAAACACCAGAGGTATGCGCTTGCCGAGGGGTGTTATTGCAATCGTCTTGTCTATCATTGCGGACAACTGTAAGATGGACAGAGCGACCTTGATATACATCCAGATAAGCTTCCGATAGTCGGATTGAATGGGAATGTCGATCGAACATTCCAAGCTACGAATCATGCCATCTAATGATTTGACAGGCCATGATACTTTCGACATTATTATCTGGGTCAAGGTCTTTTGATCTGGCGATCTTCGATCGATATTTATCGTTTCTGCAACTACGTAGTTCACACCTGGAGCTCTCCGCCTCCGCCAGCAACAAACGCTCGGAGACTCCCGATGCGGGGTGGAATTTGCTTCCACTATTGAGCATATATGACCGCAAGCGCTCCCCGAACTGATTCGGTCCTACACGTTTGGTTATCGGATTGAACCTCTACGCACAGCATCCCGAATCGCTCGACACACGATCCACATGTCTTCCGGTCTCCCCCCAATCTCTTCATTGCCTTCCCTGCCACAGGAGCAACAGTTCCAGGCCCTCGACACACTCTTTGAGCCATCGCCCGAACTGCACGAGTTGATGATCCCTGTCTTGGCCAACCAGACATTTTCATCATATAATGGTCTCATCGACGCTGTAGGCGGTCGGATGGCTGCGCTCTCTGCTGCCAATTCGCCAATCGATCACAAAATCCTCACTGGGATCCTGGGTTCCCATCCGCGCCTCGGGCGGCCCAAGGTCGCGACTACAGAACATATGAGTGAGCTCAGTAAGAAAGAGCAGGCAAATCTGAATACTGGGGCCGAAGAACAAGCGGAGAAACTACGACTCTTGAATGCCGAATACGAGGAGAAATTCCCGGGTTTGAGATTTGTGTATGTGGGCGGTTGAATAATGTTTTTTTTTCCGACCTTTGATGGAGGTTTCCCATGGATACTGACGTATACCCTCCCCGGCCTGGTTGGTCTAGAACGTTCGTCAATGGACGAAGCCGAGATGTCATTATGGCAGAAATGCGCCGGAGGATAGATAGAGGCGATGCCGAACGGGAGATCCAGGAGACTATCCAGGTATGTCTCAGCGGTCAAGGAGCGGCGTCGCAATGAGTATGAGATTACTAACTCCAATATTCAATGATAGGCAATGTGCGATATAGCCAAGGATCGATCAAGGAAGTTGGAACAATCGGCTCGGATTTGATTGGAATCTGTATACCACATTTAATCGATAGAGACTGTATGGAGAAAATCAAGACCAATTGCCACTTTTCCGAATGCATATTTCGTATCTGCGAAATGTCCAACAGAGAATCACGATGCAATGGCTAACTTTATCCTTGTAAATTGCCATAATAAGCCAATGACACAGTGATGTCTCGGTGGATTTCCAGAATTGTTTCGAACGAGTTTAATTGACGACTCAGGGTCTTGAGTCCTGAACGTTCCAGTCCAGCTTAAGCTCTTATTCTTAACAGTAAGTTGTATGTCGTTGGTGCAAGAATTGTGGCTATGCTAGAAGTGGGGGCATCCAACTGTCAGTGCTCAGGAAGAGAGATGGACTTGTCAATTCTCATGTTGATACTCCATAGATCTCGTGGGGATATACTACTTGTAGCTGTTTGTAGTTACACCCCGGTTAACTCGTAGATATACTGTCCTTTTCCTTGAGCATAAGTCATGGAGCAAAGAAGGCCAAGACTTACTGCCATGCATCTCTGTGTCACCTCCAGCATTGTTCAATGCTTATTATGCACTCCATAGTTCATAGTCGGATCACTTTTTGCTGACAGAAATACTGCATTGATTATAGACAGCCGATGCCTTGTCCCAGACCTATTTGCCTCCCGAACCTAAAGATGCATGGTATACGGGGAATGAGTTTTATCAGGACCATGGATTCTGCAGGACAGTAAAGAATGGAAGCCCCAGATGATATGCTCGACACCTGAGAAGAGAGAGAAGAAGAACTTGATGAGGACCTGCTTTTGATGTCATCTCATCCTGGAGTTTGTCCTCATCCGCATAGTACCGTTGATCCTCTGTCATTGTCATTGTCAATCAAAACTAGACACTTTAGTCCTTGTTATCATCCTGGTGTTTGAGTTAGTGCTATCTACTGCTACCTCCTACACTACGACTATGGAGTAGCTAATTAACTAGTACTACTGTACTAGATGATGATTATTATTAGAGTCCTTTCTTATCGTTGGCTCAACTTCCGGACCCTTCCATCACTTACTTTTCCTCCCATCCACTTTTTCTTCCTCTTCCTCTCTTCTCCTCCCTCTCTCTCTCTCTCTCCCCTCCAGTGGAATTTCCCTTCCATTCCATCGACCCCCAATCCCAGCTGGAATCCCACATGCGCCATTTCAGGCATCGACCTCACCATGGCGGAGGGTTCGCAGGAGACGAACGACCGAAGGGTTCCCGGAGCGTCGCGGGCCTCAACAGCCCCCGCGTTACCCATGATTATCACCAGTAACGCGACAGGTCCCCAGGATGCTCATCCCAGTGGTAACAGCCACCACGACAACGACCACGACAGCAAAATAAATGATAATCATAATAATAATAGTCCCCGTATCACCAAGCCGGGGCTTCTTAGAACCTCACAAACGTTCCCTATCGGTATGTTTAAACTGCCATCAGCATCTTTAAATTTTGAAATCAGTTTCCCCCATCCTATCCGCCACTCCTGTTCTCTCTGCGCCACGATGACTATGTATGTGGGCTGTGTCACATTTCGAAGCTTATTTTGCTTTTTTTTTCCGGGTCTTTTTACCTGATAGGCTCTATCGCATCCGATAATGCATCAAGCTCGAGTGTAAATCAGCAGGATACGAAGAGGAATCCCCGGTCCTCGTTCCAAGCAAGTTCCTATGGCAGAAACTCGACATCATCGCCGACGGTCTTTGAACCCAGCGCGGATTCCAGCGCAATCGATCCGCTGTCGCAAGTAGGTCTTGCGTCGCTGTTAATATGCCAGCAGAAATCAACAAAGTGCTGATTACGTCTGATACTGTAGCACATCATCAAGCGCACCAACACCGAGCGATCAATTCCACTGAGGCTGCTTGGGAGGGCGTCGTACGAAGTGGAGGCTGGCGGAGCGCATGACTATTATGCGTCGGAACAGGGCTCAATCCGAGGCGATACGAGCTTACGCCAGAAACTACCCAAAGAGAAAAGGTGAGTGCCACTTGTCTCGTCCTTATCATGATTAAACTCCTATATTCTTGATCTCCCCCCCGCGTCGATCCCTGTTCACCATACTCCGTGCAAAGGGTGGGCATTGTGTTCGCGCTTCGAATCGGATGTCCCCGCGCGTCCAATAGCAACCGCTCGGAAGCTAAATACTCATTGATAAACTTTACAGAAAGGGTGTCTCGTTTCTCAGTCGATTCATAGGAGGCAAGAAGAAAGATCAGCTGTCTGATGCAGAAGACGATGTCTCGGAACCGGACACTTTCCGCATGGACGCCAACACCGCACCGCAACCGATAGGCTTCCTACCTCGATTCCCTCCTCCGCCAAAGTACATCAGGGTGAAGGCATACTACAAAAAGGATAAAACTTTCGATAGGGTGTTCCTCGCGCAGGAGTTGGACGACGCGGGGCCGTCATCCGACCGATCAGTGAAAGATGCAGCTGGCTCGACGACTGGTCTTCCGGGCAGCAGTAATGCTGGAAAAGCCATTTGGGCGCTATCCTTCTCGAAAGATGGCAAGTATATGGCAGCCGCAGGTCAGGACAAAAAAGTGCGCGTTTGGGCTGTCATCGCTTCCCCAGAAGATCGCCAGAGGGAAGGACTTGGGGGGATCGAAAATGGCCACAATGAGGATGAGACTCCCCAGCTGAGAGCGCCTGTCTTCAAGGCAAAGCCAGTGCAGGTATACGAGGGCCACATCGGCAGCGTACTAGACCTAAGCTGGAGTAAGGTACGGATTTCGCATTGCACAAGGCTATGGACACTCTTGAGTCTGACGCGCGACGAACTAGAATAACTTTCTTCTTTCTTCCTCGATGGACAAGACCGTCCGGCTGTGGCATGTGACGAGATCGGAGTGTCTGTGTTGTTTCCAGCACAGCGACTTTGTCACATCCATCCAATTCCACCCCCGGGACGACCGATTCTTCCTCGCTGGATCCCTCGACACCAAGCTTCGCCTTTGGAGTATCCCGGATAAGAATGTGGCATTTGTTGCAACTGTTCCGGATATGATCACATCGGTCGCCTTCACGCCAGACGGCCGCCACTCAATCGCCGGCTGCCTTAATGGCATGTGCAACATTTACGAGACAGATGGATTCAGGCCAGTTGGGCAGATCCATGTGCGGTCAGCGCGTGGTCGCAACGCAAAAGGCAGCAAAATCACGGGCATTGATACTATTACTCTACCTCCCAGTGACCCAAACGGTGAGGTGAAACTGCTGATCACAAGCAACGATTCCCGGATTCGACTCTACAACTTCCGTGATCGGACATTGGAGGCCAAATTCCGCGGTAACGAGAACACATGCAGTCAAATTCGCGCCTCGTTCAGTGACGATGGAAAATACATTATCTGCGGGAGTGAGGACCGCAAAACATATGTATGGTCATTAAGCTCAATGGAGAAGGATTCAGACAAACGTGCGGTGGAGGTCTTTGAGACTGGATCCTCCATGGTGACTGCAGCTGTGATGGCTCCGTCGTTGTCAAAGCAAACCCTGGGCTTCTCCGACGATCCAGTTTACGACATCTGCAACCCACCGCCAGTGACTCTGGTGAGCACCGCAGAAAAACAGAATGGCCAGCGAGGTCCCAACCCCGTAGCTAGCAAGCTGGCGCTGGAATCACCGTCATATCTCGCGCGCTCGACACACCCGGTTGGAAACATCATCATTGTGGCCGACTATTCAGGCAAAATCAGAGTTCTGCGGCAAGACTGTGCATTTCACAAACGCCGCTATGAGAATTGGGACACGCACTCCACCATATCCAGAAAACTGCTGCGCCGGTCCAACTCGGCGCGTCACAGTATTGCGTCGTCGATTGGAAAGGAGTCATCGCACAAGACACCTTCTGAGCGGATCATCTCCTGGCGCAACTCGGTCATCGGCCACGGAGCGGGCAAACGGGAGGGCTCCCGTCATGGGACGACGACCCGAAGTTCATCCCCCAGCAAGTCCATCCCCGATATCTCGCGTTATTCGAGTCCAGTATGCCAATTTTCGGGCGGAGCGCCTGCCGATTCTCTCTCTCTCACTGTGTCCCCTCCGCCCTCAGCGTCCAAATCTTCTTTTGATAGTCGAAGATCAAGCGGGGATGCCTCGAAGCGCAATGGATACGCAGAGGATGTCGGGATGGTGCCGTCGTCTAGAATGTTAATTGCTAGAGGCAAGGAGAAGGACAATCCATTGTGGCTGCAAGGCGAACAAAGCTATGCATTCTGGAACAAGATCACGCAGGATGCGCTAGCTGCGCGACGGAAGAAATCTCCTCGGCCTCAGGATTCGAACCGACTCTCAGTGCCTGGGCGCAATGTCAGCATCAGCAGCGCTCTGAGCAGCGACTATGGCTCTTCCAACGGAGACAGAGACGAAGGAGATGTGCTCCGATGCGATAGCTGCCGGGGGACGAATTTCCAAGCCATGAAATCGAGAACCGGCAAGCAGAAACTGATCTGCGTGCGGTGCCATCGACCTATCAATTAAGCGCGGGCCCTGGGTGTTTACATTCTGGTATATACACATTATCTTTCTTGTTATTTTCTTTCATTTTGCATTTGGAGGTGTCACTTTCTATGTTCGTTTTTGGCCTTGTATTCAACAACATGTATAGTAGACGAGGTGATGATGGACGATCATGATGGATGACGCGGTGTTGGGTGACATGGGATCTAGTTTTTTTTTTTTTTTTTTTTTTTTCAAATATGCAAATAAACTCGGTATGTCGGGAATCGTTGGAGTCGTTCTGTCCGAAGTATACGCAAGTACTCCGTTAGTACTCTGTAGTAGCTGGTTCATATTCCAAGGAGTAACTACTCCAGTCGGCGGCATGGAATGCCAAGCCTCACTACAAACACTCAAACACTGCGAATTGTTCTCCGACTCCACGTTGTCCGCACTCCACTTCAGCTTCATCCCAAACCCCCCCATTCTCCAGCTATCGACCTCTCACTTTCAGAAAACCTCTCTCATTCTACCATCTACCACCCCTGTACTACCCAATACTCAAGCAAAGACACCCATCCGCACAAGTCTGGAGCCCCAAGATCAAAACCAAAAAAAAAATGCCCTACCTATCCACAAGCCAGGCCTTCCTGGAACAATCCGCATTACTCCTCGAGGCATACCCAGATACTGTACGTGCAGCAAGACCTCTCTTCTCCCCTCCCTCCCTAGCCAATCTCACTAACATCATAACACCCCAGACCCGCATCACAACAAAATACAACTTCCCCTCACAACGACCCTCGCAAAAACCCTCCGAGCCCTCACAACCCGACCAACCCGCCGCCGCCGCCGCGCCCGTCGCCTCGCTCACCCTGAAAACCTTCAACACCGCCGCCGGCATCTGCCTCAAGTACCGCACGAACAAAGCCGCCGAGGTCGGGCGCCTGGTCACGAGTCTGGGGAAGTTGGCCGCGGGCGCGGGCGTCGCGGGGCTGGGGCTGGGTCCTGCTGCTGGGACAGCGGCGGACGTGGAGATGGTGGATGCGCCTGGGGCGGTGGAGGAGGGGTCTGCCCCTGCTTCTGCGGCGGCGGCGGCGGCGGCGGCTGCGTCTGGGAAGGCGGATTCGGGGGGCAAGGGCGGGAAGGGGAAGAAGAAAGGTGGGAAGGGGAAGAGGTGAAAAGGCCGGTGGGGGTTTGGGGGTGGTGTGTGCATTATTTCTTTTGGAAATTGGGGGGGGCCAGTATCGCGGTGTGTGCGACGCGAGTGGATTCGATCGGCTGTGGCCTGTGGAGGTCGGTGTTTGATGCCTCTGCCGATTTGAGAGTCGAGAAGGGCTGAGGAACTACGGAAGCGTGGATCAGATATGCCTGCTTCGAGGCTGATGAATCTGGGCCCTGTGACGCATGGATGTGCATCGGCAATCTATGATACCGCGACTGCTGAGACGAGGGAGGGACAGGTACTATGACTTGTATGATGAATCGTATATCCTATCAATCCAACCAATTGACCCGGTGGGCTACATACTCTTCAGGACGGGATGAAGTTCTTGTGATTATCCAAAATACTCATATTGAGTTATCCAGGCGTAATGTATAAGGGATATCCTTTCACACTAAATACATTTTCATCTGTCCAAACACATGACACGTCAAGCATCTCGGAACAGAAGATTGATGGTACAAGAAAAACGCAAAGAGAGAAGTCCGCCAGTTCCTAACGCCATGCCCATGCATATCCCATGAAAACATTCCATAATCAAGAACGCAGAAAAACAAAATAAGGAAATAATTATCTTCGCATCAGGTAGCAGGAGCCAAAGACCCTATAAGGACCCTGAACATAGGCACACAGCTGGGTATAATTCGTTCAAAGGTCGGTTTAGAAGTCTTCGTCAAAGCTGAGACCTCCTGCGTTTGTGTCCTTCGCAGCATCCTGGTTGGTATCCTTCTTGGTGCTGGCCATGACACCGGCCTTTTGGTAGTCACCAACACGCTTCTCGAAGAAGTTGGTCTTACCAGCCAGGGAAATGCTCTCCATGAAGTCGAAGGGGTTGGGAGAGTTGTAGTACTTCTTGTTTCCAAGAGCGACCAAGAGGCGATCGGCAACAAATTCGATGTACTGACACATGAGCTTGGAATTCATACCGAGGAGAGCAACTGGCAGAGCATCTGTCAGAAACTCCTGCTCAATGGCCACAGCTTCCACGATGATGTCCTCCACAACCTTCTTGTCAGGGCGGTTGTTGAGGTGGGAGAACAGCAGGCAAGCGAAGTCAGTGTGCAGACCCTCGTCACGGGAGATAAGCTCGTTAGAGAAGGTAAGACCGGGCATCAATCCACGCTTCTTGAGCCAGAAGATGGAGGCAAACGATCCGGAGAAGAAGATACCCTCGACGGCAGCAAAGGCCACAAGACGCTGGCCGAAAGACGACTCCTTATCTGAGATCCATCTCATGGCCCACTGAGCCTTCTTGTTGATGCAAGGAACTGCAAGTTGTTAGTATTCATCGGTTTACGAAAAGTATAATGACAACATACTGGTATCAATGGCATCAAAGAGGTAAGCACGCTGCTTGGGCTCCTTGATATAGGTATCAATCAGAAGCGAGTAGGTCTCAGAGTGGATGTTCTCAATCATGATCTGGAAGCCGTAGAAGCAGCGAGCCTCCGGTACCTGCACCTCATTGCTGAAGCGCTCAAGCAGGTTCTCATTGACAATACCATCAGAGGCGGCGAAGAAAGCGAGGACGTGGGAGATAAAGTAGCGCTCATCATCGTTCAGGCGGTTGTTCCAATCGTGTAGATCCTTGGAAAGATCAATCTCTTCAGCGGTCCAGAAGGAAGCCTCGGCCTTCTTATACATTTGCCAGATCTGCAAAGTCGCCAAACATGTTAGCGTCATGGAATACAACGGTGGCCGCAGATCGGAAAGAAACCACTTTACGCGTGACGCGTGGCGGACGTGACACTCACCTCATGATACTTGATGGGGAAGAGGACAAAACGGTGAGGGTTTTCTTGCAGCAGAGGCTCGTTGGCCTCGAGTTCCTTGATGGCAGCAATCTTAGTGGAGGCTTCGGTAGGCTTTTCCACAATCTTCTTGACAGGCGCGTCGGTGACAGGTGTGGTTGACGGCGCGTTCTCCTTGCCGGCAACGCCGAAATTGATCTTCTTCACAGGCGAGTCGCTCATCTTGAGGTTTTCGAGCGAAGATGCAGCCTATAGACAACACAATGTTAGTATATGCAAAATACACCGTCGCGTCTCCCCGTGGGAGGCAAACGACGTAACATCACGTACCTGCTTAGAAGGGGTAACCTGAGCAGTCATTTTGTTAGACGTCTAAGGGAATGTGAAGACGAAATAATAACACGAATTGATCACACAGACACAGAGAGTCTTCAATACTGAGCTGAGCAGATGAGACGGGGAAGAAGCAAGTCTGCCAGAAGGGGAGGACGAGGGACAGAAATACTTGCTGCAGACGGGGAGCGTGATTCTTAGCGTGACGGGCTAAGTCACGTCGCACGTGATTTGGCGCGCCTTTGGAGACTGGTGGCTGGCGGAAAGACCTTGATTACGTATGGTTTGTTTTTTGGCGTCGCGTCTTCCAGGCACAAAAAAACGCCAAACCTCCCAGGCAGCGACATGCTCCTCTTACTCTTTTGGTACTGAAAGCTCCGTATTATTCTGGACTCACACTAGGCAGTCTTGCTCTTGCCTCTTGGGGTCCATGATCCATCAGCCCACTGCCCTCGAAGTCTCTCCGGCATATTTGATATCCACTCTTCAAAACAGTCATGAGATTTGCGACTCAAGGTCTTATTACGATCCACATTCCAGATCTTTGCAGTTGGAAGTGCATAAGCACTCCGTAGTCCGTAATAAGGACTCAAGAAATTTAGCAATAATAGTTCGTATCGCGCGTCCAGCAAAATTTATCTTATCAGATCGCGGACGCGCTCTTCATTCGCTGAGCGTACAAGGCCCTCACTAGAGCACCTACTCACCACATTGGACCCCATCCTACTTACCAGATCAGCTGGCTCAACGGATGTCTATGTCTGTTTTTTTCTGCATGGCTTTGATAGTCTCTTGTACCTCATACACACCAATAAGTCTTGTCAGAGTGTAAAGTTGGAATATCACCTAGTTACACTTAACAATCACAGTATGCAAGTCATCTAACCCTACGTTCCTGCCCTGACCTATTATTCTCCACCTGGTGGCTTGGGAAACGCTCTCTTTCACCATAAGTGATAATGATGAAAAAGACGGCTTAAATGATTGTAATCATCGCATAAGCTGAGTTCCGTTATTTTCTTGGATTCATCATCATCCCGACGGAATAAATGTCCTTACCATTTAGGCTAGCTTTGAGTGGACGCGACGCGTCAAGAAGCTAGAACTCAAGAAAAGCCCAATCGTCTGGAGACAACATGCAAGGGTTTGGGCTTTGGTAGCGGATATACGGATATACATCCAATTACCCACTCCCTTTAATCAACATTCCTGGTGTCTTGTTCGAATGTTCGATTTGATGTTCCAAATAAGTAGACTGTGTTGCATAGCAATCCAGAGGCCAGAGCCCCAGGCTACTTCTGCATTGGTCCGGCACGTCACTGAACCCGATGAATGTCATTTTATGGGCTGTCAAGCTAAGAGGAAATAAATGCTGTGGATACCACGCCGGTATTCTTACTTTGTCTATGGTAGAGCATGTCTAGAATGCGATGGATTTAAGCCGTGGTTTCTTCTCTCGCTTTGTGTTGGAAGCTCAAAGTGTTCGATAATGCGCGAACCATCCTTGGCTATGGTTGGGCGACCGGTTTCTAGAACATGGTAAGGCCCTGGACCTAATGACATTCTAAACTCATTATCATATACCATCAATCTCTACCTATTCAAGCACCAAGTAGAATTAGCCCATGTTGCTTAATAAGGTTTCTCTACCAACAACAATCCGATGTGGTGTAATGGTCAACATCGCTGTCTCTCACACAGCAGCTCGGGGTTCGATTCCCCGCATCGGAAGTGTTTTCTTTTTTTGCCCCGCTCCAATACCCATCCATCATGCCATGTATTGGGACTTAAATCTGCCATCGAAGTGCATGCATATACATACTACAGAGTACGTCCCAGTGGCCTATTTTTCTCCGGATGGTTTTTGATTTTCTACTACTTCTTTCCTCCATATGGAATTTCTACTTCTGCTACCGGTAGAATCCGGTTAGAAACACCAGCTCTGCATTATTGCTGTTGGGCTGGTCTCTCTGACGAGTGGAAGAATACAGAGTAGGGGGCCATATGTAGCCAACAGATGGAAGTATCCACCATACGATTCAATCATGCTGTAACCGGGGAATGCAAAGCACAACTAGGAATACACAAATGGTTGCAATACTACCTTCAGAGCTATAAGAATGCTAGTTGGATACTAGTATACCATAAGGCCAAAGACCAACATTACCGCGAGTTGCCAGGCAACTCGCGAATCCAGATCCATATAGTAGCGCACTGGGTAGCTATTAGAGATCCTTACAAAAGCTAATCGAATGTGAATTGGCAATACTCAATGCTGATAGAACATTGATCAAGCTACCTGCTTGATGGGGACTACATTGAGAGTCAATCTTATGGATCTGGTCCTCACTATTTGATTCTTTGGTATATCAGCAAGCATTTCCAAAATTTATTCCTAGACCGAACATGAGGCCAAAAATCGCCAATCTCTCAACAGCCATCCGATGTGGTGTAATGGTCAACATCGCTGTCTCTCACACAGCAGCTCGGGGTTCGATTCCCCGCATCGGAATACGATCTTTTTTTGAGCTTTTAAATCAACGTCGACCACCTACCATCTGCTAGACACTGGGATCTTCAACTCCGCTCTTTTGTCATTTTTTGAATGCTCGTTCTCATACCTAGCACTCTGGACAGTGTCCCAACCTTGACGTTGGGCATCTCATGTACTTTCTGCTCCGTCTACATCAGGCTCACTCCTGTGTGTGTATGGGTTTGTGACCGTCGGCGCAGTATCGCCTATTCGAAATCACTGTTAGACGGGATAGCCACAGGCTTGGTATCTATTTCTTGTCCAACTGGCTTGAAATGGGTCGTGACTGGGCCACATATGTCGATTGAGATTTCAACGGTCGGGTGCTCGGTAGTATTCTACTATGCCACAAGAAGGCTGGAGTTCATGTGATTGAGAAGCTCGATGCTCTCGTGGTAACAACGGCCAGGGTAGCCAGTATCCGGCAGTGCTCTAGACCGCACCAGCACTAGTAGCTTCAAACTCTTAGGCCGATATATCTGCGTGGCTTCGTTCTATCGTTCGACAAATCTAGGGACTGGGACGAGATCAGAGAAGATATCCAGTGGTCGATGCGGGAGGCGGGTAGGAACATGATTCACATATCAATCATGCCTGTCTACTAGGCCCCGGCCACTAAAGTCCTCAAAGCGCGCAGGTTAATTGGTTCCTTCTGCATACCCGTTAGTGAGGTGAAGGGTATGATTCCCGGGACCAAGAAGTGTGGTCCAAGATGCTGGATATCATGGTGCATCGGAGAAAGGAGAGTTGTGTATGGATCTCATTGGGCCAACTGTTAGGCCGGTCAGTCCGAAGTCAAATATATGCTCTGCGATGTGCACGAAGGCAAATGGAGCTATGTGAGAATCGTATGAATACAATAGTGAGGGGACAAAAAAATGTATACGCAAAAAGTGAATTCCGATGCGGGGAATCGAACCCCGAGCTGCTGTGTGAGAGACAGCGATGTTGACCATTACACCACATCGGAGTGGTTGTTGTAGCAACGAGCGGTTCTTTTAACTCTGTTCCTAGCCAGGGATTGTGAAGCAGCTCATGAAGGAGGATGCCGTTGCTGCCCCAATTGGTTGCCATTCCCCTGGTTCTGAGCCACATGGAACCTATGGTGTAAGTACCTAGATTCCTAAGCCCGTTTCAACTTCCAAGTTCCAACTCCCGAGGCCCGGATACTGAAGTCTGAATATGAGTGGTGATCAGATAACCAACATCTGATTTTCAATCCCTTTTGGAGTACAATGATATCACAGAAATTCCTAAGGGCCGCTCTCTACATGGACAAAAATAAAATACTTTCTTCGTGAAGATTTACTAGAAACTACATCCTCCGGGGAGGTGCAAAAAGAAGAAGATTGCTATTCCGATGCGGGGAATCGAACCCCGAGCTGCTGTGTGAGAGACAGCGATGTTGACCATTACACCACATCGGATTGCTTGTAGATCTTCACCTTTATTAACTATATAAGCAAATTCCTATCTTGACACGTTTTCACTTGTATATTCATGACTTACTGCAGCTGAATGCCTTATTGATGTCGGGTTGGCTTAAAGTTCTGTTGCACCATCATCATAGTCTTTCTCTAGTTGGTTGGAATTCACCTGATTGTCCTCACATACCAACAATCGTTGGTTAATATTTGGATCTGTATGATCCTGGCGGCTGTTGAGTTCCCGCGATATATAAAACCATTTGACGTATCAGCCTGAAGTATCCCCAACCCCCCAGCTCATCACCACGTATAGAGAATCAATATTGACACGATCGGAAGCACCTGCAATAACCAGGAGCCAGCGTATGCCACCACTCAACAACACGGAATGCCTCCAAAACATCTCACAGTGAATGAAATTCGTGGAACAAGTGCTCGCTGGCGAAGTATCGGAATGGCACCGCAGGACGAAATATCTCACCCCTCCAACCTAGGGTTAAATGCAACTCTAGGAAGTGCGTCTAGATCGGAGCTTGCTGAAGACACTCGGGTTGCAGGGATGATCCCCAACAGAAGCCGCGCGTCATCAGATGTCACATGGAGGAAAAGGCAGGAGAACAAGCATAGGAAACAGTTTATGTCTAGAACGACGTATTATGGCTGATATTTACAGAGAACCATACCGCAACTCGGTAGGACAAACCAGGGGCAAACGCCTCCAATGTATATACCCAAACGGCCCGGGCGAGCTAGTTTATGCCCGATCGCCAATGCAGAGAAAATAACAAACCAGTGGCCCATTTTCAATATTGTACCAAGGGCGCCACTGCCATACAGAAGAGTGGCCGGCTCAGATCTGTGCCTTGATCGAATCAGGGAGGAACCGGTCCTCGACCCTACGCATCAACTTGTTGGTCTGTTCAGCCAAGCTGAGAGTGAGAATCTACATAACAGTCAGCAACCCGCGGTTAAGTTTAGTATCGGGCTGCGGGTGACAACGACTTACAGTGTGAGGTAGAATACGAGCCAGATGTGCAAAATAGCCCTTGTAAATAGCAAGCACGCCCTCCTTCCGGATAGTCTTGAAGAGGCAATCGAAAGCTCCCTTGTAAAGATCGCCCGTCTGGTTATACATCCGGGACATAACCGTGTCTGGACAAGATGTTAGCCATCACACGGTCGAGAAAGGATTCATCAAACATACCAGGAGGATGCATAACACAGCAGACCACAAACCCGGATGCAGTACTACTGGCCAAGTGAAGGGCAGGTCCATCCTCCATGCCGAGATGGTTCATCAAGCGCCGCTTCGCGAAAAAGTATGTAGGAAGCTGAACAGAGCTACCGAAACCAGTGCGAACCATGGCTGCACCGACACCCCGATATAGCCCACCGACACCCTCAGATGTATAGATCTTTCGCAGACCATCAAAGGAGTTTCGATACTTGTGCTGGGTGCCAACTGGAAGGAAAGGAGAGTATGACTGCAAACGAGTCTTCACCAGGAAGAACGGGGAGCCGGCAGCAGCGCCAATAATGCCGGAAGCCGCACCCGAGAACACATTGATGCCCAATGATTGGACCTGCGGGTCCTTGTACACGGCGGTCGTGATGCCTTTTCGCAATGGTTCGTAGAAGCCCAGACGGCAACCGTTCAGCAAGACCTGGTAGATGTACTAAACCCAACCCAATCAGCGACCATGAACCGACCATAGGGTTGAAGAATCACATACTGCGGAGCCGATGCCCCGGAACAATCCACGAGGACCCTCATTCTGTAGAATGACCTTCACACCATGGAAAACACCTCTATATTTCTTCACCGCATCACTCTTCGACTGGAGCTCTCCTTGAAGTTGTAACCTGATGACCGAGAGAGATCAGTCATAGCCGTCCCGTGGTAATGATGTTGACGCAAAAGAAGATAAGCATACCGAATCTTCACCGTCTCGAAGCTGTGAGTGACCGTCACCGCTCCACATGCCGCGATACCTCCTGCGATGAACGCACTTCAGCGCAATGCGTATCATGTCAGCGCAAACTGCCATGTGTGTATAGAGTGTATAGGTGAGATGAAGGTCCGCATACCCTGTGGTCGTCGACATGATCACCGATGGATAATATAGTGAACAAACAGAACGAACAAGACGTTCGATAGAGTCAAGTAGGCAAGATTGGAGATGGTCGCCAGGAGGGAGGATGAGCGGACAATTACACTGGTGTAGCAGCAAGTGTCAGCGCTACAGATTCCGTCTGATATATTGTTCCTCCGAGCTCCAAGGCGACCAGGTGAAAGAGGATGAACGGTGTAAGATGGAAGTAACGTCAAGAATGTCAGGAACCTTTTTCAGTCATAGTCGCAAATCAGCCCAAATGTGAGATGTACTGTGGCATTTCCGTGTTGTTGATTGGCCCAATCCTGTCAATGCCTCCGACTATCGGATTGACAATCGGCCATTATCTAAGCGCCGGAGCGGAAGAACAAGCTTTCCGCCTAGCGTCGGTTAGACGCGCCAGATGCCGCCAGAACGCGTGAAGCAAGCTCTCTTCGTTGATTCCGCTGTCGGGGAAGTAAAACCGTAGAGGCTGCTATAGGACAGGGACCACCACGCAGGAAGAGGACGCGCCGTGGATGCACTTACAGCACATTGCATAGCGTTCGGGTCACTCAGAACCGGCAACAACCTTGGTCATAAATAATGGCGGAGGGCCAACAGCAACCACAGCAGCTGGCACAGCAGTCGCAGCCACAAGCTCTTATGCAGTCTCAGAAGGTGTCTGATATCATTCGTAGCTTTCATCCTGCAAAGGTTTGGTGATGACTGTCTCCCAGCTGACCCAGAGAACTAATCGGATTCTTGTTGAAATATATAGGCTTTCAAAGGATCGAAGCACGAACCCTCAAACTACGTTACATCATTGGACTTCGATGACCAGGGCGACTACTTGGTGGCATCAGGCGACGACGAGACAATCCAGGTGTTTGATATCAAGGAGGGGAAATCGACGAAATCAGTACCAAGCAAGAAATATGGAGTACACCTAGCGAGATTCACGCACCATTCTCGCCAGATTCTGCACGCGAGTACAAAGGTTGATGGTATGTCAATCTAGAGTGTTTTTACTGTCGCCAATGGGCTGGGAACTCACATTTAGCCAGATTCTCTCCGACTACTTGACCTTCACAATGAGGGCTACGTTCGTTATTTCTCAGGTCATACCGACAAAGTGACTTGCTTGGCCCTTTCTCCTGGCAGCGACACATTCATCTCATGCTCCAAGGACGATACCATTGCGCTTTGGGACCTGAGCTCGAGGAACGCCCAAGGAAAACTCAAGCTGGCTACGCCGTATCTGGTTGCTTTTGATCCCTCTGCCTCTGTCATCGCAATTGCATCGCAGTCTACGTCGTCTGTGCTCTTGTACGATTTCCGCAATTACGACAAGGCTCCGTTTTCCACATTTGATCTTGCACCATATGAGGAACGATACACACCCTCAACCAGGGGAAGGGCTTGGACTCGGCTTGAATTTTCTAATGACGGAAAACACTTGATTGTTGGCACCGACTACCATGGACATTTCGTTCTTGATGCTTTTGAAGGCAACCTGAAGGCCTTCTTAGTCGGCAAGAACGGCTCTCCTGGTCGCGCTGCCCCCGTTTCGACAACAGGGAAACCCTTGGGCCAAGGAGATGTGTGTTTTACTCCGGACGGTCGATATGCTATCGGAGGCTCTGGCGACCACACGGATGTCCTCGTGTGGGACTTGCAGCAAACACCCGATGCCAACTCCCTTCTGCAGCCAATGACCAGGTTGACCAACCGTGGTCGAACCGCCATTTTAGAATACAACCCACGGTACAACATGCTGGCTACTGCCGATAAGGAGGTAGTTTTCTGGCTCCCAGAGGAGAGTCAAAGATCCCTTGAGAAGTGATAACACGTGATGTGGATTGAATGAAGCCGAGCGGAAAAGACGTCTCATCATAAACTGGTTCAATTCGTCAGGGTTGTATCCCTTCTTTCTGGTGAGCCTGTCGAGTGAGCCTACACTCTCCGGTCTTTGTCTTTACCTGCCAAACTTCTGGCAGTGTCACACACCCACACAAGTGGTCCCTCCAAATCTTCATCGCCATTTCTGTGTTCCTCGATCGTGGACTCAATTTGCTTGACGACAGTGCGATTGCTGGATATGGTCGTAACTCCTGTGACCCACCCGTACATGAACACACTGTAATTGATGTCTGACAAGATCCCCGCGACTTGGTGCGACACTGGAGGGAGGATTCCTTGATCCGTTGCTGATTCGATTACGGATTTCGACTCAACCGTCTTGATAGGGATCCGCCACCCAGAAGGCACTTCATAATCCGAAAGCTCTTGAAACTTATGGAGGAGAGAAGTTACGTCACAGTCCTCGTAAGGAGGATGTCCCATCAGAAGCTCTGCGCGTTTCTTTTCGGCATCGGTACCGATGGTATCGACTATCTCCCGCATCCGTCTTGCAGCCTCCGTGGTGCAGATCAACTCATGTCCAGTCATTGCTGGCCAAAGCTCCGTGGGCAGCAACGGCCTTTGCTTCTCCACCTCGACCTGCCTAAAGATGGCCTTATGGTGATTGGCAGATAGGACTACGGCCTTGTAATGCGACAGATCAGAAACTGCTGCCAGCAGCAGTGTGCAGTCCACATTCAGCACTGGAGTGAATTGTGCGAAGTGATTGGGAAGCAAATGAGCTAGGCTGTCTTCCTGAACTGCTGCATCTTTGGGCTCATCACCGTTCACTGCCTGTGTCTTGGCTATATCCCCCCCACAGCTCACTATGATACCATAGTCTCGAACCACTTTTAATAGATCATCAATCTCAGGGCATTGCCCTTCCTCAATCTTCGGGATCACAAATCGCAGCCGAGGATGTTTGTACCTGACTCGCGTAGCATTGGCAGCCTTCCTCATATCGCCCGCCAACTTGATGAGCTCAACTTCATCGTCGTCGTCGTCCCCGCTGTCATACTCATCATTGTCGTAATTTCGTAACACGGTCCTCTCTTCCCCTTCTTCATCATCGTCCGAATCCGCCTCCCAGCCTTTCTTAGCCATCTCAAACAACAACCGAGTCTCCGAAATGGTCGAGACCTTAACCCATTCCTCACCGTTATCTGCCACGATATCCACAAAGACACTCTTCCGAACATCCTGACTCGGCCGTTTCTTCGTCCACCCTTTCCCGCCCTCCCCCGCACCCGCCGCTCCATCCCAGTAAAACCGCTTCCCAAAAGCTACCAAGCCAGTGCACGTATTCTTAGCGATGTTCCAAACCGCCTCGTAGAAGGGTAGATTCGACGACCGCAGCGCATGCAGAAGCCGTAACTCCGGCCCGTCGCCGTCTTCCGCGCTTGTGGCCGCCGTGACGGTATTGATCTTGCCGGCGAGTTTTTCGAGCATCCGTAGCTCGGACAGGACGTTGGATCTGAGCGAGCGGACTTCGACGAGCTGCGGGTTGCGTAGGGTTCGGGAGAGCATGGACTGGAGCGTGTCGATCTCGTCAAGGAGATTGCGGCATTGGCTCACAAGGGAGGCTGCGAGGGCGCGGCTGCTTTTGATACTGGATTCATCTTGTGTGTTTTGTGATTTGGTGTCATCGTCGACGAGGGCTTCTTGACTGCCAGCAGATTGGGTGTTTTGATCATTGTTGCCCATCATTGGCAGCGAGACTCTCCGAGTGTGAGTCAAAAAAAGGATAGACAATCGATGGCGGCCGAGGTAGGTAGATAAGTAAATAGCTGCTTAGGGCGGGCGGGCATGGAAACTCTATACCAGTCTCTCTCCAACAAATCCGCTGCTTTTACCCTCCAAGTATAGTCTCTAGAATTGTCGATAATGCTACGCAGCGAAGTAGATTTAAGAAGGATACAAGAAGACTCAATTAATCCATAATCGTAACTGTCGGAACTCGCAAAGCCAATCTATAATACACCAATCGGCCAAAACGCCATCAAATGCCTTTAACAGTCGCAGACAAAACGGAAAGATCTTTGGAGATCAAGCCTCCAAGTCCTGAATTTGTATAATATTGACTCGTCTTCTCCAGACACGAAGACACAAAATAATGCACTCTGCTACAACACAAGCCATCGGTTGTCCAGCTTGAAAGAGAAGACTTTGCCCTGCTCCATGACAGAGCCATTAGTCTGATTTGTGAGACGTGAGTCTCTGTCTCTCACTCGAGTTTCGTGGTGAATCATCCTCGTCATCAGACCATTTGTCTCCGTCCTCGCCTACGGCAAAGATGGTTTCTCCGTCGAGAGACTCCCGTTGGCGCGGAGCAGAAGGCACGGGTTTAGGAGGTACTGGCGACAGCTCGCGACGGGTTGCCGGGCCGGAGTTCGATTGAGGGCCTGCGAAAGCTTCTTCGTCGTCCAATACACTGTTGAAAGACCGAATCTCGAACCCATCGTCGTCTTGTGCAAGCTGCGACAAAAGTCAGTATTCACTAACGTAGGGGAGAGATTGGTACGGAAGCCGTATCTAGGACATACCTCATCACTCATTGCAAATCGTCTGTTGTTGGCAGTAGGCCTCCAGAGATATGCGACAAACGCGATATCGAACAAGTATACGAGGTTAAGCCATCCGTCGAGCACGAACCACCTGGTCTTCCAGTGATCTGGCACAAAGCTCGCTTCGCTACGACCGGCGAATGCAAACGAGTTGATAAAGAAGAACCCGAAGATGACGATGATGCTACCCAGAATACACCACCACAGCTTCTTGTACATCATCGCCTTAACCTTCTGTTTCCGATCAATCAGGTCCTTCATGGTTGCATTCAATGAGTTGAGAGTCCACACATAGAACCCGGTCAGAGTACCGGCGAGTGGGAGCACGATCAGGAGGACGAGCGGGCCGGCGCTATCGGGAGTGATTGACAAACTTGCAACAGCGTAGATGACGCCGAAGACGAAGTGGGTTATGGCCAGGATTCGGACATAGACCATGGTCCGACCTAAAGAGGGCTTGACCACACCGTAACCCATGCAAACGATGAGCAGAAGGAAGAAGGAAAAGGAGTTACGTCCTGCGTTTAGGACAGCGACGATAACCATCAGCACTTTCGCACCGACATTCAAGCCATGACGGTTTTGGAAATCTGCAAAAAAAGTCAGACAATCAAGCTTTCACCTGGACAAACTCTGTAGGAGTCCAATGAGTGGATTTACCGTAGAAGCCCCAGGTCATCAATTGTTCCAAGATAAGGAAAACAAGAATAGCGGTAATGTAGTTTTGCACAGGCACTGGTGAAAATCAGTAATAGAGCGTCATAAAGCAAGAATGGCACCCACGTATGTCATGACGATTCTGAACGTAAAGGAATGCCCAGAACCTATCCCAGTCATGTCAGTACACCCTCGAACCGATATGACGAGCTCTCGCAATCCCAAAACTTACACTCCAACAACAGCGTAGACAATGGTCAAACCGCCGTAGAACGGCAGCTTGGCAATCTGCGCAGCCGGAAGTTCACCATATGCGTTTCTAAATTCAACAGCGGCTTTGTAGTCCTTCCCAGAGTATCCATACGTGCTGACACAATAGAATCCGGTCTTTTTGATGGGATAGTTGATTGCAGCTGGATTCTTGAGATGTACTGCCTTCGAGATGATGGGGAAGTGTGATGCATCGCTTGCGTTGGCGGCCAATATAAAGGACCCTATCTGATCTTCCTCGCATAGCTTCGCTTCAACGCTGGCTCGATCGCAAATAGTTTCCTTGATCTAAAAGGTATGTGTGAGCGGAGCGACTCCTTTTTTGGTCATGAGTTTGGAGAAGACATACCTCGGGATTGTCGGATACTGATCTCCCGATCAAATTCTCATCGCTCCATTCGAATATAACAACACTGACAAGAGGATCGCCGTCGCCTGCGTCGGTACTTTGAACGAACTTGGTTGTGATGTAAGGATCCACGCTGCCACCCCATGCCTTGGGACCGTACATCCCTGAACAACGTTGTCGGTGCGCTTCATCCTGAGTCTAATAGAGCCATTCTGTCAGACACAAAAAAAAAGAGGAGTTATTGAACATGCGCGCACCAGTTCCACCTCATTTGCAAGCACTCCACCTGCCAGAAATGCAGTCAGGCTCAATGCCCTGAGCCAGCTCTTCATCTTGATCACAGCAAACAGGCGTACTAGGCCACCGAGATTCCGAGAGGAGTTTATCCGCGACCAGGAACCATCCAACTGAGAGCCGAATTGTCGATGTTGTATCAAATCTTCAGTTGGAATTCCAAGAGGATTGACTTGGAATTCTCTGGTTTCTGGCAGAGTAGCTTCAATGGAAGTTGAATTGGAGCTTACCCGTAGATAGTTCGCAGACTAGATAGAAACGGCTTTAAATTGGTCATGGGCCATCGTGGCTACACTGGGACCGGGGAAGCCGCGTACTGACGGTCCCACCAATCATACTGTGCCTGTAGTGGCACCGCCATCGACTTTCTGCCTCTACAAGGGAAATTTCTCGCCGTCACGGCCTGTATACTATTATTGCTGCCCGATCTATTCAACGCGAAGCTAGGCAAGCAATATCAAAATGCCTGGAAAAGAGCTGACAGACCCTTGTGTGGACTGCGCCGATGCGGAGGCCATATTGACGGTGCGATGCCGTCGTCTTTGCCAGTATGGTTGACCTTCAGAGATTCTCCAAGGTGGGGTGGATAAATGTTGACTGAAATTCTCTTTATATAGGGATTGCTATGCAAGATTCGTGAATTTCAAAGTGTTTAAGCGCATGGAGAACTACCGTCTTCGAAGAAATATGTCCAGAACTGGCCCATGCAAACTGCTGCTTCCGCTCTCATATGGCACCTCCTCCTCGGTGTTGTTGCACATTCTGAATGCTCAGATTCAACACGAGCGCGCAAAGTCCCATCCCTCCCCAGGCTTTGAACTTCATGTGCTCGTGATAGAGCCTTCGACCGTCTCAACTTCAAGCCCACCGCACGATGAAGGGTTTGACCTGCTTCAGCAGACTTTCCCTTCGCACTCCTTCACTCGGGTCTCGCTTCACAATGTTTTCGAGTTGGATCCTAGTATTCAGGATGTCCTTTCACAGTTTTCCAGCGAAGGCTTTACAGACGATGCCACTATGTCGGATAAAGACCGTCTGGATGCCTTCCGTGCTTCCATTACAACCGCTACATCCCGAGTCGACGTTGATTATATCTTGATTACCCGACTCGTCGTCGCATTTGCGAAGAAAATTGAGTGTAGAGGAGTGGTATGGGGAGATTCGGATACTAGACTCGCGGCCAAGACTCTCGCCAATGTGGCCAAAGGACGTGGCTCAGCTATTACCTGGCAGGTGTGCGATGGAATGTCGCCGTTTGGCCTCGAGTTCAGCTTTCCTTTGCGGGACTTGTACAAAGCTGAGGTGCAAAACTACGCGAGTTTCTTTCCTGAATTGGCCAAGATCATCATCCCAGACGAGCCGCCTTCGGAAAACATTCTTACTAAGAACTTGTCAATCGACGAACTCATGATGCGCTACGTTCAGACACAGGGTGAAAAGTACCCCGGCATTATGGCCAATGTGACGCGGACTGCAAGCAAGCTCCAAGCATCTCTAGTACCTGCTAACGTACCTCGATGCAGTTTCTGCGGGGGCTCCATGCTGAATCAAGACGGTCAAATCATTATGGGTGGTGCCGCTGGCAATTCGGAAGTCCGTCAGGGAGCCGAACTATGCTACGCCTGCACTAGGTCTCGTCCTGAAGTATCTTATTAAAATTATGAATATTAGACTCTAAAGATTACAACTCTGCATTGCCTCAACAGGAAACACAACACAAGTTCGAATGACTAAGGAAAAGGACGCCCTTTACGTTCGCCTTTTACTTCTTGAGTTGTCGACCACTCCAGTCTCCAAGTCGTCTTCCCGATGTGATGCTCCTCCAAACCATCTGTTTTGGGACCGGTTACTCTGCGAATGTTTGGCGGCTTTAGGCTTAGCAGGACCTGTATGCGCGCGGTCATCGTGCCGGGGCGGCTCACCCACGGTGCTCTCATCGTATCGATCGAATTCTTCCGGCAGGCTCATATCAACAGTTCCTTCTTGATTTCTCCTTTGGGCTTTGAGAGTTTTCGCTCCCCTTTCCCGCAAATGCTTTTCCAGGATGACCGCATTCCGCGTATTGCACTTGTAGGCGGCATCTGCGAGATCTCCCACAAATGGAATAAGGCCGATGAAGAAGTCAATCAACACATTGATCAGCATCATCATTCGAAGACGTGCTGGTAGGCCCCCATCGACGTTCTCGCAAGTCTTCACGACCATCATGGCGAGAGCCGCATCGCCGGCGTCACCGATACTGAGACAGGTGTAAGCATTGGTGCTTCGAGGTATTATACGTCGGACCTTGAACTTACAAAGGAACCAACCCAATGACACTGCCCCAGCCAAAGCGAATGCCGCAGAGATTGAACAGGCTGTAGTCCAGTCTATACGCCCTGCGTTTCACCTGGGTGAGGATCTTACGATCGTTATCGGACAGGCCAGGAGGAATGGCCTTGCGTCTCTTCTGTGTTTTCTTTCCAAAGGCACGGGACAGGCGCGAAGCCGGAACTTCCTCGAAATAGGGATCCTGTGAGCAAAATTGCGTTAGCAGGAGCGAGTCTGACCATTGAAAGAAGAATCCTATCTCGTCAATAACATCAAATTAAGCCTACCTCTTGACCGAAATGATTTCTTGCCGACTCTGCTAGGATCCTCTTGCCGACCAAGGATACCAGAGCACCCGACATTGCTTCTCTGAGAACAAGTAGAATAAGGGTGCGATTGAATGCTAGACCGAGCGCTTAGGTCAATGTTGAAAGAGAAATGATGCGAAATGATTTATAAATTTTCCGCTTCCAGATGGAATGAAATTCAGCAAAGAGTGCTGGCGTGATGTTGCTCCCTTGTACAAGAGGTGGGTGTACGGGCGAAAACTCCCAATCTTATGCTCCGATTATATCGTTTAAGATAAATTAAGCTTTTGGAAATTTGACGTAGCAGGCCACACTGGGCATGATATAAGCCGGTTTTTCTTTTATGCTGAGCTGTATCTGGTGTTAAGAATTCATTTCTATATGGTTGCTACCCGTCTGCTGTTAAAAATAATGTCCTTTCTTTTTACTCCCTTCACATGAACAAGAAAACGTCATCCCGTCTTGTCCACCGGCACCAGCACAGATGATCCTTACTTTTCTTTCCCAGATTTTGGTCTGCTGATCGGCATCAGCCACAATGTCACTCGTGCACAACATGGAAGAACTCAGATAAGTCATGGAAAGCAAGTTCAGCGGTGGCGTAAACAGATTCACTGACTGACTGCGCCACAGGCCCTCTGGGGTTCGGGCTTTCTGTTAATCCAGCTCAGCTCCTCCTCTTCGGCTCTTCCCTTTGATGATTGTCGCCCAACACTCCCATCGACTGTCTAGCGCAAGGTGAACATACCACAACTTTCTTTCTTGTCATATACCCTGTTCCTGTTTCTCTTTTTATCAGGATAGACACAGAATTGAATTGGTCTGCTCTTGCCAGGCCTTTCCAATCTCTTTGAGCAACAGTACGCTTCCGGGCTGGCAATTATTGCCAAGCACCCTTCTTCGAAGCTGCGTCACTGGTGTGCTGTCCCCCCTCCATCTCCGTCATCCTCTCCACGCTGTTGGTTTTGGAGAGAGGTTTTTTCAAGCAGACCAAAGGCTGTGTTGAAATGCTAGAAGACGTCGGACAATATGACAGAAACAAAGATGCAGCTGGAGGACTGTAAGTGTTTCTGTCCGCGCTCCGGTCGCGCAAGGCGTCGATGGCGACTGCAGCCATAATGAGGTTGATGCTAAATGCTTGCGACCCCTGGGTTTAGGGCTGGATGACCTGTGTGTCCGCTTCATCATAAATTTACCCCGCGAAGAGTTGGAGTCCGTCGAGCGGATCTGTTTCCAAGTCGAGGAAGCGCAATGGTTCTACGAGGATTTCATTCGGCCGTTGGACCCGGCACTTCCCTCGTTGTCGCTGAAAGCTTTCGCGTTGCGCATCTTTCAGCACTGCCCGCTCATGTCACAATGGTCTCACTATCACCACATCACGGCCTTTTCGGAGTTTCTTGCCTACAAGACCCGTGTGCCTGTGCGTGGGGCTATTATGCTAAACCAGGATATGGATGAAGTCGTACTGGTGAAGGGGTGGAAGAAGGGTGCCAATTGGAGTTTCCCCCGTGGTAAGATCAACAAGGGTGAGAAGGATCTTGACTGTGCCATCCGCGAAGTTTACGAGGAGACGGGCTTTGATGTTCGACAGGCTGGGCTGGTGAAGGATGATGAAAACGTCAAATTCATCGAGATTACCATGAGAGAACAGCACATGCGCCTATATGTTTTCCGCGGTGTGCCCCAGGATACCCATTTTGAACCTCGCACCAGAAAGGAAATCAGTAAAATCGAATGGTACAAACTGTCGGAGCTGCCGACCCTGATGAAGAAGAACAAGCCAAATGATGAGAGTTTGGCTGTCGCGAATGCAAACAAATTTTACATGGTTGCACCTTTCATGCACCCGCTCAAGAAGTGGATCGCACAGCAGAAGAGGCTCGTCGCAAAGACAGAACCATATGGCGCTAAACAGTTGGCGCAGGTGGAAGGGGAGATGTCTATGGACGAAGCCTTTCAACCTATCATCAACAATCGGCCAACGAGGCAGAATGTTCCTAGTGACCTACCCGAAGTTACATTACCCGAAGACGCATCCTCTCACCTCAAACGACTGCTTAACATCAACTCTCTTTCTGCGCAGAATCCACTTGCTCCCTCTACGACCCTCCAGGCTGACACTTCAAAATCTAATGCTCTCTTGCAATTACTCAGGAGTGGCTCTTCTCGCGAACCTACCCCTCAGGCCCCTGCAATTGATAGAGCAACGCATCCAAATGCAGTTTCTGGGATTCATCCCCCAACGCATCAACCCGAGTCTCTTTTGGCACCGAATTTCTTTCCAGGATTTCCTCAGCAGTTTAATCAAGCTGATCAACCAGAAAATCTGCCACGGATCCCTCGAAAGCCCTATCATGGCACCGCTCCTCCGTCTTTACCTATGTCCACACACCCATATGCTAGCAATGAGCCATCTCCGCCCTTTGGATATCATGGCTTACCACAATTCCAGAACCGCCACGGACCTGAAATTCACGCACTTAGCCAAACACACCGGCCCGCGCCCGCGCCTGCACCGTATCAGCAAACCGGTGACCCTCAATTCTCACAGCCTGCTCACGCTCCGCAGATTCAAGGCGCAACTGTCCCCCCAGCCAGCAATCTACCTCCTCCCAAGCTTACCAGCCACTCATTAGCGCTTCTGAATGTGTTCAAGGATAATTCCACAAGAAGCCCTCAGCCATCAAACCCGAGTCTGGTACAGCGCTCCGAGCAAACGATAATGGCCAAGCCCAAAACATTGCACCACCAGGACCAATTGCTCGGCCTTCTTAAGGGTGCTCCTCCATCTGCGCCAGCTGAACTCTCGGCCCAGCCTGTTTCCCCAGCAGGAAAGCGAATTCTGCAACGGTCCCGCGCTGAACCTAGCACTCCCAAGCGATCTGCATCTCACATGAGTACGATGCCAAAGGGGGACCCGCGCACTTCTGCCACTGCGTCGGGTGCTGCGTCGGGTGCTCCGAATGTCACTCACCCCGAGCCGAACTTCAGAGGGCCAGTAAAGAAGATGCAGAATGGGTCGAATCGGAAGAATAAGGATCGACAGACGCAGCCTCTTGCATCTCCAATCACCATATTGTCGAGACCGCAGTCTGGGAGGAAAGAAAGCTCTCCAACTCCAGTGATTTCTCGATCTCCCAAGCCTCCTTCCAGAGCTTCCTCACAGCCTCGCACCAACAAACCGAAGGCCGCTGAGCCATCGAAGCCATTTCAACCACAAATCTTACGTCGCTCCGATAACCTTAGTTTGGATAACATTTTACCAACGCGGAGTAAAGATAACGATGGCCCTAGTCAGCAAACGGCTGGTCCACCTCCAAACGACGGTCAAGGGACGAAACCTGCACAAGCAAACTTCGACCGTCGGCCGAGTCAGACTGTTGCCCAAAAAGAGACTCTGCTCTCGCTGTTCGGCAAGCGGCCCGTTTCTCCCCTCACATCGCCTGCTGTGAAGCCCGCCCTTCATTCTTCAGTAAACAAGCCCTCAGCTCCTTCTTCGGCTGTTAGCTCGCTGTCCCCAGTTGGTGCGCCATCCGAGTTGGACACTGAGATCAACGCAAACAAGGTGTCATCGCCGGTGAACAAGGCTTTCTTGCTTGGATTCTTGGAAGGCGTGGCCAAGGGGAATAAGTAATACTCATGTTTGAGCTGATGTAAAGGAGTTATTATTATGTCTAGCAGGGACCTGTAACCCTGGGAATGTTGGTTGTACAAACCTCTCAAGTATCAACTTGTATTGAAACGTTGAATGGGAACTATCACATCGGGCTCTGCACCACTAATAGTATTATTGGTCGATTTTCTCCATCAACATATCTTATCATGTTTCTGCCATATCTGACCGCCCACCTGTCGATGTCATCGAGCCTTCGATTTGTAAACGATGCTTGCCGAAAGTGTACCTTTTCCAATGAAGAGTTAGCACCGACATCATGCGTCCTACGACATCCACACAGAACATCTGTGCTCGCTGCTTGAACCGCGGGCGGCATTTCTCAACCAATGTGCAGCATCGCGCTCAGCAGCCGAGTAATGCGATCGTCTCTTCCCCGCCGCAGACCGGATATGCTCGACTCACAAACCGGGGTTTGATATCGATCACAGGCATTGACAGCACGACATTTCTCCAAGGCCTGATCACGCAGAATATGCTAGTTGCGAATGACCCGAATCGCGCAATCCGCCGAACCGGCACATATGCCGCCTTCCTTAATTCTCAAGGCCGTGTATTAAACGATGCATTTATCTACCCGATGCCCAGAGTCGACGGAGGGGCTGCCGCACCCGAGGACCCGGCATGGCTGGTTGAGGTGGACAAGTGCGAGGTCTCCAGCCTCATGAAGCATCTCAAAAAGCATAAGCTGCGGTCCAAATTGAAGTTGCGGGCATTGGAAGACGGCGAGCGCACCGTCTGGTCGTCATGGAAGGACCACACCGAGCCCCGATGGGCGGCGTACAATCTTGAATCCGAATCGTCGTCACAATTCTCACCCTCGTCGCCCATCGCGGGCTGTGTTGATACCCGCGCTCCGGGGTTCGGATCCCGAATCGTCACCCCCGGCGGGGAGGACCTCCGCATGCACTTCCCCGACGAGGCCCAGGTCGCTGGAGGGGAAGTCGATCTGGGAGCTTATACCGTGCGCCGAATGTTGCACGGCATCGCGGAGGGCCAGTCCGAGATCATCCGCGAGTCGGCTCTGCCGCTCGAATGCAACATGGACATGGCGCGGGGGGTCGACTTCCGCAAGGGCTGCTATGTGGGCCAGGAGCTTACGATCCGTACCCACCACACGGGGGTGGTGCGCAAGCGGATTGTGCCTGTGCAGCTATACACAGGCGCTCAGGATACCGTTCCTGTGGATGGGCTCCCAGCGTATGATTCATCTGTGGAGGTGCCCTCGCCGCCGAGCGGAACGAACATTTCGAAAGTCGGCGCCAGAAAGGGCCGTAGTGCTGGGAAGTTCCTTGGCGGGGTGGGAAACATCGGCCTGGCTCTCTGTCGGTTGGAGATGATGACCGACATCGTGCTTACAAGTGAGGGGACACAGTATAATCCCGAAACTGAATTCAAGGTCTCGTGGACGGCAGCTGACGAGGGACCAGTGGGCCCTTCGGATTCTGGAGAGGTGAAGATCAAGGCGTTCGTGCCACCTTGGCTGAGGGAATACATTGCCTCCGGTGGAGTGAGAAACACTGCCCGAAAGATTGATAATGAAGATGCCCAACGGGCAAGGGAGCTCCTGTATCAACTAGACGAGGAGGAAGAACTACGGCGGAACGAGTGATCCGATCCGAGTCAAAGATGTATCATAGACTGTATTGTATATATTGGTCACTTTCAGCAACTCTATACCATTGAAACATCTCATATAAAGTTTAACTATAACCAAGCTCTAAGGGGTATCTATGCAGTTTGACGTAGTTTATCATACAAATGACGCACGGAAGCAAAAAAATGAGAAGGAAAGCATATTTAGCTCTTGGCCTCGGCAGCCGCAGCTTCAGCAGCATCTGCGGCTTCGTCCTCTTTCGCAAGCTGTGCCTCCAAAGCCTTCCGTTCCTTCTCGCGCTGCGCGTTCTTCAATCGCATCAATGTCGCTTCTTGGAAACTAAGGGTGCTTGGCTTGTCGGTCGATGGCATTGATTTTGATGAGCCGGTGGCGGCGAACGAAGCGAAAGAAGGTGCTTTCCCGGGCGTCTTGGCAGCAGTACCGCCAGGAGCTGCTGTCTTGAGACTCGAGAAGTTGAAAGAGGGTTTAGACGTGGTGGTTGAAGAGGTTGCTTTTTGTGTCAAGGGGACTTCGACTGGAGTAACGGCGGGGGAAGCAGGCCGGTTCTCTGTTGCGCTCCCTAGATCTGGCGCATTGCCTGAAGCCCAGAAGACAGAATCGATAAGTGCCCAGTCGTTGTCTGATTGCCCGGTGCTCTGGCGGATCTTCTTTTCGCTGTCAAGCACGGCGGCATGGGCATTGACGATGGACGCGAAAACCACGACACCGGTTGCCACAGTCTTCTTTTCGCGTTTGTCTCCGAGCCGCTGCCGCTTATCCTTGAGCATGAAAGTATTCTCGACGGCCCCGAATGGTTTGAACAACGAAATCAAGCGCTCCTGGTCTAGATCCAGACCCCGACCTTCCCGCACCCAGCGTACCTTTACTGCGCGCTCGAGCTCAGGGATATTCGTGCCGCCTTCTTGTGAGCGATCGACTCGCTGGCTACTCCTGTCCGCAGCCCTCTGCGCTTCCTCTTGCTCCTCTCGCAGCCGTCGCTCCTCCTCCTCAGATTCCCGCTTCAATCGTTCCTCAGCCTCCCTGCGCCGCCGCCGCCCATCCTCTGCAATCCGGTCAATCTCGCGCTGAAGCTTTTCCTCCGCATCATCGTCGCCCACACCGGTTGACATCCAAGTTCTCTTGACACCCCGTTGCGCGCCACCCATTTCAGCCGCGCCGGCACGCTCGCGCGCCTCCAGATCCTCTCTCATCTTCCTCTTCGCCGCATCCATCATCTCCACCTCGCGCTTCTTCCTCTCCCTCGCTTCCCGCGCATTGTCGTAGAGCTGGCGCACGGTCGGGTCGGAAAGTACATCGTAGGCGATCTGTAACACGTGGAACTTGTCGATGTCTGCCTGCGTGGGATTCACGATCTTGTCTGGGTGGTATTTGAGGGCGGTTCGTCTGTATGCACGGCGGATCTCGGTTTCCGCGGCTGCAGGGGAAATATCAAGGAGCGCGTAAAAATCTTGGTTAGAGGCAGCGTGTGCCTTCAAGTCATCGTCCGAGGCCATCGTGAAGGGATGTTGAGGACCAAGTTACGAAAGCTCGCTTGCTTGTGAAGTGGTTGTAGGTCGTTGACGGTACTCGAAATCGCTTGATCGAAAGTTTTATGAGAAAATTGTCATAGTAAGAATGGGCTAGTTACCCTAGGTTGTGGAACAAAAGGGTAGGACTGATACTGAGCCGCTAGTTAAGTGGCGTGGTAAGTTGTTGTTTGAGATGAAGCTGGAGAAAGCTCCGCTCTTTTTCTACTGGCGGCGGTGGCGGGACGTGTTTATCACGCCCAATTCTAGTCTATCTCCACAGCTCTCTTGTCTGACCACAACTGTCGACATCTCCGCACAGAGAGGTGTCCAAGAAATGCTTTGTAGCACTATGATATATATCTTGGAGCTTGACAGAATGGTATTAACTCAATGAACCTATGTTGCGCTGTTTAGTTCTGGTCAAACCTCCTTCCCGACAGGCTCTATGTACTTGGACAACCAGCTAGCCCAAGGAAGCGTCTATACATGCTCTCCCCCCTTTCCACGGGATAGTTTGGTACTCTGAGTCCGTGGTATACTGGCTGAGGTGGACCCATCTCCAAAGCGAGGGAGGACTGCAACATAGGTAGCGCAAAATGATGTCTTCTGCCACTAATATACCTTTACGATCTCGACGTTGTCGAATGCCGCATATGATTGAGATAGGTTCATCGGTTCTCCCAGAATCTTGATGCTTGTGCTTGACTTGGTATACTGATGGTTGGTCTACTGATGGAACGTATATATCTGGGATGCTGGTGGCACGTGTCTGGGGGTTGTAGAAACTGCCTGAGGCTTCGAGACCATCCTTCATTGTCATCCGAGGAAACAATCTCTATCACCATTGCTATCCCCAAACATCAAGAGATAGGTTTATTGCGTTAGCAAGGAAATGGAGAAAGCATCTGCGCCTGAGTCTATACCCTCTCAACCCCAATTAGCCCTCGCAATGGCTATTGTCAAACAGAAACCACCAGGGATGGATATCAAAGGTTGCCAACCCCTGAGGTCTCTTTCCCTGGGAGAAGATTGACCGGACTATAGACTATGTACTTCAGATTCGACAGTATATCAAAAATGCAAAGGAGCAGGATCCAGTGTATCTGCAAGATAGATTCTTTGACAGCGTTTCGTTCTGGCAGCAAGCGTACGAGAGATCCGAAGCGGAACAAAGCAGATTGATGGATCGAGTCTATGAGCTTGAGCAACGCAATGAAGCCCTTCTGGCAAAGATGCAGGCTCAGAAAGTGGCCACTCAACATGAGGCGCAAGTGTCAACGAAGAGGAAGGCGAATGGGAACTCGGGTGCTTGCAAAAGAGCAAAGACACAAGGAAACCTGCAGACTCAGGCCCTCGAGACTGTTATTGGAAGATATAAGCTTGTCGGACAAAAATATTATATAGAAGAACGTCAGTCGAGGACTCCTTCTGTACGATGACTTTGGCTAACTATTCATGTCGACAGCTTCTGGGGCATTCATGCGGCATTTCTACACTCTCCAGAAAGCCATTCAACGAAGGCCCAGTCGTTCAAATATTGTGCAGGCCGCAATCTGCCTATGTCAGGTGGCAACGAAGGATCTGCTCAGCGCGGTTTGTGAGAAGAAAGAGACTGGCTTGCGTGCTAGCAAAAAGTCCCTCCTTCAGACAGGGCAGCCCAAGTTGACGCAGGTTATGCGCAGTGTCGAATGCGCTTTCGGTCTTCTTCTCCAAGCATTGCAGAAACTACCGGATTCGGAAAATGCTCCCCAAGACAAGGGCCGGCTCAAGTATCATCTAGTTGAACTGTATCAAGCTATAGCAACTACGCTGGAACGATACTGCGTTACCAAGTCTGCCCAGACTTCTCCAGGCACGGTTTCAAAATCGTCGAAGAACAAACAGAGTAAAAGGTCAAAAGGTGGAAAGGCTACCCAGAGCTTGGAGCCTTCGACTTCCGAGATCACAGATGAGGTAGCCAACCAGCTCAGTCAACTGCTCGGTACAATGGCGCTCTCCCTAGATCTATCTTGCCCAGATCACCAAGGGCTCTTTGAAGGGTTTTTGTTCACTCTACTCAATCGTGTGGGTACCCTCTTATGTATATTTGTCTTCCAGGATTTGCAATTGCGACCCGATCTTCATGTGAATATGACAAAACTCCCGCTACCCCAAGGTTTGGTTGGAGTCGAGCTGGATGATCAGTCCTTGCGTGCTGCACAAGTCGAGGCAAGATATCTGGTGTGGCCGGTGGAAAGAGCTCTAGCCTTACTGGATATGGCACCGGCGCCACAAAAGACTGGCGGGACGATGGAATTTGTAACCACCACCAGGCAGAAGCTACAGGGCACTCTCCTTCAGGCGGTCTTCGGATCCGACAAGTCTATGTTTCCGCATACGTTACAGCTTCCCGAAAAGCTTGATCCACGGACACTTACGAGCTTGCCGGCTTGTACTTATATTACTGAACAGTCTGTTCCCGAGTGGTTCACGCGGGAAATCTGGAGGTTGCTGGGGTGGGAGTTACTTGTGAATAAAGGGTCCCTCAAGGACTAGAGGCTACGCTGCATCGTGTCTGGATCTCGTTATCTTTTCTCTGGTGCAAGTGGAAGATGTCCTGGGTAATTCGTGAAGTCTGCCTTTTACTCTGTGTTTCCATCGAGATTGCTTTCAAACCTAAGCTGATATGACATATCATAAATATATTTCACTTTACAACGTCGCTGCAATAGGGACCAGGTGATCATGCTTAGAGCTATGTTTTGATTGATATAGCGACTCAAGTTCTACCTCATTTGAGACTCAGAATACGTGCGGCATTTCCGCCCAGAATACCCTCCACTGCTTCTTTGTCGGTGGCAAACGCAGCAGAAATTGCCTTGTAGTTGGTTGTCACACTGACCCATTCGGCATCTTGGTCGTTATCCAGAGGAGGAAAGAAGGGGTGATCAGTGCCTGGCAGAACGTCAGTATAACTTGATAAAGACGAAGAAGCAGAAAAGAAAAGAACCGAAGCATACCGAACATGAGACGATCCGGGCTACCAGCGGCGGTAACGGCTGCTTTCAGACCCGCGGTGCCATATACCACAGCATCTAGGTAGATATTCGTCTGCAAGACATCCCAGACACTCTTCTGCAGACCGGGTTGATCCCCGCCATTCGCGACAAACTTGCGCTCATGGTGAATGCAGCTCTCGATCCGACCGGCAAGGAACGGCAGGGTTCCGCCGGAATGCGCCAGCAAGATGCGCAGGCCAGGGAATCGATCAAACACACCCGACAGGAACATCCGCGTTACCGCAATGGTAGTCTCTAGTGGGAAACCCAATGCGAGGGGGAGAACATGGCCGTAGCGATTCGTCACATCTGCGCCGCCGAAGGCCTCGTCGGGAAGACCGTAGTGAGGGTGCAGGAACATCAGCGATTCAGTCTCCTGTAGAGCAGCCCATACAGGGTCCAGCGCGGGGTCATCAAGGCCCTTTCCCAACCCGGAGGTACCCATGATAACACCCCGGAGGTGTGGTAACGTCTTGAGTCTCTTGATCTCATTCACCACGATGTCGGGGTTCGGCGCGCTGAGCGGCAGGGAACCGAATGCGAACAGTGTTTCCTTTTCGTTGAGAGCCAGGGTATTCTCTTTGTCGGCTGCTTGGTTGACACGCGCACATGTCTCTTCTAGATCATCGTTGATGCGCTCTGCCCACACCTGGGCTTCTTCAGGCTCGAGGAAATCTAACCATGGATTGGCTAGGGAGATCACACTACTGTTGATGCCATGACGGCGCATGAATGACAGCTTCACGTTGACATCGGAGTAGGACGAGTCGACTGGGCGACCACGCTCATCGAGAGGGACTGACGGGTCGTCGTCTGAGGAAAGAATAATCAGACGTGGTGTTCCGTTGGCTGGGTCGTGGATGTAGGGGACTGTCTTGCGGGAGCGCAGCAGCTCCATATAGGATGGAGGGTAGACATGGGTGTGAATGTCGACAACAAGAGGGGAGGTCATGTTGATCTGCTTGCTTCGTATTATATCGGAGCAGCCTTATAGGTAATGAGGAGGTTTCGGGTCAGTCCAAGGAGAAGTTGATATAGGTATACAAGAGGAGAGGAAAAGAAGGGCTTTTGACTTGTTCTTGAAGTACCCAATGCGGGGCACACAAGGATGCAGGCGATGCAGAGCGCATTTATCACCGTCTCGCAAAGCAAGCATCTTTCCTTGAAGTTTAAGGAAAGATGGATGATAACCGTATCAACGGCTTATCTGCCTCTGATTGTCGTGTTGATAGCTGCACAAGTTTCCATCTCATCTCGCAATACACTCTCCTGAATGGTCCAAGCAGCCTATCTGCCATCGACACGCTCAATCTCCCATCAGCCAGCGTCTTATCATCGCGACCAACACCAGACAGATCCGACAAGGGACATCCTGCACGAGGCAATTTATCTTCCCCGCTTCACATTTCTATCATCTGATGATTTGAGATGCAAATATTTAAGTGAAGATGAAGGGACGCGTATTTTCGGATGAACCATGGCTGCTGTCCATTGATCCTCAGTTCATCACTGATCTCCCTCTAATCCTTGTTCCCTTGTTGGTTCACAGTTGAATAGTGATTTCATTGCAATCACCATTGTTCTATTATATCAGTTCTAGTAACACTCTAGAATACTCTCAGATCTCCTTCTAGAGATCCATCTTTATCCTCGCGTCCTATTCACTAAGCCAAATGTCTGAAATGGACAACGCCTCTTCTCAGCCTCAGCGTCGGCCGGTCATTACGGCAGTGGACAAGGATGACCTTGTCATTCCTGTGAGTATCCTTCATCTCAAAGAAAGACGTTATCCATTGCTATTGGGGCTGCTCTGTCAAGTATCTATCCTGACACGAATTCGTATTCCCATCAGGTCATTGAATTTGGTCCCTTCTTGACAGGAACGCCGTCCGACAGGAATGCCGTCGCTGCTTCGGTCACAAATGCGTTCAAGACATCGGGTTTCCTCTATCTCAGAGACCATGGCATTCCATTCTCTACTGTATCCCAGGTATTCGAGTCTTCTGCCCGCTTCTTCGCTCGCCCTCAAGTTCAGAAGGACAGCTTGGGCTGGACCTCCCCACAGTCGAACCGTGGTTACATCAAGACGGGCCAAGAGAAGCTCAATCTACCCACTGATACCACCGACAAGGACACCGCTAAACGTGTGACTCCAGATCTCAAAGAGACAATGGAGATTGGTCGTGATGATGTTGATGGCCTTCCAAATCGCTGGCCCGATAATCTTGATGACGAAGGAAAGGAATTCAAGAAAGTGATGCAGTCGTTCTTTGAGAAGTGTAAAGCCCTGCACACGGAGGTCATGCGCGCCATCGCCATCGGCATGAACTTGCCGGAGCACTACTTTGATAATTACGTCGATGCTGGGGACAACAATCTTCGCTTGCTGCACTATCCTTCAGTCCCCAAGGACACTTTCAAACAGAATCCGGGTCAGGTTCGCGCTGGAGAGCATAGTGATTACGGCTCGATAACGCTTCTGTTCCAAGATCAGCGCGGAGGACTGCAGGTTCGGAGCCCTAAGGGCACCTTCGTCGATGCGACGCCTATCGCAGACACAGTTGTTGTGAACGCTGGCGACTTGCTAGCTCGCTGGTCCAATGATATTATCAAGAGTACTCGTCACCGGGTCGTTGAGCCTCCGAAGACAGTCGAGGCTGGCTCAGATGATGGTTCAGATTCCTACCCGGCCCGATACAGTATTGCATATTTCTGCAATCCCAATATGAACAAGTTCATCGAAGCTCTGCCAGGAACATTCGAGGAAGAATTGAACGAGTCGAAGAAATATCCAGGAATCACCACTGGTGACTACCTTGTGCAGCGACTGACAGCCACTATCTAGTTCGGTCTGGGTATTGTTGATTGATATAGTTTATAAGCGAGCTCTTCTCTAGTCATAGTTCCCTTCATACCACCACGGTGTTGATTTTGATATTTCTGGATTAAACTTAAAACTCTATGATTCATGGTTCATTCGGAGCGAGACAACACGCCCAGCTGTATACGGGTCGATATCTGCCTCATTCGACTCCAGTGACTATTTGCGTTACATGACCTTGTTTTGGTTTCAATAAACCGCGGGATGAACAGCCGTTCGACCCCCATCAGTCACGACAATGCTCCCATTCATATAACCTCCGGAAGCGCTGGCCAGCCAGAGGATCAATCCGGCGATATCCTCATCGCTGCCACCCCTCGTCAGAGGGATCCTTTCACGTGGAAAAGATCCATCAGAAACTCCCCTATTGCCTCCCGAGAACGATTCCGCCGACATCTCCGAAAAGTACAGACCGGGCGCGATGCCGTTAACCCGAATATCATACGAACTCAGAGTCGTTGAAAGCATCTTGACCAGATGGGTCGTTGCCGACTTACTCAAACTGTACGCATAGCTGAAGGGGACCTGCCGAATGTGACCCGCAATCGAACTGGTGATGACAACCTGCGCGGTGGGTGCAGAGAGCTTATTCATCTCCGGCGCCGGTCTCTGCTTGTTCGCTGCCTCGAGCAGAGGCAGGAACGCGAGGACGGTGTAATAGGCCCCTGTAACGTTGATGTCGAAGATTCTGGAGAATTCCTCCATGGGCACTGACCAGAGCTTATCACGGATTTCGGTGAGACTCGGCAGTGACCCGTCCTCTTTTGCGGCGGGGGGCTTGATTTCAGGCCCCATAACACCACTGTTCGCGATCAAGAGGTTGATATGTCCGGTCTGGGATGCGATGGCCTCGTAGGCTGCTTGCAGGGACTCCTTGGACGAGACGTCGCCCTTGATGGGTATGATTGAGTTGTTGACTGCCAGGAAGGCAGTCTCCTGCAGCTTGTCTTCTCGTCGGCCGACGATGAAGACTTTCGAGGCGCCGTTTGCATCGAGTGCAAGGGCCATTGTCCGACCCAACCCTGGATAGAGTACATTGTCAGCGCGTCCCTCTGACCAAGATTCAATTTTCAAATAGTGAAGATGCATCCTCACCACTTCCTGCTCCTGTCACCACCACGACAGCTCCCTTGACGGAGAACAACTGTGACGCTTGCAAATTCGACATGACTGCGTTGATTATCGATTACGGACAATCTCTATGAACATAAACCACAATAAAGACACTGGAAAAAAACCGAATTCGCCAGAATCATGGAAGAGCGCCCTCATATACTCCCTCTTTGGCGTCATCGAACCCCCACACGGCTATGTTTCCGAGATGCGGGGTTGCCGCCAGTCGGCATTTCCCCGTGGAAGAATCATAGGCAGTCGACTGGTATCTATCAAGTATCGACCTCTTTCTCTATTTCTAAGCAGTCTTTGACTCTCCTGTCAGATGCTTATCTCGACCGCTAACTAGGTGCAGCAGGCCAGGGATCTTGTGGGGGCACCCGCAACACCAGTTGATATGGCACATCTACACCATAGCGTTAAGCACTCTGGAATAGCACATTCCATTTGGAGCACAGAGGCAAAATTAGGAAAGAGTCGAGCCTTAGGTTCTCCAACATGCCTATGGCCTATGGCGAGAAAGCAATCTCCTTTCCAGCTTTAGGTCCGAAATCAACGCCAGGACACCAAAGAAAGATGAACGTCAACTGCCTGGATATCTGTGCATGTTATCCTCAATGCTGCCATCCGATAAGCCGTCACGACTGCCTGTTATTAGCTGACCGGAGTCGAGTTCCTTGAGTTTATTGTGGATGATCTTCGTCCAACGTCATCCAGCCGGGAGATCCGCTACATCCGCTCTATGGTTTGCATACAGTCAACAACACCGATCGATGTGATCGGGAAATCGGCAGAGAATCCTGTTCAAGCAGAGCATCTGTTGCATATCTCGTGCTGCGAAGTATATGATCTTGCATCGAACGCAGGTGCCCACACTTGATGCCAACATATGCTCATATCTTATGTTGCTATATGTTGCTCCTCAAGCGTGAGCTCTAACTCCTGAACTGGAAAACAATCACAATAGCATTTCAAAGCTATCATCCATGGGATGACGTTGCTTTTGCCAAAGATGCATGCCTGTCAGGGATTCTATAGCGACTCCACCGTCCCATTTTGATGAAGCCAGCCATGGTAGACTCAAACATGACGAGGCACTCTACAGTGACTGCCTTTGAAGCTTCAGTTACATTTCGGTGCTCCCGGACATTTGTTGAGAGAGCTCTCATTGAGACAGGGGCTCAACATCTGATTCGCGAGCTCGGAGAGGAACCAACCCTATGACGTTGGAGTACTAGGGCACGCAACAATGGTCCTTGTGAGGAGAGGGTACCGACTACCAATAGCTACCGCAAAGTTATCATTCTTCAACAACGAAAGGCACAACGTCATGTTTCTATTATGGAAATCTTGCGTCAAGCCTAGGTTCTCCAAGCATGACTAGGGAGGCGGGACGGTGCATATATGTAGCTCTGGCGCCCCTCAAAAGGTTGTCTTTCTTTGTGCATCCCCAGCATATCTTTTTAGCCTCTGGAAGTTGGTGGGTATACTGGACTTTGTGGCTATCTTTGAAAATGCATTGGAGACACTTCGTTCTGCTCGGTGGGTTAGGCCTGCTACCATCCACTCTTGCGGTCCCCAATGTCAGAAGACAAGCACCATCTGGCTCACACACATCCACTGGAACAACGATGTCTCAGACGACGTCCTCTGAAACGACATCGGCTGGAGCAACATCCACTGAGGTGCCACCCGCTGTGAGCCATTCAGCTTCCCTACCGCATACCCCTTATAGCGGGACTGCTACCACCACGGGGGCTTTGACAGCCTCTTCTGTCGGTCCTGGAGTCCCGACGCTGGGTGTTGCCCCCGAAGCTACCTTATATCCCAGTGATGGGGAGCTCCACGAGCCTCAGCCAGGACCCTATATACCGGCAGGGGGTGTGGGCACGAATGGATCGGTTCCTGTTTATAACGTCAAGAGCGATTTCGACTTTGAATCTCTGGTAAGTGTCATCATCCACCTACACAGGGTTGTTGGGAAGGCTTGCTAATTGCATCGTCAGGCCCTTGCACTCTACCAAGAGTACATGGAGCTCGACCTCTTCCATGATGGACTGGCTCGCTTCTCCGAAGCGGATTTTACCGCCGCTGGTCTCTCAGCAGAAGACCGTTACCTGATCCAGTTCATGGCTGATCAGGAGGTCGGACATGCGACTATGCTGACCAATATCTTGGGAGCCAGAGCTCCCCGGCAATGCGTATACAACTACCCTTACACCACCGTCCATGAGTTCGTCGACTTTTGTCAGAAACTCACCCGTTTTGGTGAAGCTGGTGTCTATGGGTTCTTGGCCCATCTGGACTCGCGTGAAGCGGCAACACTTCTAACCCAGGCCATCACCACGGAGGCCCGGCAGCAGATGATCTTCCGCCAATTTGAGGGACTCTTCCCTATGCCGGTGTGGTTCGAGGTTGGCATATCTCAGTCGTGGGCCTGGACTCTGCTGGCACCGCATATCAGCTCGTGCCCTGACAACCAGACCCGACTGGTATGGCAGAACTTCCCAGCGCTGTACATCGAGAACCAGCCAAATCCCTTCCGGATCAACGGATCGGCTGCAATCAACGAGACAATCCCCAGCGGCGGTATGAATGTCTTGAACAGCCATACAGTGAACAAGACCGAGTCCTGCCTGAATTCCACCAGCGTGGGCATCAACTGCAATCCGGGCATCACCCGCAACCGCACCGAGCCCCTTTCCTACCCAGGCCGAACGGTATATCTGTCCTGGGATCACCCAGGCAAGCCGGTTGGACCGAACAACAGCTACATCACGAACACGACCGCAGGAGACCCGAAATACGTTGTTTGGGCCTCGCAGCTGAACATCACGTATTCGCCATTGAATGTCAGTGATAACGGAAAGGGAATGCATGGTACGACCATCCAGCCTAACATCTCGACCTATGCTGGCGACCCAGCCATTAACGGCACCATTTTCATTGCGATTACGGACTCCGATCCGTACCTGACCACGTTCAATTTCAGCAGCATCAACTCTCATGTGGTTGCTGGTCCTGCTCTCTACCAAGCTGGCTAAGCCAAACTGGAAGTATACGTATTGTGATATGGAGATGGCGTTGGATGTAGTGAGCAAAATTTGTATTGTTAGTTGAATTAGCTGAGATTTTTTTCTTGTTCTCCGAATCAATTATGTCTGCAACGAAAACATGGGCAAATGGTAGTTGTCTCGAAGATGAAGTAAAGAAATGACACCAGAGTTGCTCTCTTTTCCTGGTAACCCCGCTTAACTCCGTCCTGATCCATCTTTGGTGTCGGATGTTTCTTTTCATCAACAACAATCGCGAAGAGGTTCAACTGTCCCCAACGACGCAAGTCCACCAAAGCGACACGAGACCCTGCGTCATAAATTTGTGTACGATGGAAGGTTCCCGGAATCGAAAACAGCGACGAGCAGCTGCAGCAGCGAACTCCAAGACAGGTGCATCGTTCGATCCGTCCTCAATCCCCCTAGCCCATCCTGCTCGAGATGCGAGCATCAGCAATGGAAAGACCTTGGTTGAGCTCATTGCCGAAAGACAGAATGAGATATTGAGCAACGGGGAAGACTTTAATGAGAGCGGTGGTGCCACGAAACCAGGCCTGGCAACCCAATTTGTGAGCGTCGACCCGGCATCTGGCAAAATCTCCCAGTTTGACCCGTCGACACTGTCCGAAGAACAAAAGAACGACGACTCCTCTACGGATGATGAACCCGCGAGCGAAGACCACCAGCCGGACACAACTACCGAAGACCCGATCCCCCCTTTAATCGACACCCTCCTCCTCTCCGTGCCATTGACGACTCTCCACCTCACACTGGCCTACCTGGCAGCTTATCAGTACGCAGAGAAGGTCGAGCTGGACAAGCTCCTACGCGAATCTGCATTCATCGCGCTTCCCATGCTGACGCTCCTCATACACCTCGCTCACGGACACATCCTCTCAATCTACACCACCGGCCCAGACGAGGAGAGAATCTCGCTCTTTCCCTGGTCCCAAGACAAGCTCTCGCTATCCTTCCTCCGAAAGCTGGTGTTCCCGCCTACGCTCCGAACGTCCGCGTTTCTGTCTGTCGCTGTCTTGCTGGGGTGCAAGCTGATAACGTCCACAAATGAAGACCCATACTACGCCGTTATGAAGCGGGCGCCGGCCATCGGGACACTCTGGGTCTGGAGTATCCTCGAAATCCCAGCAGGTGCGGCGATTCTGGGAGCGTTAGGCCCGTTGGTATGGGGTGTTTGGTGGAAAGGTTATGGTATACTCTAAGCCATAGGAAGGCCGGGGCTGTCCCCCATAGCCGTGCATGCGAGAAATCCGTGGTTTTCTACGGTCGCTCGGAGCGAAGGAAGCGAGATTCCAGCTCGTGCTGGCTCATCTCAGTGAAAGGCCCATTGTTGTGGCTTCGCTTTCGATTGCTCTGAACTGGAGCAGTTCATTATCGACTACGATTACCGGGGCCCTTCCAGGATTATCCTGGGAAGGAAACAGGCTCTACGCCGGGGTACAATCAATAATGCTGGCCTCGATGCAAGTGATGATTCGACCATGATGGGCAGTTCATCTCCACTGATTCTCTGGACGTTTGCAAAGTTGACGTTTCACTACAGTCGCGCGCGCTATGGTATAGCACCATGTGATATAGTGATGGATATTAGCTTGTACATAGCCAGAACGATAGCCGTTCGAATTGGAAGGAGGTTCTCTATGCTCCCAGACAAGGGGTTTCGAACCTTCAGTGGTCACCGTTCTTACGATGCAGTCTGAATCGCAATAATTGTGAATAGGGGCTAGGAAGACCAGGGCATTTCGCCTGAGCGCCAACCCTTGGGAAATTGCGAGAATCTAGAGCTGCTCGTCTCATTCGCCGTTGAGAAGATGCTTCCAAAGCGTAATCTGACCGCGAGGCTGCGCTGACGCTTGCTGTCTGATATCGAGAAGGTTCACGAATCGGCAACGTGTGCGCTACTGTACAACAGCCATGGGTATGCGTCTTTTCAAGGCCCGTGGGAACAGGTTTCGCATGCCTGTTCCGTCGACCATTCGGACATTGCGGCGCACGGTCGAGGCAATTTCCACCTCTTCGTGCACTGACTCGCATGCTATCGAAGATGACCATCAGCGAGTGCTGAACCATCAACTCTCGACTCGACCGCCAGCATTGATGACGTTGCGAGGCCAGCACGTCAACCGGGGTGGAACGGCGATGAGCGGAAAACCGTTGCGAGACTAATGCAGCCTGCACACCGGACAAATCACCAAACAATGCTTTGTCAACGCGCCTCAATATCTGACTGCTATCTGATTGCTGCCTCACACCGAGAAAGCGTCAACTACGCAGAACAGCGCAGTGGAAAGAGGCGCTCATAGCAAGCATGGAAGAAATGAACTGCCCTGCTAACAGAAGGTAGTAGACCTATGGACTAAGTGTCCACCCCTGGCGTTCCCGGGCAGCATGGCATGGTCTTCCTGATGCCTGAAAGATTACTGCTCGCATTCATGTCATGCTCGGTAATCTTTGCGCTTTGAAAGTGCGCAGCTGCACGAATGGCACCGCCAGCTCCGAGCGACAGATTCTGACAGAAACAGGTTTCCCTCTCTCCTTCCCTCCTTGCTTGCTCGCTTGGTCGTTGAGTTGCATGTGCTAGCCTGGGCCATCGTCTACACCCATGACGAGACCGGTGAAGACAATGCGCCCTCATCGACATGCCTGTTTAGGAACGGGCATCACAACCCGAGCGAGATAGTTACAGAGCTCATCTCTGGCCGTCCAAGGCCACTTAATCGAGGCACAGCATTCGACCGACGATGGTCGAGAACCGGTACACCGCGCCTTACGCAGGTGGAAGCTTGACCATGCCCTTGACGAGGTGGAGCTCGCCTATCTTTGAGACTGGCAAGTTTGAGCTAGCCACAGCCTGTCTGCCAGTGGCCAGTTCAGCAGAACCGATGGACACTTACTGGTAGATCGATTCGACTGGTGAGTCTGGTTCAGCATGCGAGCCTTCGCAATAGGAGGGAGACTCAGGTAGCTACCATCTGATGTCGTGTCATTTTCCGCATCGGGGTACACAGCGGGCAATCTTCTGAGGTTCTCGTGATGGAAAATCTCCCGCTTATCGCCGAGTCGCAGACTTGAGATGATCAATAATCAACAATCAAGAACAGGCCTTGCACGCTTTTGCGGCGTCATTGCTGATCAATCTGATACATCAAAAAACCATTAAGAAATTGAAACATTCAACAGAAGCCCCATTTATCTTCAGCTCGCCTCAAAAAAAAAAATAAAATAAAATAAAAAGACAGAATGGCTCAGCTGCGGAATTGTGGCGAGTGAAAGAATCTCTGCGCCACACGGCGGAGTTCTCTCGAACTATACGCACTAGGGTTCAATAGTCTCGTCCTTGAGCACCCATCCACATTCCATAATTCCCGGATCAAAACTCAACTTCCCAAGTTCGAAGGGGAAAAAAAAGCAAAGAACACTAGGGCACCGATTTGCTTTGCCGGGTGATCGGCCCTCCAGACCGTGCTTTTGCAGTGGATCGATAAGCTCTGGCGGTCTACGGTCCTTGCGCCTTTTTGACGTGAATGTCAGAACAACGACGGCTGTCCTCCTCTTACTCTATGAGGCAGGCCCAGTACTTTTGAGTTACCTCAATGTAAGGACAAGATGTACGGCGAGTGATGAACTCTGCGATCTCTACTGGATGATCGTCATAGGGATCAACCGTGTGTCACCCATCACGCGTTGAATGCCGAAGATGAGAGTGTGAACCTTCAATCTTGAGCTGCCCTTCCGTCGACGTCACTATGCACCATGCACCACGAGCAGCATAGGGAACTGGGAGGGGGAGGGACGCAAAATCCAGTCCCTCAGGCATCCGTACAGAATGACCGTTGCGAATGCAGCCATCCATCCATCAAAACTGGCCAGGACAATCGATCCCAAAGCAGCTCTACAAATCCAAGTAGCACGCAGCAGTCACCATGCAACAGAGCATTCAACAGTCAAACTCAAATCCAGCAACAGAAACTAGTATTCCAGGAAACCAACCCCGTCGAAACGGCCTGCATCTCGACTCCCGGGCTGGTCAACCTCTCTCGGGGTATCCTGGGGTCGTACGACGTACAACCGCTAGAGTTCCAGTGTACAGCACCCTGCGGCCTTGCACGACCTTACCTGGTTCTGGGTTTTGAGTTTCTGCGCGTCCTGCGACACAGCGCTATCGCGTATCTATCTTATTACCCTAAACCAGGCCATAGCTACTCCGGACGTCGTAGTACCTTTTAACTGCGTAGTCTGGCCGGCGATGTACCCGGAATCACACCGACTTGCATGGGGGATCCTTACTTCTGTCGTCTTGCTGTCTGTGATAGTCCTTGAGTGGTGAATCTAGACTCATTTTTGATACTGTGCCTTTTTTTTTTTTTTTTTTTTTTTTTTTTTTTTTGAATAAGCATAGTGGCTTTAGTTCATCGGTCAATCATGCAACTGTTCTCTACATACTACCTATGGAGTGACTCACAGGGTAATTCAGGGTAATTCAGGGTAACAAGGGAAAGGCTAGGCTTTTGGTTGCTAATGATTACCTACTACTCATAATGTGCCTTGACTTGAATGTCAGCGTCGTAGTCATAGTTATAGTCTTAGTGCTAACTCGAAGTCGAAGGAATGGTACCTTAGGGGGCAATACATGACCACGAAGGATTTGATTTGATTTGATTTGATTTGATACTCGAGCAACTTGCAAGGTAAGCATATAGTAATAATCCATGCAATAAGTCCTGCAGGATGGCGATATATGTGGTTGTTGAAAAATATCTTCCCCCCCCCCCACTAAACTAAACCAGACTCCAGGCAGAGTCGCAGAGATGCACATAAGCATTGCTTAATCATCCTTATAGTCACTAGGTACTAGGTACTCCATCACTCCAAAACTCTACGATGCAATCTTCCGAGATGCATCGAAGTCCAAGGAGTTGTCAGTTGTCAGTTGTCAGTTGTCACCATACTCCCGAGGAAACGCGATCGCTGCTTTGTCAAGATGAGCAAAGGATATCGTATCGTATCATCCCGCCTCTTCCTGGACCCTACTTAGGTAGGTACTCTCTGGACCTATATTCCGCATGTTTCTGACCCATCAGTGTTCATCTGTGCCAATGCTGGTTGATTGTTTTTCCTTGGCGATCAAAGTGCCCCATTATCCAATTGGCAAAGATACAAGAAAAACAAGATAGAAGAAGCTGATTCTTTAGCCAAGAAATCACTGGATCCAAAGTAGTCACACTGGAGAGGTTGGTATAGAAGAATCATTGTTAGAAAATGGCTATACAAAACACGACCCGTCGTTGTACGGAGTATAGATTGTAGACTTTGATGCCAAGCCTTGGAGAGAAGGCTTGGCACATAAGGAGTACACAGTACACAGTACACAGTACACAGTAGTCTTTGAACTCGAGCCACTAAAACCTATACGTACTACGTACTCCGTACATAGGTACCTACTGTGTACTCCGTAGTAGTAAGGAAAATAGCAAATAGTCCCTCCCTCTCGTTGGACTGTGGAGTGTGGCCAGTTGGCCACTGGACATGGTCTGGTGGGTCCACCGTGGACGCTAATGAAGCGGGAGTGTTGATCTTCTGAGCAGATAACTAACCAATCAGAAAAAGGAGTCTTTGTTTCTTGTTATGATTGGACGGCTGTAGGTAAGTACTCCGTAAGGTAAGGTACTAGGTAGGTAGGTACCTATTGTGAGGCAGTTTCCAGGTTGTTTGGGAACAAGAATGGACGAAAATCAGGTTACTACGTACTTAGGTACTCCGTACTCGATCGAACTAGGTACTAACTCAGACCTTCCCCAAAGGCAGCATACTACCAGTAGCATACATTTCTCTCAAGTTGGATACCCTCAAATTCTACACCACTGATCAATTCGGCCAGCAGCTGAATAGAGTTCTCCTGGATAACTTCCATAACCCTACCAGGTCGTGTGTTCGAGGAGAGACACTTTCTGATTGTATATAAAAAGCTGTTATATAGACCGTTTTAGGTCTTAGGTGTTGAGTGAATAGGTATCCCATGCCTGCCGGTGCACTATAAGATTCGAAAATCCAAAAAAAAAAGGAAAGAAGAAGAAAAAGACGACCAATAACCACTAAACACCAATCCCAACGCCAAACATCATCCAGTAAGAGAAAAAAAAAAAAAATCAAACGGTAAGCCGGCCCTTGTGCATCAGTCCTAATCCGCCAAACCCACTGGTTGCGCCCTTGAACCGCGCCAGCAGCGACGTGACCATCTCGCGGTACGTGTTCATCTGCGACAGCTTAAACCGTTGGATCTTGCCGCTGGCCGTGCGTGGGATTTCCTCGACGAAGATGACCCCGCCGTCGAGCGCCTTGTAGCTGGCCAGTTGCTGTCGTGCGAATAGGTATACTTCCTCCGCGGTCAGTCGGTTGGCTGACGAGCCCCGAGCTTTGACCACGAAGGCACGGGGCACCTCCGTGCTGCCGTCTTGGGACATGACGCCCGTGACGGCGGCATCTTCGATCAGAGGGTGTTTGATGAGGACCGCTTCGAGTTCCGCGGGGGCAACTTGCCATCTGCAATTTTCGTCAGATGTACCATCCAAAAAGAAAGAGAAAAAAAAAAAAAAAAAACAACGGTGGACAGACCCCCGAACTTTGATCAGCTCCTTGGTTCGGCCGACAATAAAGTACTCCCCATTCTGGACGTAAGCCACATCGCCCGTTCGAAACCACCCATAGGCGTCCTTGGCATCACTACGTCCCTTGTAGCCAATCAAGACCCCGGCTCCACGCACATACAACTCGCCAGGTTGACGCTCCCCCTGCACCAGGTTGCCATCCTGCCCGACCAGCCGCACCTCGTATCCAGGCGTTCGCGTTCCGATGCTTCCGTGATTCCCCGGCGCCCCATACCGAGTCTGGAAGACGACCCCGACCTCGGTCATGCCCCAGATCTGATGGGCGCGGGCGTGCGGGTGCAGCAGCTTCTCGAACTGCTCCAACGAGGCCCCGTCGATGGGCGCGCCGGCCACGCCCACGTACCGCAGCGTCGCCAGGTAGGCCGCCACGGGGGAGGCACTGCGGTTGAAGACGTGGATCATGGCCGGGACCATGTAGGTCTCGGAGATGCGGTACTGGTAGACGGCCGCGACGAACTGGGTGAGCTCGAAGCGGGGCAGCACCAACAGCGGCTGTCCGTACCGGATGGGGAAGATGTGCGTCCACAGCGCGCCGAACAGGTGGAACATGGGGAGGCACATCAGCCGGGTGACCTCGTAGGGAACGTCGTAGTGGATGCTGAGATGTTGTGATACGATGGCATGGTGGGACAGCAGCGCCGCCTTGGGCAGGCCGCCCGTCCCGCTGGTGGAGAACATGGCGGCGGGCGTCGCCTTCGCGATGGCCTCATCGTCGAAGGAGACCCAGTCATTCTCCCCGTAGCCGAGCAGATGCGCAAAGTTCAGGTACTCGGCGGCGTTGACGGCGAGGAACGGCAGGTGGGCGGTCGAGTAGGCCAGCGGACCGGACACGAGCAACTGGGCGATATGGTCGGGCGCATATTCGTCCAGCAGACACACCTGGCTCGAGAGCATGCCACGCGCCACGGAAACGTTGAGCACGGTGGGGAGGGCCTCGCGAGAGGTGATGATCAACTTGGGTTCTGCCAATTGCAGAATATGCTCGAGTTCCTGTGGTTGACTACGAGCATTGGAGCCCATAAACACACCACCAGCACCAATGATCGCGAAAAAGAGGGCGGGGTATATGATCTACAGTGCATGGAATGATCGTCTCGTTAGTTCTCGTCCATCCCAAAAGAGCAAACGCAAAAAAAAACCCCTAAGCTCAGAAGGAACCCAAAATCCAGCCGGGAAAGCGAACACCAAAAGGAAGAAACCGGAAGGACGAGATGACGCAAAAAAAAAGGACCCGGATTCCGGCTCACATTGTTTCCCAAATGGACCAGCACCGAATCTCCTCGCTGGACGTGATGGGCCTTGAGTCCCGCAATCAGCGTTCGCACCAGAAGCCGGAACTGACAGGCATTCAGAGAACGCGAGGAGTCCTGGGCGTCGATGAACAACGGTCGCTGGTGATCATACTGAACCGAACCATCGAAGCAGAAGGTTAACAAGTCGGTGTATACCGGATGAGCTTCAGGGACTTGGGAATTGTCGTCCGGCCTGGGGACAGCCAAGGATGAGTCCCAGAGACCCATTGTGCAAGGGAAAAAGAATTAAAAAAAAAAAAAAAAGAATGAAAAATCAAAGGCTAAACTAACGGACCAAGCAATATCCAAAAGTCCCAAGATTCTTCTCTGGAAGAGTCCAGAGAGACGATGTAGAAGAAGGGAGAGAGAGATTGGCGGTCTTATACTCGACAGACATCAGGAGGCTCAACCCATCTGGCTTTTCCCTGGGGGAATTCCCTGTGATAAATACACCCTTCATCTCGGCTTCGAGGGGTTCTTTTTTTTTGTCATTGTTTCAAAAGTTGCCGTCAGTCAGGCTTCTCCTGAGGTTCCCAATTCCTAATTCCAATTTCAATTTCCTTGACAGGCCTGACAGAGATCGCAAATGATTTGGAATTGCGGATTAGGCGTGGCGCCAACAGCCGACAGCATTAGCCATCAACACTAGTACCGATTGACAGTCGGCCAAAAAGGACACAAGTCACAAAGGACTGAGAGGCAAAAGGAAGTCGGGAATAGTCTCTGGAGTCTTGAGTCTTGACTCCAATCAACCAACGCTATCAGGCTGTTCCGCCATGATCGTTGATCGCCCGCGACTCCATAACTTTATCGGACCAATATCATTATTAGTTGCCAGGTTACAACTTGGGAGTTGGGAGGCACGAGTAAATCCCCATCCGACAGACTCAGCCCGAAAAAAAAAGGCCATCTAGTCGTTCTCATTGGAGCGCAGGCTCAGGCTGGGACAAACAATCGATTCCTTCGTCATTTTTCAGCGCTGGATGGTGAATGTGAATTAGAGATTAGAGACGGTCGATCGAGCCTTTTTTTTTTCCCACTCTTCTCTTCCATAGCTGAACTTCGATGGTGGTGGTGGTGCTATTCTCATCCGTTTCTGGTGGTATCTGTGGACTAGTAGCCAGCCCTCAGCAGTCAGCTAGGGAATACCACCACAACCTGAGGCCTTTCGATTAGGATCCCCGTCGAATTTCCCTCATTGGTTGGTCTCGAGAGTAGTAGGATCGGTTGCAGGGATCCTACAGCATTATTGTGTTTTTTTTCTCTTTTTTTTTTCTTTCAAAAAGAATGGTGATGATCCACATACACACTCGCTCGTCCACAACCTGCGCCATGCTTGTCGAGCTAGATCCATGTCTGATCGACGGGACGTCAATCAGATCCTGGAAGACCGTGCAGCACTCGAAAAAGCCATTCCTGATAGTTAGTTAGTTAGTCGTCTGCATGCTTACTGTGTAGATTATGTGGTTTTGGGAAATCGACCCCATTGACTGCAGCAAAGCCCCGCTGGGAGGAATCCGTGCTCTCCCATCGTCCATCATCCATATCCATATCCATATCCCCGTACCCACCACAATAATAGCCAGCAGAGAATGGTGTGATGCGGTGGTCTCCAATCACCAGGACGATGTAATGATCTGTGCATCCGCCGTTCAGCTCGCAGGACCTCATGCACCTACCAGATCTGCAAGATCCTGTGTTCACTGGCCACTCCGGTTGTCCGATCATCGGCTAACCCCATTATCCTGGGTTTTCTTTTCACGCCCACCGGTGGCGACTGGGCGAGGCACGTTCCTCACTCACGTCCTGGCTCGCTACCGGGTTGCATGAGTCACTCGAAAAGGGAAATGTCGAGTGCTCTGGTCTACGAGATCGTGGGTCGGATGGGATAGGACAGACCAGGCACGTTCCCCCCTCCGGTCATTGGCTCTCTGATATACCCTATCCGGAAATGGGCAGCTGAAGCCGGGGAACCATGAGGCGGCTTCTGACTGCTCATTGGCACAACCCTCGGGGTGACTAGTGACGCGGATTGAAGTTCCGTATGATAGTCAGACGCGATCCCTCTAGCACCGATGAGCATTCCGACGTGACTTGGGCTGCATGTGGTACCTGCTCAGATACTGGGGCCCACGGGCCACAGTCAAGAGCGACTCTCAGATTGTCTAATGTAGGTGCACGGTTTGAGCGATATCCGCAGCTGGGCAGATGTCATCGAGAAGAAGATTCAAAAGGCAGCATGTGGCCATCGTTAGAGGACCCATGTCCACGCAGAACAAGGATATCAAACAAGTTTGTCCTCAACGTGCTGGTGTATCCTGATCGGTCGAGTCTACTTGCGTCTCTCTCTCTCTCTCTCCCCTCTTCTCTCCTACCTCTTTGTACTTCGGGAGAATAGTTCCCGAACTCTATCATCTATACTCTTCCCTCAACCACAACCCCCACGCCCACCATGTCGTTATCAGAGAAGATGGTGATATCGATACCACCGCCTGCCAGGTGTGCTCCGGGCCCAATCAGTCCTAGTGGTACCACCCTGGTCGACCTCGAGAAGGAGATCGCTCAGATCCTCTCCGAGAAGGCCGCCTCTGATCTCGAAGCGCAGACGAGCAGCAAGAAGCCAAACCGCCTGGCAACAGTCCGGTACCTCATCCTCAACATCTACCGGCGGCTCTTCTCGCTGGTCTTTCTGGCCAACATCGCCATGTTCATCTATGTCCTGGCCACGCCGGACCAGAAGCTGCTGGCCCTTGTCAACGCCACGGCAGCCAACGTGCTGGCCTGCGGCCTGGCCCGGCAGCCGCTGGTGGTCAACGCGATTTTTGTCATCGTCTGCTCGATCCCGCGGTCTGCCCCGCTGCGGCTGCGTCGGATCGCAGCCAAGGTGTACCACTACGGCGGCGTCCACAGCGGCTGCGGCATCGCCTCGTGCGTCTGGTACGTGGGCTTCGTTGGCCTGCTCTCCAAGCAATACTGGACCCCAGGCCCAGCCCCAAGTGCCGCCGCCTCCTTCTCCGTGCTGCCCATCGTGCTGGCCTACCTCATCCTGGTGCTGCTGCTAGCCATCATCGCCGTGGCCCACCCGACCTTCCGCTCCAAGCGGCACGACTCCTTCGAGCTCACGCACCGCTTCTCCGCCTGGCTCGTGGTCATCCTCTTCGTGATCCTCCTGCTCGTCTTCGCCGACGAGACCAGCCGCGCCACGGCCCAGTCCCTGGGCTCCTTCCTCACCCACCTCCCAGCCTTCTGGTTCCTCCTCCTCACCGTCCTCGCCATCCTGCACCCCTGGCTCCTCCTCCGCAAAGTGCCCGTCCGCGCCGAGCCGCTCTCCCCACACGCCGTCCGCCTGCACATGAGCCACGCCACCACCACCTTCGGCAAGGGCATCCAGCTCGCAAAGCACCCGTTGCGCGACTGGCACGGCTTCGCCACGTTCCCCGATCCTCTCCCTGCCCCGGGCCCCACCACCACCACCACCACCCCAACCTTCTCCAGCCTCATCTCCAAAGCCGGCGACTGGACCTCCGCCACCATCAAATCCCCACCCCCCCATCTCTGGAAACGCGGCGTCCTCGTCTACGGCTTCGCCTACGCCATGCGCGTCTTCCGCCGCCTCATCGTCGTCACCACCGGCTCCGGCATCGGCCCCTGCCTCTCCTTCCTGGGCGACGACCACCGCCCCGCCCTGCGCGTGCTCTGGCAGACCCGCGCCCCGCTGCGTACCTACGGGCCGGCCATCCTCTCGCTCGTGAAAACGCTCGACCGGGACCCGCTGGTGATCGATACCAATTCCTCCGGGCGGGTCGATATGGTTCCGGAGATTCGGCGGCTGTATGCGGAGTTTGGCGCCGAGGCGGTTTGTGTGATTAGTAATCCGGTGGTGACCAAGAGGGTGGTGTTTGAGTTGGAGAAGGGGGGGATTCCGGCGTTTGGGCCGATTTTTGATTCATGAGGTTTGTTTTTTTTAAGTTTTCTTTTTGGTTTTGGTTTGGCTGGGTTGGGATGGTGTTTGGGATGGTGTTTCGGTTGGAGATGAACTGAGATGAGATGAGATGGGTTTGGTTGGGGTGTACGGAGTATATATTGTTTGTCTTTTTTTGGTTCTGGGTTACATTGTTACACTTGGTCGTTCGGTGGACAAAAGCTTGGTTGTACATGTGCATGCGGGTTTCCAGTCTGTAGGACTGTAGTAGCATTAGGTATTATCCCAAGTAATTAATTGTGAGAAGGATGGTATAGAGATCTATCTATCACCCGTTACCAATCGACTCCTTCTACCCCGGAGCTGTCCTACCCTACACTCACACAAGGTATAGACATATTAGATTATTTATATTGAATATGATGATCTCGGAGCTATGGCCAGATCCACCCAGAAAACAAGATAGCAAACTCCAGACAGACATTGGGGTATCATGCAAGAATCCGCCCTGGTTGAAGAAGGTATGTTAAAACTTTTTTTTTTGTGTCCCAAAGTCGTCAGCCATGCCGTGTTGGCCATTAATTGTTTAGAAAACGAAAAAAAAAGCAAGGTAAAGCAACGCCTGGATCGCTCCGCGTTCCCCGGGTGTAGGTATTTGTTTTGTTGAAGTTAGTTTGGTTCGTAATCGGTTCGTAACGTCATGAGGAAGAGATTCGGGTATTATGGAGACAACAGAAAGTCAAGGCGGGTCACCGGCTACTCGGATACCCGAGAATCGGTCGAGGGGGCCCGATTGCTGCTCACCAGCGCCAGGGGCTCTGCAGTGAGGTCGTCGGTGGTGAACCGGGTTCGACCCCGAACGGAGTGATTGGAGTCGCTGTCCAAATGCAGGGACTCCATCCGTTCCAGCTCGGCGTAGTCGGGCAGCGACAGAGGAGAGCCACTGTAGTCTTCCATGATACTGTTTCCATCGAGCATGGTGTAGCCGGGAGGGCTGGCGGGGACATTTTCATACACGGGCGGCATCTCTTCATCCCAGCTGATCCCAAGGCCACTGCGTTCGGTGACGTGCAAGTGGAACTGCATACGGAGCACCCGAGCGGCGCCCGTGGGCGTGATCAGCCGTGTGTTGCGGTTAGGGCAAAACTCCTCGGCCACGATCAGCTCGATCACTAGGTTGTGCTTGACTTCCAGTCCGTTGGGGACTTCCAAGTCACACACGGGATTGCAGGTGGGATTGATGCTGGCTTCAAACTGCATGCTGATCTCGCCGCCGGCCGTATCAAAATCGGTCTTCCAGCCTTCCTTTTCTTCGTTGTGCCCGATGATGCGGGTCTCCTGGTGCAGGACTCCCTTACCCTCCCCGCCGATCTTGTGCGCGTGTTTCGTGCACGCTGCCGAGACGATCTTCTGGTGCTCTTCAATACGCCACATCATCTTGCGCAGACGCCAGCGGGTCTGGGTTTCTTCGCCCTTGTCCACCACTCCGCTCAAAGTCATCTGCACCGGGAAGGTGCCGATGGGGTAGACAACCGATGGGAGCACAATGCGGCCGGTGAGGTTGGTTGGAGGGAAGATACGGATCGAGGATTTGTCGTTGCTGGGGAGGGTAGCGCGGCGGATGTGCAATGGCATCTTGAAGGTGTATTCCTCGCCGGTGGTGTTGTGTGCGCGGGCTGAGAGGTAGTACTCCACCTGACCCAGTGATCCATTGCAGGAAGCGGGCAGGTGGCCGGGGAACAGGTAGCTGAAGGGGAAGTCGTGGTCTCCGTGCTTGAGGGAGAGCGGCTCGGTGAGGAAATCCCAGCTGGTCAATTCTTCCGTCCGTGCGGCGCAGTTGGAGCATTCGCGGGAGACGGGTTTCTTGGTGGTGATCTTGGTGAGCAGACGCATATCGAACTTGTCGAGGGTAATGGCATTGGCGTGCTCAGCAACAGCAATCCGCAGACGTCCAGAGAACAAAGCACCGGTGGAGTTTGCTGGGGTTCCGTAGCAGACGAGAGGCGGAGACTCAACGATGACGTCCAACTTGGCGGCCGGGGGGGCATGGTCCTCCTTCGCTACACGGTCCTTCGAGCGAGCAGACCTTCCATGGCTGCGCTTCTTGTCCTTGCTATGATCTCGGTGCGGGTGAATCAGATGGTCCATGGTGAAGGAGAGACGGCGCTCTGGAGATCTGGCTCTGTCGGTGTGGGAATGGGGCTTCTTGGTGACGGTGTTGCTGGCGGGGATTTCGTTGACGGAGGTAGAGGAGGAATTCGAGTGCGAGGATAGAGAAGAATGGAAAGCCGCGGTGGGGCGAACAAAGCTGGAGAGAAGACGGCCGGGCATTGTGACTTGGGTTCTTCTGGATCGATTCCGTACCAGCCAGAAAGGATAGATGAGGGTGAATAGAGGCAGGCAGATGCGCGCCTTCAGGGTCTAAGGCCACAATCCAAACCTCTGGTGGGAAAAGGTTCTCTTTTGTATTGGTGTATGCTATGATACAATCAAGAAGCTGGTCTGGGGTTGATAGAGAAGAGGGGCGAGGATGGCAACCCAGCACATAACACCCTTTGCAATCGAGGTTGTAGCTTGACTGATAGGATATAGTGTATCAGTGGTAGAGAGAAGAAGATTGATTGATATCAAGACTCAAGAGTATACAGAGTAGTAGGAAGAGAGCCAGAAAAAAAGTGGGCGACCTGTTGCCTTTGAATGAAACCAGAAGATTATTTTAGCTCAGAGGCCGAACATGGATCCGACTTTCCACTCCTTTTTTCCGCCGGATAATATTTTTATTTTTATTTTTATTTTTATTTTAATTCTTAAAAATCAAATAGAAAAAAAAAAAATAGAGTCCACTTTGCATGTAACAGAACTATTCCATTGTGACTCTTTCTTTTAGTCCGTCAGTGTCTATTGGCAGTTTGGCACTAATTTCCCCTATTATTACTGAATTTTTCTTCGATCTGGCCCCTCCCCTTGTCTTCGTCCTAAGGCCCATGTGGGGCGCGGCGGAAACAGCGTCATAGTGGGGCTTACCATACGCGTTTAATACGTAACAGTATGGATACATTCATGGGTACTTACTAAGTTACTACTCCTGGGTGTAGACAACTCTTGCTGGCTAAAAGGTCATTGACATTCTGTTTACAATCGATCTTGGCGCGAAAGCTCTTGGATCTGAGTCTCAGTCTGTATAGTTTACACTTTACACTTTGCCGTAGTGGACAAATGTGATTACATCACGGACTCTGTCGAGATGTGTACCTAGAATGTAGATGTGTACATAATCATCAACACAGAAACACATCATATTCTTCCCTGTATAGAGGATCACAGGTACCTACTACCTACTCTAGATGAGTACAGTATCTACTACAGAGTACATATGCGTGATTGATCATCAGCTGTACAAGTCCACGTCAGGCACAGACACATCGATATATCACTCAGGCACAGTCGAATCGTAGGAGACGGAGTTGATACCCCACAATCTGTAGTGACAGATCACTAGAATGATCGAATGCCCCTCAGCCTTTTCTTGATGGCGATGCACTGTTCTACGCTTCTACTATCTACGGAGTAGTTCCTGGCGCAATGAGTCACGGATAGATGATGGTTTCACCCCCACGATCATATTGTGTATGACATTGACAGCATGAGGCTTGGACCGTGGTTGATGATCAATCACAAATAAACCTTGCGGGTGATCAGTAGTAGGACGCTAGAAACTCTGAAGGTACTCGATTCTTCGAAGTCAAGGTAGGAACCTCAGGCCACAAACAATAGCCAATGGCCCGAGTATGGCACAATACAAATCATGAACAAACCGTGGATAGTAACGGGTGGCCTCAGGCCTAAGCTTGAGTCACACGTTCTAGACAATGCCATCCAAAAGTGATTGGCCCAGGTACTACCGCCGTACCTGTTTTTTTTGGCCCTCCAACGCTGCCACGACACCCTGCATCACCCAAATCGCAATATTGACAACAATTGATGTGCTTGAAGCAAACCACCAAAACACCATGCCCCAAACCAGTAGTACTCCGTAGAAACAAGCTCAGCAGTTCAGAACAAACGGTGAGACCAGCGATCTTATTTTGGAGGGGTGGAAAATTTGAAGGTCAGCTGCCGTCATCGAACCATCACGTGGCGTCATTTTCAATGCCTCGAACGGGCAACGGGCCGTCCGTACTCCAAAGGTCATGTCTTGTCTGGGAGGCGGTCAGGCGTAATACCAGTGGTGACCGGCACCGATACACCGGAATACAGAACCATACATGATTCCAGCACGACGCTAGTTGGAGATCCTCTGGAACAGGGCGCTCAGAGAGGGGCCAGAAAATTCTAAACGCTCACAAAAAGCCCGAGACGGAGCGAAGCCGCTAGAGGGATCCATCTGCGCTAGAATGTTTTAGGTCTCGTCCCTGAAGAATTGGAAAAATTTTCACGGATATTTTCTTTTCTTTTTTTTTTTTTTTTTCCTCTCTCCCTCTCTCTCTCTCTCTCTCTCTCTCTTACACAGTACGTCGTAGTAGAATTTCCGCTTGGAAACGGCTCGGTGAGGGTCCACCAGATCCAGACAGTGGTTCTAGAAAAAGTAGTATTCAGGAGTCAGGACCAGTGTGCGGTGTGACAGTGTCCAGTGGTAGAGATCAGGTCCATCATGTGAATCCATTCTAGGTTAAGCCCCCAACTGATCAAATGACTGCTAAATAGTCTTTCGAGGCGCTTCTTTTGGTTCTGGCACAAGTTACAACTTAACAGTACAAGTTACAACCTGCGCAGTATTTCGGCGTCCGCGGAGGTGCGCACAGGATTTCCCCGCACTGCAAGCAATTCCAAGATTTGCGGGGGATTGCATCATGGGCGTCTGTGTTACCTTCTTAGCTGGATGTTGTTGGATCATGCCTTTGACGCCTGCACCAGGTCATCTGTTAAGGACTTGACGACTTTGAAGAAGTTGAGAATGAATGTGCTGCATACAAACAGCTATCGAGATATAAAAAGGTTATTCAGATGTCAAGATCTGCTCTGTGCGCTGATGGTGTGCAGGACAAACGTTGACGCTGGCGAATGGCTGTCCATCGCCGCCATACCTCTTACCTAAGAGATTCTCCGAGGCTCGTATAATTATGGGCAATCATGGGTTGATCTCCCTTCATTTGTGTTGTTAACTATGGTAACTATTGGTAACTCTGTAACCTAGGTTGTATGATATTTTTATTATTATTAATTATGACAGATCGCCCTGTCAGATTCAATCTGGTTTCTTCTTTTTTGTTTAAAAATCGGCATACTGGGTGGTATCCCGAGTGATCTCCGATTCTGAATGCTACCGAGTTATCTGGCTAACATCTGATCGCTTAGATATTTGACAGCATGTTGTCGTTGCTGGAGGTGCAACTTGCAATCCTATAGTTAGCTTGTACTTTCTCCTTAGTATCTAGTTAGTAGTTAGTAGTTAGGAGTTCGGACTGCAGCCGCAGGACTATCGTGGTCCCGCCCGGCGCAGGAATTGCCTGTTCCGGAAGTTCTGCTGGCGGGCCCGAGTGCCACTCGGCTCTTATCAACTATGAAGGTACACTGTACAGACTACAGACTACAGACTACAGACTACAGAGCATAGTAGTACAAGTACAATATGGAGCATAATCTTGCAAGTCCCACGGTGGCCTGATGAAGCAAATCGCATGCTGTTATCCTTCGCAATGACATGCCTATTCTAATATCAAATCAGATGTTCGATGCTGGACACGCACCGGCCCGGTCATTCTTGCGCCATTTACTGGCCTTTACTCCATATTACTACTACTGGAGAGTCTAGATCCCAACCCAACACAATAAGATTAGCACCTCATTGTCCATCTCTCTCGCGTTAACTTCTCGCCATTATTTTTTTTTTTTTTTTTTTTTGCAATCACCTCACTCCTCAGATTGTCCATCTTGTCCGGACGCAACAGCATACTCGGTTGAGTAGCGCACCTCTCCGCGGGAAACTCCGACAAAGTCCATCCCACTACTAGATCGAGTTCTTAGGGCGAGTTCTGCCCGGATTTCGCTTGTCTATGGGACTATGCCCGCCTATGGACGACGGAGCCTCCACTTTGTTTACTACTTATGTGCTGGCGTCTCGAAATTTCCTCTGAACCATGAGTCCAATGAGTCCATGAAACCATCAGCAGATCGAATTGACCGCTCCGATTGGTCTGGTCCGCATTTTCCCTGATTTTTAGTTCTTTGGGGGCTTCCGTGTCTCTAACTCGCAAGTCTCAATAATAATAATATTTTCGACTCGGTGAACCGAACTCTGGGCCGTGGCCGTTCTGCCTCGGTGTCTTTTCTCTTGGGTTGTACGTCTGGAACACTAACAACTCAAGAATGATTATCTTGGCACGTGGTCTGGAGTTCAATTGTTTAACGGAAGGCGCCGATGTCCTCAGTCCGGACTTGGGAATAGGCTCAACAGTCAACACATGTTCACTGCAACCAGGGAGTGAAAAGTGGCGCCACTTCAGACTGAATCTGGAAAGGAAAGAGTTGTAGAGTTTCCGTAGAACTACTTTTTGATATCTCAATCGTTACATCGTAGGTGCATAGCGAAACTGGTTTCCGCAATTCCCACTATAGTGTATACGACGGGGCTGCTCACTCTTCATGTTGCAATTGGTCTAGTGTTTAAACTGCATCTATGTTAATCTCGCAAGATCTGAGATTCCATCAACAAGGACCTAGCGTCTGAGATTAGATTCTGCTCGTTATGGCCCGTCAAGTAACTGAATACGGGGAACCAGCCCTTAAAGATCCTAGTATGCCGCTGCCACCCCAACGAGCACTTCCGTCTTTTTGCAGACCATCACTTGAAGATTCCTTTATCACTCTGTCTCTACTTGGAGGTATTCAGGAAGAATCTCGATTGTCTTTCTCATGCATTGGCTGAGCCGATCGCCTTTACAAGCTGTGGCAGGAGCCGGAGGGACTGGTTCGCCAAAGCAGTTAGTCAATTTGATGAATGCTGGCCATCGCACCTTGAAATGACGCTCTTTAGGCGACAATCCAGCATAGTAACTCTGAAGTGTATGTCTCATGATGGTGAACGTGGACTCAGGGTAGCTCTGCCTGTCTAACGAGCAACCGCTGGTAGCATGCTAATGGGAGATAACTCGTTCTGGGGTCGAGCGTTGCCCAAAAGGGACCCCTGGCAAGCCCATACTCTCTTTAATTAAAGGTCCGAGGATGTTCTTTGTATTGGAGGGCTCGAATGACAATATACCTGTCTGGTCAACTACTAATTCTTGATAATTCACTTATACTTGTCCTATTGTCGAGGTCCTATTGTCGACAGATGAAATCCAACAACGACCTGTCACTCAAATGAATGAACATATACAGACCATTTTCGCTATAAACTATATAGACATTCATCGTTGCCTAACTATCTTTGTAGTATACCCTCCTCACGACCACCATTAACCTCCAGCTCAAACAAGCCCCCTCCACCAAACACCACTTCTCAAAATGACCGTAGATATGAAACCCATCAAAGTCTACGGCAAAGGAGGCCCCAATCCGCCCCGAGTAGCCATCATGCTCACCGAACTGGCTCTAGATTGAGCTTATCTTCATTCGATTCGCTGGTCTAGGTTGCCGGAAGGCAGCCTTGCAGCAATTCAACCAAGAGTCTTCATCATTCTCGAGTAACAGACAAGCCCATGTAACCACCCACGAAACCTTTGCGCGACGCGCTTCACAAAATCAAGATGGACTCGACACACGTGCTGTCTCCCTGGAGATAGAATCATGTCCCTACACCACGCGACGAAATGTTCAGGTGAAGGCCCTAGGTGTCAGAGGGTGATCGGTGAGTAGCTAGGAACCCATCAGGATTGCTCCAAGACTGTCCAAGAAGCAACCTGGGCCCTGCATGGGATCAAGTTTTTGATCCAACAAAAGGGCAAGAGACACGAGGCTTTGAGCCACATTGAGACTGTGAGGACCATAGTATGGAAAATAATAATTCCTCTCAGCAATTTGACCAGATTCTTAGTAGTCGCTTCCACACTCCTGTTCTGGGTACCCGCATCCCTGGGGAATAAGCGCTTTTGGCCAGCGGACAGGGAATGTCCTTTTAAGATAGTTGTCTGCAGAGTGTTGGTTAGTGTTGAGTGCGTAAATGATGGTTAAGCAATGGAGTGGGAGCTACAAGTCGATATCATCGAGGTCTACTGAAGGTTGATCCAGTCTCACGTGATCGTACAACCAATGCTGCGTCCTCCAGAGCAAATCGAGATATTCCTCCTTCTCCCATTTGTGCCACCGTGTCTGTCTGTTTGCCATTGGACTAGCAGCAATTTACCGTCGCTGTCAAGCTATAAGTAATATGTGATAAGTGGCTTTGTTTTAAGTAGTCCGATGAATCAGAACACAATGAAACTGGAGATCTGAAACCGATGGAGTTGGATGTTTATCCCCACGCTTTAATTTAATCAATCTTTGCTCACCCTGACCTGACAGCCGTTCTGGACCAGCTGCCATTATTGACCGTTCATCCTTTAGCAAGGATTTTCAATTAACCTTATTTGCTACAGACACTTGGTCACAGCATGTTTCCCTCCTCTCTGGTGACCTGGGGCCTCACACTCTCCGCCATCTTCCTCTTCTGGACGCTATCCTCCACCAGCTCGTCGCCCTTTGCGCGCAACTTCCCGCGGCTCTACAACAAACGGATATGCCTGCTGATCGCGCACCCCGATGATGAAGCTATGTTCTTCTCCCCCACAGTCCTGGCGCTGACCAAGCCCGAGCTGGGGAACCATCTCAAGATCCTCTGCCTGAGTAGCGGTATGTCACCCGACAACCTCAATCCGCCTTCCCTCCCCCTATTTCCTCAACCCCCCAGCTAAACAGAAAAACCCACACCAGGGGACGCCGACGGCCTCGGCCACATCCGCAAAAAGGAACTCCAGGAGAGCGCAAAACACCTCGGCCTGCGCAGCGACTCCGACGTCTTCATCGTCGATGACCCCGCCCGCTTCCCAGATAGCATAACCACCACTTGGTCCGACGCAGACGTCTCCTCCCTCCTCGCCTCCGCCTTCGCGCCAGGCCTCGCCGACAAAAACAGCCCAGCCTCATCGGCGCCGCGGAAAAGAGGCGCAGCCCCCGCCGCCGCCCCGGTCGCCACCATCGACGTCCTCCTCACCTTCGACCCCCGCGGCATCAGCAACCACCCCAACCACCGCTCGCTCTACCACGGCGCCGTGCACTTCCTGCGCGCCCTGATGCGCGACAAGGCCGGCTACGCCTGCCCCGTCACCCTGTACACCCTCACCACCACCAACATCCTGCGGAAATACATCGGCGTGCTGGATGCGCCGTGGACGATGGCGACGGGGGCGCTGAGCTTTTTCACCGCCGCCGGCGGAGCGAAGGACGATATGCCGCGGAGGCTGATGTTTGTGAGCTCCGTGGAGGAGTATTTCCAGGCGCAGAAGGCCATGGTCAAGGCGCATAAGAGCCAGATGGTCTGGTTCCGGTATGGCTGGATCACGCTGGGGCGGTATATGATTGTGAATGACCTGAAGCGGGAGAAGGTATAGCCTTTGGCTTTTTGTATATGGCCCTGGAAGTTGGATTCTCAAGAGTTTACTTGTATTTGTATCTCTACTCTGTGTGTATATTATTGAGTGTCATAATGCATTGTTCATGAATTTAAAAACAAACCCCCAGAGTGAAGAGCAAAAAAAAAAAAAAAAAAAAAAATAGACAGACAAAGCAGATTGATAGCATCGAAGTGGTATCACGAACAAGATATGCATGTTGTGTTGCTATGAATTCGGGGTATCGGAATCAAGCATCATGATGAGGCCGAGGTATCGCAATATCAAAATGCTCATCGTGCAATCAAATCGTAACCGTTAAAACACCAACCCCCTTTATGCGACAATCCAGTCACCACTCGCCGGGTCCACCGTCTCATCCCCGTCTCTCCATCCTCCATTCTCGACCGGCTTCTTCGAACCAGGTAATTCCGCGACATGCGCAGCATCACTAGCTCGGCTCCCCACCGCGTCGGGTCCGACTGCCTCCTCGGCCACCACGGTCCTCGGCGTGTTAACGATGCGCTCCTCCACGCCCCAGAACAGCCGCTGCACCGCCGGGAGATCAAGGCTGCGAAGCTCGGCCGGGTACTGCGCCCAGACGAAGTCGTCGTCGAGTTCGCGCGCCCCACGCTCCAGGACGAGGCCGTTGTCGACCGTCGGTCGGCGAAGCGGGATGCGCTGGTGCGTGTTGAGGAGCCGCTGGCCCCAATGAGTTCCGCCGTGGAGCTGGATTTTGCCGCCCCTGGTGCTGTAGACGATCGAGTTTGGGAGGAAGTCCCGCCATTCTTCGAGCGCGCGCGGGAGGAGATGGCGTTCCCAGGCGGGGTTGTCGCGGCCGACCCAGCGGCGGCGGATGAGGAGCAGGCGCGCGAGCCGTTCGACGAGGATGGTTTGCTGGGCGGTGCGCATGCGGAGGATGTCGTATGCGTGCACGGCCTCGGCGAATGCGCGGGATTGGAGGAGCGTATGGTTGATGGAGGGTTTGCGGGTGCGGGTGGACGAAGGTGGCGGGCCGAGGTATTTCTGGATGATGGAGCGCGCGACGCGCCGTTTACGCCGCGTCTCTTCGAGGAGGGTGTATGCGGACTCCATGTGCTGCTTGAAGTCGGAGAGCTTGGCCTGGTCCCACGCGATCTTGGCTTGGATGTGGTACATCTCTATCGTTGGACGGACGAGGAACGGCTCTGCGGTCATAGTTTGCACCAGCGTGGACAGGAATTCATACGGCACTTTGCCCTTTGCGTTGCGGTCGGCGTCAAAACCGAAGCGCGGCCGCGAGAGAACGAACGATCGCTCCAGGAGTTCCAGCCAAACCTCTTCCGGAACAGGAATCTTGTATGAGGTTGAAATGAAGTCGATGGCCCGCAACGCCCCGGCGATGTCATTATTGTTGCCGAAGGCATGGGCAATGGCGAACAAGAGACGGCTGGTTGGGTACATCGGCGACGAGCGATCATAATCCATGGCTGAAGGCAACCCCGTTGGGTCTCCTTGCCCTGCCACCAGAGCGTCCACGTCGACATTCCATACGGTCTTCAAGATGTTCTTGATCCCAGTCACATGGCCAACCCGGGCGGATGCCAGCATCACGTTCACGAACGTGGCCTCGTCGCCGGACGTGCCTTCTTCCATCATCTCGTTGAAGATCTGCAGAACCTCCTGGCGGACGCTGCGTTCTGCCGTGCGGAAGCCATTCCAGCCTACATTGGGGCTGTAGAAGCGACGTTTGCGATAGGCATACGGCGTCATTCGCAGGTGATACTTCTCGCGCCCCGTGTAGGCCATGTCCCACACCTTGGCTTCCATGTAGTAATTGTAGCAACGCACATCGGGGACCACCCCATCCTCGGTCATAGCATGCCAGACATGGTCTGCCATCAAAGCATCTCCGATCGAACGTGCACAGTCCAGGAGATGCGCGTATTCGGCCAGTCCCAGCGTGTGACCTGCCGCCCGACGGGTTGCGATGATCGAGGCGAGGTTACAGGCGAACTCATCGAAAATCGCCTCCAATGCCCGGTAGCCTTTCAGCTCTACAGCAAACGGATGTATTGGACGATAGATGCCGCGAAAAGGATCAACAAAGTAGGCGGGGGAGAGCAAGCAAAAGACCTCGACAAAAGTACTCTCGGGCAACTCGCCAACCACCGTCTCAAACTGAGGGTCAAGCAATGCCTTCATCACCTGGTCGGGTTGGCCGTCTCGCACAATCGCGAAGAATGCATTTTTGAGCGCATTCAGATTCTTGATTGGTGTCCTTGGTGCTTGGTTGGGGCCTTCCAGCACACCGACTGAGCTCTGGACCGATCGTATCGCATGGAACTGAGAATATTGGTGTCCATTGTCCCTTCGCGGACTCTGAGAACTCTGTTGTTGTTGTTGTTTTCCATGATGATGATGATGATGATGCTCCTCTTCTACATCGTTGGGAGCGAAGGAATGTGGATGGCTTGCCAGCGACCGTCTCTGGAGCAGCTTGGCCGCGGGCGTGGAACCTGAAGCGGAGCCCACCAGTCGGGAGGACCCATCAGAGCGCCCGTAGCGGCCGATAATGTATCGAAGCATTGGGACTGGGAGGGCAGACCACGTGAGAGGAAGTAAGTATAGTTCGGTTAGGACGCTCTCATCAGGCGGTTTTGAAGGGAATCAACTCGGGTTTTCATGGAGGTTTTGGAAGATTTGAAAGAGTCCAAGATGACTCTGTGTCCCCTCGGTTCAAAAAGGCCACCATCGAAGCAGCGATTATGCTGTCTCTGTGCAGCATGAGGGGAACAACCCCGGGGGCCTCACTCACATCTTCGGCCGTTCTGGTTGGGCGCTGCGGCAGTCTTGGCGCCGAATCCCTGCAGCGTTTGCTGTCTGTGTGCTGCTGGACGACTGATTTTAATTACTACTCCTACTACTACTCCTACTACTACTACTGCTGACCTGCAACACAGCCGCTGACACCAGATTATATTATTGCCTAGTCATTTCCATCACCCGTCATCAACGAAGTCTACATTTACGGCGGTAGCTTTGGGATCTTGTCGGTTTTAAATCGCAACGTTGCGTCGAAATGGCCGATACTGAGGATGCCGGTGCTTCGTCCGTCTCGGAGCCTTTGGATCTGGTGCGCCTCTCGCTCGACGAAATTGTGTTTGTGAAGCTTCGCGGCGATCGCGAGCTCAAGGGCCGCCTACACGTGAGTTTGCGCTCTGAACATTCGGTCGCGTTGTGTTGCTCAATGCGGGGGACTGACTTGGTGGGCGTTCTTGCTAGGCCTATGATAGCCATTGCAACCTCGTTCTGGGTGATGTCGAGGAGACCATCTACGTGGTCGAGGAGGATGAGAATGAAGAGGAGACCATTCGCGTATGAAGCTCTGCCCCTGTCTACGACGGCTCTGCTACGGACACTGCGGAATCGCGGCTACCGCTCAAGCGACATTGAACTAACGGGTCAATCGCTGAATGCAGACAATAAAGAAGCAGGAGGAGATGCTTTTCGTACGAGGTGAGCACAGCTCAGTTCATGATCTCCCAACTGTACTCATTATGCTGACCAACCACCTCTCTTCCTCCAGGCGACTCGGTCGTATTGATCTCGCCCCAAGCGTGATTCCATAATCGAAAGAGATTAGGATGATGAGGAACGATACGCGGTCTACCTGATCTGCAGAGTGGTCCAGCAATATATAGCATTGCAACGCCTCTGCTTCAGACTGGATCGCAGACACGAGAAACGACTTAGGACGAGGAGACCAATACATGCCCTTCGATATCCATTCCGTCATCAGCATCATCGACAGGATATTCTTCCTCTTCACGACAAAAAAGGAGGTCGCAGGAAAACAAAGGGCTGAGGATGTACAGACACGTTGATGTCATAGGACTTTTCTATCCATGAGCCTCACGAGTCAGGCATCATTTGATCGCTTAAAATATCTACCATACATAATCCCAGACAACTACTAAGTCCAAATAGAGAAAAAATGAATTGCAATCGTACCTTCAGAATGACACACACAGTCTGCCCGTGGCACAGCACCGTGACTCAATCCCAGATCGCCTCGTGGAGCCATACAGGCGGCGGTGACTCGCTATCGATAAAGCTTCCCCGGTTCCCCGACTACTCTTTGGGCTGAGCCTCACCTTCCATTCCCACTGACTCAACCTGACTCCCACCCATCTACCTGGTTGTCTGGCAATCCGTCCGTCTAATTATTATTTGAACTGTATTCGGCATCTGACTGCCTAGTCTTTCTTTCTTGCATCCTCATCTGCCTTTCAATCCTCATAGTGGGAAATTATGATAGTACGAATACGTGTCTAAATGCGCCACAGGCGATACCATCTTCCATCCGATCGAATAAAAGATACAACTTGAAACGCTTCATTGATAGATCTCTTCCTCTTTCTTTCCCCTTATTTCTTAACCTGTATATCCTTCCTCTTATATACCGAACCGAGTCCTAATCATGCCGCAAAGCGGAGCGAAACTCTCCAGAGAGGAGCGGCGTAGGGGCGAAATTGTATGACTCTCCGCGCTCGCTCCATCCTGACGATGACTCGCGTCGAGACTCCCTTGCTGACCGCTCACGATCCAGGCCCTCAGTGAATTCGCAGAATATGCAGAGAAACAGCAGGCGCATCGCTCAGCCTTCGTCGGCACCAGCGATAGCGGATACGACACCGCTAGCATCCCCCGCCATACCGAAGACCATGCTGAACTGGACATTCTCGACCAGCTCACACTGTCCGATGCCCCGAGGACGGCTAGGCTGAAAGACCTGCTGCTCGGTACGGGTGATGAGACAGAGGGTAGCCTGCAGCTACTGGCCAGTATTTTGCAGGCCCGCATCGACGAGGGTCATGGAGAAACGATCTTCGACCTAGGACTCGAGGATGGAGGAGACTCGATGGGATTCGACCTGGCTCAGTGGAACACGGCGCTTCAGCGTTTGCGGGAGGCGGCTGAAACCCTTCCTGCACACTGCCGTATCCTGCTAACGCACAACGTTGGTGGTCCCGAGGAGTCGAAGACCAAGCATGACCGTCTCAAGGATGCCTGGGGCAAGATCCTGATTCGGCAGCCGGTGGACACGGTCGAGGAGATGGCTGAGATTCGGATTGCGGTTGTTGGGAATGTCGACGCAGGGAAGAGTACCATGCTCGGAGTCCTCGTCAAGGGGAACCTGGACGATGGCCGAGGTCGAGCGCGAGTCAACCTGTTCCGTCATAAGCATGAGATAGAAAGTGGGCGGACCAGCTCGGTAGGGCTGGAGATCATGGGCTTTGATAGCCGCGGTGATATTGTTGGGAATCCGCAAGGGCGCAAACTCTCCTGGGAAGAGATAGGGAAGCGGTCCGCGAAGGTGATCTCCTTCTCCGATCTTGCCGGCCATGAGCGATACCTGAGGACAACAGTCTTTGGGATGTTGAGCAGCAGCCCCAATTACTGCCTACTGATGGTCGCCGCAAACAATGGCCTGATCGGCATGAGTAAGGAGCATCTCGGTATTGCCTTGGCTCTGAATGTTCCAGTCATGGTCATCATCACCAAGATCGATATCTGCCCGCCCCACATCTTGCAGGAGACTATCTCTCAACTGACTAGGATTCTCAAGTCGCATGGAGCGCACAAGATCCCTATATTCGTAAAGGATATGGAGGAGACCATCAACACCGCCGCGCAGTTTGTCAGCCCGCGCATCTGCCCTATCTTCCAAGTGTCAAATGTCACGGGGGAGAATCTCGAGTTGGTTCGCATGTTCCTGAACATCCTTCCTCATCGCGGCCAGTACAACGTCAATGCTCCATTTGAATTCTTGGTCAATGACACCTTCTCGGTTCCTCATGTTGGTACGGTGGTGTCGGGGGTGGCCAAGTCCGGTGTGATTCACGTTGGCGATAAAGTGCTTGTCGGACCCGACTCTCTCGGCCAGTTCACCACCACCACCATCAAGTCCATCGAACGCAAGCGGATCCAGGCAAACGCTTGCTTTGCAGGGCAGTCCGGCTCCTTCGCACTCAAGGGCGTCCGTCGAAGAGAGGTTCGCAAGGGGATGGTCGTTCTCAAGAAATTGGAACAGCCTCCCAAGGTCTATAGAGAGTTTGTTGCGGAGGGTGAGATTTTCCTTCCGCTCTTGCTACGAATTCTGTTCCACTGACTGTTCACAGTGCTTATTCTTTCCCACGCGACCACTATCAAACCTCGATACCAAGCAATGCTCCACGTCGGGGCGGTCAGCCAGACGTGCTCGGTCATCGATATCGATCGTCCTTTCATCCGGACCGGCGATCGTGTTCTCGTCGCGTTCCGATTCATCCAACGTCCCGAATTCTTGGCTCCTGGCGATCGAGTTTTGTTCCGTGAAGGCAAAACGAAGGGCCTGGGAATTGTTAAAAGCGTTGGATACGACCCGGATCATCCTCTCAGTGCTGGCGCTCAGACGAAATGATGCTCCGACATGTTGAGCTCTGGTAGTACAAGCTTGCTTTATCTTGTTTTTTTTTTTTTTTGGTTTGTCGGTCATGGATATGCACCCTTTGGCTTTTGGTTTGTTTGTGCTTTGCGTCTGCAATCAGCTGTGCTTGTTGCATAGGGCTTGATACTCAACTGTCGCACAACATCTCCTGTATGAGGTTATGAGGTGCACTCAGGCTGAACTATTACCTATCCTTTTTGTTTAATTAGGCTGTTGTCATATGTTTTACTTCCCATATTCATTATTCCTAGTGTATCGCCATCATGGTGATGCTGATGCTCCCAACAGCTCCAGCAGTGTTGTACGGCTGGTAATCTACACCCTGGCCTTCCACAACCCGACCCTGTGGTTAGGCTGACTCGAACTGCAACCATAAGCCTACCAATAGCATAGTTATTAATACGACCGCTTCCTTAGGTGCCTTTATGGTCGATCTTGATGATTCTTTCCTCCTTCGCAGCTTCACGGCTGATATAGCACTGCTGCCACGTGACCCTGACGTCATATGACAGGCGGCGATGATGACATCCCGCCGGTTGATCGTCTTGTTGTTCCCTCGCAGACACCAACAGTCAACGCGGTTGGATTATATTGACTGCACTGAACAGACCATCCCTGACGATGGTGAGAGCATTCAATGGACAAGACACCGTTGCAGCTCGCTTATCTCCGAACATCTGTGTGCTGGGACAACCATCCCCTCCACTGACGTACCCTGTCTTGGCTCCTTCGACCTTGTCAACGTGCTTTGGATCTATTAAAGAGCCCTGCTCTACACTGGATTGTCCTGATTGAACAAATATCCAACCTGTCTTCCTCTTCTCTTGGCATTATTTCTTGATTGACAGAGGCATTGCTGTCAATATATCTACCAAAACTCGACTGTACTCTTGAGATCTTCACTTCTGTTCTCACCTAATATCTACCCCCTCAGCTATAATGGAAGCGGTACAAAAGGCCATATATGATACCACAAGCGGGATCCAGAATCTCGCCTTTGGTACCCAGCCTGAGACCACACCATGTACACAGCAACACGGCGAGGAACCTTTGTCCGGCGTGCAGGGTCGAGGGACAGCGACGGACCCATACGATGCTGGAAACCGCGATGGTGTGTATAACCTTCATACACATGACGACATATTGGCGTCGCGCCACCCCTGACAGAGGCGGTGGACGAACATACTGACCCCCTATAGAACAGCCGGACGCCCCCGCAACAAAAGATAATACTGCCGTCATCACTGAGCCTCTTGAATCCATTACACCGCTCGAGAATAAGCCGACGGATCCCAGTCCCGCCAGCGGCGCGGGCCTCAAGGCCGGCGCGACTCCCTCCCCGGCACAAGAGAAGCTGATCCCGTCGTCGACCAACAGCGCCACGGAGACCGGACCGGGAAACCCAATTGTAGACCTGCCATCGCCGGCACAGGAGCAAACGAATCCCACCGCCAGCGCTAACAGCAACAATAATACCAGCAGCAGCAACAGCAACAGCAACAATCTCAGTGAACCCCGGTCCATCTCTCAGTCCCAACCCAACTCTCGACCACTATCCCCAAAGTCACCCAAACAGAGAGACCTGGCCATGTCCGAGGGCGTTAGTAGCTCGCGCTCCCCGCCCCGTGAGGAGGGCGACGCCTCATCCAGCTCCAACGGCGAGCATGGGCCGCCTCAGAACGGCAATGTGAGCATCGAGGCGCTCAAGGGGCCGCAGGGTCCTGCGCCGAAGGAGACGGCCGACTTCGAGCAGGAGATGGATGGCGGCAAGCCGTCGAACACGACAGGTTCGTTCCCCCTTTTTTTCCCCCTGGACACAGGAGTGGGATGATTTGGTTTGATTCCGGCTAACACGCTCGTGTAGGTGGAGGTAGTGCAGCAGAACAACGCGATATGGGTGGTCATCACAATAAGATGAGCCACATGAAGGAGCGGCTGGGAAGGGTGTTCAAGCATAATAAATAAATGATCTGATTCCGTGTGTGGAGGAAGCCTGGTTTGGAATTTTGTTCATGATTTGTTTTTTTGCGCCGACCTTTATCCAATTTGTTCTGCTGTATTTCCCTGGTATAATAATCAGATCAGATTGACATACGGATGTGTATTGTACATTGCCCCTGAATTTCTATCGCGTGGCTATAGCCAGACCTAGATCTTGCGATATGTAAGTGCTATACATATACATATGTACTGGTCGAATCACCTGAGCAGTCAAGGGACCACTCGACGACTCGACTATTCAAACAACAGCTTCAACTCCTCAATCCTCTCCTTCCTCTTCTCATCCTCGGACCCATCGCCCCCAACCCGTAGCCCCAGCGAGCCCGCAATATTCATCTTCCGCTCCTGCACCTGCAACATGCGTCCCTCGATCGAGTCCTTGACGATGAACCGCGTGACGGCCACATCCCGCAGCTGGCCCATGCGATGCACGCGGTCGATCGCCTGCGCCTCGATCGCGAAGCTCCACCACGGGTCCATCATGAACACGTTGCTGGCCACTGTGAGGTTGAGCCCGACGCCGCCGGCGCGCAGGCTGATGAGTAGGACGGAGGGGCTGCCGGGGGCCGAGGACGGGGAGCGCGCGCTCTTGGCCGCGGGGGCGAAGGCAGATGGTGCGCGGGGCGTGGGGAGCGCCTCGTCCTCGGCCTCGTTGTCTATCGCGTCCTGGGCGAACGAGTCGGTCTGGGTGAACTGCGCCAGGACCTCGGCGCGGGCCTTTTGGGGCATTGTACCGTCGAGGCGGACGTGCGAGATGCCGGCTTTGGTTAGCTGCGGGCCGATTAGGTCGAGGAAGCTTGTGAACTGGGAGAAGACGACGGATTTGGTGCCCGGGGGGATGCGGCTGAGGTGGCTGACGAGTGCGTGGATCTTTGCTGAGGTGTGTGCTGAGGGTGAGAGGGGGTTGATGCGTCGGAGGGAGATGCGAGGTGCAGGTTGCGGGCTCGAGGCAGGCGTGCTGCTGTAGAGATCATGCTCCTTGGGGGTTGAACTTGGGGATTGGTGGCGGATCACTTCGAAGATGTCCCTTGATGTAACTGGTGCACGGCACGAGAAGCATCGAGGAGGCACGCCCTTATCTGTCTGGTGGCGTATATAATCTTCCAAGCATTTTTTACACGCACTATGCCAACAGGCCGTGACCGCGGGGTCGATCATGGGCTCCTCCGAGCAGATGGGACATTCTCCGCCGGATTCATTTTGGATCTGCCTCAATGCGTGCGTGGTGAATTTGGCCCCGGGATCCTGTGTCTCGCTCGAGCCTGCGTTCTCAAGGCTGACCGTAAACCGGTCTATGAGCTCTTGCAGGTCCATGTCGTCTTTCAACTCATTGGCGGCATCGGCCGCCGTCGCAGCGTCTTCCTCATCTGTAACGATCGTCTTGTTACGTGTCAGGATAGGATGGCAGCAAGTCTGTCGCAGACGCAGGATCTGTGCGAAAATAGTCGAGAACGACTTCAGCAGAGTACCAGCTTCGACATTGTCGTTGAATGTACGTTTAGCTCTGGTATATATCAAATCATAGATCTCACGTTCTTGCTCGGAGAGCTCCACTTCCACGATATCGATGGTTCGACGTGGTAACGGTACTAACGGTTCCCCTTCTGGTGTTTTCATCGTCTTGGTCCGCCGAAGAACAAGAGGCTCAAGGACAGTCTGAACGACATTGAGGGCTCGTACGTAGTCCTTTGACTCAAAGGGGACAGTGATGAATGTCTTCCAGAACGAAAAGTTACTCCACGGCTCGACCTTGAGGAACCGCACCAAGCTGAAGAGATCTTCCAGACGATTGACGATGGGAGTTCCAGTCAAGACCCACCGGTGCGTCGCTTTCAATTCATAGCAAGCTCTCGCGGTCTTTGAGCGTCGGTTCTTAATTACATGGGCTTCATCAAGAATGACTCGGAAAAAGTCCACAGAGAACAGTCCACCTTGGGTATTCGACGCGAAGAGTGGCTGGGCCGCGAGCTGACGGAATTCGGACAGTACTACGCCGTAACTGGTGATGATGACGTTGGGAGCGCTGGGGTTGCCTGCAGCACAGAGCTCTTGGAGATTGACGGATTTATCGGCACCGTAGTACATCAGAGCCTTCATCGTGTCTGGTCTTGAGGCTTTCATGGCCTCGCTCTCCCATTGAGCTAGCAGGGACGTGGGTGCCACGACTAGCGTTGTGTATGGAGCGGGAACGACAGCAGTTGAAGAGTTAGGCAGCCTCAGTAGCTCAGTAGAGGAAGCTGTGCCACCTTGATTAGGATGCACGGTACGATGAGAGTGGATGAGACTCAGCATCTCGATTGTCTTGCCTAAACCCATCTCGTCGGCTAAAATGCCACCCAGACAGTGCTGCTCCTGTGCTGGAAAGTCAACGCTCAGCTCCCCAGAATAGGGATTGACGTAGAAGTGGGCCTGTCCCTCAATCTCCGGGAGATCCTTGTCATCGACATCTTTGAGTGGCCAAGTATATTCCTCCCAGAGAGGATGCATTGACGACTCTCTGCCAGACTTATTATCTTTCTCCTTGGCAAGCATCCAATGAAGTGCTTGTTTCTGATACTTCCGGAGACTCAGGACAAATGTTGACGGTGGCTCAGCTTCCGGCATATTGAAATCAAAAGACTGTGCCTTCTTGTAAAGCGTGTCAAGTTGGTCTTCCTCGAGCTCTGGTGATTCCTCCTCTTCTGACGATTCGTTCCCTTTGCTCTCTTTCCCGGCCTTGTCATATTGCTCTGCAATTTCGGCCGCGCGAAGCAGTCCTTCTTTTTTGTGCTTTTTGGTCATCTCGTTTGCCGACATAGGTTGCAGCCCGATCTCATCAAAAAGTTTAACAAGGGCAACCTGGCGGAGCCGAAGCTGCTTCTCTTCAGCATTCTCTTGTTCTTCGAATATCGTAGTGGACCGATTATCGTCACCCATACTCCAGAGACTCCGCGGTAGAAAGGCTTCTTTGCGTAAGTAGCATCGTAACTGTAGGTAAATCGTGTCGTTGACCCGGACCCGGTCAGGTGTGAAAACGCAGATGCCCTCGAATTTGCATATCTTCTGGTCGAGCAGAGTGGACACCCATTCTGCTGTTTCTCGAGGCAGTCGCCCGATCTCCTGGCCAGCATCATTTGTAAACCGAGTCAGAACATCTCCTTTTTGGTTAGTGATGAGCTTGCCCCCTCGGCCGCGCTTGGCTACCGGCTGAGACCTTGTCCGTTCAACATTGACATGCTCCCCGTGTCTGAGTAGATTAGTGCCGCTTCTGGTAGCCCATGCCCCTACACCAAAAGCGCCGATGTATCTGGGGGATTGCTGCAAGGTATGGCGCGCTACAGATTGGCTTGATTTCCTTTCAGGCGTTTGATTTGATGGCGATGCCTGAGATCTTATTCCTTCAATCGGGGTGCGAGGAGCGGACAGCGTTGACTGGCGAGAAGCGACAGGAGCAAGGCTCGACGTAGCCCGGTTGAGCGATTTCCATGATCCGTCGAAGTAGACGTTCACTGCCCGCTCCAAGTCGTCGCCAGAGGCTTCACGGATCCGGTTGATCGATTGAGGAGGAAGTTGTTCTCCAATGATACTGGCAAAAGTCTCCACGTCGAAACCACCAGTATCGTGATCGGGTTTTTCCTGCTCGATCTCCCCCTCATTCAGCCCTGTCCGGTGTCCACTTATCAGGCGCTCTTCATCTTGTTCATGCCTTCGAGCATTCGACAAAATGGATCCATCGAGGACCTCTTGGTCGTATGGTAGCCCAGATTCGTCCGGGCCCCTATTTATGTCATTTCCCCGTTCATCATCTTCGCTCGGGAAGTCAACCTCCTGTGCGCCATTTAGCTGCCCATAATGATCGTCTTTTCCCTCTGGACCAGCAGAGGAGGTCACGGACGCGTCGAGACTCGGAGCAGTAGGTGTAGATTCGCTAGGGGAGTGTACAGGTCCACTCTCGTCGTCGACAAAAAAGCGTCTCTTTTTCAATGGACGTTCATTGGAATCCCCAGCGTCCATTATACCACTGTACATTTGATCGTACGTGAGATTAGATGAGTTTGTAGCCTGGAGACGAAGGGGCGATGCGTCGAAAACTAATGCGATGGATCTTAATGGGCGGAAGACGCGCCGAGACGCGGTCGATCGCTGCAGGTCGGGCCGACGTCATTCTTGGAAAAAATTATGGACAGTTGAAGGCGACGACACCGTGATAGAACCACCATCCACAATCTTGCTCTTGGTTCATAGAGACTGTCTTGGGTCGGTATGTCTTCGTCAAATCTCCCTGGACATTTAACTGACATTCCTTAGGAGTACTTTCGCTGCACGCGGTGATAAACGACTACTTCAGACATCGACGAGCGTGCCTCATGTCTTTCCTCAAAGAGGTTGCTCGTCCATGCCGGACGAGTAAGCGATCATGTCCTATCTCAAGAGTCAAATTACAAGCTCCACGGCATAGACACTTCAGTCGATCAGCTCCAGCCTCCAGCCCAGTCGTAGGGGCAGCTCCAGCCGAAGTTCAAGCTGCTCGGAAATACTGCACAGATCTCCTTTTGTATGAGACCTGACCCTTGAGCTTCTCTGCTGAATGGCTGCTAACACAAGCCCGTTTGAGGTTTCAGGAAATATGACCGACCCTCCTATACGCTCAGTACCTTCATCCCACAGCACTCTCAGCCGTTCTACCTCGCCCTCCGAGCCCTCAATGTCACCCTCTCCATGATCCCCGACACCACCTCCTCCCACACAATCGGGTTGATGCGGCTACAATTCTGGCGCGACGCCGTGACGAAGATTCTCGCCGGCTCCCCGCCCAAGGAGCCCATTGCCATCCTGCTCGCCTCCACCATCGCCGACCTCAACGAGCGCACCCAAGGCCATGCCCGCATCAGCAAAGCCTGGCTGAACAAGATGATTAACGCCCGTGAGCGGACCCTCACCAACGACCCGTACCCGACCATCGCCGCCCTCGAGTCCTACGCCGAAAACACATACTCGACCCTCTTGTACCTGACTCTGTCCTCGCTGCCCATGACCTCCGTCACGGCGGACCACGTCGCCTCGCACGTCGGCAAAGCAGCCGGCATCGCGGCCGTGCTCCGCGGCCTGCCGCTCATTGCATTCCCGCCCCCGCCGGCTCAGTCGCCCACCCACGCGGGGTCAGCCCTGACAGGCGGGATGAGGCAGGGTGCCGTGATGCTGCCGTTGGATGTCATGGCGCAGGCCGGGGTCAAGGAGGAGGATGTCTTCCGGATGGGTGCGGAGGCGCCGGGCCTACGTGACGCCGTCTTCACGGTTGCTACGCGCGCAAGCGACCATCTGATCACCGCGCAGCAGATGCTGAGCAATCTGCGTGCCGGCCAGGATGTGGGTCATGACTTTGAGCATGAAGGTGAAGAAGGACATGAGTATCCTGCGGAGCACGATGTGGCTGCTGGCCAGCGTGGTGAGTCACCTCTGGAGGAGGTGAACCGTGCCTTTGGCGTGTTCATGCCTGCGGTAGCTACCCGACTTTGGCTGGATAAGCTGGAGAGTGTCGATTTCGATATTTTCCGGCCAGAATTGCTGCGCTCCGATTGGAAATTACCCTGGAGAGCCTATCTGGCTTTCAAACGGAAGACTTTCTAGAATCCATGCTCTAATTGTACATCTATGTATACTACCACGGAAAAAAGTCCTATATATATGTGTGGGAATCGTTTGTACCATAGTATATGTCCATCAATATCCGATGAAGAATCATACTGAACCGATGAGAAGGGCTAAATATGTATCCTTCAGGCTTGTTTAGCGACTTTCCGTTCTCGTCGTCGTTTCCTCGAACTGGTGATTAGCCGTCTTTGGGCGAGCAGTACTACATAGCGTTGGATCTTGTCGCGCCTGTGATATTATTTAGCATTGGCACAAGCCCCTCAATCACGAAGATCACGAAGTATGCATACATCAAGAAAAGAGTTGTGACAAAGACAAACGGGATTGCAATCGTCCAGAAATATCTTCAAGCAGCATTAGTAATCTTCGACATAGAAATGGATGAGGAGGACATACGAATCGCTATGTTTGATTCCGGCAAAGTCCTCAAAGTTCATTCCAAAGTAACCCTATGTCAGAGTTAGCTACTAAAGTTGGAGCTTTGTCCCATATTGTGTGTAAGAACGAACCGTCAAGAAAGTCAAGGGGAGATAAAAACATGTCACCAGAGTGAGTTGTTTCATACTCTCATTCTGGTAAGCACCTTGAACTCGTCAGCACCACTATGCGGATTTGGTCTGATAGAACAGGTTTACCAATTGTGTTGAAGATTAGATCGATCATATTGTCAGCAGCACGCCTCATCTGGTCGTAGGTCTCAACGATGGTGATACAGTGGTCCAATACATCTCCCAAGTATGTATGACACATGGGACTGATGGAAACGCTTGATCCACCTAGGCTCTTGAGATTCGGTGTGGCTACCCCAAGGTGCTGCAAAGCCTCCGATGAATTAGTTCTTGACACTGGGCGCGGTCCTGCCGTGCCAATATGTTTGAGACCAAACCCAGGGGTACTGACTGGCTCTGAGCGATGGTCTCGAAGCGCGTTAATGACAGTTACAATTGGCTGCATGGAGTTTCTCAAAACCGAAATCTCTGAGGTTAAAATATAGAGACTTTTGGATTGATCCACATCAGGATCTGTGAGAACCTCGAGCTCCAGCTCACCAATCGCATCTTGATAGGCGCTGGTTACTGGTATCGCCATATCGATAATAGCATCCAGAATGGCCTGCAAAAGCATGCTAGCATCACAGGATTGGCGCAATATCGTTTCCGGGGAGCTGAGACGCTTGACTATCGGCGCCTCAATGTCATCAGCACTCGTTTCGAAGAACGACGTAACAGTATTATCCGCATGCAAGAAGATTGAAACCTGCTCAAGCATCACGGTTAAGCCCTTCGATGCCAAAACGGCATGGCGTTCCATAAAGGCAATCCGGTCCTCATTTGGGCCCCCGCGGAAGCGTTGAATGCTGCGAGCCATTGGTCCGGCATTGGCAAACTCGCCAGGGTTAGATGTCCCCCTAGAGTTCGTCTTATCCAGTAGCCGGCGGGCACTCCTTTTAGCAGCGTATTGGTAATCTTTCTTTTTCTTTGCTCTTCGAAATGGCAAAAGATCCTTCAATGCTGCGTGGATGAGCGATCTTTTGGTTGGTCGCTTCAGAGTATGGCTTTTATGGCTATTTATCGAGCCTCTTCGATCCGGTTCCCATGGGTTTTCTCCGTCATGCTCCTCCTTCTCAGAGTCACTGCTCGTTTCCTCACTAAGTTTCACCAGCTTTTGTAAATTAAGCACAATGTATGCATGATCCGAATACCAGTCTGCCTTCGTTCGGTTTGTTGTATTGGTCATGTCCTCAATGGCAAGTCTGTGTAGCCCCTTGTGCTTGCCCAGAATCCGAATTACATCCCAACTCAGCCCGTTTACATTGATCCACCGGCATTGCACCCAAGGCTCCCTCTCTCGCTGGAGAAAGGGTTCCAATGTGTCATTGTCCAAAACATACTGTCGCATTTCATATTGAGAAAAGTCGACGACAATGATATCACACCTTGTGTTCAGTTCGCTAGGTATATGAGCGGCCCACTCGGCACTGTAGGCGGGAGGCGGTTTGTTAGGGTCAATTCCCGGTTCAGTACCAGGATGCCAATTCGGATCATGGGTGACGCTGTCTGGGTGGTAAGAGCGAGCTATAGTAGAACGTCGCGTGCGATGCTTGGCTGTATCATGGGAAGCTACTCTCGCTGCTGATGTAAATGTTTCGGGAGAGTGTGGAGGCTGTTCATCTCCTGCTCCTGGGGAAGGAAGTAATATCGGTGGTGGATTGGGCTCCCGCGGATTTGCCTCGATATCTCCTGTGTCTAGATCACCTGGCGGTAGTTCCACTGATCGCACATCGTCGGGCGCGTGAAGACTCATGCTGGCAGTGGGTTGATGATACTGTGTAAGCAGCACCAGATCAATCAAGATTGATCCCTATTCTCGTTGATAAGGAAGCGAAATAAACGCGCTATACTTGTCGCGCAAAGAGTAGCGCGATGAAACAGTGGAGTAATAAACAGGAAGAAGCAATGATATGCGGTATTATACAATAAACTCTTCACCACGAATCAGGGCAACTGCGGACTGTGAGCACCTCAAGAAGATGCGAGAAGGTCTGTAAGAAGTTCCCATCGCTGGTTCAATTGTCTTCAGTGATCAATTAGCTTCTTGAGTGGGGAATATCCGTTGAGACGCCTGCGCAGATATATACCTAATGGAACAAGTCAAACAAGAAGTTGAGAGTCGCAATTGATATGACCAATGCTCGGTGAGTTCCTTGAATAAGAAGAGATCCCAAGAAGGTCCTCTAGGCCAGTTCTGTAGATGTCGTCAGTTGCTCTGCCTCGGCGGGGATGGATTGACTCGCAGAAGGCCGGGCTAGACCCGTTGGCAGCTGCCGCTCAATTATGTGCGCCTAATTGGTGTGATCCCTAGTTACAGTGCAAATGACTGAGGGGAGCAGGAAAGAAAGAGTTCTTGAAGGAGAAGAAAGCGTGCTGTTCGATCAACTGAGCTGTAGATAATCAATAGGGTGCGTCATAATGAGTCAGCATCTAATGGCCATGCCATACAACAGAAGTCGTGATAGGCACAAACAACCAACGACCAAGTGAGCAAGCATAGAATTGGCGGATAACATTGTTAATTTGAATAAGATATTTATTAATATGCATACCACGAGCCCTTGTTGAAAGATTAGTATGGAAAGTAGAGTTCCCATGATAAGTATTCGTTCCCAATGGCCACACACTAATACCAAACATGCTCATGAATACAGAGTAGAAAATGTATCATCATGTCTCGTTATAATCATCGCTTAAACCACATGTAATGAGTCGAGACCATGAACGCCACCCAATGCAGACTACAGAATCATGCGCAGAAACATAGAGAAGGCCCTGCTATGCTCCCTCTGTTCCCACCGGATTCCTCCGCCTTGTAATAAGTTTCAGCTGCAGTGGGATCAAATTTCTCCTTGGCCCTGGTGCGTCGGTTCGTGCTAAAGGCTTTCGACAAACAGGACATGTGCCACGAGGACCCTTCCCCGTTGCATCAGCCCGTTGGTCTTCGCTGAATTTCAATGTATCAACTATGCACTTGTGGCAAAAGAGGTGACCTTTAAACATATCAGCATAAAGACCAATGTCCTGCAACAATGCCTTACATACCGCATACAGTGCTGGTAGCATCAACAGGTGTATCCATGCATACAGGACATTTGTATGAAGTCAACACTGAGCGCCCTTTCCCTTGGTGCATAGATTCCTGGGCTCTAACGGCATCCTCTCGTTGTTTAGCCAATGCTTTGGCAAGAGCTGCCGATCCCTCCACCTCAGTCAGATCAATCGATTCAATCGGCTCGTTTTCTGAGGCGGTTGCTGTTATAGTGTCACTAAGACGTCGACGTTTTCTTCCATGTGCTTCTGGGCCTGATAGCTCGACTGACGAAGAACTATCCGACGGACGACGATGAGAACGAGGATCTGACATTTGAAGAGAGGCTCTGCGAGTAGCCGGAGGACAATAGTTCGATGTGCTTTGCTCCATTCTCCAGATTTTTCAATCATAAAAAAAAAGGGGGAAGGGGGGGAGAAAGGATTAGATATCTAAGTCATGCACTATCTCGTAGTTGCGCGATTCGGGTGGGAAGTCTGTTGGCTAAGATAAGTGCTGGATGGCCGGTGTAATGTATGAGTAAGCTTGGAGTGAAATTTGCCAGCTTCGCAAAAATCATCTAGATGTACACAAGTCGCTATTTGTCCGCCCTTCCTAAATGCCCGCGAGGAGGAGGAAGAAATTCCATTCTATGACCTCGGAAGCGATGTGTTGATAGTGGCGGCAAACAACTGCAGTTCAACTTATCGCAGATTCACCTGATGATAAGAAAATGACTATCTTGGAAGGCGGTAGAAGATAATTCGGAGTTTTTCTTCTCCCGATCTCCGGCTGCATGACGATGAGTTTCCGCGATAGGAAAGTGTGGAATATTGCACCGTATCAGAGGGAGCTGATGGCCACCAACTGCAACCGAGCATAACACCAGTCCCGACGAACATCATTTGCAGCACTGGCTGCGAGGGTTACATTATAATGCCATGGAGGCAGTCATTGGATCTTACATGACCTAGCATGCTCCTGAATAGTGCGATCACGCCCCATTGCAGGGGTGTTTTGCGCCCATGCTCGCAGAGATTGCGCTCGCCACATATTGGCCGGCAGCGACCACTGCTGCTGCTGGCGAAATCATTCGTTTCGCAGCCTTTGGCCGAAGATGGCGATAGAGCTTCACGACGTCAATCCCTTTCAGGTACCCCAATACCCCGCTGTTAAGTAGAATACGAGAGGCCAAACATTGATACTAATCTTGTAGTACCCGCGTTGTCTAGGTTTAACGAGATCGGAGTGCAGCAACTGAGCGATTATGTATATTCTCAAGTTTTCCCGAATAAGGCGCGATCGCCAGATCCGGAACTAGTCGCGCTCTCGAAGGAGCATCTTTCAAGGCATGACCTGCTTGGAAAGTCTCAGGATGCCGCGGAGCCCATTGCATTCGACTTACCTGCCCTACAAGGACAGACCATGGACGAGCATTTCTTCAAACTCGGAATGGACGCATCCGAGCCTTATTTGACATACGCCAAACGCTATGCCACCATCAACTGTCCGGACAAGCCACGCAAGTGGATCAAACGCAGCGGATGGACCAAATATAACAGTGACGGCTCGTGGGAGCCTGTAAATGCACCCAATGAGTCGATGCTTACGTTCGATACCGAGGTTATGTATAAGGAGCATTCGTTCGCTGTGATGGCCTGTGCGGTAAGCCCTACGGCTTGGTACGCTTGGCTATCCCCGTGGTTGCTCGGAGAATCGGAGAATGAAGTGCAATTCATACCTTTGGGGGATACAGCACAGTCAAGAATTGTCGTTGGGCACAATATCGGATACGATCGAGCGCGCGTTTTGGAAGAGTATGATATGAGACAAACACGCAATTTTTTCCTCGATACCATGTCACTGCACGTCGCTGTGAATGGCATGTGCTCGCAGCAAAGGCCTACATGGATGCGTCACAAGAAAAATAAGGACTTGAGGGACAAGATTGCGAATGAGAGAAACTCCGTTGAGTTGGCTGCTCTGATCGATAGCAAAGTGCTTAGTGATGAGGAAGAGGAACTATGGGTGGGAAGAAGTTCAGTGAATTCGCTGCGCGATGTGGCCAAATTTCATTGCGATGTCACTATCGATAAGTCGCAGAGAGATTATTTCGGGGAACTCGATAGGCATCAGATCCTGGAAAAGCTGGAGGAGTTACTGGATTACTGTGCTGCAGACGTTGCCATCACTCATCGTGTGTACAAGAAGGTGTTTCCGAACTTTCTCGAGGTCTGTCCTCACCCAGTCAGTTTTGGGGCTCTTCGGCATCTCAGCTCGGTGATACTGCCTGTTAATCAATCTTGGAAAGAATATCTCACCAACGCAGAAACAACGTACCATCAACGACTCGACGATGTGCAACGGAAACTGATTGAACTCTGTAACGAAGCACTTAAGGTCAAGGACAATCCGGATGTCTACATGAATGATGCCTGGTTGCAGCAGCTAGACTGGTCCGGCCAAGAGATCAAAATGGTCAAAGGCAAGAAGAAGGGCGATCCTCCACGGCCAGCTGCAAGGCAGAAGAAGCCAGGGATGCCTCAGTGGTATAAGGATCTCTTTCCGTCGAGTAACGCAGCCATCAACCTAACTGTGCGCACCCGCATTGCACCTCTACTCCTCAAGCTGTCGTGGAGCGGATACCCTTTAACATGGTCCGACAAATTTGGGTGGACGTTTAAAGTCCCAAATGATCAGGTCAAGAAATTTGAAAATCAGCCTGTGGTTATCTGTGATATGTCGGACGAAAAGAATGTCGAATTGCGAGACGATCGCAAGCATGTGTACTTCAAACTTCCTCACAAGGATGGGCCACAAGCACGCTGCGTCAATCCGCTAGCGAAAAGCTACATGCAACACTTTGAGCGTGGGACTCTTTCCTCCCAATATGCGCTCGCGAAGGAAGCTCTCGATATGAACGCTTCCTGCTCATACTGGATTAGCGCGCGTGATCGGATCATGAGCCAGATAGTTGTCTACGAAGACCAGGTTCGAGAGATGAAATCTGCCGACGGCGCAGCCAATCGGTTAGGCTTCATTTTGCCTCAAATTATTCCCATGGGCACAATCACTCGGCGAGCAGTGGAAAATACTTGGCTGACAGCTAGTAATGCTAAAGCAAACCGTGTTGGATCTGAGCTCAAGGCTATGATCAAGGCTCCGCCAGGCTATGTCTTCGTCGGCGCCGATGTTGATTCGCAGGAGTTATGGATTGCCAGTCTTGTTGGAGATGCGCAATTCCAGCTTCACGGAGGCAACGCTATTGGTTTTATGACTTTGGAAGGTTCGAAGGCCGCCGGAACTGACATGCATTCTCGGACAGCCCATATTTTGGGAATTTCGCGCAATGACGCTAAGGTCTTCAATTATGGGCGCATCTATGGCGCTGGTCTCAAGTTTGCCGCCACCCTTCTTCGCCAGTTCAACCCATCTATGTCCGAGAAAGAAACTCAGGAAGTCGCAAGCAAACTTTACAAAGAAACCAAGGGTGCTCGCACCTCTCGTCGTATATTGAGCGAGAATCCTTTCTGGCGGGGAGGTACAGAATCCTTTGTCTTCAATAAGCTTGAGGAGTTCGCCGAGCAAGAAAGACCGAGGACGCCTGCCCTGGGTGCTGGAATTACCGAAGCGCTGATGCGTCGTTTCATCAACAAGGGAAGCTTCATGACATCTCGAATCAATTGGGCAATTCAATCATCTGGTGTCGATTATCTTCATCTCCTAATTATCGCCATGGACTATATCATCCGACGCTATAACATAGGCGCTCGCCTAGCGATCACTGTTCATGACGAGATCCGGTATCTTGTCAAGGAAGAAGACAAGTATCGTGCTGCCATGGCTTTACAAGTGGCAAATGTCTGGACTCGCGCTATGTTCTCGCAACAAGTCGGCATTGATGACCTCCCACAATCTTGTGCCTATTTCTCGGCTGTGGATATTGACCATGTCTTGCGTAAAGAAGTTGACATGGACTGTGTGACCCCATCACACCCGCACAAGATTCCTCATGGTGAAAGCTTGGATATCAGCCAATTACTGAAGAAGAACGAGGAAGCTTATCTTGATCCATCGATCGTCCCTGCGTCTGCGCCATCGCCTCAGGAATACAGTTACACGCCGCGAGAATCCGTAATGGCCGCGCTCCAAGCCACAAATCATCCTGCCTTTATCCGGGCACAGATCACCAAGGACGACAAGGAGCTCCGAGAAATCATCAAGGAGGTGACCAAGGTCAAATCGTCCACCGCCCCCACCACTCGCTCCACTCGAAATAACACGAAGTCGGCCTTCCATTCAGCAGAGCCTCAGAAGGCTGTTTTGATGGACATCGAATCCGGCCTCTACCAGGACTTCCGAAGCCTACCGCAAGGGAGCAGGCATCCCAACTTTGGCATCAATCGTCAGTCCTGGAAACCCAGGCCGGCTGCTCGGCCGTAGCCTGGACCTTTCCTCTCTTTCTTCTGTTATCCGCATCCTCTGTTTCTTCACTCTTCTCTTACCCCTTATCTGTATGGTCTATATATGTCTCCATCGCGCTGTATCGCCCGACGAGTGGCTTTTAAAGAAGCATTGGGTGGCGTCGCATTGATTGGTTGAGAAGGTTCGGTAGGAAGGTGTTCTTGTATTCTATGATGAAAGGGATTTGTTTTTTTTTTCTTTTTCTATGTAATATATTGTGCTCATGAAAGGCTATATCTGTAAATATTCCTTCGGAATGCTACTCTTCCTTTATGGTATTATTACTTAATGTCTTCTTCGTCACACATTTGAATAAGATAAGCCTTCAGATCACTCTCGTCTTCTCCCCGGGTCCAGAGTATTCCTTCGACTTAAGCCATTACCATCACCACGGAGAATCGCATCGCCTTTGCGGCCCAGTACCACCTCCAAAGCCTGCACAAGGGCATTAGGATCGTACTTCATCCCGACGGCAACCTCCTCCCCATCCGGACCAGGTGCCATAATCTTCCGGCCGTACAGCCGGAGCGTCTCGATGCCCATCTCAGCAAGGCGTTCACGATCGACTTTCGGCGTCCCGGGCCCGTCGAGGTGTAGAATATGTGTGACATAGGAGTTGTACGGAAGGAGAGGTCGGAGACTAGTTGGTGGGCTACTAGTATGATTAGGGAATTTCAGGAGCCCTCTGCCGCGGCTTTCTTCTCCAGCGAGGGTGATTGCCTCCACGAACTCGACTGCCGTGAAGGGCTCGGAGGGCGGGCCTGTTTCTCGGTCCAAGGATCCATTGAGAATGAGGATTTTGTGCCGGGCCGGGCTGGTTGCGATGGCTTGGCCGACGCCACGGAGGACAAGGGAGGGGATGAGCGAGGTGTAGAGAGAGCCGATGCTGTAGATGATGGCCTGGGAGTCACGGAGCGACTCGAGGACCCGAGGGTTGGCTGGCGGCCGGATCTCCTGGCCATAGGGATTGATGTACCAGATTCGGGTGATGCGGGACGGGAGATCTTCGTTGTCGCTTTTGCTGAACTTGATGTTTTTGTTGCGGAGGGTGGGGAGAGAGCCGGGGAGATGGTCATCCTCGTATGAGACGGCATCAGAGGCGTCGGAGGGCTCAGTTTCCTCAAGATATTCGCCGCCGTCCGCTAAAAGAAGGCTGGGGCGCCTGGAGCCCGGTCTGGGCTGCAAAGCAGTTGCCTCGCTGGGGTGAGAGATGCTGTTCTGTCCGACAATGATGGTCCCATCGGCTAGCGACGCGGAGATGTGATGGGAGAAGTTGGAGTTGATGGCTGGGATCACACGGACAACATCCGATGGTACGCCGCAGATGCTTCCGAGGAGGTATATTGCGCTTTCGAAACTGCCGCTGAAAAGTCGTGCGCCTGTTAAGAAGAGATTGCCAACACTGGCTGAGGTGAAATCAAAGGTTGACGAAGGCGGTCGCGCGCGCTTCAGGATTTCCAGATTCAATAGATTAAAGAACGATCGTATTAGCTCTTTTTTTGCAGGAGTGACGATCCTCCAAAGCTCTGAAGTACCGTCCACGATTGACTGCCATGCACTGTGAGCGGCGCCAGCATCGGCAGGCAGTCGATGATTGAACAGAGTCTTGATGGCTGCCCGTTCTGAATTCGGAGGTGATTCGGGGATGAGCCGCACCAATCTGCCTGTCAGATAATCAGTACACTATCCATGAGAGCATCAATGAACCCGGGACGGTGGCCATACTTCGCACATCACCTATGCCAGGGCCTCCAAAAATCCGGATCAGTTCTGACGACGAGCCTCCGTTGTCACTGATAGGAATGATGTAGCTTAGCAAGCAGTCCTTACTCTCGCGTAAGCTGCTGAAGACATCAACCAGATTATTGGCAGCACTTCCTCCTGAGAACACGACAATACCCCGGTTGGGGGCAGCTGTCGTTGACATGACGAAACCGAGTGGCCCCTGCGACACTCCTCCGGACGCACCAACACTGGAGCTGGAGTTGTATTGAGAATAAGAACTTGAACAAAACTAAGCAGTATGATTATGTTGAAAAATCAGTCTGTTGTGTCGCTGGATATAGACTATAAAGGAGTTGCGCCTATTTTTAGCAGAAGATGGCCGTTGCGATGTCACTTGCCTCTTTAGGCAGATCAAGCAGCCATTGCGTGCCCTTTTACCGGATCGGGAACAACACAAGCTTATAAGCCAAGATGATACAAGGCAATACCTTCAACCTCATGAGGAATGAAGAATTTTGGCTTGATTCATAGGATTGATTTACAGATTAGAATGGTACATTGTCTACTGCAAGGACAAATGAATTTCAAACTCTTCTCCTGCTGATGGACAGAAAAGTGCGCCAACAGTGTCAAAGTGTGAGTTGATAAGACATTAAGGAACGAACTTTGACAGGTTGCAAAATTCAAGACAATAAGGGTATAAACTGAGGCCTGTATGCGGCGGTGTGTCTGTTGATCAAGCTATTTATTGAATGCGTGTACGTTCCGCTCGAGCATTGAAGGAGAGCTATGGAGTTATAAACAAGTATTCACCTGCTTCTATCATGAGAAGAGAATATATGCATGATGAAACAGAGAAATAAAAATAAAATCAAATGGGGAATCGAAAAAATCTCAATGTGATGAAAGACTTATGCATATGCGGCCCAGCCTAGAGAGAAAAACTCATGTTAGCTTATTGTATCACAGCTAAGAGAAGATACATACCACAGTAGAGAACAGCAAGATTTCTTTCATCCGTAGCCTGTTGGATGAGCTCGTTGACAGTCGCCGTGACACTGAGAGTCTTGCTCAATTTCTTCGCGACAACCGTCAGAGCGCGATCAGCTTCACTCGGTTCGTTTGCGGATCGCTGGTCCTCTGCACCGCCAGGAATCATCGGGGGGCCATCGCCGGCTTCTTGTGCATCTTGCATTCGCTTCATTCGCAGTGGAGAGACCGTCCAGCTGTACAGAGGATCATACCGAAGCACGTCGAGGATCGTCATGATGCTGTATGATTCCTGCCGTAGTGCCTCGAGCGTGAACTCACAGCAGCGCCGGAACACGCCTTCTGTCTTGGTGATGCCCATGCCGTCAACCAGGTCGCGCGTTAGACGGAACGGAACCACCTCTGGAACCGGCAGGACCCGACCTTGCTCGAAAGCCACTCCCAAGTCGATGTGCACGACCTCTCCGGTTCGTTCGTCTAGAAGGATATTATGCCCATGGCGGTCACCCAGTCCAAGCACATGTCCCAGAATAGAGATTGCCGCAGTGCTTCGAGTGTAAGCAAGTCTCTTGCTGAACCAATCATCTGGATTGTTAAACTTTTCCATGAAAAAGTATCGCATGACTGGATGAAAATGTTCCGTCACTTGGCGAAATGTCTTGACACGCTGTTCAAAGGAGCGTGTCTGTACATCACTGATATGCTTCCGACATACACTAGGTTTCATGTCCTTGGGGAAGTATTTTTGATGTGCCGGCATCAGGTAGTCATGAAGGGGAATAGTATGCGGCACAAACTCAATGATTCCCGCATTCGAGGTCAGTGGGAGGACCTTGTAGGTGCGAATCCCCAGTTTTCGCTGTTGCGTTGCCTGATGGTCCTTGAGAAGACTGCTCACTTGTTCGAAGACTTGCTCCATGATAGCGTCTTGTCTCAAGTCGTCATTGCCTCCCTTGAACTACAATGTCGGAGTTAGCTGAACTGTTTGTTCCAAAGAAAGCGCACAGAGTGAATTTTACCAATTGCTTATACTTGTGACCATCACTGGCCACGGCGGTGACAATCTTCGGTGCGCTCACTCCTGACGCAACTGTGAACTCCGGATGGTATCGAACGAGTTTAGGAACATCACTGTAATCACAATCAAGCCGGATTTCGATCTTCATCGTTGGCGGCGGTAGCCTTTGCGTCGAGGCATCTTGCTCGAGGCGTTGACCCGTCAAGAACTTCTTTAACTGTACCTTCGCACCACTCTTCACCTTCTCGTCCAGCCGCTCAACCGCAAAGCGCACATAGTTGATATTTGCGTTGTGCACCGTAACCCAGGTTGGGCCAATTCGTTTATCATTTCTCAGGTAATCGACTAATTTGTTCGCTGCTCGATTACGAGATAAAGCAGACTGGTCTTTTCCACCCTTCGATTTGCTGCTGGCGAATATTTGGTACATACCATGGAATGGATGCTCAACACAGATACGGAAGATTAATGCGAACAGCATGTTCTGAAATTCGTCGGACGTATCGAGCAATCGAGACGTGAGCTGATTCATAAGAGGCGCGAACTTCCGACTCGGGACTTGGTTTAGGTATTTGGAGACAGCCTTGTTCGCAATATCACTGTCCGATTTGTCAAGCCATATTGCGCAGAACCGCAGAGCGTCAGCGTTGTAATTGTCGCTCTCCTTTAGACAAAGAAGATAGTTCTCGAGGCACTGTTGCAGAAAGGCCTCCCGACTCCGTCGCAAGCGTTGATACTCCCGATCATCAAGGTCAAACCACTGTTTCGTCTTGGTTCGATAGTGCCGAAGAGCATCTCTTTCTTTACCTTCCGCCCTCTTCATCATATCTTCAAGAGCCAACACTTCCTTTTCTTTGCGATTGCGAAGTTGCTCAACCCGTTTGAAGTCTTCCAATCCGTCAGGATTCTGCAATTGCTGATCACAGAAAATGGCAAATCCATGATATACTCGGCCAGCCTCCCCACCTCCTGAGCGATTCTTGAGTTCTTTGACTGCAGGAGCAAGGTATCCTTGAATGATGGCTTCTGGTTTCTCCAAGCGCGCTTCCGCAACGTGATGACCCTTGCCTGTGTTAGATATAGGACGGAAACTATGCATTTAAGTGGGCTTTACTCACAAGCGTGACCAAAAGCTCTGGGCGACTAATTGGAATGGCCTGTTTGTGTATGTCATTCTGGCTGTCAAGTTGTTGGAGCATTCGAATGGATGCTGCCATTTCTCCTTGATCCCAAAGCACATTGGCGAGATCGAATTTCGCTGCTCCCTCAATATTGATCCCCTGCATCGCACACGAATTCGCAAGCTTAGAAAGGCAGACCGCGGATTTCAGAGAAGCTTGCGGAATCCCATGGCTTCTGGTTATCTCGAGCGATTGGCGGATGACTTGTACTTCTAAAAGTTGCGCTTCTTGGTCACTCAGTCCAATAGCTGATTTGAGATATCGCTTTCTTTTGATAGAGGAGAATAAAGCTTCATGACAATTCAAAATGTCTCCGACCTCGCGAACACTACTCGAATTAGCAGTGCCTTGGAGGTGGGGAACAATGGATGACTTCGACCTGCCTTGTTGTCTTCAACCAAGTATTTCTCTGAGCAACCTCTTTCCATACTTCATTGATTTCTTCGGAAGATTTCGCGCTCAACATATCGCTGATCTCAGTCACAATCCCCAAGTCCCTCATTGCTGTCCGCAATGACATTGCCGAGCGACTAGTGCTGGCAAGTGAGTCTGAGATTGCCAGAAGGCTTTCTTTCACGGAAGAAGAAACTTCCAAAAGAGTCCTCGATGAGTTCAGACTTTGAAAAGCTCTGAAAAGTGCAGCAGACGGCGAAAGGTTCAATGGAGAGACTGGGATATCCCACTGACGAAGGTTGATTGCGGCTTGCATCATGCTCTCAAACGAGACAGAACTACCTTTCGTGCCACCGACATATGAGGATAATGAATTAGCGATTCCTTGAAGGTTGGTTGAGTTGAGTGCCCTCAGGAGACCAGAAGCATTGGCATTGGTGTCTTCCGACATTTGTATCGCGCTGTCATATTGAGCACTTTGGAAAAGGAGATTCTTGAGTCCGGAGCTTTCATGCTCTAAGGTTCCCATGACAGATTCGAGAGAGGAGCTCTGCTGAACGCCATAGAACAGATCTGGGTCATCCACATTTCGGAAAATTTCATGAAGAATTTCAGGCGGGGGTTCGTACTTCGCCAGCGAAGAGCGACGGGAGCCAGAAACGACACGAGATGCTTGTATCTCGAGGAAAAGGAGAGAAGTCTTGGGCAGACGGCAAATTTTGGCAGCTTTGGATGCTTGTGCAAAGTCAATGTCGAGCCACTCATCACGTTCAACGATGGTCGCTTCTTGAGGTCGTGGCTGATTTCGAAGGTATAGAATGCAATTGAGAATCAACCGGACATGGGGTATAGAACTGTCGTCAACTTCGTGTAATCCTTGCCTGAAGATTTCGGAGATAGTCTGACGCACGCCCGCTTCCCCTTCTAGCTCTGTGAGCAGGACATCATGGAGAATATATGGTAATATCTGGGCTGCCAAGTGAGGAATGACATGCAGAATTGTAATCAACGGTCCAATAACAGGATCTTTGGAGGCTGCTCTTGATAAGAACAGTCCAATGCTACGGGCCCAGCGCTCAGCGGACATCCCTGTAGTCCACCCAACCAATGCATCGTGTTTTCTGACCTCAGAAGCCCGTAAAGCTATGGATGGGCATTGGTATGGACTCCAAATCAGTGCTTTCAGCCAGGAAGGAGGTATTGTGTCTCCATAGCTTTCAAATTCAGGAGACACGGCAAGAGTACTGATGATAAGCTGCAAGGTCCGCTCAACCAGGCCAACCTCCAGGGGGTTGCTCTTCTGCAACATATTGCAGAGTATTTGCAGTATCCTCGCCTTTGACTGGCAGAATACGTCCAGGTGCAATCTAACCATTTGAGGCTCGAATAAAGTGGAACTTTGTTCCCTCGTGAGAACATCGCTGATCCTGCCAGTAGCAGCGAAGACTCTACCAATTACCTGGGCGGCCCATAAGCGATATTCAGTTGTCGGGTTGAAATCCTGAAGAGTCTGGCATAAAGCAACGGAGTTCGCAATGGCATCATCGCCCTCCCCTATATAATCATACTGATAACTCGGGAGGCTCTTGAAGTCCGTACAAAGCAGTGACAGAATGTGGTCGGATATGGAGTGGCTTAGCAGGTTCGTTTTGGAATTGCGGTCACGAATTACTTCAAGTAGAAGGTCTCGCTCGTCCATGCCATCTGATTCATTCCCTGTGGCAGATATTTTACGCGAAGAATCCACCAGCCGCTGGAACAAAGCCTGTCCTTCTCCGCTCAGATTATTTGATTCATAGTTGCTCAAGAAGTCTTCAAACCAGTCAAGAAACCTCCGAATATTTGCCAAAGATGAGGTGGTCTGGCTTTCCTGCATCGTACCTGCTGGAAAGGATGTCAAGAACTTTCTGAGATAGAGCAAGGTGGAGACTGAAATTCCTGCCGTAAAGCCAGGGTTGTCAATCAAGTAGGGCCTGCCTGCCTCTAACAGATACCAGAAAAGTCCCAAGGCATCTTCCGCGCAATAGATATCGGTCAGAAACGGTCGAAGACCATGAAGCAGCATCTCACAAGGATAATCTCTTAGCATGACAGGACCGGCGATGCACATCAAGATCCGAATTTTGCGAATGATAGAACAAGCATGGAGTGACCCAAGGGCCGGATGGATGGACTCCAGAAGTGTCCGGCAGACATAGGTTGCCAGTGTAGGAGTCCAGATGGTATCCAGCTCGTACCCGCTGCGTCTGCAGAGGAAATCGAGCTCGTCAAGAAGATAACGGGCTCTGAACGATGGTTGCTGATTTGCTGGAAGCATGGCCTTCGAAAAACTCTTGGCAGTGATGGATTTCAAAACATTGAGAGCAGCTTGGAAATTAGGTCTTTTGGCGAACGCCCTCTCGATCTGTTCGTATTGATCTAGAGACCCAAAGAACGTTGCTATAACTTGAGGGAATTGTTTCTCGATCAAATCCACAAAGCGATCCGCGCCTAGGATCTTCTTAAGTCGATTCTCCACTCCTTTGGGTTGGCTGCCCTGCCCAGGAGGGGTGCTAATATCTCGAGCTATGCTATACGCCTCAGCTTTATGGAAGGAGGTTGCCAGAAGCTCAACAAAAGGCGTTCCCATGCGGCTCGAGAGTTCATCCGCCTCATGCTCATTAGCTCGCATCATAATTTGACCGACAATTTCATCTTGAACATCGACCAGCATGTCCTCAATCGTAGGATATCCAAATATACTGAAAGGCATTGAGGTAATTGATTGCGTTTCGGTCCAGGTATAGAGAATCTGCGATGAGAAAAGGCGAAACAATTGCCTCGCATCTTCAAGGCCAAGTATTGTAGCAACATCGCGTACGCATTTTTCAGCATACCAAAGAGAATGAGGTACTTGGGCCGGCGTCTCGAACATGTGGTAGATACTTCTCCGGAGGAGGGTATGCCATTGTGAAGCTATTTTGGCTAATATCAGCAAGCGAAGAGCGATACCTTCATCCCAGTCAGGATCCCTCGGGAGGCTGTCCAGCACATCGTCAAATATGGCGTCATGATTCTTTAGCGGGAAGTGCCCGAACAATAAGGGGATCAGATTGCCAACGTTGAACTTGGTCAGAATATCGCTTTCTCGAAGTATTGTGAAGAGACTTGTCCGTGGTGATGGGCTTGAGTGACCGCTTGTATACGTTGCGTTAACGCCAAAGATCTCCTTGAGAAGCCTAGAGAATGCAATGAGTACTTGAGAGGAAGCCCGGCCTTTTGCCAGTAACACATCGGTAAACCAATTGTAGATATCAGAGGCAGAATCAGTGAGGTGATCTCCCACGCCATTCGTCCATGCTTTGACAAAGCTAGACAGCACACGGATGCAGAGTATCTGTGAATTTTCGCAACGCTCTAGTTGATATGTTTGCAGACATTTTTCTCCCATGTCTTCGAGAAGATCCAAGAGACAGCTGCGGTCCATTACTGAGCATGCCTGGTAGATATGGGGCAAGAAGTGCCGCGCAGATAACAGATCTGCCTCATCCAGATTCGTAAGATACTCGATCAGAGGACCAGTAGCCGATGTTTCGGAAAAGGGTGTACAGGCAAATCCTAACTGAAAGAGCGAAAGCCGAATAGTCATCGAACGTTGAAAAGTGGCAGAGTCTTGGAAGGGAGGGCGATGTTCTCGGTTCAGATTAATGATACACATATTCTCAGCCAGAAGGTCGTGGGACTGCATCAAGGGATCATCCAATTCCATGGACTCTTGGTCAGGGCAAGATAGCAATTGTTTCTGATCTTGTCTATAAGTTTCCAGGACCTTGGTCAGAGGAGGCGTCAGCTTGTATAGGCTGTTAGCGATAACGGAATCCTTCCTCCCTAGCCCGCAATCTTGTGCAAGGAGCGGACATAAAAGTTCCAAGCAACTTTGTGTATAGGTCACTTCGCGGGATGCCATGAATGAACAGAGGTTCTCCCAAAGCTGCTGGCAATTTTTATGCAGATTCTCTATTCGTGATGTATTCTGCTCGGGCAGGCATTCTGTGTACATTGCAACCACGATGCAGAACGAACTTAGTATCTGAAAGATGTCAACAGTCACATGGTGTGTCTTATTCTCAGACAGCAATCGCCAGGTTTGCAAGAAAATATCGGCTTTTGCTTGTAGCATATCCAGGATTATATCATCATTTGGATCTTGACGACTCGCGAATTGCAAAGTCAATGGCTGGTTCTTCTCATGCGTGCTTGTAGGGCCCAGCAGTCCATTGATGTGGAAGAGGTATTCCAATAGCTCCTGGTTACTCCGGTAGAAATGCCAACCTTTTGCGACGAGTCCTCCCGGTCCTCGATACTGGAGTTTGGGCAATTTACACTGCCTATTGGTACATGCCAAAAACAAATTCAGAAGGTCCAGGGGACGTGCAAAAGCAGCAATTTGCGCAGTTTGGACTCGATCGGCCACCGTTCCTGCCATAACATCAGCTCAATAAATCGGCGAAGAAAGAAATGAAGGAGTGTACCGATCGTCCAAGCCTCTCGAAGCCACGAGCAGATTTGCTTGGAAGCGCTAGAGGCTGAGCCAGGACTTGTTTGCGCACCTAACCGGGTTAGAGTGGCCCAAAGTCCCAAGGACGCATCTGAGATAATAGAGGGTGCGTTTAAATTCATCGACGCAAGCATTGAAGCTGTCGTTTCTGCAACTACGGAATACTCCAGAAGGTCGAACTGAAGAATGCTACCCATAAGATTGCAGGCAGCTCTGGAGGTATTTTGAGATGTGGAGGCTCGAGATGTAAGATTCCATGTCTGTTGCCAATACTTCTTCAGGGAAAGGGAAGCGGCCGCATCAGTGTCACTAGCAATGCTTTTTGTGACCATTCATTAGTTTTGCTTCATACAAAGAGGTTCGCCCGCACCTACCTTGCGATTGCTACCATTGTCCACGAAGATATAATGTTGTTGTCGTCGATTATGCAAGGTATCAATCGCTGAAGTAAAGATGCTTTCGATTCCATATCCACATGATCTTGAAGAAGAATAGGGATCAATTGGAGGGCACAAACTCTTTTGTTGCCCGAGGACATGACAGCATCTTTGAAAACCTCATCATATGCCGACGTGAAGCGCTGCTTCTTGCTCGGGACCGCACCCGTGGAAGGAGATAGCCGCTTGGTTAGTTCTTCTGACAACTTCATCAACTTCGCCATGATCCATACAACTGTCCAGTTATGCTCAGATCTGGATACTTCAAGTCGAGGCTGCAATGTGAGATCATGTGTCTGCGAGGAGGTCTCTCGATGAAATATCAACTCATCAATTTGGAGGATGTCCTTCTCTGGACGTCTGATATACTCCGAATACAAGGTGTCCAATAGGTTTTCGGTCAAGAGCGACAGTGACTCTGTCGGCTCCCTTCGAGTCGCATCAGTCAAGACAATCACACAAAGCATGACTGTGACGAGTAATTCATCCTTCAGGCCCCCAAGCTTGGTAGACCACAGATGTCGAATTACTGGTATTAATTCCAAAAGAAAATTGCGAACGAGATCAGACTGGCCAAAGAGAACCCTCATGACAACTGTATTAATGCTACTGAATGCGGCTTGATGTTCACTTCCAGCGATAGACGACGATTTCAAGAATGCCGTCAGTCCTTGGAGAACCTTTTCGGCAAATGCTTGAACAGGAGCAATTGGTGTCGCCACGAGTAGCTGTATACACACTATAGCTTCCCCGGCTGCTCTTTTATCGCCGCTTTGTTTCTCTCGCAAAGCCAAGGTTGACGTTCTTCTCGACGTCGAGCGTGGGCTGACACCCACATAGTCATCAAGGATAGATGAGTGGCTATCTCGAACGTTTGGCTGACTATTCCCTTCTCCTTCGGCACCGACACTTGTTAGACAAAAGTTCAGGACCTTCTCCCACTCATTTGCGCCTAGATGCTCCACATGAGGAGGGTAGTGCAAGAGCGTAGTGAGGCATTTCAAATAATCCGCACTGAGATGTTCCCACAGTCCTTCTCCAGGAACCTGTAAAATCTCGGTTATGTGGTCGACGATAGCCCGAATCGACTTCGTCCTCAGGTTACGCAGGAAGACATCAACAGCCGTCCGAATGACGGAAGCACAAGCGGACAACCGTGAGCCAGATGCCCCCTTCGAACTCGCTTTGTTGTACAAGGATTTCTCGACGGAAATGAATCGGAAAAGGGATTCAAAGATCTTATGGCAGGCTTTGTCATTTAAAGAGGTTCTAGAAGATCAAGCGCTGGTCAGTCTTCCAATCAATTCATTCGAAGTATTGATTGAGAATCTTACGTACAGTTTGGAACTTGTTTTGGTTTGCTGGAGGATGTGTTTAAGATCTAATTAGGGATCAGCAGATGGGAAAACAATTAGCCAGACTAAGAACAAACCAGCTAAGCTATCAGAGCGCTCTTTCAGTCTCTCAGAGGACAAAAGCGCGATGGCCTTGTCGAGAGTGACCTGCGCCATCATGGTGGTGCAGATGCGATCTTGCGCTCATTTGACATTTAATGCGCAAGCGTTAGTATATCCTGAATCAGTCTTTTTGAAATACTCGTATGCATTGACAATCCTCGATGATCTGGCATAGACTGAGGGATTGATGCCAATACTCATTATTGTTTTGGAGTGGCCCATCATAGATCTATTTAATTCTGGTGTGGCTTGTGCTTCGTTTGGGGCCAAGTGAGCTCCGCCTTTTTTCCGCCGGAATTTTGACCGCGTCCTCCGACCATTTTTGGATCCTGGGACAAACAGATAGCTCTCCGTAGCTCCCTCCTACATCTTCATCCGCCTTTCATCGGACAGACTCTGAGAATGGAAGGCAGGGATACACTGGCAGGCCTTCGTGGCCTTTACCAGGATCTTTCTGCGCTTTCAGACTCGTCGTTTGTAAACATTGAACGACTTCGTATCGAGTTGGAGGCTCATATTGAAGATTTCAGGAAACTCCTGGACAAACCCACGAAGAACAACACAAGTCGGCAGACCGTTCTCTCAGGTGAGTCGCTCTCTATTATTCTGTCAAAGACAAGACGATGGGAACGAAGATTGAAGCTGACATTGATTGAATGCGATACAGGGAAGATTACAGTCGATGATGTCGAATATTCAATTAATCAGGACTTCCAACAAGGAGCGCTACAGCTCGCGGATGCTCTCAACATTGACGAACTGGAAGCGGCAGTCTTGTTCCTCGCTGCCCAAGAGGAAGCCCAGATGCTGGATAGGCCTCCTTTGATTGCGGCGATCATGCGCTTCCATGAGCGTCGGCACTTTCTTCTCGAATGCTTGCGTCTCATTCTACAAGAAACGTTTGAGGTTGAAAGAGAAGTGACACAAGCTCTTATGCAAGAAATGGTGGCTTTTGTTGTTGAGATCAAAAACGGGCCATTGAGGAACGCATCACTCTATGCGCGGAAGTGCATGAAATCGATGGAGGAAATCGAGGGGTGGCTGCTACTCCTTGGGGAGCAGGTGCAGAAAGCTTCGATTGTTGGTCAAACAGGGGATCGGGACGTGATGGAGGCTATTGAATATCAACGCAACAGCCTGCAGCAACAACATGAGTCGCTGGGGGCAATAATATGCTACTTCTTCAAGGGCCCTTACACCAGCCCGGAGGACCTCCGAGTGCTTCTCACACGACTGAGGAAGCTCGACCGAATCGATGGCCTTCTAGTCCACTACATTCCTGCTATGATCTCTTCATTCGTTCAGCATGGCTCTCCCGAGCGGTCCAATTCTTACAAAGAAGCGAGAAGTCTACACACAGCTGTTACTTCCACCAAGGACGGTCAAAACTGGAAGTTACCGACATTTCATGCTGCTGTAGTTGCGCTTTGGCTAGCAGTGTACAGCGGCTGGGATATTGATGGGCCTTCATCGCCTGTGCAAGGAGTTGACCTCGATAAAGAGGCAGAAGAACGCACGAAGATGTTCATGACTGTCTTAGACGATGGAGGATTGGAATTCCTGCTTGCTGTTTGCGCCAGCGTAAACAATGAAGAATGGACCGATCCTGCCCGTCGCGAACTCGTAACTCTCCTGTTGAAGGAGGGTGCATCGGCAAATCTGGAGCTAGGATCATGTGCTGGATTCCTTAAGACTCTATTGATGGAGAATCTTGAAGCCTTCGTTGAATCATGCATCGCTAATATGCCAGATGCCGTTCGCAAGTTGAAATCTGAAGAGGATATGCAGCGCTTAGATCAAATAACTGCCCTCAGGGATGGCCTGACATCCAGCCATCATCGCGGCCTGGTGGAAGCTCGGACGCATCTTGAGTCGTTTCTCATAATCATGGCATTTGCCTTTGATGGTCGACCGGACGCGGCTCAGGAATTCTGGGCTGATCCGGATGGCAATCTGTATGGTTTCCTTCAATGGGCGTCTAAGAGACAGACGGTACCAAGAGTCAGTGCATTCTGCGAGTTGATATGTTCTATTTCAGGGGGCGAAGAAAATGCCGCCGCAGCGCAACGTTTCCTGTCTGAAGAAGACAAGTTCTTGTCGGCCAAGTTCAAGCGGTCTACCTCTATGAATTGGTCCCAGATGTTTGCTGAGCTTCAACTATACGCAAGTAGGGTCAATGAGAAGCCCGTCGCGTCTCAGTCTGTTCTGCGTGCTCGAAAGACGGAGCCAGTCGACATGAGCGAACCGGAAAGTCCTGTCATGCTGACATGCTATCTCCGATTGATGGGTCATCTGTGTAGACAAAGCGCATCCATCAGGGAATGGATGCTTCATCACCCGTCAAATAATATTGTCAGCACCTTGTTAACATTATGCAGCGGCCCAGTACCCACTCATCTAAGGGCCACTGTGTTCACAACCCTCGCAGCTTTAATGACGGGAAGATCCTCCCACAATGGCAATGAGATGTGGCTTTCACTTGATCAGTGGATTTCTGGAGGTGCTACGAGTGCTTCTGGTCTCGGCAAAGTGCCCATAGTCTCGAATCCACTGGTTTGGCACGAGCATCAGGCCTTCCAGAAGATAGGCGAAAGCTTTGACCAGGCCAATGCCTTTGTCGTCTTAATCTACTCGCTTGTTTCTCCCACATCGGATTCGGCTGACTTCCATCTTTCCTTGCCTTTCCCTGAATCTTTGGGGTCATCTTATCGTATGCCTGGTATCGAGCCATACATTGACTTCGTTCTGGGCCAGGCTTTGTCCAGAAAGGTTCCGGATTTAAGCGAACGCCAGACTCGTCTTTTAACTTACAACTGCTTGGATTTTATCATCACCTGCCTCAAGTCGTTCAATGAGAGCATAGTCACTGTTCTCAGCCAACCCGCTGTCAGCGCTGAGCTCAGCTTGAAAACGTCTTCGCTGGTTACTTATATCCGTCTTCATCCATTTGCCCGTGTAGCTGAATGGCTTTTCAACGAAGATGTGATCAAAGCCCTCTTTGCGACTGCTCAACAAGACGCAACCGAAGTTGCTAATGCCGCATCTGATTCGGTCCTTGTTCAATGCTTGGTCAAAAGTCTTGAGGTCATGGATCTCATCTTGGACCTCCAGTCGACCTACTTTGATATTGTTCGGCCGTCGATCAAGTCTCAGGCGGGTGGAAGCAGGCTCAACGTTGCGAATTCGTCACTCTCCGCCTTCGAGGACAGTGTCCTGAATCATTTGACGATAATCCCAGCCCTGAGCCTTTATTGCGGGGCTGGTCATGAGCAGCTGACAGTGACATCAATGGCGCTTCTGGAGAAATTGTCAAGCTCCAGGAAGCTGAACAAGATGTCATCACCAGAGCTGTTGAAATGGCAATCTGCAAACAAAATCGTGGAAGTGTTGAGCACAGAAGTGGACGTGGACAGTGTTTCGCGGCCACTAGTATCGCAAATGCAGCCTGAATTGAGGGAGTTAGAACTCGGCTCGCGATCCTCTGGGTATATCATCAGAGAGAATCTGCTGGCACTTCTCAATAGTTGTCTGGGCGCGATCACAGACCGCCCAACCATTGCTCATCTTCTCCTTGGGTTCAGGAGTGTTGGCACCATGCTTGACGTTGCCCCGAATAGTCTGTTCGCTGAGGGAATGTCACTGTTGCATGCTATCATCGGTTTCCTGCAGAGCTATCCCGATGCACTAGAAGGCAATATTCTTGCATGGATGGTTCATTTGAGACGTATGGCTTTCGAAGTCCTCAAGCATTTATGGTCATCCAAAATCTCATCCCCTTTCACACTTCTGGAGATGCGCTCGAGCCGTTTTCTCCTCAACATGTTTGCCAATCAACCTATAATTGGACCAAACACTTTGTTTGACGGCTTGTCTATCATGGAAGAAGAGTTCTGGATTTCTGAATCAGCTTCTGCTCTGGCAGAATTCTTGCTCTACCGGAGTTACTTGTATGCTTATGCCACCACCGAGATTCGTTCCGCTGCGAAATTGGGCTCGCAAACACTTCAGACAAACATCCTCTCAACATTGCTTGGAAACTCGACGACGGAGTCGGGAGAAATGATACTTAATCCCACTGTGTTCGATCTCTTTGACTTTGCTGACCTTGATCTCAGCCAACGATTCCAGCCACCCAAATTAGTCTTCCTTGACGGCATCGGCGTCGACTTGTGTGCCAAATCGCAAGCAGACGAGTCTCTTGTCCTCTATAATCTCGCAGAAGTTGCAGAATTGATCCAGATCAGAAAGGAAGAGTTAATATCAAATGGGCAATTGCGGCCTCAGGATGAAGAACAATTTCAGGCTGAGGCTGAGAGTTTGACATTGTTCATTCGCGCAACGAATCAAGCAAGGCAAATCGTTTTCAACTGTTACTTCGCTCTTCGGTCATGGACAGAGCTCATTAAGACAATGCTTGCTTGTTCAGAAATCGAGGATGGCCGGAAATCAACTTTCATCCTCCATTCAATTCAGCTGATTCTTCCTAAGCTTGAAGCTGCCATTGAGGACGACCTTCCGGAGGCGCTTGGGCTCGCACAACTGGCTGAGACTCTCATCAGTAGCTTAGAGCCGACAAGCACAAGTACACACGCGGTCCGGCGAAGTGGAGACATTATCGATGAGAAACTTCATCAGCTGTTTCAAATATGCATACGAGGGATTATTCTTGCAACCGGCAATGTTCATCTGAGGGAAACATTTTATAATATTGGGTCTCAGTATATCAACCGTATCGTTTCTGCCGATGCAGTCAACCAAAACTCGAAACACCACAGCCAGCATGTCATCAAAACAGCTAGCCCTACCCTGATTGAGACCACCTGCGATGACGCGTATGCTGGTCAAGAAGCATGCCGGGTATCAGCTCTTTTGTTTCTCAATCTGCTCGCGTGTCTCGACCAGAAAACAGATTCTTCTTTGGCGGAGGCGATATCCCAATCAAATTACCTAAGTCTGTTCTTGGACGCTGTCAGAGCGCTACCCATAGAATTGAAAAATGCTCAAGCAAGCGGTATGTCCGGATGAATCTTTTAATGGGAACAGCTGCTCACTCAGATTTGACCAGATACGCCATCCTTATTGTCATATTACGAGTCCTTGCTATCCTTGTTGCAGCGACTCTGCCAAACAAAGAATGGAGCAATTCATGTCCTAAAAACTGGCCTCTTCCAGGCTGTCCGTGATTCAAGGCTTTTCACCGCTGACCCCGACCTGGGTATCGGTATGTTCAACATTTTCCGTTCTCTGATCAGCCATCTCTGACCATACCAGATATCGATAACCCAGATGCTCTTCGCAAGTATTATGATCTCCTTGGCTCAGTACTCCGGGTTATTATCTCGGCTGTATTTTCTCGGGGGCTTCACAATGAGCAAATGTTAGAGCAAACACGAGCTTTCCTTGCTGAGAACAGACAGAGCATGGTCGGTATCTTTAAGCGCTTCGCCAATATTGGGGGAGCAGGTGCTGCTGAACATCACGAAGCGCTAAGTGAATTGGCCAAATGCTATATGACACTTGTCACTACAACAGATTTCCTGGAAGTATGTGTGCCTCGTCATTCACCTGCCTTCAACTCTTTTCACTGACCAACATCTTTCTAGTTTGAGGATGAGGAAGTGAAGGAATTGTCCCGTCCTACATTATTTTCCTAGCTGAACCCGGGAACATTGATTAAAAAAGACATGATGCATATGTGAATGAAAACTCATCCTATTCAGCTTACTACTTCGGGTGCCTACTTTCTCCAGGAAATTAATCGGCGCAAGTAGTTACTGAAAGCACGCTTGCTAGTAGAGGCAACAGCGTGCTCGCGGGTATTGGGAAACAATGGGATGCAAGGATGAGGAATTATATGAAGCGAAGCGGATTCGCGTGGAAGTCCTCATCTTTGGACATTGATTTTGAAGCGATGGTCGAAAATGTAGATGCAGTAGATGAAACGCCGATGAAAATCCTCTGGCATCAATGCTAGCATCAAGCAGAAATCATCCCACCACAGTAAACAGTAGATGAAGCTGTCCCTAAGTGTACCTCTGTACCTATGTCATCATTCTACAGGAGCACGGGCGTATTATCTTATCTCCGAATCACCTCAGCTAGGCTGCGGAGTAACCCATTCCATCCTTGCTGCCCAGGGCTCACCATCGCTTCTTCGCCATCCATCGGCTTCACTTCATCACTTCTTCCGACCTCGGTCTGACAGATGGTATGTCATGAACTTCGCGTTTCAAGGGCTTGCTGAAATTCTTCAACGCTGAGCACTCCCTTCTCTCGACCTCTTCCGCTCCGACCGAACCGGGTAGATGCAGAACCCGAGAGTAGCCCCCGACCAGAGGAGCGGCAAACGCAAGTCGACCAGCAAGAGAAAGCTTCCTGATCAAGGGGAAGCGTCTCTTCAATCTCAAGCTTCGCAGCCGCAGCAGCAGCAACCACAGCAGACGACAATCTCCGAGCTCCTCTCCAGGAACCATACCCACGGCAAAGCCCATCCCCACCAGTCTCCTTCATCCAACAAGCGTCCTCGATTGTCGCCTTCAGTATCGGATTTCCGCCCTCTAGAATCAGCACCGGAGCTTCATCCGCCGAATAAGATGTACAACTTCTCGAATTCCGGGCAGAACGCAAGCGGGACGTTTTCGCACTCGGCTCCCGCTCTTTCCAGCAGAACTGCCTCCCACCCTCTCAATGCGCCGTCGCGTCAGAGTAACTTCACGCCTCATACCGGTGCGAAACGGCTTGTGGTGAAGAACCTTCGAACAGGCTCGCGGTTGAATCAGGATTCATACTTTGATAAGGTCTGGACACAGCTGGATGCGGCACTGACTGCCGTGTTCAACGGCGGGAATCCGGATGTTTCGTTGGAGGAACTCTACAAGGGAGCAGAGAATGTCTGTCGCCAGGGGAGAGCTGCAGTTCTTACACAACGTTTGCAGGACCGATGCCGAGCACATGTGTCTGGGCGCTTGCGTGATGACCTGTTGACGAAGGCTTCGGGTGGAAATAACGTCGATACTCTACGGGCTGTTGTTGGCGCATGGAGCACATGGCAGAAAAAGCTGGTCACTGTTCGCTGGATTTTCTACTATCTTGATCAATCCTTTCTTCTACACTCCAAGGAATACCCAGTCATTCGTGAGATGGGCTTGAGACAGTTTCGCGATCATATATTCTCTGATTCAGTACTACAAACAAAGATTCTGCAGGGAGCTTGCGATCTAGTGGAGGCGGATCGCAATGAGAACTCGACAATGATGGCAGATATATCCTTGCTTCGGGAGGCCATTGAACTCTTCCATGGCCTTGATGTGTACACCACGGCCTTTGAGCCTCTGCTTCTTACCGAGTCGAAGCGGTTCTTTACGTCGTGGGCTCAGCGAGAAGCATCGGGATATCTTGCCACTTTTGTAGAGAATGCCCATCGCTTGATTGAACGCGAAGTCAACCGGTGCGAGCTGTTTTCTCTAAGCAGGAGCACGAGGCAAAAACTGTCTGCTCTTCTAGACACCAATCTGGTAGCAGATCAGGAATCGTTCTTACTCAACGAGAAGGATATTCTTGGCTTGCTTCGAGATGGAAACAAAGATGCCTTGGAGAAACTCTACACGCTCCTTGAGCGAAGGCAACTGGGGACGAAACTCAAGGCATCGTTCAAAAGCTACATCGTCGAAGAAGGTTCGCGGATTGTCTTTGATGAGGACAAGGAAGCGCAGATGGTTGTTTCCCTGCTCGAGTTCAAATCACAGTTGGATAAAATTTGGGCCAACTCCTTCCATCGGAACGAAGAACTCGGGCATACGTTACGTGAAGCGTTCGCAACCTTCATGAACCAGAGTCGGAAATCAGACTCCACCGGGGGTACCGACAATGTCAAGACCGGAGAGATGATTGCCAAGTATGTAGATCGGTTGCTCAAGGGAGGGTGGAAGTTGCCTCCTGGAGGCGATATCAAGGACGTACCGCTGGCCGATGAAGACGCTGAGATTAACCGGCAACTGGATCAAGTGCTTGATCTGTTCCGCTTCGTCAATGGCAAAGCGGTGTTTGAGGCATTCTACAAGAATGATTTGGCTCGTCGATTATTAATGGGTAGGAGTGCCAGTGACGACGCGGAGAAGAGCATGCTGGCAAGACTCAAAACTGGTTGGTTCCCTTTTGCCGACGTATCCTCACTTGTTTCTGGAATTTCGAAGCTGATTTGGTACGCAGAGTGTGGATCTACTTTTACGCACAATCTTGAATCCATGTTTAAGGATATGGAGGTTGCGCGGGATGAGATGGCCGCGTATAGCTCGATCCAGCGAGAGCGGAAGAAACGACTACCAGTTGATCTGAATGTCAGCGTACTGTCTGCCTCGGCGTGGCCGTCATACCCTGATGTGCAGGTGCGGATTCCGGCAGTGATCGCGACGGCGATTGATGATTTCGAAAACTTCTACCACAACAAATATAATGGGCGAAAGCTCACCTGGAAGCATCAGCTGGCACACTGCCAGCTGCGAGCCTGGTTTGGCGGCAAGAGCAAGGAGTTGGTGGTCAGCTCGTTCCAGGCGATCGTGCTGCTTCTTTTCAACGACGTTGAAGAGAGCAAACGTCTGACGTACTCTGAGATCCAAGACGCGACCAAATTATGTAAGTAATTGAGGGCTTTTCTCATTTTGATTCTCCTTCGCTGACGGGAGGATGGGAATTGCAGCCGACCCCGAACTGCAACGTACACTTCAATCACTTGCATGTGCCAAGTATCGAGTCCTCACCAAGACGCCGAAGGGGCGCGATGTCAACAAGACCGATGAATTTGCATACAATGCGGAGTTCAACGATCCGAAAATGCGGATCAAGATCAATCAGATCCAGCTGAAGGAGACTAAGGAGGAGAACAAGAAGACACACGAGCGCGTGGCGGCCGATCGACACCTGGAGACACAGGCCGCCATCGTGCGGATCATGAAGAGCCGCAAGAGGAGCACACACGCCGAGCTGGTCGCGGAGGTGATCAAAGCGACGCGGAGTCGGGGTGTATTGGAGGTTGCGGACATCAAGAGTAACATCGAGAAGTGAGTTCCTTTCCTGCTTCTGTTTTGGCTGGATGAAAAAAGGGCCCTGCTGACCAATTTTTGCACAGGTTGATTGAGAAGGACTACATTGAGCGCGACGACAATGTGTACCAATATGTTGCATAAGGAGTCATTTAACCGGATGAAGCACATGATCTCAGATTACTTATGGAGTCTTGATGTTCTTGATATCAACAAAAGTCATTTTCATCATTGCATGATATCTCAACGAACTGTCAATCCCAGTCCAGTCTATCAACCCAATACTTTTTTTTAGTAGCTAGCTATTCGAGCTACAGACACAGTATCTAATAGACCGCTAGAGCAACAACCCACATCAATATCATCCAGAAGCACAGACCAGACCAGACATAAGCAATCAAACCCAAAATCCAACCTTCTAGCATCTAGCTACTCCATACTCCATGGGTAAAAATGATAAATTCCCTTAATCCCTTTATCCATATTCCATAGTTCCATACTGTAGATCCATAGTTCGGGCCAGTCCCCGGGGTCCCCCGGAGCAGCTCCGGCCCCACCAAGGGTGACTAGTGGCTATTGGTGGGGTATTTAGCAAGAGTGCCGAGCCGATGGGATCATATTATTCATGGGAGAATCCATGCCTACGGAGTATCAGCCATGAGCCATGCAGTTCTCCGGATAACTCTGTTTGGATCAAGGATTTGAGGCCCAGGCCTGCTGATAGTGATACGATGGACATAGCTACCGAGTACGGAGGACGGAGGACTGCCGAGTATTACTCCCAGATACGACTCTTGAGGGTTTGTTGGATCAGTGTAGGTTGCTGGATGCATTTTGCGCTGCGAATTCCGAGGTTGGTGGTAAGTGTGTCAGTGTATCGAATTATGCGGACTCGACCGAGAGTCGATTGATGGAACTCGGCAGAGAAGGTCAAGGAAGGACAAGGACGGGCTGGATAGGTGAGGGTCCAGGGTCTAGCTCTAGATAGGATCTGGACTCTACTTCACCTCTAGTGTAGTCTATAGCTGGAGCTCACGTGGTTCATATATGCATCTCCTTTTTTTTTCTTTTTATTTCAGTACGCAATTCTGGTCTATATAGTACTTAATCACTGGAGGAGAAGTGGTACGTAGTCCAGGTCTTCAGGAATCCCCAATCTGGTAGTGATATGTACGACTGGTGGGTTCAATGTGATCTGAGTCTGACAGCCGGGGAAACTATTTTTTTTTCTCCAAGTCCCATGATCTAAATCCGATCCTTATGCAAACAGTCAACTAGAATAGTCTTGCTGTGCTACATCGATACTCTGACACAGACAAAGGGAATTATCTATGGAAATCAACGCATGCTGTAGAGTAGGATCCGGCCTACCTTCTCTTCTGAGAGGGAAAGAATGTAAGGGACAATTAGATTTAATGTGCCACATGATTGCAAAGTCACTGATTATTCATCGATGCTTCGATACTGATCATACATCATTATTGTGATGGTAGGACAGGACTAACAAGTCACAGACTGAGTATATGAGTGGGATAAGAGTAGTGACACATTGATGACATGTCCGTAGGATACTCATAGCCACACTACCAAATAACAATAGTAGCAAGAGTAATACTATCAAAAGGGTAATTAATGAATACTTGACATCTTAAATATTCATATCTATCGATATCCTGTCTATCAGTATGCTGGCAAGTAGTACATAATAATGTCCACTTCTCAACGGCGGAATCACCGTAAATGGCAAACCGAGGTTCTCCGCGCTGGACACTTTTTTTGCCTTTGGGTCCAGACGCTCGACTCCACGATCCCATGGGGTTTGGAAAGATAGAAAGGCTGTGGAAAATGGAATTGATGCCAATTTTACCCGTACAATCGCTTTTCCGGGCCAATTCTTACCATGGTACCTTACAGTGCTCCGTAGTCCGTACTCATTAGGAGTTCTGCCGAAGCATGCACTAACTTAACTGTGGACACTTCCAGCTGGAGCTACAATGGGTCGATCCTACATAGGAGAAGTGTTCATGTGAACAGCAGAGGTTCAGAGAAAGAAGAAAAAAAAATGGCAAATAGGTTTGCCTGAATAGGAATTCAGTATGAATTCATCACAAAGAGTCCGGATGGATCCTGTTTGGTCTCGTCCAAACTTCCTATATATCCAGTTCCCCCTCTGCCTTGGGACTTCCCAGCTCCAATACTTCCAGTATCTCCTCGATCTTTGTACATCGCAGCTTCATCTCGCAGTCACTTACGGGGTACTTACTCTGGGTAAATAATATAAGTGAGAAAACTGTGAGTGACCCCAGACGCCGACGGTCTCTTGTAGTCGCACTCCCACCGATGTGCAGCCTTCAATACTTCCATCGCCCAAGATCCACACCCCATCCAGCATGGGAGCCTCTAGACTGACAGATAGTCAGATACAGGTCATCCTTTTTGACAGACTCCACCTTCCTTCTTCCCCGCCCTCATCACGGACTCGACCCGATTCTGAGCATCGCCGTCACTATTGCCATCGCAATCCTCGGCGCAGTCACTTCCAGTCATCCCGCTCTCTTTTGCTGAGGGGGGAAATCGTCCGATTCGAAATCATCCCACGAGTCATTACCCGGGTCATCTGTATATACATATAAAGACAGATATTCGCCGTTTTCTGTTATTCGTGCGATCTTCTGCTGCTATCTGTTCGCCTGCATAGTCCATACTCCATACAGATCAAGCGATATCCCCGTCTTTCTCCACTTTAGTGACGGATCAACTCCGCTTGAGTGAATCTCTCCAGTTTTCTCTCTTGCAATTATCTACATCATGCAGAGTATGTTTCTTGATTTCCAAAGCTCTCCCTGTATCCCCTTGCTTTCCAGGTTTTTACTTTGGGGGAGCTTCATCACAAGGACGCGCAACTCCCCGTGGGGAACTATACATAGAAACCCATCCATAGCACTGACGCTAACCATATTGGGATTCCAGCCAAACACTTCTTCAGCGACCCGAATCACCTGGTTCTCACGGCTCTGCATTCTCTGACACTCACAAACCCTTCGCTCGCTTTTGATCCGGAGCAGAAAGTCGTCTTCCGCCGTCCAGATCCCTCGCGCAAGCCCAAAGTAGCCATCATCTCTGGCGGTGGTTCAGGGCATGAACCTGCCTTTGCGGGCTATGTCGGCCATGGTCTCCTAGACGCTTCGGCAGCGGGCACCATCTTCGCCTCCCCATCAGCGGAACAGATTCGCCATGCTGCCATGAACTGCGTGGATAATGAAAAGGGCGTGCTCATCATCCCCATGAACTATACCGGCGATGTGCTCAACTTCGGCATGGGCACCGAGAAGGCGCGGGCTGCGGGTATCAAGACCGAATTCTTTGCCATCAACGATGACGCTGGCGTCGGCAAGAAGAAGGGTGGCAAGGTCGGCCGTCGCGGTATTGGTGGCGGCATTCTCGTCTTGAAGATTGTCGGTGCTTTAGCAGAGGCTGGGTACGTTTGGCAAATGTCCCCCTAAAAAAAGTTCCCACGTCGCAGGATAGACAGCTAATGGTTGCTCAGTGGCTCCCTCGAAGAGGTCTACCATATCGCTCGATTTGCTAATGATCACCTTGCCTCCGTGGGTTCATCCCTCGAGCACGTCCACATCCCAGGAAGAGCCGTTCCAGAGGACACCATTCCCGATGGTCAAGTGGAGGTCGGCATGGGTATCCACAACGAACCCGGATCGCATCGCATGAAGTTTGACCTGCCAGACGTCGTGAAGACGATGCTCTTGCAGATCCTGGACCACAATGATCCCGATCGCGCGTATCTTACCCGTCATCCTGAGGATGAGTTCGTGCTCCTCATCAACAATCTGGGTGGTGTCAGCACCCTCGAGCTGTCCGGTATCACTGACGAAGTGTACCACCAGCTGGAGAAAGACTTTGACATCAAGCCCGTGCGGGTCATCCAGGGCACTTTCCTGACCAGTCTCAACGGACTGGGATTCAGCATCTCGCTTCTCAAGCTTGCAGACACGGGGCTGGGCCCCGGCAAGTCCCTGCTGGAGCTCCTTGACGCCCCTGCCGAGGCAGTTGGATGGTCTGCCCCCATTCGCCCCGCGACATGGAATGCACGCCATTCCGATGCGCCGCTCAAGGTCAAGAGCGTCAAGCCCGCTGAGGAGCAACCCAGCAACCTCAAGCGTGAGTTCCTTACCCCCCCCTTCTGCGCGATTCCAGCAAGCCTGCCTTCCTCATTTTTGGACTGACTAAACCCTTATCACAGTCAACCCCGCTGCTCTCAAGAAAGTCCTGGGATCAGGGCTCAAGCGAGTCATCGCCGCCGAGCCCCTCGTCACCCGCTACGACACCATCGTCGGCGACGGCGACTGCGGCGTGGGCATGAAGCGCGGCGCCGAAGCCGTGCTCTCCCTCCTCGAGGATCCCTCCTCGAACATCACCGACGACGCCGTCACCGCCGTAAACCGCATCATCACCGTCGTGGAAAACACCATGGACGGCACATCCGGCGCCATCTACGCCATCTTCCTAAACGCCCTCGCCCACGGCCTGCGCGCACAGGACCGTGGCTCCGCCGCCCCCGCTACAACAGACATTTGGGCTGCCGCCCTCAAGCACGCCGTCACCGCGCTCGCCAAGTACACCCCCGCGCAGCCGGGCGACCGCACCATGATCGATGCCCTGGTCCCCTTCTGCAACACCCTCCTCGAGACCAAGGACGTCCATGCCGCTGCCAAGGCCGCCCAGGACGGCACCGAGGCTACCAAGAGCATGAAGGCGAGCCTGGGGCGCGCTGTGTACGTGGGCGGCGAGGAAGAATGGGTCGGCAAAATCCCCGATCCTGGTGCGTATGGCCTGAGTGAGTTCTTGAATGGACTTGCGGAGGCTATGTGAATGAAGCTCCTTTTTTATTCTTATTTTATTTTTTATTTTTTGGATTAGGGGGTGGTTCGAATAAAACCATATATAATTAGCCTTCTTGGGATGGGATGGGCGTTTTTTTTTTTTTCATGTTGTCTCTTTAGTCTAATTCATGAATTTATGAAGTTGAAATACCTTGGTTCATTGGGGCCTGCAGCAGGATTGTTGTGACTGCGAAGATACTCATCTACATTTTGGTATGAACTTCGGTAGAGCGTGAATGTTACTGCAATGTTGCAATTCATCGATTTACGCCATCGAGACATATTTGAAGTTTGAATGTCCTGATCTGATTCAGACACAGACACCCGCATCTGATATCCCCTAATGCACCATCAAGCACAGACATGACTACTTTACACCCTATGTGGACTTTTTGAAAGATGCAAAAACCAAGGAAACGCCAGATCAACCCCATCATACGAGATGAACATAAAAACAGCCAGACCGAGGGGAGAAAAGTATAACGGAGGACCCAATCAGCTCAGGCAGAAGAGCCAGGATAGTTACGTTTCAGATTTGGCCCCTGGTTCGGTCGTCCCTCCGCTCCCAGGACGCAGCGGGATCAAAGAGAAAGCGTCCCGGGAAATCGCCGCAGCATAAAAGAGGGTATCAATGTCAGATTAGAGGAACGTTCTATTCTCCTTCCCTGTGTAACGAAAAGAGACGGACCCGAGGACCCCAGGGCCGGGATGGTCGCGTGCGGTCGCCGACCTGAGACGTAGATGAAGGGACAAGATCATTCAGCTCAGCAAGACCAGGATGACGGAGTCGCCGCGCAGGAACCTATTGGGTAACTTTGGTTAGACACTGAAAGGGACCCTGAGTATCCGAATTAAGGGAGGGCCGTCTGCACTGACATTTTGCTGATGAAGCGGTCCTTGTTCACGCCGCGACCCTTGCCGCCCTTTGGCTTCTCCGTCCACATCTCCTTGACGTTCTCCAGGACCATGTTGCAGTGGCGATCGAAGGCCTTGACTCGCGCGAGCAGCTTGCGGTTGTTCCGGCAGGAGATCAGGACCTGGGTGTGGGTGCGGGTTGCGGTCTGAAGCAGGGAGAGAGGACCGGCCGTGAGCTCATGTTCTTCGACCAGAGCGACCTCATATTCACTAAATGGATGGAGCACAATGTTAGAATATATTGAGCTGTGGATTTCGGGTGGTGGGTGTTGATTGGCGGTATAAGTTCATAACACGGGGGAGGATCGCAACGTTGGAGCTCATCAGATGATGAGACAGGCTGTGGCGAGGCCCCTGTGCGACTGAGGAGGAATACAATGCACAGATAATAGATCAAAAGGTGCGATGGACATACGTGAGCTCGCTCTTGGGCTTGTTCAGCAGATCTCTGTTGGATTGGACGGTATGGTTAGCCACGACCCGATAAGATACAATAAATGACTCATGGACATAAGCCTTGATGAAAAGAGGGGTAATCAACTGACTGAATCTTGGGGTCGGTAGACATGGTGGCTGTATAAAGGGACGCTGTCTTTTCGTTTCGTCTTCCTCGACGTCTGCCTCTGCGTTCATTCAACCATCTTAGTCGTCTGTTCCTCGTGGGAAGCGGTCTGATACGGCAGAATCCCGGGCGCGGCAGGGTCACGTGGTGCGCGTCTCTGCCGTGTTTTGCAGGCACTCGAAAGTCCCAGTCGCGATTGGCTGCGCTGCGTCACGTCGCGTCGGAACACTCAACACGCTCCAGCTCAGGAACTGGACGTTCTTCTTCAAACTGCCTTGACCAACCTCTCTCTTCACCACTCAACGACCTTGCTTCCTCCTCTTCCTCCTCCTCCCCCTTCTCCTCTTTCTCGACAATCCAACTTCCCTTCCTGCATCAGAGAGAAAGAAACACCTTACTTCAACTACTTCCAGGTCTCCTTCACCGCATCGGTTGTCAATATAACCCTTCGAGGCAACCCCTTCTCGCCTGTCCCACGTTGAGCATTCCAGTCGATTTCCCCGCGGCTCCCTCTTGCATAATCGTACATACACACATACCTGTGCATTCTCCCGGTCGACGCAGAGCTTCGATCGACGCAGATTGGCTATGAATTATCGATAGGGTACGACACTGGATCGACTTTTCACCTTACCTTGCTTCATCCGATCGAAGCACTCGTCACTCTCCCTTGATCCTCACCGTCCGACTTGCCCTCAGCGAGCTTCATTACACCTCCTTCTTAAACCTCCGAATTACCTATTCACGCTTCGATCATACTTTGGATTCAGATCCACCTTTCTCGCTTATGGTTGAGATTCAATTGCTGGTGGCATGGAATCTCAGGACGGAATCTCCGTCCGGCCTATGAGGCGTGGGTTTTGATCTGTCTTCTTTTGTCGTCGGTTGCTAATCGTTGGGTATGGGATTTATTTTTTACAGTCAAGGTACTCTACACATTCGACGATGAAAGTAAAACGAATTGTCTCGCTCGATGGCCTCACCTGCTCGATATCCAGACCGCCTCTCTGGACGAGAAAACTCAGATCGGGGTCATCGAGCTGAAAACGTGCATCCAGGCCATTGTCTCCGCGAGGTGGGTTGCCCCTGGCTGGACTTCCAGATTTATTGTCTGCAACGCATTCTCATTGCTCTTTGTTCACCATTTAGTCCGGAACTGGTCGCCAAGCTCGGACAAGATTATACCGTGTATGCCTACGATTACTCGGAATATGAAACACCGTTGGTCGGTCAGGGAATGCTCTCATGGGTTCTCGCTTCAGCCTCGCCAACACCCGACGCACCAGCTCACCAATCGAAAACCATGGTCACCGGTCGTGTGTGTAAAAATGTGCTCGGTCTCTTTTCGAAAGGTGCCCAGGAGACGCTGGAGGTCAAATTGCGGCTGGTGCCGGTTCCTACCTGTATGCAGAGTGAATACCTCGATAGCATGCAAAAATATCGGGAGCTGAGCAACATCATTCCTCATGACTTCGACGCACAATCGTGGACAAACTTCCTTCGTCAAAATTCCGGACTGTTCGGTACCTCCCACATTCAGCCGTCCGACCGCACCTCGTCGCCCATGGATCACTCCGGGATCGAACGATTTCACCAATTGCTCAGTGAAGGGTCGATGCCGAGAGAAATGGGCCCCTCCATGCCTTCTAACGGTACCTTTCGGTCTATATCGCCCGCACAATCCGCGCTGGCCCCACCAAGCAGGGCATCCACGCCGGGCCAGCTTCAGCATCAACATCAACAATTACAGCTACACCAAGCACCTCAGATGCAACAGCAGCAACAGGAGATGTCGCATGGCGACTCTATTCGACCCTCCTCCAGTGCTTCCATGCGTGATTCCGAGCTTCCCGTTCACGTGCACTATGGCAGTCGCCGTGGTTCTATGCAATCGGGCTATGGGAGCGGCGACGAATCGGGCGAGCAGCAGCCACGAAAGAGAGCCAAGCTGTATCGAGCGGATTGGCCTGGACGTACCGATTTTAACATTGAGAGACAGCCGAGCTCTTTGCGCGTAGCTGCAAGCACGGCCGCCTCAGTTCGAATCCATCGTCCTACTCCAATCAACCCTGCAATTGCTGCTGCTCAGAATTCGAATGATGCGCCTGTCCGGCCACCGACACCGATTTCGCACGCGAACGATTTCCCGCGCAGAGCACGCCCAACTCCAACTCTTCTACGGGAATCATCCGTGCAGAGCACTAACAATTACACATCACCGTACCCTATTAGTGACGACCATCCCGGGGACAACACTCAGTCGCCAGAAGAGTCTCGGTACCAGGGTCTGTTCGAACCATCGATCAGTATGCCCTCTTCGCCTCCGGTCTTGGATTGTGGATTCCCGAACGCTTCCAGTCCAGCCCTTCCACCAATGGTAACTGACCCGGACTCTGGCTTCATGAGCGGTGGGTTGGAGGATCTGCTGAGCGAGGATATGGGTACTCCCCTGGAAGACTGCGCGAAGTCAATGCCTCATGAAGCATCTAGACACCGGCGTACAGTTGACCGTGCAGTCAACGCCAGCTCTCCCATCAATCTTCCCACGGCGTTTGAGAACCAGGCGGAGAATATGCTGAATGGTGATGAACTACCTACACAGCCATTAAAGGGAGTGGCCGCCGTCCCTGTTCTCGCCCCTGCTCCAGCTCCGCCTCGTGGCCCAGCCAGTGTAGCAGGCTCCAGGCCGTCTTCGCGGGCCAGTTTCAGACAGGCACCTAAACCTTTGGCTCCTGCTCCCTTTTCACAGAGCGAGTTAGAGCAACTCATGAATGCAATTCCTGCAAGCGATCCAGTCATGCCATCACAAGCTCCGGCACACTATGCCCATTCTTGGACAGGCCCGATGAGCGATCTTCCCAGTGCTGAAACACCCACGCCAAAGGCTGTGACCGAGGATGGCAAAGTCAGGAGTGGTGCAGGAGCCAGGCGGCTCAGACAGGTTCAAGCTCGTCTCGACAAGTGCATTCGAGATGGCCAGGTGCCCCCTTACTGCGAAAACTGCGGGTCCATTGAAACCCCCACATGGCGCAGAGCCTGGTCTAAAGAATTTGACGGCGGTGAGAAAGACGCAAATGAGCTTATGAAGGATCCAACCATGCTATTCTGGCAAGTCTTGGAACGAAACGACCAGGATCAACCCACAAAGTTCAAAATGTACAAGAAATCCTTGGTTGACGCCGATAATGACTTCGTCCAGATCCTTCTTTGCAACCGTAAGTGTGGAGACTTTTTTTCTTTCTCATATGGGACTGTTTGCTGACATCCAGGAAGCCTGCGGTCTCTGGCTGCACAAGTTCAAGTGTATGCGACCTGAAAACAAGTGGAACAAGTCGGCCAACGGCAAGAAAAAGCGGCCTCCCAGGAACCGCAAGACAGGCGGCCCGCTGTCCGACAACAACACTGCCACGAAGAATCCCGGCAGGCCCCAAGCTTCGAAAGCGGCTGGATCTTCCCCAGGGGCGTCCGATGCCTCATCGCCTGCAGAGGACGAAACTCCACGGGCAGACAATGGCAACGAAACCCAGAACGACCAGGAAAACAACGACGAAGTCCAGGAGATGCCATCCCAGCGGCGTCGTGCCAATAGTGTGGAGCCACGACGGTCATCAGACACCGCACAGAACCGCTGGCAAGCGCAGGATCCGACAGAAGCCCTGCGACGGGCTATTCAATCCAGTCCTGCTCGCAACCTTGAGAAGCGCGGCGCCGTGGCTATGGGAGATCACAGCCTTACGCCTAAGCGGTTGAGAAGAGCACTGTTCCACAGTAGTCAAAATGAGGGCGGAGCTCTCAAAGCACTTGGTGATTCCATCCTGAACAGTCCACGACGCAGTCCCCGTGTTGGGTGCCGTGATCCTGACAAGCAGGCAGAGGACAAGGAGAACGCCGCCATTGATAAAGATCTTCGAGGTCTCTTTGAAAGTCCGTCGTTTGATTTCGACCTGCCAACCAGCCCAACTCCGCGGAGGCGAAATCAGCGAAGCAATTTACTGGGAGAAAAGCGCAATTCCCTTCCATTTATTTCCCCTCTGTCCAAAACCCGCAAAGACGCAAGCTCAGACATGACGCCAACCAAGGTGACTGCCCAGAGACTACAGCGTATTCAAGGCAACACGACTTCGTCGCCACGCCAGAATAAAACACCCAAGTCCACGCGCTCTTTGGGTTCTGATCTTTCCCCTACGCCTAACGATTCTTTTGCAGCCGAGGACTTGACCAATATCAACAGTATGATAGTTGATATCTTCGCTGACGTTACGGCTTCGGCGCACGACGACCCCTTCTTCTTTGAACAATCCAAGGGTGTGAGCAATAGCACCTGGTCCGATTGGATCCCGTCTGATTTTGTCTCTCCGGCTGGGTCGGAGGAAGGTCAGACCAACGAAGCGCAGCAGAGGGATAGATGCAGCGGCGCCAGTCAAGATGAAGACCTGATCAATGCGATCCTATCCGACCCAGACATCCAAAAGAATGCTCATTTCGATCCTTTCCATTTCGCCGATGCAAGTGTCCTCGACTCTGGCTTTTTCGGGTCAGATTCAGCCAGCAAGAAATCGGCGCAAAAACAATAGACGCTAATGCCTTATGACCTCTTCTCCCTATTTCCTTTCTTCTCCCTCCTTCCCAACCTTCCTAGTCCCATTTCCTAATTTGTCTTTCTTATGATGGCAATCTCAGCCTCGATGCTTTGTTATTCAAGCGATGGCGTTTGGCAGGATACATTCTGTTTTTTTGTGCATTCGTCGTGGAGTACCCCCCATGTCATGGATTTTATTTGTTCAAGTGTTTTTCCTCTCTCCAGTCAGAGGATGTTGAGAGCAAAGAAAAGTCTCTTTTATGCAAGATATCATCCAGCTCATATGTTTGGTCTATCTATCCATTTTACGACTACAGAAAGTGTCATCATGTATCTAGTCTGAGACTCCGTGAATGAATCCTCAAGTACAATGAATACTCGACCTAATTGGTTAACCTTGCCAAATGTGCTATCTATAGTGTAGGTTGATTGGTCTATTTTAACAGTATCTTTCGAGTAAACATTGAGATATTATGGCTTTAGGCTTCGAATCTACAACCTCTCAGTGTTGTCTGGCTATGGGCTGAGCCGGATAACCACGAGATTATGTGAGAGAAATACGGTCAAGATTCAGGTGCTCTTCAACCAGAGAGCAACTGTTCGCCATTCCACCCTTGCTTCATCCAGCGAAGCAAAGGAGTACTGAAAGGGGAACTGAACCCACTCGCCTGTTGCCTCCATATCATACCCGCCCTTGGGATTTCATAAAGCTCGTCGTGGGTCGAATATCAAATCAACCATGTCCGTAAAAACCAACCATCAACACCGCGCTGCCGCCGTCACAAGTTTGCGCAGCAAGTGAACCTCAAACCAGTCGGACGCTTCTACTCATTCGAATCGTAGAATATCGGCTTCAACTTATGCGTCACTTCGACCACATTCTCGTAGATCTTGTAATCTTCATCGCCATGAATATATCAGCCTCTGCTCTGATCCCAGGACAAGCGCATACACGTAGAAGAAAAAAAAAATGAAGAGGAAAACGCATCAGCCGCTCGATGCCTTTCTCAATCTCACTCACCGCAATCCGCCGGATTCCCCCAATCTGTCGTCGCCAGGACCCGGATCCCAAGTCCCTACACCAGTACACACTCATCAGTTTCCTCGAAGAAGGCTCGAAGCAAACGCAAAACAGATCAGAGGCGCCAACTCACCTGCCCGCCCTCCAACTCAGCAACCTTCCCCACCACCTCCACCACCCGCCCCATCTGCAGGTGCGAATCGGATTTCAGGATCAGCGTCACATCCCCGTTGTTGCCGCAGGTGAGGGTCGCCGTGTCGCCGCGCAGCGCACTCACGGTGCCGAGGATGCGGACCGTGTGTGATGAGGAGCCGCTGGAGGGGTGGAAGGCGTGGAGGTGCGCGGGGAGGATGCGGGGGGTTTGGAGGGACATTTTTTTTAGATTCCTTATCTTCTGGAAGTTTAGTGTTTGTGAAGGATGTCTGAATTGAGTGGTTGGAATTGGCAGTGATGGATAATGCCTAGAAGTGTGGTTGATATGGTGTTCTATGAGGTGGTGCTCTACAACTGAAGAGACGATTGTTGCGGCGCGGGGCGCGCAACGCGTGTTCACGTGACTGTGATTAGATGGAAGCCCGTTGGACCAGAAGGTACAGAGGAAGCCCTCCATACGTCAATCAGCAGTTTTCTCGGCGAAAGCGCAGTGTTGCATATTTGCGCGGGAGGACTTCAACACTTCATATCAACAACCGAAATACAGCAAATGAAGTGATTGATTATTTCCTTACTTTACTTTTCTCTCTCTCCTTTTTTTCAATACACTACGGCATACGCATTGGCGACCACCGCCATGCCCCCTCCACTCCCCTCGCAACACCGCGGGATGACCGCCAACCCTCTCAAGCCAGTCAGACGCTATCGGCCGGGGAAACCGATCGCGGAAGAACCTTCATCATCAGAGGAAGAGGATGAGGCGGATGAAGAGGTACAGGAGCAGGAGCGGCGTCGACAGCAGCAGCAGCGCCAGAGACAGCAGGCTCCCAAAGCGACTTCGTTTCCGGCTGCGGCTGCAGCTGGGAAGATTACGAAGGGTGTTAAGGATGTGAAGATTCAGGAAGATGAGGATGAGGAAGGGTTTGTTACCGAGGAAGAGGAAGAGGATGAAGCGCCACCGAAAGTTACTGCTCGTGTTGCTGGCGACAGAGCGGGATTTGCGCCGACGCCAGGGACGGCAGAAGCAGTAGGGGCAGATGAAGAGGAGGAGGGAGAGGAAGAGGAGGAAAGCTCTGAAGAAGAGGAAAGTAGCTCCGAGGATGAAGCGCCTCGACGGGTTCTCCTCCGACCCACATTCATCAAGAAGGACAAACGCAACAACGCAGCGGAGCCAGCACAGAACGCCACCAATGTTGCCGACTCAGCAGCGGAGGCGGAGGCGCGCAAGGTTCAACGACAAGAAAAGGCAGAGCTGCTGATTCGGGAACAGTTAGAGAAGGACGCCATTGCTCGGACGACAGCCAATAGGGCATGGGATGACGACGAAGTCGTGGAAGCAGGTGAAGAAGGCGCCATCGACGATACGGACGGCGTGGATCCGGAAGCAGAATACGCCGCGTGGAAGCTTCGGGAACTCAAGCGTGTCAAGCGGGAGCGCGAGGCAATCGAGGAAGCGGAGAAGGAGCGGGAGGAGATCGAGCGGCGACGGAACCTGACGGCGGAGGAGCGCGAGCGCGAAGACCGCGAGTTCATCGAGAAGCAGAAGGAGGAGAAGGAGGCTAGTCGGGGCCAGACTGGGTTCATGCAGCGCTACTTCCACAAGGGTGCTTTCTTCCGCGACGACCTGGAGCGCGAGGGTCTAGATAAGAGAAATGTGATGGGCCATAGATTCGCGGACGACGTCGCTCGCGAAACGCTACCGGAGTATATGCAGATTCGGGACATGACGAAGCTAGGAAAGAAAGGACGCACACGGTACAGAGACTTGAGGACGGAGGACACGGGTCGCTTCGGCGACAGCTTGGACAACCGATCTCGTCGCCGTGACGGCGCTCCTATCGGCATCACTGACGAGCGGTTCCTACCAGACCGTCCGGACGACCGTCCCAAAGGACCCACGGGGGCCAATGCCAGTGCTTTGCGCGAAAGACGGAGGTCGCGATCAAGGTCCAATTCTCCGCGACGCGATCGCTATCGTGATCGCCGTGACGACAGGCAGGACGGTCGTGGCGATCGGAGTCGCGATCGGGATCATGAGCGTGATCGCTCGAGGGATCGATACAGACCCGACCACAGCAGCCGCAGAAAACGCAGTCCATCACCTTATGACGATCGCGACAAGCGGCGCCGTGTGGAAAATGATGCATAAACACGAGGAGTCAGCGGGAGTCAGCATGGTCTTATCGGCGTTACAGGTGCTGGAAAAAGTAGGGGTGGAAATCAATATTTACACTATATCTTCTTGATATGGCATTGTTTTTGTCATTCTTTCACATCTAGTCATTGGGCCCCTAACGATGGGGATATATTATACCCTGTATTTTGGGCGGATGAAGGAGGATCTTGGTATATGAATCAGACATCTTGCTTGCACATACAACTCGAAAGTGACCAACAGATTCGGCTGGTCAGGTCAAGTCGTCCTTCTTGATGATTGAACGTAGAACGCATAGTACAGTTCGTTGCGGTTAATCCTTCTTCCAAATCGTCAATTGCGACGCCTCCCTCAACGAACGCCATGCTCCTGCATCTTCTTCTGGTTTCATCATGGCTCGAAGATACAACCAGCCAGCTTCCCCTGGAAACGCTCATTCTGCAAGAGCGCAGATGCGATCAACGCATCCACTTATTTGACGCCCGCCCTCTCCAACACCTTCTCCCTCTCCATGACGCTCTCGCCGAACCGTAGGAGGAAAATTGTCCGTCCTGGCCACATCTCCGTAGGCTGGTTGTGAGCCGTAACCTTGGCCTCGAAGCCACATCCGTCGCAGACACCCTCTATGATCCCGGCGACGTAAGCGGCGCAGTTGAGCATGCTCATTTCCTTGGGGACGCTGATGTAGGTGTTGACCAGCGGGTCATTGTCCGTGATCATGTATTCGTTGGGGGTGTCGGGCGACACCGAGTGCTCGAGGGCATCGGCGGGGCGTTGGAAGAGGAGGCGCCAGAGCGGGCCGTGGATGAGGTGGAGAAGGGGGAGGATGCGAAGCGGTCGGTTGGGGGGAGACGCGGAGGTCGAGGAGCTGGATAATGAGGACGATGATGTGGAGGACATAGATCTGTAGAAGAGGAGGTCGAGGAGGCGGAGACCAAGGGGGTAGCCCTGTTCGTTTAATCTGGACAGCGTCAGAAGGACAGAGCGGCGGGAAAAGCAAGAGACCCTCTAGGTAACTCACCTTCTCTCCAGGTCTTGGATCCCCGTCACCCTCCGTTGGGCATATGTCACCATTTCGGCGAACAGGAAGGCGAAGCTCGCGCGACTGAGCTCCGCATTTCGACTCCGGTTCAGATGTCGGTCGTAGATGGTCTTGCGATTCGATGGGACGCGCAGCCCGGGGCTCTGCTGGGCGACGGTTTGAGCTTGCTTTGGCGGCGGCTGTCTCTCACTCTGGGGAGCGATGTTGCTGATGGACAGCATCGCAGAGTGTCGTGCGGGGTGTGCCATGGCAGATGTGGTCTATTGTTGATCAGGAGGAATGGAGATAGACGTGGAGGATTGTCTATTTTGAGTTTCAATGCAGCTCGATCATTGCATCATCTCTCTTATGAAAACACAATGGATGGATTCGGGGTATTGATTGATGTTGTTGTTATGGATATGATATGATAGATAGTTGTTAGGTAGTTTAGGTTTGGACGGGCGAAGTTATCTTGCCGGGCGCCTGGAGACCATACGGCATTGCATATCACCGTCTCATGCACTCAATATTACAGCACACGGGCAGCAAGTAAAAGGGAATTCACGATCATCGATGAAAAGCTGCAAGTTATGAAGACCTACGAGGCATCTTTACTCTCTCCATACCCATCGGATGAATTCTCTTCTTGCTTGGCTATGGGTAACAAGAAACTACAAAATACGATTCTACAACTGACCGTTCAAAAGAGAAGCAGATGATATTCATATCAGATTTTATTTCCATTAACAAGGCGACAGCTATCATGATCATCAAGAGTGTATGCTACAGCCGGTAGCAGAACGCTATCCATCAGGCTTTGCATATTCACCAAATTGCGAGGAAACGAATGGCTACAACGGCGAGCCTAGATGTCACCCGCAGGTGTATTCAAGAAGGGTTGACCTGTTCTAGACGAAGCTATTAGCATTCGTTCAATCATTGACGATCGATAAAAGTCATGCTCAAATCCATGCCAAATGACCAACAATAGTCAGACATCCAAGGAAGATAATGCGCACAGAGCCCGTCTATGATGGGTTCATGGCGACGGCTAGCGTGGAAACTGCGAATGTAGGAAAAGTTTTCATCATAAGAGCCAAGGGCTCCTGTTGGTCGATTTGGAAATTTTTTTGAGGCACGACAATGAAAAAAAAAAATAGAAGAGGCTTACCAAGTCTGTTAGTCAGTTATGGGTTGTGCTGAATCGAAAATTGAAAAGCAATATTAATGTAATCTAGCAATAGCCCCGTCGAAATCTGCATGAAAACTTCGAATTGAGCAGGCGATGTTGTTCTGTTGGCGTTGTTGGTGTTGTTGGTGTTGGTTGAGAAGCAAAGAGAAGAAAAAAAATTGCGGCGATGAAAGACCTTTTATAGTTGGCCTGAGGCTGCCGGGGAAACCCACCGACCCATACGAAGCTTCTAGAGAGAGGGAAAATCTCAGAACATCACAATGGAGGCTAGTTATGTTTTTTCAATATTTATCTACCCAACTGAATTATCTTCGCTTTTCCTCTATTTCTAAGGGTTAGATAGTTTATGTGTCATTCTGAAACACTAAATCAAAAGGCATGCTTGGTATGCTTTGATGAAAATGGGACATGGGAATGGGAGTCGAACCAATGTCACCAGTTTACTCAACCTCAATAGCCCCTATATATCCAACTTCAGATTCGCAATCCCCCTTAGCGAATGCGTACTGGCATCCCCATGCGCTATTTGAAGCTCTTCTGCTTCTGCCTCGAGTTCCAATTGAGTGTTCTAGAGATACTCTGGACCCAGTCCTCGCCTTTGCGGTCCTGGGGTAGCACGTTTGCGAAAGGATACCGCGATGCAGACACCGTCACGTAGTCACCTGGGTGCAGTTCAATTCTACAGTCGTCGTTAGTGTGGAATGCTACAAACACCGGGGCGTTCGACTCACCTCTCGCGGCCGTCAAAACTGGCCCATGAGCTTGTCCTTGCATCGTAAGGTACCCCCATCCGCAAGACAATGGTATCTGGCATGATGATCGGTCGGAACGATAGTGTATGTGCGCAGATGGCTGTGACGAGGATCACTGGATTTTCTGGGTGGGACAGAGATCCTCCAGCTGCCAGGTTATATGCAGTTGATCCAGTTGGCGTAGCTATGCACACGCCGTCTGCTAGTAGTGTAGTAAAATGCTCATCGTCGCCGAACAGCTCGATTTGCGACATTGCTGAGCAGAGCGAGTCAGGAATCACACTCTCAGAAGTCATGAAATATGGGGGAAGTGGTTCGCATACTAGGATTCGGCCCTCTGTCCAGTACGACATCGTTGAGGATCTGGAAAACCTTGTCGGGCCGATGGGTCAAAGTCCCTTCACCCTCCTCCCCGATCAATTCTTCGACCAGGTCTCGCTTCGACGTGTTTGAGACATCATCATCCGGTCGACGATTGCTCCTCATGATTGTGCACTCGAACCTCAGTCGTAGACTGACCACGACTCCGTCCTTGAAGGCGGTTTCTATCGTGCTCTGATATTGATTGAAGTCGAATTTCGTCAAGAAGCCCAGTGATCCAAGTGCAAAAGAGAGCACGGGTGGTACGACATGCTGGAACAGCCAGCTTGTGTAGAGAACTGTGCCATCGCCCCCGAGCGCAACGACGAAGTCGAAGAGATGGGCTTCCTCGGCCACCATGTTAGTATCCCAGTACCTGAGCCGTCCTTCTGCGGTCGGTTCCTCCTGTAGAAGCTGGATGGCGCCAAAATCCGGATGCGTCTCAAGCCGTCGCTCCACGTAGACGACATATTTTGTGGTGCGATCCTTGGACAGTAGCCATTGTGTGACTTTCCGTGTCAATGATACAAGAGCCTCGTCGCGCGCTTTTGTCACCAGTAACACGCTCTTGACCGTAAGCTTGATCTTGATGCTTCCCAGTTTCTTTGACAGCTTGCGCACATTCCATGCCATATCGGACAACTGCTTCTTGGATAGGTGACGAGACTGGACAGCTGTAGATAGCGCCTTGGTGACCTTGCGATCTTGGACCTCGGACGGTGAAATCACGTCGTTGTCATCGATGCTTGTTTGCGAGACGGCATCCTCCGCCTTCGGGGTTTTCAACCCTTTTTGTAGCTCGGGTTTGGTTGGCGGCGCTATCCATTCTCCGAGAATCAAGGAATGAACAAAGCATGCTGTTCTCTCGTCGTTGCTGTCCAGGTGCGGCCGTGATCTCGACTCATCGACTGAGACTAATGACGACTTGCGGCGGTGGTTGCAATCGGGGTACAGTACGACCTGATAACCATATGAAAAGAAGTCGCAATTAGCAGCTGTCGCAGACTTTGGATGTAGTGCGCTTGCGCGTTTGGATGTACCTCCAGCTGGTTACGCATTTCTGTGTCGCTAGTTGCCCCTCCATGACTCTTCCATCCAGGTCAGCTTTGTCCTGCTCCGAGTGGGAAATCTGACGACCTACGGCGTCGTCTTGGTTCAACCCTCCCTCCATGATACCGTGTCCTTGGCCTGCTTCCCTTGTTATGATCCGGTCAATTTCTATCGCATGTGGTGCATGGATTGACTCTGGGGTTTTATCCTATCTTGGTGAGTTCAGAGGTCGCAACCATGTAGGACAAAGCGGGTATGACGTCGGCCCACCGTTCGCAGACTCCATCATGCTATATTCGGGGTGCGTTCTTCGACCACTTCAAACTTGATTGACGATGGCCGTAATGATGGGCTGGTTTTCTTATCGGAGCCGAGCTTCGGTCTTGCTCGGATGGGGTTCGACTTGTAGGAAATAATTAGGCTACATTTGTTGTATGGACTATGGAGTTGTTCACTCATCACTCCTTCTGGCGGATATATATCACCAACCCACAAACTTCATACCAGAACACACCAAGTACACTCAACAATATTCAACATCACAAAACTGCCAGAGGGTGAACGAGACACCTGCAACACCATGATTAAGAGCCAGGCTTGTCCCTACCAGCCTCACGGCCAGTTAGAATGATGGATCCCTGTACCCATACAGTGTAAGTACCACCAAGTATCAATGGCTACATTATAATTGCGCATAGTAGACAACGGCAATGAATATCTCCCATTGCCATTTAAGACAAAAAGCTCATATTTGTCCATATTAAGACTCATACCCCTAGGAGTAAGCAAAAGAACTCACTAAGAAGGAGTGTCGCCAGAACCTGATGACAACAGAATAACAACACTGGCATTGGTACTATTAAAGATAAGCCAATATACAACCCCATGCATATTACCTACTGGCAGCATGGAAGAGCCTAAACCCATTGAGATAGAGAACAGATTAACCCACATGCCAGTCACAGCCATGATCAATGTACCGTCAAAGTGCACAAACCAGATTCACCAGTGTTGGGTGGTTCAACCCTCAACATCCTTTTGATAGAACACAGATCCTGAATCTTGCCAAGCTAGTGCTGGTCTATGTGGCGCCGTATTGACCGTACAATCAACCACCCACCTGGCCAACCAACTCTGCCCAGGTCAACAATGGATATCAGCTGGATAGCCGCAGGACCATCTCTAGACTTCGGAGCCGCCACCCAGTAATCAGTACGAACGTACGATGGCCATAGCCATGGCCGTAAATCCAGCTGAACCCCACCACTAAAAGCACCCTGCGAATAACTCTCTCCGCATGGACCCTCTGGAGTGGTTGACATATTCCCGAGATACCAGCTAGATGACATGGGGGGCTTGTCCACTACATCCGCCCCGGAGCTAGTTAAACGACAAAGATTCGAAGTCCGTTTCGAATGGGTATCTGTCTCTATCTGCAGGGGTAACTAGCACCAACTAGGTTGTTGACTCGGTCAGCTGAACCGGTCGACTTGAACAAGGACCTCAATTTTGCCACATGCGGAGTAGAATAGATGATGCTTCTACTCCCTTTATTGGGAGAAAACATAAAGTCAACAAATATCTCCAAGTTCCTGCGGGGTACGCTTCTCAGGCTAAACCCTGCTGGAAGATTGCCGACTCCAACAGCTGACCTGCGGTGAACGGTAGCTCGTGTACAAACCTTTCATAGACCACAAGCATGTAACTTATTCGAAAGTTCCAAAGATGGGATGTGGAATTACTCACTCCTTTAAGTGTAATGAGTTCACCTCAACAAAGATATAAAGCAAAATTACCCCTAAATCAACAGTTTTCTATCTGTAATGATCATGGTAGGCGTGCGATGGATCTGGTCTGCCTAATTAATGATTCTAGCCCTATAGACTCTACTTGAGTGAGCTCTTTCAACAGGTTGTCTCCGTGGCCCAGCTGGTTAAGGCGTCCGACTGTTACTTAATAGTAATCGGGAGATCGGCAGTTCGATCCTGCCCGGGGACGATTGCTTTTTTGCACCCAAATCTTTTTTGCCAGTTATATGCAACTACTACTACCCCTGCCCTCAATCATCATTACACAAATCCAATTTTTTGTTCATTCACTACCATACTATCCGTACCCGAAAGAGCCAACAAGCCTGGTCTGGGGGCAGGCAGCAACAATGAGCCTCGATAACTAGTCCGTCCCTCGTGGCTGTGTTCGCAAATAACCTACGAGGATAGAACCATCTAGATTCCGATAAGAGTCGTCGTCAGCACCTAGCATGGTTCCAGACTCTCCGGGTGTCATTCCTGGCCCCTGAGAGCTAGGATCGCACGATGATAGTAATGGAGATGCCTGGTTTAAGTACAATCCATATAACTCCTGGTATTTTGAACAACTCGGTATTTCGCTGGTGCAAGGCAGCCTGGTTTGTTCATGGTGTCACAATTGTTTTTGACATCCAGGCTGCCTTGTCATGTCACATCAATAAAAAAAAGACTCGATATCTAGCCTTCTTTTCAGCTCCAGAGACTCTAGTGAACTGTAATTAGCATATAAAACCGCCACTCAACCAATCAGGAGTCTCCATGGCCCAGCTGGTTAAGGCGTCCGACTGTTATGTCAGTTCATCACTGACCCGGCAATCGGGAGATCGGCAGTTCGATCCTGCCTGGGGACGCGAAGTATCTTTTTTTCCTTTTCTTTCTTTCATTTTATTGCTGCTGCTTTTTTTTTTGTCCCCCCTTCCTGCGGTCCACCTTTTCCGAGAGGTTCGATTTGGATTCTCGCTCGCGTCCTTCCCTTGTGTCCTGCATTGAGGTTTGCTTGGTGCAGAGTACATTCCTCGCAAAGACAAGTCTATCACATCATCGACGTCTGCGTCTCCTTTACTGATATCCACGTAATCCTGTTTTCCTTGTGAATGTGATTACGCATATCCCCTCGAATTGAATACCCCTACTGTTACTCCGCAGTAGTAGTAATCGAGGTCATCGAGTCAGGCACGTAGCATGTGGCATGTAATAGAACACTTTCGGATGGCCAAATCCGCTCGCTAAGACATAGTTGCCTCAAGGGATGAACCACATATTTATGATGTGTTTCTTGGTTGGCGAGGCCCCAAATCCAAGGTTTGCCCTGCTCTGGATGCCCTGGCTTGCAGAATATTGCAACCAACGCGCCAACCCCGTTCCTAGAGATTCATGCAGAGTGCTGCGCGGTGGTTCCCATGGTTCACAACGGAACTGGCGCGTCAGCGGAATCGGTCAGGGAGACTTGCGAGGAGTTTGCAAAGGATAGTTGAGTAGTATGGATGAAAGAGTAGGGAGAGGGGGGGCGGGGGGCGGGCCTAAAGAACAAAAAAAAAAAAAAAAAAAGAAATCGTCCCCAGGCAGGATCGAACTGCCGATCTCCCGATTGCTACTGCTTAACAGTCGGACGCCTTAGCCAGCTGGGCCATGGAGACGTGTTACTTGTTTCGGCGGGAGCTTCTAATGCTACTTATCCCTGCGCGCTGGTGTTCCCCAGCAATTTTCTTATCGATGGTGCCTTCCATATTGCTTGATTCCCGGTATGCTTGCAGACATTGGATCTGGTTGCTCCAGGGTATGCTCACCCTCGATATGAACAGGTGATACGTGACAGATATAGCTATGTAGGAGGGTATTGGAGGTGGTGCTCTGTACGCTGCATAGACGCAAGGCTCGCGCCTGATTCTTTGAGATTGCCCTTTCCTGTGTGTGATATGTGCCTTGATCGAGCATGGGCCACACCCATGGCTTAGTCCGAGCAAGTGCAGGTGCAGGTTGGCTTAGGTGAGAATGCAGGATGCCAGAGTGCATGTCACGTATCACATTTGACTACAGTAGCCTACCTCCAAGGGGAGGGTACTTCCACACACGGCAGGGGCTTTCTTCCCATGTATTTCATACATACTGTTCGATTATGTGGACGTGTTCTACAGAGTATATATTTAATAAATCTTAACACCCGACATTACAGCAGTGCCGCCCTTGCCTGAGCAGCATGCGCAATACACGTCACCCCTCGGAGTGACCCGAGGCTACTGCGCGGATAGATTCGTTGGTTGGTACTTCGGACGTTGTTATCTGCAGGAGTGCACTGTGCAGGTATTAAGGGACCAAGGCTGATCCCTCACCAGGAGGGACCATGATTGGCCAACGAAGCTCAAGGACAACAACCCCCTACCGTACAGAACCCATAAAGACGCCCCCAATCCTTGTGCAACATTGTACTCCGTACTAAGGAGGCATATGCATGTGTGATGTGCATATCTGCCAATCGACCCATGGCTACCTGCAGGTGTCCTGGGCATCATTTTGGGGAAGGAACTGGCAGAGCCTGGCGTGGAGGGAGGGCGGCGTAGATAGGCCGTGGGCAGCCTGTCCGCTTGTCCGCCTAGCTCCTCCTTGTTCGTTGTTGAAAGCTGAAACCTCGCATTGCCAACTCTTCAACTTGAGACTGACCGACGCAGGAGGTCAGACCGTCAGAGAACTGCTGGCGACATATGTAGCTCCGCCACAAAGTGGGATCTATCATCATGCATTCCCAGGGTACTGTTAGCCCAAGTTTCCACCTTCATTTGTTTCGCAGTTGTATCCCGTAGTGAGTTTATATTGGCCGAGTCACTGACACACTATTGATACTCACTCAAACTTTACAAGGTCGCAGAGACGCTGATAGTGGAGTTCTTCAAATAATGGACGGAGTCAGTAAGTAATTAGTTGGTTACTGCATGATACAGAGTCACATGATGATGGTCCAAGGCGAACAACGCCCAAGTGCACTCCCCGAATGCAGTTTAGAGTAATCAACAGCACAACAGAACGGGCCAGCGGCATGTTCTCGAATCCGCTTGGCTATCCAGAAATCGATAATGACTACAGATACTTAGTCTATATCGATACATCGTTTCCTAGACCAGTTACTCTAACTATTTGATCGATGAGCTCAGACGTTGTGGCGCTCGGACGTCGCACGCGGTTCGGCGGCAGTGGTAAAATCGGGTTTGACTTTTATGGCCCGAGACAAGAAAGAACCTAAACGTGATGATGGTGGCGATGCATGATGCATCCCACCAGGAGTGGCGACGGTTCGTACAGGATTTCGAGGGGAATCAGGTTTTGACGGAAGCATTGATTGCTATGTCAGACTTCTCACATCTTCATTTTTTTGTCTCTTTTTTTTTTTTCAAGGTCGTTGATCGGTTGCTCTATGTACATGAATGATACCTTGCGGCCTGGCGGGCACACTGCAGCGCCGGTCATCGACCCCGAGGTATCTCGCATTCTCGCTAGTAGAGAGTCCAGACTCCAGAGTCTAGGCCAAGTAGGGAAGGTGGCTGTAAACTGAAATGATCACGAAGGATGGATGGATGGGGAGTGGGAGGCGACGGGCGTATCTATCTACTTATTATTACTTTTTTAGCGAAAAAAAAAAAAAAAACAAAATCCTTCAGTTGCGATGATCTCGATTGTCCCCAGTCAGCCTATCTAGTCTAAGCTTGAACGGCCGAGGCGAGAAACTCAGAACGACAGAGTCAGACCGACTCCCAAGACATGGGTACTAGTGGGGGACAACCTGTTAAGTCTACAGAGGAATGCCCAATGATAATGCAAATCGGCTACAATCATTTCCCCTTGTATCACAGGATCTGGAGGTCCAGGGGGCCCGATGACATGGAACTAAAGAGCCTAAAGCACGCCAAACGAAAGCGACTCTACGCTAGTGTACCCCTCCTACTAGTAGTACTAGTATCTATCTAGTCTAGTATGTGTTCCCCATCGTCTGAAACTTGGAGTGGCTGGCATCTGGGCTGAAGATTTCCTGTCTTAGATATTTACATTCTGCCTAGACTATCTACATGGGAAGTACGGAGGAAGTACAATGCATCGTCTCCTACGAAGTACAGGCCTACTTATTTGTTTGATACACAATATAGGACGCATGAAGTATGTGTATCCCTACTTGAGAAGATCGTCTCAACCGACAGAGAGGATGAAAGAGGGAAAAAGTACGACCTGTGTTTCGACCTGACGTCCACTTGGCCTTGATACATGATATTAAATAATCGTTCCTAATAATATACGGAGACTCCGTTTGGAGGAGTCCCTAGTCACAACTGTTACAGTATCTAATCAGTCGTAATCACAGCGTTAACAAGTGCAACTATTTGAGCTGATCCCTACACTTTACAGTAACACATCATGGAGATGATCTAACTGAGGCACTGTCCAGGTCCAGGATCTCTCCTAATCTCCTTGTCTCAGTCCAGTCTCTCCGGCCGTCGGACGGTGACCGCCATTTGCAGTTGCTGGATTGAGCCTGGTACATCAGCCCGGCGCTGGGCGGAGACAGTTTACTTAGGTTAGTAAGCTGTGTCTGATTGCCTGTGTCTAGTCTGTACTCTGTACCCTTTAGACTAGTTTACTATAGTAGGCTTTTGCGCTTTGAAGCCTCCAAACCCAAGGCGATATTCAAGGTTGATCATCGGAATCTCCCCGTCGTCATGGTCGAGTAAGGAGTCTGTACTCCGTAGTGTTAGTTAGACTCACCAAAGTCGCCTGAAATGGAGTGGATTGTTATTCACTGTTCTCAACGCATTTTGTTGTTGTAGCTTGTAATCCGCCATGACACAGGTTTCTGGCATCTACTCTCAATGTCCAACAACCCTCGTTACCGAAGATATGGCGTATGGACTCTGAAGAATGGAGTATTTACGGAGTCGTACTGTACATACTGGAGACTTGGAGAGGGGCGGATGTTGATGGGTTTGCCCTTGGGAGCCTTGGAGGGGCAAGTTCTGAGCCAGCTGATAACTAAGAGCAAGGTGGACAGTGTGGGACAGAGGATAGATCATGTACGTAGTACGGAGTAGAAGTAGTAGTATTATTATGATTATTATTATGATTGACTGATTATCTCACCCCTTCAGATGATAAGATCTTCATGATGGATTTTCTCCCCGAGAAGGAAAAGAGGGTCGATCGAATTCTTGT